AGATACTTTCTATCAGTATATCAGGATTTGTAATGCCGGTCGAACTATTATCCAATATTAGGATTTTTTTTTGGCTAATATTGGATTGATATAGATATCTCTCTTCCACATTTCTATTTCTTATTAATCGTAAATGTTATCCATATACAGGCCAGCAGGGGTTTCCTCTGTCAGCATTTTCTGCATTTTTTGTTTTTTACTAATTCCATTATTTCTGTGATTCTATGGAGAGAAAATAAATTCTACATCAAATAGAAATGGTAATAATTCCTCAACAACATCATTCAAATCCTACTTACACCAGTCGATAAACTTCCTGTCCTTCCTAAATTTTTAAGGTTTCTCTTAATTCTCTTCCTTCTACAAAGACTCACGGTTTTTGTTTCTGTTCATAGATTCCCCTCTTTTGAAATGTTTCTGATCATTATCTTGCATAACAGAGCTGGACCTCTGTGATAGTTCTGTGATAAATAAACCATTTATTTCTTGTTTGTGCTGATTTTAGATCTAAAAGGGGGATACAAAAGCTTAATTTGTTTATTATTTTTATTTACTTATTCATTTTCTGTTACCAAATTCAACATCCATTTGGTCAAATGGTTTGATTATAATTTTAAGTGTAGTTTTAGGATGTTAAACAGACTGATTTCTTTGTAGGACCTGGCTGTTGGTTCTGACGTTGATGGGGCAAAGGTCAAGGATCCCATGAGGACTCTGTTGCCTGTGCTGCTAAACCCATTCAGCAAACATGACAAGATCAGAGCTGTGCTGCTCTACATCTTTAGTGTAAATGGTAAAACTGTCATCCCACCTCCTAAAAGCCAACCTTTGTTGATCTATAACTTTTTGGACAAAATAATAACATTTTGTAATTATGAATATTTTAAATCGGATTTAATCCATTTTCATTCTTTTTTTTTTTTGGATCCAAACAGGAACAACTGAAGAGAACTTGAACAAATTTATCCAACATGTTAAAATCGAAGATGAGCGAGAGTTTATCCTGAACTGGAAAGAGCTGGGTGTCCAGATCATCACAACGGTACACAAAGGAGTACAGAACTTAAAAGTTTGCTCCTTGGAGAGAATGCTGTGATTTCAAAGATCAAGTCTTTACCATCCGTGTAAAATCATCACACATCTTTCTTCTTTTCTTTTCAGCCTAGTTTATTTTCCCGCAAGCCAAGCCGACGAGAGCGATTGGAAGAGGAAACCTACAACCTTTCAAGATGGACTCCAGTCATCAAAGATATAATGGAGGTCAGCGGGGGCAAAACAAACCGCAAACTGTCAGCACCTTTCTTCTGTTGTTGAGGAACAGGAAAGGAACAACGGCTTTATTGATTGATTGATTGAATTTATTGATCTTACAGTGGAGAAATGTACTCATTACATTAGAGGAAAAAGGTGCCAAAGGAAGAAAAGGGTGCATGGGATATATATACAGTATATGCAGTGCGTCCATATATGACAGCTTTTTCTTTTATTTTAATTGCAGGGTTATTATACAGGGTTGTTGCACAGGGTATTTACATGGGTATTTATTTAGATTAATATTTACGTAGCCATTGCAGTGGATGTCAACAGAAAAAAAAACGTGATATCAAATAATGTTTGCACATTATACATTGCACAGGTTATTGCCGTTGCAGTGTCGCATTGTAGAGTCTTTTTGCAGCAGGGATGAATGACCTGCAGTAGTGCTCCTTTTTACAAACAGGGTGTAAATGTCTTTCACTAAAAGAGCTGCTGAGCTCCTCCACACTCTGGTGTAAAGGGTGGAAAGTGTTGTCCATGATGGATGGAAGGTTGAACACCACCCTCCTCTCAGCAACTTCCTTCAAAGAGTCCAGAGTGCAGCCTACAGTAGGACAGAAACTGCTTTTCTCACCAGTTTGTGTTTTCTCTTTCTGTTCCTTTTCTGTTGAAAAGGAACAATTAGACTTGACTCTTAAAAATATGTGTAAAACCTTCCTTCTGAAATGAATGGGGAACTGAAAGGAGCAGTTTCACCTCGTTTGTAGTGTGCCACAGATTTCACCAGGCTTGTTCGGTAGGTTGTCTTTGTTTTAAAATGTCTGATCACAATCTGACAGTTTTGCTGCCTTTTGGTCAGAACTCCTTCAAATAAGAGATTATTCATCTTAGTGGGACTATCTTGGTTAAATAACAAAAAGAAAAACAACTGATCTGAATTGTAGCAGTTAATTTCTACCATTTTGAAGTGAAGCAAAAAAAGTAACAAAGGATCCTTCAAATTAAATAATCTTGCTAGATTTGATTTCTCCCCACTAAAGATTTTTTTTTTAACTGTCCTATCTGGTAATGGGACAATAAGAATCGTCTTGATGCCAGAGAGAGCCCAACAGATTTTACTCTCACAAGTGGAGTGTTATCGCTTTCGCCATAGTGCTCTGCTTGATTTATATATGTAATTAGTTTTGTTACGATTTATGTAGAGACTAATTTATGTGGACACTACATTGACAAAGTAGAAGAGGAGAAAAAAGGGAGAAAAGGCAAAAGAAAGAGGAGACAGAGAGATTTCTCCCCACTAGTGTTGAAAAGTTCCCATCACAGTTGAAGTTCTTAGTCATGTTGGTATTAAATTAATGTGACGGTAAAAAGGTATTGTATTAAATTCAAAGGAAGAAACCCTGTATATACTGTATATACTATATGTCATCCTGAAACTTCATTGGTTCACAGAATATCTACCAAAAAGTGTTTGGGATGTTTAAGATGGTTTTGTTTAATATAAAACAGGGGGTTTTAATATTTATTTATCAATATTAGTTTTTGCCTTGGGCTTCCTCCTTGGAGGACATTTTTGAACAGTTTTCGTCTGAATTGTTGCATCATTAACTCTTTAACTGAAGCAAGGGAAGTGATTGCATTTATGAAACAGCCAGCAAATGTTTCTTATGATGTCTAAAAAACTGCTTCCCCAATTTTCTCCTTTTATCTTTATCTGATATATAAATGATTAGTTTGCGCTTCTTACAAAGAACATTGCTGACATTAATGTAGAAAAATGTCGTCTCTACAGGATGCTGTGGAGAACAAACTGGACACCCGAGTATGGCCGCACCAATCCGAGTGTCCTGCTGCCTGGAATGGATCTGGAGCCGTCAGGTGGGTCATCACAAAAGAACCATCGATTGATACACAGATAGGATATGAAGTGTATGGTCTCGGAAATCACCACCGATGCATCAAAACTTCCTCAGTATACGACGCATATAATGGCTTCAGAATAATCCGGTGCTCAAAGTTTTTTTTTTGTTTTTTTACATTTTAGAGGCCAAAATAATCAAAAGAATTGGAAGTTAAGCAAGCTAATGAGTCCTTTTTTAAATGCAAAAAAATCAGCTGGTCTGTAAAAGGATGTTCTGATGAAGAGAAAACCCAATAAACCATAAGAAACTGCACCATATAGTCTAAAAAAAAAAGGTACCTTGGCCATGCTGTCCATGTTATCAGTGATTGATAACTTTATGGTACTTGTACTGATTATAAAAAAAGAGCAGTTTTTAGTTTGGAAGTGTTTTTTTTTTTTTTTTTTAAAGCTAATAACGAAGGACAATCTGTTCTCAGCTGTATTCTGTTTTTGTGTTGTTGTTTTTTTATTGAAATCGAATGTTCACCTGCTCTCTTTTAAATATCTTAACGTCCATCCTCTCCAGCGCCCGCCAGAGAAACAAACCCAGCTCCCAGGATGATCGCCGGACTGGTTCACGCCTCATCATCTTTGTTATTGGGGGCATCACCTACTCTGAGATGCGTGGCGCCTATGAGGTCACCCAGGCGGTAAAATCCTGCGAGGTCATCGTAGGTTAGTATTAAAGCAGTATCAAAATACTTAGGAAAAGTCTCCAAAATCAGCCTGTGTTTTTCATTGAGCGTACTTCAAACATGCACTAATGCTCTTAATAACCTGCTTAAATGCCCTCCTTACATAATGTTGTATGGCTTTTATTTCTGACTCTATGCGCCCCCTGCTGGTGCCTGTCAGAACTCTGAAAATATTTATTTTGTTTGTTTGTTTAATGAAGAGTATGATTTTTTTTTTTCTCCCTGTTTTTATCCAGGGTCTTCTCATATCTTGACTCCCATAAATCTTCTGGAAGACATTAAAGCTCTGAGCAAAGGTCCAATGGAAACCTTTACAATAGAAGAAAGGAGCAACGCCTGAGTTTCAACATCTCGTATCACTCAGCTCAGCCTACTGATTGGAAAACAGAAGGGAATTTACCTGTTTCTTAACTTTTTTTTTTTCTTTTTACTGAATGCACATTTATGTTTGCAGGTATGAGGACAAATTCTGCTTTATTATTTTCATTCTACTTGTCAGACTTTCTTATTTGTGTTCAAATATTACCTGTCTATAGTGTTTGTTGCTTCACAGTTAGATTGCATTTTAATATTAACTAACCTCATCCTACTGACCGCAACTATATCTTAAAGTATCACTAATGCATTGCCGTGCTAACCTTTCTTCTTAAAGAAAGACGCTCAAAAGCATTCAGAGAAAAAATAGCTGTGGGGAAATAAAAGCACAAAGCTGCTGTATATACTGTATGTATCGACCAAGTCCCTGCTTTATCATTTTGACTTCTCTGATCACTGCCGATTAGTAAACACTTAATATAATGTGTGTTTTTTTTTTAATAACTACCTACATATTTTCTTGGGATTGAACAACTGACTAATAAATGGATGAAGTAGTTCAACTCTTAAAAGCAATTTTTATGAGTTCTTTCTTTCGTTTCTGGATTTTTTTTAAAAGCATCATCTACTAAAGAAAATTTAAAATTTAAACTTAAAAATGTAAAAATAAATTTTTATTAGTATTTTCTATATAGGTTAGTTATATTTTTGTTTATAAAATGATGTGCTTTTTAAAATCGCTATCATCTGGTATTACTATACAGCAGTGGTATAACTTCCGGTAGTGCAGCAACGACAAAACAAGCAAAAGTTCATCATTTGAGACATATATGTATATGTACGGAGGGTACCACCACATATCCAGCACCCTGAGACTGTATGCTAGCTGCAAGGATGGAGGCCGAGGACTAGTGAGCATGAGAGCCACTATCCAGGATGAAATATCCAAGATCCATAAGTACATTAATTACAAGACTTCAACAGACAACATCTCAGTGAATGTCTTAGACTATGACGAACAGAAGATGAGGTGCTGGAGGTTCCATCATGGGAGGATAATCTAGCAGGGAAAGATTACATGGAGCGCCATAACCTAGTGGCTGGAATAGTGTCCAGGAACATCTCTACAGAGTATGGGCTGGAAACCCTAAGGTCAAAGAGGGAAACCTCTTCAAAGATGGTAGAGAATGACCGAGCCAAGATCCTGTAGGACTTCCAGATACGGACGGACCGAATGGTAATGGAAGACCAACCAGACATTGTGGTGGTGGGCAAAAAGCAGCGGAAAGCCATTGTGGTTGACAGCAATACCAAGTGACTGCCACGTTAGGAAAAGGGAACTGGGGAAAACCTGGAAGATCAAGGCATCAGTGGTGCCCGTGGTCAGATAAGTCAGCCAGGGTGTCATTTTTTATTTCTTCAAACTGTTAAACCCTTGAAATAAACACAATCTTTAAACCAAACTACGATGTTCCTCTTATATTTGGCGAATTTATGTTTGAATATTTTGCAAAAATATGTTGCGGTGCATGATGGGGTTTTGCATCTAAAGGCTAACGTTTCCTGTCTTACATGCAATATAGAATCCCTAAACGACCTGTAAAAGACTCATTGCAATCTATAAAAACACTTCACAGCAAAAAAAACTGTTCATTTTTTCCACAAAGAACCATGTAGGTCTGGATTGTTTTTTCCCTCTTTGTAGCAAACTCTTATTTTAAAACAATTTTTATGTCAGTGTCAAACATGTCCTCTTTTTTTTCAAACCATTCTTCTGTGGGTGAAAATGGGTGTACTAGGACAAATGTAGAGCATAAGGCAAAAAAATACAAGAATACTCTGATTCAAAGAATCTGCAACTGGGTCAGGTCATTAAACAAATTTACAATATATGCATTAAATCATATATTGTACAAAACCATATAACAGGGATGCAAAATAGATAAAGATTTAAAATATGGACTGAAATCTTTTAAATTGGTTGAGCTAGGGTTTTATTCCATGAGTTAATGGGAAATAAAATATGCTGGTGATAAATTTGAGAATTTGACTCTCATGATGATGCTCAAGCCAGAATCATATAAGTAAATTTACATAAATATGACTATGGCCACTTTTTTTTAGTGTTCAGTGATTATCTCACTCTCTAACTTGAGCATTAAGATTATCAGACATTGATTGGTAAAAAAAAATGTGGCTACTTTAGAGAAATTACTTACATATACTGTAATTTATGAAATCAAAATTACTTTCAAATTTCAAACAGATTACAGCCTCATTCAGACTCATAAAGACAATAGTGTGTTCCTAGAAAACGTTGAGAGGTTGGCCATGAGGCATCACCACAGAGACTGAAACCAAGAACAGCAGTCTGATGAGATAGGGCCAGCTGGCATATGAACAGCAGCAGTCAAAGGTTGGTCCTGCTTCAATGGGCCTATGTAATCTGATAACCCTACCATCTAAAAGCCACTCGCTTTTATTTTTCAACTCATTATTTACCCTGATTCCTAATTATTTGAGATTGAAAAAATTATCTATAATGGTAACAGTTTACTCAGATTACCTGAATCGAAATCTCCATTTGAAATCTAATTTTACAATATATGCATATTCATGTAAAGGAAATATAATGGAAATTGTGCACTTATTAGTACATAAACACCAAAGTAAATCAATGCATTATATCCATTCATTAAGAGTGATATTTTTAGGATCAGCGCTTGCAGCTTGTGAAAACTAATTATCAATTTAGTATATTATTTTACACTTGACTTTTTACATTCATTTTCATTAATGGAAGAGCAGAAGGTGATTAAAACAAGAGAGCTAGTTTAGTCTCTAAAACAGACATGGCTACAGCTTGATGCTAACAGGTTTGTTAGCTGTCAGAGTTCAGTCAGAATTGTGGAGTTTAAAGTCCGAATTGTGAGGAAAAAAAGTCATAATTCTGAGATTAAAGTCAGAATTGTGAGAAAAAGTTAATAATGCTGAGATTTAAGTCACATTTCTGAGAAAAAAAGTCAGAATTTCGAGATTAAAGTCAGATTTCTGAGGGAAAAAAGTCAGAATTCTGAGATTAAAGTCAGAATTGTGAGAAAAAAATTCATAATTCTGAGATTTAAGTCACATTTCTGAGAAAAAAAATCATAATTCTGAGATTAAAGTCACCTTTCTGAGAAAAAAGTCAGAATTCTAAAATTAAAGTCAGAATTGTAAGAAAAAAAACAATAATTCTGAGATTAAAGTCACATTTCTGAGAAAAAAAGGCAGAATTCTGAGATTAAAGTCAGATTTCTGAGAAAAAAAAGTCAGAATTGTGAGATTAAAGTCGAAATTCTGACTTTTTTCTCATATTGAAATAAAATGTAAAAATCAGTTAACTTTTTGAATTTTTTTTCAGTGGCCCAAATCCTCTTCCATACAGAGATAATTCTGGTAGCCTACGTAATTTATTATGTGCTGTGCGTCGCCTCTGCTGTGCCGCCGGTGCATTTTTTAACATTTCTGAATATAATGTTTGAAACAAACGGTTTCATAGAACAACAAAGAAGATAACTGCTACAGAAAATTTAATCTAGCCTTCGTCTGTTTTGTGTTGCGGATCTGCTGCGCCACATTAAGACATAACATCACTTTATCCATGGTTCCCTGGATCACAGTGCTGTCCAACACCGAGTTCACTTCTTTCTCAAAATGATGTAAAAGGTCAAAGTTTTTGAAAGCAACTGCATTCATCATCCCAGCTCTGGAAGAGACAACAGTCTCCTCATCTTCATCTTCATCCTCATCCTCGCTGCGCGCGGCACTGCTATCCGCACCAAACCGCTCTTGTACCTCCAAGTTGTACGCGTAATTTTAAAATTATTTTTGCAGATGTTTACATTTATAAATTGACCAAAAATTAACACTATAAGTGGATTTCTTGACTACTATAAAATTATTTGTACAGAAATAATTCTGTCCCAAGCCTTTTGATTCATATAAGCGTTTTACCACTATAGGCGGATTTCACTGTAATTATAACTGAACTGTCAAATATTGCCACGGGAACCCATTCCTGGAAACGCACCTGCATCAAATTATAATTTCTCTTTTGTATTATTTCTCAGCCAATGCGCATGCGTGAACGGGTCCAACGGGTAAAGTTGAACCCAATTATGAATAACCAGCTTAGGTAAAAACTGTAGATTTCTCTGATTGGATTCATTCAAATTTTTTCTTCTTTTTAAGAAGAATTTAAGAAGCAGATACAGAATGAAGTCAACCTGCACAGGTGAGGCAGCAGATTTCAGCAGCAGAGATGATGAGAAGCGACAAGGCTTTGGTGTTCAGGAGTGGCCAGATGGGTAAAAATATGAGGGCAAATTTGTAGAGGGACTCAAACATGGCAAAGGACGCTACACCTCAAGAAATGGAGAGGTAATGTATAACCAGTTGAGCAGAACCCTCTGCCAGTGTTTCATTCACTTTAACTGAATCTTTTTTTTTTTTTTTTTAGTACTATGAGGGCTTTTTCTACAAGGACTTTAAGCATGGGGACGCAGTGTACTGCTGGCCCACAGGTCACACGTTTACTGGTAAGTTCTACCTGAACAGGAAGGAAGGATATGGTCATTTCAGCTTTCCAGGTGGAGCCGTTTTCCAGGTGAGCGTCTAGCACTGTTGCCAGGGTTACATCAATAGTACTACAATCTGCAAAAGTGAACAAGCAATGAAAAAATTTTCTCCTTCCACATACTCAGGGTTTGTATCACAGGGACCAGAGGTTTGGTCCTGGAGTGTTCACTTATCCAGATAGGAGGCAGGATGTGGGCCTCTGGCATGGCCAGCGCCTGCTAAAGCTCTGCTCCTCTTTGGAAATTGGCTTTAGCTTGCAACATTTCCCAGAATATGCTGCCTTAATGAAACCTCATGTCAACGAAGCTTTGATTCAGGTAGGTAGTGAGATGTTGCTACAGTACATATCTGCAGTGTTTTTAATTATATCACATTTACTGTATTCCGTAAAAGTAAAAAAAACGGAATGACTATGACCTGGATGACTGGGAATCTTCATCAGCACACATTCACCAATTGGTTTGGATTCACTATTTAAAATGTTTTATGGTCCTTTACACAATAAACAAGTTAAAAGATTTGGTTTTAGTTAGAGAAAGTGATGGCAGAGTGGGTTAGAACAGTGCGCTTGTGCTCTGTACCTGGTTTGATCCCCACAGCCTCCACTCTGGGTTACTGAGCAAAATCATCAACCCCCACACTGCTCCCCGGGCGCCGCACAATGGTAGCCCACTGCTTCCTAAGGGGATGGGTTAACTGCAGAGAGTGAATTGCTTCGTACTTGTGACAATGTAATGACAATAAAGTTGAATTCTCTTCTAGTCCATTTACAGTTCATACAATTCCTTATACTCCAGGTCAAAATATGATCAAACTACTTTCCTGCACCTCTGAGTTTAAATTTTAAATCATTAACATTAATGTAAATAATATGCTACTTATTAAAAATCACCCCATCTATTTTAGTATAAGAGGCTAATTTTATTTGATTGACTGTAGTTGTTATTGAAAGTATATCAAATTTACTAATGATTTCCTGTCTCATGCTAAATATAAGTTGTAAATTGTTAACTTTTAATGGAATCCACCTTCATTCATAACCAATTCTTAGGTTTCTGAACATTTTTACAAATTAAAGACTTAATTTTTGTAAATAGTTTTTTAAGTAGATATTACAGGTTTTAATATAAGTTAACATAGTTTATAAATCTTTCTATGGGGGTAATAAATGTGTCCAGTTACTGTATGCCTAAATGCCTATTTACCTCTGCTCTGTCTTTACTAGGCTGACAGTCATGCAAATGGTTTATTGTCAGAACCACTGGAAGGCTTTCAGGTAAATTACTGCAGTCAACTCTGTTAGCTTTTGAACAAACGGCTTCCAAATCACTTTACTTCCCCTTCATCTCAGGTGGGCATAGATAAAGATCTGCTGTTAGACGAGAGCTTCATCCTTCCGCCTGGCATTGAGCGATATTCTATTGATGGTGACCATTTGCCACTTCCTCCTGGCCGCAGAAAAGAGTTAGATCGACTCTTTCACGGAGAGCTGTGGGAGCAAGATGCTCCTTCATACCAAGGATATGAAAGGGAGCCTCTCTCTGCTCTCCCCTTACACGCCCACATGCAGGCTCACATACACAGACACAGGTTAGACATGTTTGGAGTTGAGTGTAGAGTCAGCTTTGTACTGAGAGGGGGGAAAAAAACAGGTTTATCTGAGATATATGTATTTTTCAGATTGCAGGCTGAAAATATTGGCTGGGACGTTGCAGCTGTCCTCTCTATGAACAGGGATAACTTTGGACCCAAAGGACCTCTGGAAGTCAGTTCAGAACAGTTGATTCAGCACAGCTTCAGAGGGGACCTGAGGGCTGTGTCACAGATCTTTCTGACGGACTCGGTCTGTCCGGATGTAGCTGATTCCCAAGGACAAACCGCACTGATTGCTGCAACTGTAACATTTCTCAACTTGAACTTTCCTCCCCTCCATATGTTGCCATACTCAGTTTATAGTCCTCAATAACCACTTTGTGTGTTTTTTTGGGTTTTTTTGTATCTTTGTCAGATAAACTGCCATAATGAAGTGATCCATCGTTTGTTGGATATAGGTGCTAATATTGACCAGCTGAACAGTGAAGGAATGTCAGCTCTGGCTGTGTGCCATGTCCTCTACTATCCCTTTCAGTCTCTGCACACAACTTTGATTCATCCACCTACCAGAGCTCAGGTAAGAAAAAGCCGTGTTTATCTCATAGATAATAAAATATATTGCAAATGTATTCAACCTCATTTTATCCAATACCCTTTAATGAAATCCAGAACAAGCAATAAGAGGGGCTGAATAAAAAAACTATTTAGTCCTTGTATTTATTGATCTTTTTTTTAACTTCCTTTACAATTAGGCCCTTTTTTTTTTTTGTTCACTTATTGCATGAGATCCTCCAGAAATGCACTTAGGAGGAAAAACTGTTTGAGGTGTAAATATATTTACAGGGTACTGTGTATTTGAAAATCTGAAGTAAATTAAGAGAAATAGGAGAAGTAATTATTTAGTTACTCAAGGTTTTTCATGTTTTTTCCAGAGACTGGAAAAAGCCCATCTGTTGTGTTTTTTAATCATATCTTTAATGTGTTGTTAGGTGTTGACGTTTCCACCTTGTGAGAATAGAGCTCAAAACAACCAGGCCGACGTCACATTGGAGACACAGGTCCTTAACAAAGAGCCTCAGGCTAAACACACGAATATGATGGATGAAAACATAGTCAGCCAGCCCTCTAAGCTGTAAGGATTCATGTACACAATCACATTTTTTAGAAAAAAACATAAAATGTTAGATTTTTTACTGTTTAAAAGCTTTTTAAAACTGTAGCTCCGTAATTATTGTCTTTCTAGGGCATCTGAAGAACTACCTGTGCACTTCTCACATGGCCGCATTGAAGAGGTCACTTCAGACCCTGATCACCTCTGTGAGAAGGAGAGACCAGAGAAAGGAGAAGATGAAAGCTACGAGGACAGACAAAAAGTCCACTCAGTCCATAACTATGACATCGCCGTAACAGAAGGAATGCTGCAGCACTCAGCTAAGGCACTGAGTCGACCTCAACAGTGTGGCTTGAAGGAGACAGCTTGCAAAATGGCTGCCATGCAAATCGAGTAAGATCCATTTCTCCTTCACTTGCTGTTTCTTTTATCTTTTCTTTCTAACAATGATAATTATGTGCTGTGTGTTGGGCCAGGCGCCATGCGCGATTAGACACCCTGAAGCTTCTGCTGGACCGTGGAGCTGGCCCTAATCTTTGCAGGGTCCCCATGCCAGTTCTCTTTTTAGCCACCATGGCGGGGGATGCTGAAGTAATCAGAAAACTGCTCCTCTGTGGAGCTCGCACTGATATTCCTTTACAAACAGAGGTAGGAATCCTCCCTGTGAATCCTCAGTTTAGAGAAATTCTGAAATTGAATCGGTATGCCAAAAATAACGCAAAAGCACAAAAAAGAAAAACTAAAGGCATCGTCCATGTTTAATGATATCCTTACTTTTCCCTAACCTATTGTTGCTTCTTTCTGTATGTCTGCCTCAGCAGATGTCTGCTTACACTGAGCCTGGTTCTGCTGGAGGTTTCTTTCTGTTAAAAGAGAGTTTTCCTCTCCACTGTCTCCACAAGCATGCTTGTTGTGGGGTATTGCTGTAGAGTCAATGCAATCAACTGGTTTTGAAATTTGAACCAATCTGACTTTATGATCTGGTTGAATGATCTCTGTAAAGTGTCTTGAATGAATCAATCAATCTTTATTGTCAACTACGATTTACATTGCAATCGAAATTTCAGTTTCAGTAGAAACCGTTCATCACAATACATAACATAGATGTGTTGTGAATTAGAGCTATGTAAATAAACTGAGTTAAATTGAGCTGTGAAGTTTGGATAATTCCCAGGTTTCTTACCATTTTTACATTCACAGTTAGAAAGATGGAGTTTCCAAAGTTTCTAAAATAGATCTAGGAAATTAAATAACCAAAGTGAAAAAAGGCCACTTAGTTTTATTCTGCTCAACAGATATTTGATCATTTTAACATCTCAATCTTTGTTTTTTCAGAAATGTCAGAAAAACAAAAATACCACCATCACCAACATAAAGCTCTAGAACAGTTCAGTCCTCAACTACCAATTCAATTCATTTTAATTTTATAGCACGTATTCACAACATATGTAATCTCAAGGCACTTTGCTGAGACAATTTAACCAACAAGCCCCACTGCTCTGCCTGTTTTAGATGATTATATGAGCTCCTCAGCTGCCATCAAGAGCTGCAGAAGCCTGTTGATCATCCCTTCATACAAGTGATGTGTGTGACACAAAGGTGTTACCTAAAACTTGCAGGACAGTGGTGCTTGAAGACCAGGATTGAGAACCACTGCTCTATAGTTTGCTAAAAGATACACAGGGATTTCATCTTGAACTGTGTTCATTTAACATTTTGGATTGATGCCTCCTCCTTACTGTTAGGTACAGTGCAGGATCTGTGATGCTTAGCAGATGTTTCTCTATTAAAGGCTTCTGGCTTGTTTGAGCAAATGGCATCAGAAACTAAAATACCATGAAATAGCAGATACAAAAAACAAACAAACAAGCATAAACTCAGTGGCCTTTACTAGAAAGTCACTAAATATACAGCCTAATCAGAAAATAAATTCAATTTTTTCCTTAGTTACTACAGCCATTAAGCTGCTAATATAAAAGCCATTTTATTTATCCGTAGGAGAAAGGTTTTTATCCCCTCCATGCTGCTGCTGCATTGCCCGGTTCTAAAGGTCCAGAGGTCACTGAGCTCCTTCTGCATGCTATCACCGACCCAGACGCTCAAGCATGTGACCAACATGAGATCTATGCACCAAATGTGGTAAATTTTTATTCACACACTAAAGCATATCATTATATATATATATATATATATATATATATATATATATATATATATATATTTCTATAAAAACAGAGGTTGATATCCAACTGTTTGTTTTGATTTGTGACAGATCTCCATGAAGGATAACGAAGACCAGGACTCTGGATTGAACCTGCATCTGACAGAGGGGGGTCGAACGGCTCTGCACATAGCCTGCCAGAGAGAGAGTGACTACTTGGTCAGTAGGCATAGTTCACACATTCGTAGCTGTACACATCCTTATCCATAGGAAATGTAAAAGTCATATAATCTCTCTATAGTGAATTCAGCTTCTGACACCACTGGCTCCTGAAGTTACTGACTTGTTTGATGAAAACCAAAGTTGATTTGGGTTTAATGTGATATTGATTGTTTTTGGAACAGACTCATTTGAGTTTGTGGTTTATGTTTTGTTTATTGGCTGTGAAACAAGGTATTTAACTCCTTACATATTCTTCCTGTTATTGCTTATTTGGTGCATTGAGATGTTTCAGATTATAAAACATTTTTTTATTCAAAGCCCTAAAAACGGTTATATTAAGCCATTTTATGTCTTTGAAAACAAGAGTAAGAACCATTATTAACAATTGGGAAAACTGAAGAGTCTTACCTCGAGTTTTTCCTTCCTGCCATAAGTAATCCAGGAGTGCAGGAAGTCGTAAAAAAAACCCTGATATGGTGAAGTAATGTTGGATTTGGATTTGTTTTTTTTTGTTGTTGTTGTTTTGTTTTTTTGTTTTTAAAGATTGAATCATTATTGAAAAATGTTAAGAATAATCTATATTATTAAAATTAACCCCAGTTTACTATTCAAATGTTTTTGAAGATCACACCACTTCACATGATATTTACTTCAATTGTTTTCTAAACGTCTGTTGTTTTCATTATGTTGCCTACCGCTCCCTTCATTTAAGCACATCAACAAGGATTTGCTTAGTGAATATACATGACATCCTTCCTTTCTGTGCATCTGCAGAATGCCTGTAAGGTGGTGGCCCTTCTGCTCTCTCACAGAGCCAGAACAGATCTCCTCTGGAGTGGACACTCACCTCTCTCTTTGGCTATTTCCAGTGGCAATGACTTGGTACAGACTCCCTTTATTAAGTGCATTACTTGTTAAAAAAATATTTGTAGCATACATCATGCACACTAAAACTTCCCTCTTTTCTGTTCTCAGGCAGTGGATGAGCTCTTAAAGGGAGGCGCAGATCCTAATTTACCTTTGGGCAACAGAGTGGGCAGTGCCCTCTGCACCCTCGCCAACTTCAGCTACCCTTTATGTGGCAACAGAATTAAGCTGGTAAATGCAATAAGACAGATATATCATACTGTAAATGCAAATCAGCATTTATTTATGATTTTATGCCACAGGCTTTTAATCCACTATAGAGTGACCTGTAATAAAACTGCAATTTTTTCCAACTTTAACATTTTTTGGCTAGACATTTCAGAACCTACCAGCCTACCAGTCAAAACTACCCTCCCTTACATGCATCCATTAACCAACATAATTACATAAATGAAGAAAAAACTGTAAAAGTTCACCAAAATTCATAGTCAACAGCTTCTTTTTTTTTTTAAACAGTGTCCTGTCTGGCAATGGGGCAATAAGAATAATTGTCTTGATGCCAAAAAAAAGCCCAACAGATTTTACTTTCACAAGTGGAGCAGTAGGGCAATTGCCATAGTGTTCCGTTTGTTTCATGCATATAAATTGCTTTATTATATTTATGCAGGGAGTTTTACAGATTATATGGCCACTGCAATGTAAGTAGAACAGAAGAGGAAAAAACAGAAAAAAAGGAGAAAAGTTGAAAGAAAGACGAGATAAAAGGGAGATAATGATAAAACATTTTCAGTCTGCTTCATCACCTGCAAAGAGATGAAAAAAGAACAGCAAAACCAACAGATATGGTACGAGTCATACAATAAAGTAACACCTAGATACTATGAAGTAGTATTATTTAATCTGACATGTACTCTGTGTTACCTGAAGATAATAGTCAACAGCTTAATTGCAGGCAACAATGTTAGCCATATTTGTTTGAGATCCAGAAAATTAAACATTCAGTCATGTACAGCAGTTGCTAGCTGTGGCTAACAATCAAGTGTAACCTTTAGAGGCATTGCAGTTTGGTTTGTCAGAAGCACCAGCAGGGTGGCTTTTTTCCTCCTTTTTAAACTACGTCAGACATAGTGTCATATTCTTTGCTTTATTTGGTGGCGAAAATGGCAGCAAGAAAAGTTAGAGCAAAAAAGGACCCAAACTCATCTTGTCATCACGCATCATGATCAGGGAGGTAAACAACATTTCTAAAGCTGTCTGTTAGAGAACGGCAACTAAAAGAAATGGTCAAAATATCAGGGCTGACCAAGTCTAAACAACCATGATATTTGCAAGCTTTAACAAGGTTGATCTAGCATTAAACAAACCAGAAATGTATGGAAGAGCTTCTCATTCTCCTTATAAGTATCTGAGATTCTATCAAAAATGAGAATTCATCATCATTGGTTTTTTTTTTCTTGGCAAAATAAAAATCAATTACCAGATTCAAAATTTCATTTTCATGACTAAATCCTATAGAAAATATGTGATGCAACCTGAAGAAAACACCAAAGACTGTGGGCAGAGCCATAACCTGCATCTCTAAATGATAGTTTAGGAGTGCCAATAAATGGGGAACCATAGGTTTTACATTTTCCCTGTGCTTGCACTCAGGTTTCCTCCCACAGTCCCTAAAATGAATGTAATTACTCTAAAATCCTGTCTGTTAATGTAGGCATATGTTGTGTTGTTTTTGGTGTCTTCTTGTTGCTCTGTGATGTTTTCCAACCTGTCCAAAGGTTACTTGACTTTTTGCCTAATGGCCATTTGAGATTGGCTAATAAGTGTAGCTGCTGTAAAACAGTTTCTTGATATATTTTAAACTATGCTGTTTTTAAATATAAAGCAGAAGCATTAGTATTCGAATTTCTTTTTTAATGACTGACATCTAATTGTTTGTTTATAGTTAAAGAAGTTGGCCAAAGCTGGTGCTAATGTCTCAATGCCAATTAGAGTGGGCAAATGGGTGGGAACGGCTGTTGACTTTGCACACTACTCCGTCCAACAGGTAAATTAGTTTAGTTGGTCATATTATATACTGCATAGTAATATTTTACAACTATTATCTATTTGGTAATGGAGAGCAAAGTAAATAAGACTGTGGTTTGCATAAGCCTCTGTCTGATTTTTTTTTTATGTTATACTGTAGGATCAATGTAGGATTCGTGGTATTTCAATCTTAAACAGAGGGGAGAGGAAATTATTGGATGCACGGCGCCACCTGCTTGATCAAATGACCAGTCTATTTAGAATGACTATTCGGACGGGTAAGAAACATCTTTTACTCAATAGTAACTCAACATTTGAATTCTTTTTTTGCATTACTGTTATGATTTATACTTAACCTCAAATGTTTAGTTCTCTCAAAAAATTTTTAAAACATTGATGCCTTTTTATCATCCCTTTTATCTCCTCTTCTTCTTCATCATCTTTTCTCCTTTTTTCCTGTTTTTCCTTTCCAGTTCTACTTTCCCATTGCAGTGTCCATAAAGATCTGTAATCTTTTTATATGCATAAATCAAGCGGAACACTATGGCGAAAGCCGTTCTGCTCTACTTGTGAAAGCAAAATCTGTTGGGTTGTTTTTGGCATCAAGACAGTTATTCTTATTGCCACATTGCCAGACAGGACACTGAAAAAAAGAGAAGAAAAAAAAACATTAATCTAGTTTTATGCTTCTGCATTGTTCTGCATTTTCTGCAAAAATATTCCCACAACTTTGATGTCAAAATAATGCATTTCTAGAGCTGTCAAAAAATATTATTTCAGATGTCCTATTTTTTTTGTCTATATTCTCATTGGTAAACTTCAGTCTGTCTTTCTCTTGATGTACTGAAATGCTCTTTTAATGTCAATCAATAAACAAGCTTGTTTTAAATCCTATGATGACATTTAAGGAGCTTGTCAGAGTTTTCAGAATAAACTTGCATGTTTTGTAGCTCCTTTACAGTCTATATTTCCTCTACCTCTAAACACACTTTAATTTTACTTGAACTTTCATTACATTCATATGTGATATAAAATATCCAAACTGTCAAAGTTGTTTTTTTTATATACAATTTTTACTTGTTTTCTATGGTATATTTGAATGGTTAATTAAACTCTTATAAACCCCACAGTTTATAAGAGTGATGTGTCCTTAGACAGTCCAGCACACGGTTCTGAAGGAAAATCAGAGGCAGCAAAATCTCACAAGTAGGCATTCTACCATCTTATGCTTCTGGCTTTGTTCATATATATATAACCTTTCTACCTCCATTTCACAAACCTGTGTTTGTATATCTGACCTCAGGCAGCCAGTGCTTAAGTTCTGCTGTCACTGCGGTCTCTCTGCTTCTGTCAAGCTGACTGCTTGTTGCCGTTGCCTTAAGGTTTTCTTCTGCTCCATGGCATGGCAAGAGAAAACATGGGTTGAAAGGCACATGAAGAAGTGCTTTAAGATGTCAGGTGGGAATCAGCAGATCTTCTCCCAACAACCAAAGCCCAGAAAAACCTAAACAGGAACAGAAAATTAGAAGCAGAAATTTGGTGCAAACCTAAATGTATATGAAACCTGGTTTGGAGTCTTAGGTTCAGTTTGTAAAATTTTCACTTGACTTTTTCTATAAATGCTGCTCATATCACCACAGAGTGCGTTGTGTTTAAAAACACAAAGAGGCTCCAGACCCACCACGTTTAAATAATATTTAAAATAACTTATGAAAAAACTGATGTTGCTTTTTTTACCCACAATTTATTTTTCCATTTTATTATTTCTAATAAACACTTTGAGTTTGGAAAAAACAAGTTGTAAGAACTCTTTTTTATTTTTTTAAGGCTTCAGCTTGTGAAGCTCAGTCGCTGTATCCTTTACAATAGATGATAAGTTTTGTTTTATTTTTCTTCTCATTTTAACTACAGAGAGTGAACTTGAAGCTGTGCTAGACTGAAATCATTAGCAAAAGTTCAAAACTGCATCCCAGTTGATTTGACTTAGTGAGACATTTTCAAAATACTTTTAACTGTAAAAGTAGTCAAAAGCAACTTGACACTGCCATGGCTTTCTATATTTAGAAAGCCCTCTTCTGGACCAACTCACAATCTGATAATAAGTACACTGAAAAAAACAATTCATAAGATTAACTTCAAAAATATATTGTAAGTATTTGTATGCAAATAATTTAAGTAAAATTTTATTCTCCAGTATCAAGTAACTCATTCTTGGCAGTAAATTTAACTTTTCATAAGACATAACAGTTGTGGAGATATTAAGTAATATTTGCTCAATTACATCCAAGTTGTAAGTTAGATTTATTTAAACGAAGTAAAGTGTACTTGTTTTTCATAGGCACAAACAACCATTCATGCACACAGTCACACCTTAGGAGAATTTAAGCCAATTAACCTAACAGTCGTGTTTTTGGACTGTGGGAGGAAGCCTTCTTGCTGCATTCGGCAGGGCTACCCACTGCTCCACTGAGCAGCCCTTTAACTGATATCTTACTTTTCAAATATGCAATAAAAAATTTACAACCCTCTGAAACTCTCAGTAAAACATTCCTTACTGTTTCTGTAACATTCATTACAGAAATATACTTATATGTAAGATAAAGAATATTTAACTTACACAAACATGCTCAAAACAACTCATGGGCGAGGGTCAGAACACAAACAGCCACTTACACATTTAGCAGTGCTGTAAATATTATGTATTTCTCTAATTAAATGAAAAAAGCATGCACAAATATAGCATTAATAGTAAAAGTGCACTATGTTGTACTGCATTAGAATTTGTACCAAAAAAAAGGGTTTGTATGACTTGTAAACAACAAATACAGAGTAGATCATATTCAACACAACACAGGTCTGGTAATATAGTCCCTTCTCAAATATGTGATAAAAATGTTACAAGCCTACAGAATGAAACTGTGCAGTTTCAACATTTAACCAGAATCAGAAATACTTTAATAATCCCAGAGGGAAATTACTTAAACCAGTCATTCAGACTAGTGAACTTTTAAGAATGCAATTAAAACACTAATGAAGGAAAATCAACACAAATAAAAATTAACAGCTTAAACTGTCTAAAGCAGAGGTCTTCAACAGGGGGGCCGCGACCCCTAGGGGGTCCACAGAGGTACTGCATGGGGGTTGCGAAAGATTTAGTTGATTAAGATTTTCTTTCATATTCCCCCCTGCAATTGTTTCCACTAATTGCAATGTCTTTAAAACACACTGTAGTAGATAAATGTAGGCAGAAGATGTCTTTCATTCAACGATGCACACATTCAGCGATACCCAGAAGCTCTTTCAAGCTGGGCACCATTTCATTCACAACACCTGTCCCACCAACCAGGAATCAGAATCAGGAATACTCTAATAATCCAAATATAACATAATTTCATACGATATATATAATTAGGGGGTCCCCATTCCATCTCGCCATCAGTTCGGGGGTCCTTGGCCTAGAAAACGTTGAAGACCTCTGGTCTAAAGAATAAAATCTCTACTAGATATCTGAATAAAGGTATCTGTTATATTTTGCAAAATAACATGTACCTTATTTGGCAAAAAATAAAAAAACATTAATGACAGGCAACCTTCCTCTAAGATTAACTGGAACTCACTGCTAATTCTTGGCATTTGATGCCACATTTTCCAACCCTAAAAGTTATGAATGCATTTAGGAAAGCAACTTCATCTTCGGGGTGTTCATTTTTGGGGTCAGTTTAAATCCATCCAACTCTAGGAAAAGTTTTTGGAAGACTTCAAAAGTGGGAGGGTATGATGTTCAGGGCATATATCAGTCCCATTAGCAGCAAGCAGGCTTTTGCAGCACTACTGCACCCTGCCAAAAGGACGGTCGTTGGGACTACCTCCTGCTCTGTGTGTGTTCCTGTAACGTCTGGACTCGGATCAGAATCAGTCTGCTATGAGCTGCAGTGCGCAGGCGTTTCAAAACGTTACCCTTTTACAGTAAAGTTTATGTAGTATGTTTAGGTTTTTGGACAGTACATACTGCTATTAAACATTTAAATGGTATAAGGAACTCTAAGTAAAACTTACTCTTTCTCCAAAAATAATGTATAACATTAAAAAAAGGTTTAATTTTACTTCAGAAACTCTGAAGTTTTTACTGAAGCATAACAATACAGAGTAGAAATTATGATGAATACTCTAATAGAGTTTACTGTACCAAAAAGTCTCTTTTTTCAGTGTACAGGTACAGATCAGAAAGGTCAGCTGCATATGCGCCAAAGCTTTGTCGTTATGGGTTCACCAATATCTAACAAATAACTGGAGCAGTTTAAATCCCCCAATAGACGGGTATAACACCAACAGGGTATAGGTAGATCAGTATGCCTATAGCAAAAGAATACACAGAAATCTAAGATTAAACCATATTTTCTATCTACTAATTTTTTTCTAGTTCTAAAAAATTTTTGGGTTTAATATAGTTCTGCTTTCACTGAAATTATTCATTTATCTTAAATGATCATTTTAGCTCTTTGTAAATCCAAATATTTCAGGTGTCTTCATGCTTTGGTTAAAATCTTATGTAATCTGCCAATGAATTGCATGGTCATCAACCTCCAAGGCGTGTTTTACAAGAGAGGGTGGAAGCTGCAGCCCTGCATTTATATTTGCATCGTAATCATTGTGCAAACAGAGATGGGTGTGGAGCAGGTCAGAGTAGCAAGCTTTAATATAGAAAATAGCAGGGTAAAACAATTGACTTTATTGATTGACTTCTGTGTCAGTTGTTTTTGTTTTATCCTGTTGCCTTTTTTTTCTTTTTATAAAGTGAAACTATGAGGCGATATGATGTTTCTTTCTTCCCACCGCTGCTTCTGATCTTTAAGCTTCCCGCAGTAGGAAGGCTCTTTCCTTCCACCACTACTTTAACCTTTACATTTCCTGATGATTACCCACCCTTCTCTCCTCCCTCCCTCCTTCACTCTCATCTGCAGCTGGCTGACTCAACCACAGGTAACAAGATGGGGACATTTGTCCAATTAAGTAATTTCCTTTTTCCTATTTGGCTTCACTTAGTGATCGTCTCACTGAAAGCACTATGGTGCTTTCTCCTGAATACAATTTCTGGGAGATGAGGCCCTGAAACACCTTGACATCCACACTCTGTTGGAGATTCCTCCTGTTCAATGAAAGACTCATCAGGCTAACAAAAAATAAGTAATTTAGGGCCTTCAGTTGCAGATGATAATAAATCCACTCATCTTTTAACATCAGATGTGCCTTTAACATCTCAAGATGCAGCGCATGGTTCAGACTTGACAGATTTATCTTGAAGGCAAACTGTATCTCAATCTGTTTTCACTGACTTTAAAAAAAAAAAAGCCAATAAGTCATCTTAAGTAAAGCAAATACCTCTGCTGTGGTATCACTTCCCACAGGCTCCTCAAACCCATTAAATCCAATTGAGAAAGAATCATGCATACAAATCCTGCACACATATACCCCTTCAAGCAAAACAACAGAGATACTTAATACTAAACTACATCTCAGTTGCTTCTGTCTCAGATTTTGATCCATGATGCAAAGCAGAAACAGAAGGTGTTTGCTTCCACACCAACTACATCAGTGTATATACAGTATGAACATAGAAAGGAGCCAGCTGAGATCCAAACCTGTGACTTCAGAGGAAAAGCACTGACGTCTAATCCACCTTAATACACTACAGACATGTGAATAAACCATGTTAAATAAAAAGATAAAGGTGTTGTCTAGTTCATATTTTTGAGACACATTATTCCTTTGTCTTTATTAGTACCTATGTGTGATTTTTTTATTCAGCATACAGTAGATACTTTTCTACTTGTCCTCTAAAACTCTAGTTTCTCACAGAAGATGACTTCAGTTCTTCATATATCAAATCACTTGACTGTTGGTGCAAAGGTTCACATAAACATAAGCAGAATCAGATATAATACCCTTACTTTTGGTTTATACTGTTAACAGAGGTGTCAAAAGTACTCACGTCCTTCACTTATGTAATAAAAATACAGACAACTGTTTAAAAAGGTTTTGGTAAAAGTCAAAGTACCTATTGAGATGCTTTACTTAAGTAAAAGTAAATAAGTACAGTTTTTTTTCATTGCACTTAAATAAAGAAGTAAAAGTTTTTACTTGAAATATACTAATGTGACTATTTATTTAAAATAAGATATGCACAATAAATAGATGAATTTTAATCTTCTACTCACTGCATTGATGTAGATAACATAATAATGGTGAATTTTTTCTTTAAGTTTAAAAAGCATCAGATAGTATAGCTTAAACTGAAAATCCTACATCAGCATTTAATTTTGTTTTAAAGCTATGGTTATCATAGCATTAAAGTTGCAAACTACATTGAATTACAACACTATAAACATCCATCCATCCATTATCTGACATACTCGTCCCAATTGGGGTCACAAGGGGTGATGGTGCCTATCTCCAGCAGTCAATCGGCGAGAGGCAGGGTACACCCTGGACAGGTTGCCAGTCCATCACAGGGCAACCAACCATTCATGGACACACTCACACCTAAGGACAATTTAGAGAAGCCAATTAACCTAACAGTCATGTTTTTTGGACTGTGGGAGGAAGCCAGAGTACCTAGAGAGAACCCACACATGTTCAGGGAGAACATGCAAACTCCATGCAGAAAGACCCTGGGCCGGGAATGGAACCCAGAACCTTCTTGCTACAAGTCAGCAGTGCTACCCACTGTGCCACTGAGCAGCCCACAAAATGAACATTTAAATTTAAAATATACTAAAGGGGAAATGTTTTGTGTGTCAGAATTTAGTATACTATCTGTAATGTTTCTTTAGCATCCTGTCTTTATCCATGTTACAGCTCTAAGGCCATGTCATTATCAGTGTAGAAGTAAGGAGTCAGTTTGGAGGAAAAAAAAAAGTCCAATTGTTTATGCTCTTGTAGAAAGTAAAAATAGAAAGTCCTAAAGTAGATATAAAAAATCTACTTAATTACAGTAAAAAAAAGTATATATACTTAGTTACTTGATAATGAGAGGATCTCATTTGGCTGCTTAAAAAACTTTCTGCATTTGCTTTTCCTTTAACTCAGAGTTCAAAGTGAACATGCGGAACCTTTATTGCTTTTGTTAGAGAGTAAAAACTCCACCTTTAACCGCACTGATTATTACAGTGGATTCTTAAGCCTTGCATCAGACTGCAGTATATTTATGATGAGTCAGAGGGACGGGTTCACATGAGTCAGGAAGCTGGATGCTCACAATAATCAAGCTGACATGTAAACAGCGGTTTTCTGTAATGCTGGGGATCATTTTTCTATTTTTAGGTATTAAATCCGCTGCATACTTTGATGTATTAAATTAAGCAGGACATTTAACCTTTTTTTTATATCAAGGAGTTGCTGAGAAGCAGCTGTCATAGCTCTGCTGTCACTTGGAGCTAGATGAATATGGACTTGGAAGAGCAGGAAAACGAACTGCTTGCTCTGCAGAGCATATTTAGTTCAGGAGAGTTCCTTCGAAAGGAGTCAGAGTCTGCCGGAGAATTCCGAGTTTCTGTGGAGCTTCCTGCGGGATTCAGTGTGCTCCTGAACAATGGTAAATAACCTGATCATGCTTATAATGTGTTACTCATTCATCATTCATTCATTTATCTCACCATTCATTTAAATATACTGCAATGGGTTAGTTTTAGTTAAATGAAATAGTGTGTATTTTTTATTAATTCCTGATAGAGATTGCAATATAGTGTTTTCCTAATAAATCCATAGGTATTATTTTAGTGAAAGTGGGGACTTTAGAACTGACGCTTCAGTGACATTTTATCCATTGAAAAATTCAGTATACAGTCTAAATTTGATCATATAAATGGGGATATAAAAATAGATGATTAAGTTTAGAAGGTAGACTGAAATGCATCAATGTTTTTTCAGAAGGTCAGAAGTCATGGTAAAACAAATTTTGACATACCTTCATAATCAACCTGAACATCAACTAGAAGATCTGCCTCCCATTCTACTTTTAGAAATTTGAGGAACCACCAGTAAATCCATTTATACTTAAAAGTCTAGTGGAGGGTTTTCACGAATTTTTGAAAAGACCCCTCCTCTCCACTTAAAAAGAAAAATGCGCATGAACAACCCAGTTTACTTTCCAAAAAAATCCACTATGTCAGACTCCCCACCAGTAAGTGAAAAAGGGGACGAGCACGTAGGACGGCCTTACATAAACACATGACCAGAATGATTGACAATTAGGAGGACCACTTTTTTAGATGATCCACCTGGAAAAAGAAAATCCTCCACTATGCCTTTACATTAAACCAAGCCTCTTTAAATTATTATGTATATTATAGTTTTGTATGTTAAGCTACAAAAAAAACTGTTTTTCAATTTCTCATCCATTAATGGCCTCAGTAATACATTTTGATATTTACTTTGTCTTGTTTTTCCTCCTATAAGGTGAAACAACGAGGCAATATGAAGTCTCTTTCCTTCCACCACTACTGTTAACCATTACACTTCCTGATGATTACCCATCCTCCTCCCCTCCTTCCTTCACTCTCACCTGCAGCTGGCTGACTCAGTCACAGGTAACAAATAAAGAATACAAGTCCACGCACACACAGGAAATGTGTGACTGGTTAAAAAAAAACACACCTAAAACAATGTCATTAAGACAGAAAACTCCAAAGTTATACTAGGCACGTTTATTTGTCTCTTACATTTCAATAAAATGAAATTTCCAAGTGTTTTACATGATAAGCGATAGAGAAAGGTAGGGATACAGACTACAATAAATTATCTGTAGCACTGTAAGAAAGATTCTAAGCAGGTTTGATATAAAATGGCAGGGTGCTATTCTCGTAGGCTTCTGGTTTGTTCCAGATTAGTGGAAGATAATAACTAAATGCTGCTTCGTTATCTTTTGGTTTGATTCGAAGGAGTGTCGACTTAAGCCAAAAGACCTGAGTAATGGAGACAGTTTTAGCAAGTCTGTAATGTATATAATGTATTGTCTAACATAAGCATTTAATTGTCTGAAACACACAGAGCCAGTATGCAGAGTTATTAAGCACTAAGGCGAAATGTTTTACTTTCTTAGTTTTAGTGAGGATGCAGGCAGCAGACATATTTACTGTTTACTGTATGTTCACCTGATCTTGATATAGTTCAAATTACTGGGGACAAAGTACTCAGAAAATTTTCTAGCTGGATTAGTAATACTTAACAAGAATGCTTATTTTATTTTACTCAGATTCAAATACAACTCCTCGACTGGAGGAAGTAGGAGGTGATAGGTAACGCAAAACATTACCTATTGTCACTCATGTGCAATATTCTTCTCTCTCACTGAGCAATAGCACATGCCAACTACTGTGCTGTCTGTGTATTTTTTTTTTTACTTATTTATAAGGTCAGTACATCTCTTCAGTACAAATGCAATAATCTAAGTGAACTACTGTGTGGTCTTTCCTCAGCTCTCTACAGTGCAGATATTCTTATATCTAAAGGAAAATTATTCTAGGACATTACAACTTTTGATGCTCTTTTGTACTACATATTCTCTTTTTATATTGTGTGTTGTATTTTTTTATCTTTAAAGGCATTTTGCTTTAACTGTTTTTACTCTATATCAGCTACTAGAACCTGAATTTCCATGAAGGACTAATCCTCCCAAGGATAAATAAAGTTGAGTCTATTTCTAATAAAAGTAAGAGGTACAGCACAGCAAAAATTGTTTTTGTTTTTTTTTCAAAATGTTACTCCAGTAAACGTAACTGAGCAAATCCATCCATGTGATGATTTGTTGTATTAATCTAATCAACTCTTGAATGGCTTCTAATCACCTGGTGACATCCCAGTGAAGACCTGTGTTTCATTTTATTATTTTTTTTTATAATGCGACTCTTAGCAGCTGAATTAAGAAGAAAACTTTCCAAACAAACAGAGAGCTCTCTTCAGTTGGTCACATAACAATTAAACAGCAACCTGAACTTTCTTAACATACAGCCTATTAATCTCTAATCTATCCTTCAATTAACATAGCTTCTAAAAAAAATAGGGCAAAAAGGACACATCTACACACTAGAAAGATCTACTTTTTTTATTCAATTGAAATGGTGTTTCTTCTCTCTTTCTCTCAGCTAATGTCACTAAGTAATCAGCTGACTGAGCTCTACCAGGCCACTGGTGGCACTGTGGTGCTCTTCTCCTGGATGCAGTTTCTGAGAGAGGATGCCCTGAAGCACCTAGATATCCACACTCTGCTGGAGCTTCCTTCTGATTCATCTAAGACTCCTCAAATAAACAAAATCAAACAGGATGATGATTCTGAAGCCGGCGAACAGAAACGCAATCCAAAATCTGGATCTCTAAATGCCCAGAATCACTTGTCAGCTAACCTCCCATCTGGAGATGCTGTGAACAATTCAAACTTCAGACTTTCTAAAAGCTCTGAATCTACTGATAACTACCAGAAAGATTTATCCTCAAAAGCAGAAAAACCTGAACTTCCTGGGTCTGTTTCAGTCAGACAGGAAGTGGTCCATGGCGTCCATCCAAATAAAGACCCAGGGTACTCGGGTCTCTCTTTGACTCCATCCCAGATGCTTCTCTCCCAGATTTTGATCCATGATGCAGATCAGAAACAGAAGGTGTTTGCTTCCAGGCTGTTTGACTGTGGTGTTTGTTTCTCGAGCTGCCTTGGATCAGAGTGTGTGCAGCTGTACAAATGTGGCCACATCTTCTGCCAGGCCTGTCTCAGAGATTTCTGTAAAGCCCAGATTACAGAGGGGAATGTTGGGGGAGTTACGTGTCCTCAGCCGGACTGCCCTGCCACACCGACCCCTGCACAGGTACTCTACGTCACTTTCTGAAATATCGTCATCTTCTCAGAAAAGCTGATCCAGGAGCATCCTGGGAGACAGATGCTACAACCAAGCTTGGATCACTTCTGCAGAGCTGTCAGCATACAGCTATATATCAGAATATTTAACTAGGATCTTAATCCTAATGAACTGGCAGAACAGATTACATTCTAAATGTAGTTTCTTGCTTAAAAACATAAAAAAAAAGTTCAAACTACTTTTTTCCAATTAAAGCAATAAAGCCAAGTCACTCTGGACTGCAAAGACTTGCCATAAACTTAATCCATAGAGCAGGGGTCACCAACTTTTTTAAGACTGAGGGCCACTTCAAGGGTACCGAGTCATAGGAAGGGCTACCAATACTGACCCATGCACAGCAAGGGTCAGGGTTCACCTAAACTTCATTATACATTATAAAAATTTTTATTGTTTCCTTTAAGTTCTAATTGTATTTTAGATATTGTCGTTTTGAAAGGATCTATACATTATTAAAAAAGGAGAGAAACAGAATAGAAGAAAATTTCAAACTTAGCCCACTGGTGAATTGTTCTTTTCTTAGAAGTCTGAGGGCACCCCATGTGGTCCATCAGGGGCCCCTTGGTGTAGCGGGCACCACGTTGGTGACCCCTGCCATAGAGCACCAAGCATCCACAGTGTAGGACTTCAAAATGCACAAGTTTCCAAGTTGAGGGGTGGGACGCCTCTTTGAGAAGTAATTAGGGCCAGCTATTCATCCCCTCGTTAGTTCTTACTTTTCCTTTTATTGACCTGTCCTAAACTGACCTGTTTCCAACCCGTTTCAGTTCAAATCAAAATCTGTGACTAGATTTATTCTTGCTAAAAAAAAGATATTTTCTTCTACTTTAAAACTATGCTCTACTTTTTTATTCAATTGGATAAAATCACGGTCAAATATGTCAAATAGTTTTAAAATGCTAAATATTTTTGCAAAACCTTATTTTTTTTAATGAATTTTATATGCAAACATTTTTAATTAAAAGCAGAATGCAAAAGGATGTGATGTAAAGTTTAGAGCTTACTGAGAAACTTAATGTCGATGAAAACATTAAATGAACAAGATCAATTAAGAGCAACAAAATATACAAAAAAACACATTTGCTATTTTAACATGTTTGAAACAGATAAACCCAAGTAAAAAAAATGAATTTTTTATGTAGTTTAATGTGCTGATTAAATCGTGTCATAGGTTTAGGCATTTATAGTTAAAGGAAAAAAATAAAATTATAGATCAAAGAAGAAGTAAAGTTTCTGCAAACAACAAGCAGATAGTTTTAACTAGTTAGGCATGAACTACAGTTTTACTGTACGTCTTGCATGTGTGAATGTGTGTTTCAGGCTGTTTTTTGTGCAATTCTTAGAGGGAATGAAGGCACTTCTTGAGGACTATGCCAAAGGCAGCAAGCGGAGGCGTCACCTCCTGGAGAGAAGATATGGCCGTAAATTGCTTCTCTATACCATTGAGAAGCATGCAACTTCCATGTGGATAGCTGGAAATACCAAACCCTGCCCTCACTGCTTCTGCACAATACAGGTACTTTGAGTTATCACAGGTTAAAACAATTTATTTTTCATAGTTTTAATAATTCCTGTCACTTTCTGCACTTATTCTTTTTCTTTTTTTTGGCTTGCAGAAAGATGGTGGATGCAACCACATGTACTGCACTCAGTGTTACCGGCCATTTAACTGGCAGTGACTCTTTAAACTGGAGTCTGAGGTTTCATTCAGATCTTTGAAGTAAGGGCAATATACTGCTGTTGTGATTACATGAAAGAAACAAATCAATATTCTAGAGCTACTTTGCCCTACCTCTGGATTTTATCTTTGATGGCATCATATGCAAGTCCAAGTTCAGAGTCCATTTTCTAAGGTCATATGAAGGGTCAGTAGCTTTAACCGGGCTGTATTTGAACCACCTTTAACTCTTAAACCAGAGTCTAAGGAAATTGAGAAGTAGTACCAGACCTATATTTCTCTTTCCATAGAATAAAAAATTTGAATGCATTAAAAGTCATTATTATTGCTTTCCAATTAAGCTATGTTTAAATTATATTAAGGCCTCAAAAGCATCTGAAGGTTGGGGTTTTTTCATCTCCCCTTTGTTTTATTTTTTGTTACACATTAAAATAGTAAGTAGATAGTAAGTAGATATATATATATATATGTTTTTTTAATAATCCCTTAAATTAATAGGTCATTATAAGAATAACTTCATCTGAGTCTAATGTATAACTATACCAAGGTAACACATATGTATTATTAACAAATAAGCTATAGAAATATGGAAATTATAGTCAGTTCTACATACATGGGCGGTTCTAGACAGGGGCCAGCAGTAGCCAGTGCCCCTGTGGAACTGGTCCTGGGCCCTGTTAGGTCCTAAAGATGCAATACTAAATACATTTCTTATAATAACATATACTGGGCCAGAAACTGTAATTGATTGGGCTTGTGAATCTATTTAATTTTTTTATCTTCATAGTTTTATTTCAACAATGGTTTAAAAATAAAAGTTGTACTTAGCTTTAACTGTACTGAGATAGGATGGCAGTTTTAATGGTGAAACCAGCGATTGCAGTTTTCTGGTCCAAAACCGGTCATTAAAAGGCCTGACATGCCGATATTTTCTTTTTTCATCAATATCGATATTTTCTTGATAACAGTTGTTATAGGATCACATTACAGCTTGAATATTTTAACCTTGCAAGAATAGAATAGGAAATCCCTTTATTGTACCACAATGGGGAAAAGGGGGCTTAAAGGAATCATTTAGAGTCACTAAAAGACAAACAAAACAAAAAAAAACCATGTAAGCCAAAGCTGACATGCAACTCACTGATCCGGTGCCTGTGGAAAAATGGCAAAAATAATTGTACTTTTTAAGAATAATCATAAGAAGTCCCATTTTGTACTTTTCCATACAAGCCTTAAAGGGAACTGTGGGACAGAAAGGCTTACAAGGCACTAGCTCTGATTTAAAATCAAATATATGAATATTTTATGTTACAAATTTTGTGATCGAAATTACTTGACTGCTAAAGATATTTAAAAAGAGGCAAAGTCATCTATTCGAAAAAGTAGAATTCAGCACTGAATTTCTACTGTTATGTTCCTCTGGCCTGTTTTAGACAACAAACACTAGATGGCACTAAAGATCAGCAGCAGGTTAATGAGTCTGAGTAAAAATGTAGGCAAATTTGCTTCAAATTTTAAAGATAAAGTTAATTATGTTTTTGTTCGTCATATAATTAATTTTCAAAGCATAAAAAAAACACAACTAATTATTTGGATTGCAATTGTTCCCAGTTCTTGCACTATTAAGTTTTATATGGAAGGTGTCATGATTTTTTTGTATTACAGTTTTTAAAAAAAGTTAGATACCCCCAGTACCTCAGCTTTGAAAATAGAAAAATGGGCGTTTGACACCTACACTGAGATTTCCTGTTATTGAAACATCCCCCTCGCTTCCTATGCTGCTCTGTAAAAACAGTGACATGAAGGTCTTGTTTTTTGTTCCAGGAATGATCACACACAGGGGTTTAATTGTACAGGAAATGTACGGGAGTCCAAAAAGTGGGTGAAAATGCCTCGAAAAAGTTTTTCAAATTGAAATTTTCTGCCATTGTTTATCAACACCTAATGACATCCATGTTATAATAATTTACCTTTATTGATATCACACTGGTACGGAAGAGGATTAGGGCCACTGGGAAAAAAAAAGTTAACTGATTTTTAAATTTTATTTCAGTTTAACATGGGGAAAAAAGTCAGAATTCTGACTTTTTTCTCAGAATTATTACTTTTTTCTCAGAATTATTACTTTTTTCTCAGAATTCTGACTTTAATCTCAGAATTCTGACTGAATACTGACAATAAAAAAAGTCATAATTCTGAGATTAAAGTCATAATTCTGAGATGAAAGTCAGAATTCTGACTTTTTTCCAATACTATACTGAAAAAAAAATAAAAAAAAATCAGTTAACTTTTTTTTCTTTTTTTTAGTGGCCCTAATCCTCTTCCATACACTGGAGACTGCAGGCTGTGAAGATCGAACCGGATACTTGCAACCTCCTCAGAGCATAAGCGCACTGCTCTACCCACTAGGCCAACAATCCCCTAAATAGGGTCCAAATCTTTTGCTCCCAATGCAGATTTTTATTAGATCCAAGAAAATGATCTGGCTGGGCCCTTTGAACACATATTATTGCCAGTCGTGTTTTAAAATTATAAGTTTATTATAACGTTAAATCTTGCAGGAGTAAAAGATAATTCTGGGATAAACTATAAATACAGGAAAATCCAGAAAAGAAAAAAAAGCCTTAGCTTCATGATGATTTAAGAGCCTGGCTGCAAAAAAACTGGCAGAGGCTGTCATAGACATGTTATAAACGTACATCTTGTGATTCAATAGAAAGTATTAGATGAAAGCATGTTAGTGTTTTAGAATGGTTCAATTTTAAATCCAAATAGGAATCTTAGGTAACAATTGAAAACCAGTAAGAAAGGTCATAAAGTTTAATCTGTAGATGTTTAAAATCATCCGAGGCGTACCTGAAAGGATTACAGCATTAATAGGTGGTTTTATAAACTAACTTAACTATGGGGGAATAAATAACAGCATATAAGCTGTTCAGATTTTTTCTTTTTTACAATGGAATATGTCCTTATGCTGTTATGTGAAAACTTTGTGATGTCAGTCTCAATATAAAAAAATGCAATTAAGGTAAATAACTCCCTTTTTCCTGCAGGTGAAATCATTCTCTTCAAAGCTAGCAACATCTAAAAGGCATCGATGCAAAGAAACCCAAACTATTATGTTACCATAGGTTACAGTTACATTTCAGGGGTGTATTTTTGCATTAGAGTCTGGGGAACTTTTGATTTAATTGACCTAATTAGGTCAACTTAGAATCATAAGAACCATCTCAAGGCAAAGATTTATTTCTTAAACTTTCAGTGAAGCTACTGACTTCAGGCAAACATTCTACCTTTTACACCCACCAGATGACACATAAACAATTCAGCAGAGGCACAGCTTTTTTAGTCAGCGGTATATAAAGAATAATGGATACAGAGGATATGAAACTAGGCTCAGGGGAACATTTTCTCACTTATAACCAATAACTGCACTGGTGCCTTTTTCTTCTGGAGCACTGTGAGCTGAGCCATAGAGACCAGATGAGACTCTCATTTACTGCAATGATCATAAACACAGCCCAGTTATTATCATCCCCATGTTTATTCATCCGCCATAAAACACAAACATACAGGGACTCAGAAATCAGGGCATTGGTCATCCAGGCATTCATTCAGACGGCTAAATGGTGCGTTTTCAATGTTGTTTAGAGGCACTAAATGTGTGCTTTTTTTTTTCTTTCTTTTTTCGCATGAAGATCACAGGATCATATGGTGTCCTGCAAGGATGCTGCTATCAAGTTCGTGGCCCTGGACCAGAAAAAATAAATAAAAAGGAGGATTATGAATTTGTCTGTTAATCAGGATACATGGGCTTCAGTGTGGGACAGGAGACATAAGGGATATGTAATCATTTTGCAGCAGTTTGGGATTACGCAGAGAAGCTTTCCTTTGGAAGTTAAAATTCTTACTTCAAATTTAGTTCTTAGTTTCACAAAATTTTCACTTTTGTCTTCAAATTGAACCTCACGACTGAATCTTCACTGACGTTGAATTTTAAAATGGTGCCTCTGGACTTTAAATGTCAAAGTTTGGATCTCATAATTAATGCTGTATTCAGATAAAATAATTTGTATAACAAAAGTATGAATTTGAAAATAATATTTTTTTATTTTTAGTCTGATATTTATGACATTGTTTCACAAGTTTATGTCTTTACATCTCACACTGTGTTGCTCAAAACCTAATTTTTCTTCCCTTTAAATAATTATACATAGTTACTGGTGCCCCAAACATTCAGTGTATGTTTTACTTAGTAATTTCAGCGTGAATTAAATTTTTATTTCCCTGGGGTATTTATTAGACATAACACAGAAGTTTATTTTTTCAGTCAGTCTTAAAAAATAGAACGACCAAGAAAATCTGACATTCGAGTATGGCATGCATTTAAAATTCAGGAAATGGGGTGATATAGTTCTAGACTTTGGATTAAGTAATTGTCTGATGCTAAATGACAGCGGTAAACATGAAACCAAAATATCATCTGCAAGAACAAATCCTTGATTAACCCTGCAGGTAAGATACTGACTGTTTATAATTACACCAGGAAACCCAACTTTAGATAATTCAACATATTGTTTAAGGGATTAAACTGACGCTAATGATCCTGAGATATAAGAGGAGACTTTTTAATTATCATCTAAGAGCTTTTATGATTTATTAGTAAGAGGTGACTGAACCCGCCATGATCCATTTTTACCATTGATCCTCTAATGCTAAAGCCATTAGCCTTATGAAAGCCAGGCTAGATAACAGTTTATTAGCAGCTTTAAAACCTAGTTTAAAATGACTAACCTTTATGTGTAGATTTGTAGCAAACAGAAAATAAACAAAGAGCTGTTTCTGATGCTCCTCTAACCAGCAAAACAGTTAAAATTACTTTTTAGAGGTTTCACAGTTTGTTGTCTTTCTTTTTTTTTTTTTTTTTTTTTTTCTGTTTACACCTATCCTCACATTCGCCTATCAACCCTGCTTGGTTTAGTCCATCATTCCCGGGGCATGGAAAAAACACACAGAGTCATTGATACAATACACAGTGTGGACTGCTCATCATCGTAAACATTACATTTAAAATTGTAAAGAGATATATACTGAAAAACATGGTCTTCACTTGAATTTAGCATGAATGTGCTTCTGTATAAACACCAAGGCCCTTTTATCTATGCAGTGCAAAGTCATTATGCTTCTTCACTACTAGCTTCCATCCATCTTTTCATAGATTCCTCTTTAAGATGAATATATCCAGAAATATCCATGAATAAACGTCCTCAAAATATATTTCTTCTCACAAACTCCTCAGCATTCGATAGCTGCAACTTTCTTCATGCACAGGATAAAACAGTAGTTGAGGTGCAACATGTTAAGCATTTCTGTCCTCTATAGCAAAACATTAAAGTTTCACATTTAACCCATCTTTTATGAAACAATACAGCACTTTTCACAATAAATAAATAACTTAATAGTTTGAAATTGTGATTTTTATGACGGCAATACATTTCCCAGCTATAGTGAAAGCTGAGAGAAAAGGTTCATTCAGGTATTTGACTCCTTTTAAGTAAAAAAAAAAAGACACAAAAAACAAATATTCTAATAAATTTAGTTATATAATTTATTTATATAAGGAAATCATACCTTTCTAAAACATTTGTGCAATCCATGCCCATCCTTTAGACAGGCCTTCCTATTGGTGTTACCTTGATGAAAGGACAAAATAATCTTTTAAGATAATTCTCTAATAAGATATGTCCTGTGCTGCTTTTGAATTAATAGAGATTTTGGCTACAGCAAATGGTCATTAATTAATGATTAATTACCATATCAATAGTTAATATTATTCTGAATGTCATGACAACAATTACATAAGCAATCTACCGATATGAAGCTTGCAAGATTGGTAAGAATGAAAAGGCTCTGCTCCAGTCAGATAAAAAAAAAACTCATTTTAGATGGACATGCAAAGTGATTTGTAAGGTAGAAAGTGCACAGCACATGCTATTCATGCAAGAAAGCTGGTGGTGGCAGCATCATGCTGGGGAAATGCATTTCTTAAGCAGAGATGGGAAAGTTGGTCAGATATCTCCACAAATCAGAGGCGTATCTTTCTTAATGTTCTTATTAGGCAGCATTAAAAACAGTATAATATCTGTTATAGCCACCTTAATGTAAGTGTTGATGTGAGTTCATGCCAAGTTTTAAGGTCTACTTTGCTCAGATAAATCTGACAAAGAAACATCAATCTTTGGTTAATTTGCTCATAGGTTTTGAAAAAGTTAAATCTGTAACTACCTACTAAAATTGGATTTAAACTAGATCAAAATTAAAGTGAGTTGAACAATGTCGCTATAACTGATTGGTCGGTTAGGTTCTGATCACCCTTTCCTGCACTGGAAAAACAACCTAGAAATAAGTAAATATGTCTCAAATTATGTGTATTTACCCTTTTTTGAGTAGGTAAATGAGATGGTTTGCCAATGGAATGAGTATTTTTACTCTTAAAATAAGATATTTAGATAAAATGCACTTGAAATAAGACAATGCAATTGCGTTTTCTTATTTTAAATGTAAATTGTCTTGTTCCATTGGCAAAATGTCTATTTTACCTTCTCAATTCAAGAACAAATGCACCTATTTTAAGAAAAAATGACTAATCTAGGTTTTGATTTTTTTCCAGTGTGACCACCTTTTTCTAGGGTTTATTGTTTCCTGAACTTGCTGGGCTGTTAGGTAAGATTCACTGCAGAGCGAATCCTATTTTGCATTCCGGTCTCTTTTGTTGCAGCTAATTTATTTATATATTAGTGCTTTTAAGGCACACTCATATTATTTTATAGAAAAAATAAAAGATGAGTGCTTGAAAGGTTGTGTCCTCATCACAGTTCTGGTTAGAGCTCTGGTTACATCAGCTCTTTATTTTTCCGTTTTGGATTAGAATCCGCAGCTCTTTGGCCTCTTTCCTACCTTTCTTTGACCTTGCCCAGACCTTAAACAAGCACTAAGACAGCTGTTTCTTTACTATTGGTGTTTTGTGTTTGACTACGGCCGCTATAAAGTCATAACAGGATTTTATCACAGAGACCAACGCAAAGTATATTTGTGTTACAGGAGGTAAGTGACATGTTCTTTACTAGATAAAATCAGGATGGCATGGCATGGATTCGCATTCAGCCCCCTTTATTTCGACACCCGCAAATAAAGTCCATTACAGCCTACAGGAACCTCTTAGTTATTTTTCCACGTGTCGGTAATTTAATCGCATCTTAAAAAAACAGAAACATGTAGCGGTTGAAAAATGATGAGTTGCGCCCTTCACAAATCTTTAAGTTCTGCAAGAAGAAAGTTATTGCTGAAAAGTTAAGACACAAAGTAGGGGGTCAAAAAAAAACATGTAGAAAGATCTGCTCTAAACAGAACAGTGGTGGAAATTACCACTGTGCATTATGACGAACAAGCCAACATGGTGGAAAGTGTTGGTGGCAGCATCATGCTGTGGGGAGGCTTGCCCAATCATAGCTGATGGAAACACATGGAGGTAATTAAATGCAGACTGCAGCAGATTTTAATATAATGTCAAACAATAACCGCCAAACGTTTCAGTCTCTAGATGAAAAGAAAGTGCTGACTAAAGATAACCGTGCACTTTAAGCTGGACTGTTGTGAGATCTGAGTTTTCAGTCTCACAACAAATCCATCTTGAAAGACTCACGCTAATACGTCCGTTTCATAACCACCAGCAGGTCGGACCAATGACATGCCAGCAGGGTTTTTGGGGCGGGAGATGTAAGAATGATGACAGTCAGAAGGGCCTTTCCAGAGCATAACAAATATGGCTACGCCTGGAGGACTCACCCGTCGATACCGCAATTGACTCGGTTTTAGCTAAAATAGCAACAATTTCTCGTTTAAAAAAGAAGCAAAGAGATTAACTTTGTGCATTTGTAGATTGGAAAGATGTCTGTGCTTTTCTACCAGCAGGATTTGGAAAAAGTGTTGTGAAAACGCTGAAGAAGCTGAAACGTCATGATTTGCTGCAACGATTGGCTAAAAGCGTATTATGGAAGGCGGGTACTAGCTGGTACGTTACCCAATCAGCTCGAAGTATTGTTCTAAACGTCCCTTCTTTTCACGGACAGACTGAACGGCAGCCATCCCAGATTGATAACTTAGAACTCAACTCAGTTCTACACTCATCGATCTGGCTACTGCCAGGTTAGACTAAAGGGGGCTGCATACAAATGCGCTCTATAAAGATTTTAACCCAACATTTTCCCTCAACTTCAATGTTCACTACTTTGTTTTGGCTCTTTAAATAAAATCACAAGTAAATATACTGAAGTTTGTTGAAGGGTTATGAATACTTTTGCAAACTCCTGGAATTAATATAATTGAATTCCAAAAGGATGCTTTCACTTGCTCTTTTCAAGAGGTTGAAATATGTCAAGGTAGAAACAGTTTCTTTGATGGATGCCCCTTTTTAGCTTTGACTTTACGTGATTTAGATTAAAAGGCAAGATCATCCATTTGTGATCCGTTTTAAATGGGTTTTGTTTTTTTTATTTTAATAAATAACATACAGAAAAAAAATCAAAAATAATTCTAACATTGACAAAAATATGTGTTTTGGCACTAATAAAATACCTTTCTATAACCCAGCATGTCAGTCAGGATTAAAAGGCATCTTTTTGTAGCACTGACTTCATACAGTTTGTTCGTAATGTAGGGATGTTTGCCAAAATTAAAGGCACCTTCAAACTCAAAATGCCTCATGCTTGTGTCTTCTTCAGCTCAGTGTAGCGAACTGGAACAGTAAATCAGATAAACAGACAGAATAATCTAATTTAACTCCAATTATAGGAATTATCTTTCAGGCAAAATACAGAAACTTAGCTGGAAGTGGGCCTTGAGAGAGAGAGAGTAACATCACAAGTCTGAAAATCCAATCTGCTATTTTAAACTGCAATAAAACCAGCTTATTTTTTCTGCTTGAATTGACCAGAAACAATCAAGAGCCCTGAAACTTGCAAACTAATTGAAAGTTTGGAGTTAAAGACTTTAGACGATGTATTCCACTGTGAGTAAATGTTTTTCTCTATTCGGTTGTTTCAGCGAAAACCTACATCCAAAGTGGTTTCGCTTCACAAGCAACCTCTTCTGACACAGCAGTCAAACTGACGCTATTATTAGCTTTTAATAAAACACTGGAGGTACCAGAAGGTACTTTAAGGAATTGAGGAGGGTCCACAGCAAAATATAAAAAAGAAAAAAAAAACATACAGTGCTAAAACACTAAGTCGGTGTGCACAAGGATGATTATTCAAACTCATAGTAGATTAAGATGCTGAGAATAATAAGAATCAATACGATTCATATTTTATACTGTATTAATACCTATAATATAATTTGGTTTTATTTACATACGATCGAAGTGATTTATAATAATAGAAGATATAAAGCAGCTTATCGAAAAGCTTTACCACAGTACAGATTGGTTTCTACTATTTTATTTCCAAATAAAAAGTCAAGCTTTGGCCTATATTCCAACAAATGCCAAATCAATGCAAGTCAGTATTTTCTTGCCTTTTTCCTGAATTCACCCAAACGGTTGGTCTGAGGTAAACCGATGCTCACAGCTTTAGTTAACACTGCTGTACTTTATTATTCTATTGTGCTTTTATCAATTCTAAAATCAACAAGAGGTTTAATTCCTCTGTTAGGTTGTAAAGATATGCAAGGTCTTACTGCCAGATTAGAGATCACCTGACAGCAGAACCTATAAAAAATACATTTTCATTTTTTTTTCTTTTTTTATTGACTTCTGAATGCCCTTAGTCCTGATTGATTCCTCTCTCTTTTCTAAGCATTTCTCCACAAGCCCAGATTTCCGGTTCTTGAATCGTCCTCTTCCAAGTGCCTTAGCGAGCCCCAAGATTTATTTTGCATCTCATTTGCATTCACTTGTAACCTGAGTCTGAATGAATCCTGCTCAAAGCTAAGAAGAAGAGCAGACTAGTGAAGGTATAAAAAAGAACAGGAGTTACTTATTTTCCTAATCCATATGTAGACTGTTTTTTTTTTGTTCTTTTTCTAGCTGTGTTTAATTTTGATTAAATGTGCAGGGGTTTTTAGTTCTTTTTTTTTTTTTTTTTTTTTTACCACAAATCTCTACTTAAAAAATCGAAATGTTACACAGGTGCATCTCAATAAATTTGAAAATCATCAAAAACCTTTTTTGCTAACTAAAATTAAAACGTTTAACTTTTATATAGATTCCATTTAGAGATATTCTCTATAGTAATTGCCTCTGTTTCTGGTCAGTTTGATAATTATGGCTTGTAAGTCAAAAATCTAAAGGATCTTTAATCTTAATTATGGCCTACACCACCATGAGGAAGTGAGTTGCATTAAAATCAATTTCTCATAACCTCCACAAAGAGATTAAGCCACAAATGGTCAGTATAGAGGCTGGTGCATCATAAAGAGCCTACAAATGGAAAGTTTAACGGAAGAAAAATAGTTGGTGAACTACCAGAGCTGGAGTCTTCTTCATGTCACTTACATGTACCCAGGGCATGATCTACAACTATCTGATTGACTAAGGTAAGCCATGACTGAACCAGGCACAGCATCAGCACCATCTAATTGAAATGGTAAAAATGAAGATATCTTATCAAACAAAATTAAGATTAGTATCTGATTTGGAAATCAAGCTTGTATACTCTGGAGAATAATGAAGATAAAAAGGATCAAACCTGATTTTACTAATGAGTGACATTTTAACAGTCATTGATGATCTAGAGAAATGCTGGTGTTTCTTCAATGGGTTTAATGAAAGGCCACTGTGTAACTTTTGGCCACTAGGGGCACTAGACCTGTAACTGCCTGTATTTTGCTTCTACTAAACATCGAAAAAAATAAAGATGACTGTATACTAGGAGTAAAGTAACTTACCAGTCTAATATTAAAGTTGAGAAAAGAGAATCAGTTTTATCTCCAACTTCTTTCAGTCTCTTGTTTTTCCTCTTGCACGATCCCTTTCACGTTTTCTCTTTTTAGCCTCCACGGAAAGTTTAAACTTTTTCCTTGCCTCATCTATGACAGGTAGTCAAGCAGGCAGAAAAATAATATAGCAAAAACCTTAGCTTCATGATGATTTAAGAGCCTGTGGCTGTAAAGCGATACGTTCTTCCAGGTCACATGACCTGGCCAACGACAGTGCATCTTCTCCCAACGTACATAGGCGGTATTTCAAGAGGGAAGCCCCGCTCATAGCATTGATAGTGTCAAGTACTGTATATTGGCCTGAGGAACCATTTAAAAATAACTCATATGCGTCAACTCTTTAGGTCACAAAGTCTGCGCTGTGCCTTTAAGTCCAAAGCCAAAGCAGAAGCTACTAGGAAACTCTTAAAAGATATGCCTCTCTCTGTTCAAAAAGCTTTATGGCGACGATGGTTTCATCTTTCAATTGGACTCCGTACCACAGTGCCAAAAGTACCAACATTTGCTCTAATGACCATTGTATCAGGGTGCTTGACTAACAGACAAATTGGCCTGATCCAAACCTCATAGAGAATCTACAATATTGTTGGGACAAGGATGAGAAACCCCAGTCCTCAATCAGACGAAATGAATCACCCTGAGCTTCTCTGTGTGTTATCAATCGATCGAATGTCTGAGTTCTACTGTTTAAATTAAACAGATTAAAATAGTTTACAGTTTTGATGATATTTAAATTTACTGAGATGCTCCAACGCTTCCTAGATAAAAGGTTTTTTTTTGAACTGGACTCTCTTGTTAAGAGACAAAAACATCCTAAATTCAAGAAAACACTGATTTAGCTATTTACTGCTAACCTTGTATGTCATAACAACTTGATCAACTATTTGAGATGCAGTTTTTCAAATGATCTTTTCTAGATTTGATGTTTGAATCATATGCGAGGTGATCTGCCATACAGAAGATCTTTACTCCAGTTCTCGACTGTCTTAGCTGTACCCGAGGTTCTCCATCTCATGGCGGTATCTCAGCTCGGACACTTTGGCTTTGTGCTGCTTGCTCTCCAGATGCTGCCTGAAGTCTGTTTCCTGCTCGGCACCACAGTTGCACATTGAGCAGTAGAACTGCCCACTGGGAGTCACGCACATGGCCAAATCCCTGGGGATGCGCTGCCTTGGTCTCGGGTTATAGTACGGCCCTGGGGGTAGAATGAGCATATTAAGTGGATAATTCACTTGAGATTTACATAATGTGAAAACTTGAGGGACAATAGCATCCAGGCTAAAATATGTTCAACCTAAACAGAGGTGTCAAAAGTATTAATATTCATTACTCCATTAGAAGTATAAATACTGTTGTTTAAAAACACTTTTGTTTAGTTAGAGTATCAACTTAAGCTTTTTACAACAGTAAAAGTGTACAACGGTAATTTTTAAAAGTACTTTAAGTATAAAAGTAAAAGTAATACACAATAAAATGTTAGAAACTGATGCTTTATTACTTATTCTGCACTACCCTACTAAAGTAACATTGTTCTACAAATTTGAATGATTACCTTCCTTATACTTAATTTTCTTATTTTTTATAACTAATGGCAAAAGAGTTACATTTAACTTTGCATCATCTTGAAAATTTTATTTTGGTCGGTGTCAAATATCAAGTTGGTGCAGTAAAGAGTCCAACCACAGAGCAATTCCTTTTTAAGATTAAACACATTATTTTAAAGGTTTTTATTTTTATTTCTTTTTACCAGCAGGTCATAATTAAAATTAGCTTAAAAGAAACAAAACTAACGACTTTAATTTTATAAAATGCAAGGAGTAGAAAGTGGACAGCTGCAAAAAGAAAAAAAAATGTAAGGAGTAGAAGTAAAAAGTTGTCTAAACAATAATGACTCCACTAAAGGATAGCCAAAATTTATTTTTAAGTAAAGTAACAAAGTATTTGTACTTTGTTACTTGACACCTCTTAGCCTGCATTAAAAGTTTTCCTCATAGTTCTTATATCTATATTTTAGCCCTTAGTCTTACTTCAAAACTGGAAGTAAGAAACTTTTGAATTATTGACTGACATTGACTACACTAGAAGCAAACAATTTCTATTCTAATTACAATGGATCTGTTATGGTTGGAAAGCCTCAAGTTAAGTTAGGGATCTAAGCCCATGCAGGAAAGGGAACCTGGCTGTAAAGCATGAGTGTTTTCATGCGTCAAGTGGAGCGTGGAATCGGATAGCAGCTGTTCGGGAGTTTCTTACCCTTTTTTTCTGGAACTCAAACTAGAGAATACAGAAGAGAAAACTGGAAGTTGTTTCTTTCTGAACTTCTAAAAAATAAAAGGGTGGATTCAACTTGAGACTAAATCTGAGCATCTGTCATCTGCACAGTTGCTCAGATTTAAAAGAATCCCTAAACTTTGGGTACTCTCAGGGTCAACACATTCCTTACAATCAGAATCAAGTTTATTGCCAAGTAGGTTTCGACTAACAAGGAATTCAACAAAGTAGATATAGACAGAATACAGAATCTATAGCTATATACCATATAAAACATACAATATACCAGATATAGTATATAGCTATGTATTATTATTATTATGCAGTTGTGAAAATATAAATATTATACCAACCTTGTTTTCTTTAATATCTTGTTCTAAAGGTACATTGCCCGAAAAATAAATGAACATAAAAATGGAAAACAGACGTACCTATAAAAGAGTAAATCGTTTCAAATCTGTCCTTTTGTTTCAGTATGACTGATTGATTCCGTGTGCTGACTAGAGCCATTATTAAAAGCTTGAGCAAAATGCAAATATGAGTTTTATAAGAATATTTTATTTAAAAATAAATTATTTGAAGTTCATTTGTTGAAACTTTGGATCAGTGCTGCAAATAAGGTTGTAATAAGCTGTCATGCATGTACTTCTCATATATCAGGTATATCTGCTAACATATTTGACAGCTGCTCTTTCCTACTACCTCCAAAGTAAATTGGCAAACTAATAAAAAAATAAGATTTCTAAAAGGGACCAATATACATTTGGCTGTTTTTGGGAGATCAAAAAAAATGTTTACATCTAGAAAAGGACAGTAGCTCTATATGGTGAATAATCTCTAATTGTCAATCTGTTTTATCATGACTTATTCAATCATTTCACCTGCAACAAAGGAGCTATTTGTTGAAAAGTCACAAAACCCATTCCGTGTTCTCTAGACTTGACTATTTCTGCTTTTAGTAAAGTTCAAGACACATAGAACCAGGTTTAAAAATAGACTAAGAAAGAAAGCAGAATGAGTCACTTGTTCTTATAAAATGACCCTCTTCGGTGCACAGAAAGAGCTCAAAGACATCTTACAGGGATGGTACACGGGACAAAAGAGAGTTGTTTGTTCATTTGATTGTGGAAAGCTGCAGAAAAAGGCCAGAAAGACACAGAAAAGGTGCCACAAAGCAGCCACACTTAAAAGGACAGCTATTTTAGGATATGTCCATTAAGAGAATAAAAAAAAAGAACGCTGACAAAAGCAGATCATTGGGGCGAGAGAGAGAGAGAGAGATAGGAAGAGCAATCAACATTTTATTGTCACCTATTTTTTAATCCTTTGTTGATTTTCTAATGACTTCCGCTGTGAAAATAGTTAAGTCTGACACAGCGAGAAGGACATGTTGACGTAAGCAGAAGGTCTGACGTTACTTATGCTGTATCTGTTTTCACTCACACACGCACACAAAAAGGGGAAAACAGACACTGTGAAGCTTTTTCTCCACAAGATGTTACCTTATAGGTTACCAGACGTCACTTTACAGAAAGCAGATACGACCATCGAAGGCTGCTGAAGATAGCCTCTAATTGCACGCCAAACATCTTTCTTTAAAAACACTCTTTGAACAAACCTTTACATCTGAGAGAGACCTCTTCAGTGTTAAGTGGTTTCTGTTTTTTATTATAAGGCACTTTCTGTTGTTGACTGAAATCAGCAGATTTAAAATCTCTCTCTCTCTCTTTGCCTCAAGGGAATTTGCAAACATCCTTTCAGCCTGGAAAGATTACAGTCATCTTCTGAAAAAAATGTTGGTATATAAATAAAAATAAGACTTTATATGCCATGGATGCATCATATTCTCAGAAATGTTATTTGCAATTACAGGCGGAAACAACTATTGCATGATGGGCAGACTAATCATACAACAATCAACATCACCCAATTAGAGAACATTAATAAGATTTAAAAAAAAATCCATTGGACTTTGTTTCCAAGTTTGAAGACGTGTCACTTCCCATCTGGACGTTTTTTCAATTCAAAATGTCAGAATTAGCGTTGAGGTTGAGGCTTTATAGAGTGAACCAAAACAAAGCCTTTTATTGGCTTAGAAAACATGCAAATTTAACCTGAAGAATAAGTCTGCCCATTAGCAATGGGCAGGCTTTCGGGTTCTTTGTTAGCCTGCAATACCCAATACTGGTCTATGCCTCTAAAAGGGGGTTGTTAGGGGGAATTGTTGACGTGGCTGAACAGGCGAGATGTTCTGGTCCCATGTATGGGGGTGGAGGTTGCGATGATGGCGGGAAGGAATCAACTCTATCACTGCATTTTAGGTTTTTGAAAGCTGAAACCTGAGTAACATAGATGGCCTCCTTCACACCCCTCTCAAACCACCTGTCTTGGGTCACCTGGTCTGGGGGTTGGTCTTTACGATACACTAGTCTCTGTTTAAGGGTCTTGTTTGGTTTGAAATGTACTGGGATTTCGTGTTTGGAGAAAATCCTCTTGAGTTTTTCACAGACTTCAGCAAAATATTGGATGGCGATGTTTTTATGTTGCAACTTCTCCTATATTATTTCCCCTGCTTGGGGTAGGTTTATATATTTGACATCCCTCAGAATAACCATCATCTCTTATGCACTCTTCTTTTACATCACAGGTTTTCTCTGAGATTTACATATGAGGATGGAGATTGCCACTGATGATGATTTCAATCCTGTATGTTAAACAATCTCAGTATTGATTTTGCTATATGTTTTGGAAATTCTTGGAATGTTGAAGCTATGGCTTCTGAAAAAGGCCAAAAGGCTTTTAAAAATCTCAGAATATTAAGAAGGATCCATTTTGTGATGCATTTTAACATGATTTCCAATGCCTTATAGGAAATAAAAAGATCCATAACATCATGGGCTTAAGATGTACAATATTTGCTTAGAAAGAGGTTAAGAGCTTAAGCCGGGCATACACTGTGCGATATTTTCAACCATTGCATGCTGCAACAGCTCACAATGTACAACGATGCTCTGATGCAATCTACCTGCTCACACTCTAGGTCTAAAAACCACATCGGATTTAGCTCCGCAGTGAGATGCAGCTACTTTAGCTTTAACTTTAGGGTTTGTTGAGATCAATCCACATTTAAAAAGGTAAACATGGTTCATTATTTACATTTAACATATATTTCAACATTGCTAAAAAAACACTTAATTTTTTTTGTTTCAGACTTGTAATTTGACTTGAGAGTTACTGGTTTTATCTTGTGACTCGACGCAGGACTTGAGGCTTGCAAAACAGTGACTTGGACCCATCTCTGGTTCATCCTTAGTGAAGCTCACAGTTCCAGTTTGATCATAGACAAAAGAGGATCTCATGAGACATGCAATGATATGACACCTTAAGCAGATAGCTGGCAAATGCTTTTATGAAACATGTTTCTGTCAGAAACGATGCCTTGACTAGATTGGATCAACCCTTTCCATTTATAAAAACGTATATTTCCTCATAAAGAAGGCATATTTTTTTTAAATGATATCTTTCACTGGAATAGGAAATAAAAGTTCAATGTTATAATCACCAAGTCGAAACTTTGCAAATGAAGTAAAAGATTAATCGATTTGAAGTTGTTCATTCACATTTTCCAGGGGAGGCAAATGTTTGTGCTGGTTATGGATGAGCTTATTTTCCTAGTACTATCTGCTGACAAACTGCTCCTAAATGAAAATAATTTATAGGTGTTTTTGTAGAGTTTAACTTTGTTGACCGATGAAATATGAGTGGACAAAAACTCCTCTGTTAGGTTATTCTTATTTCTATACACAAATGCAGCACCTTCTTTTGCTGTAAAATTGCTTTATCCAGAAATACAGCTGAATTTATCGTTTAGTTCTAGTCTAATTTCTTACCTGGCATGGCGGCAGGTAACTGTGGGCTGCGGCGGTTTTTCACCAGTCGGTACTCACTGCCATCTTTCCGATTTTTTCTCTGGGCTACTTCATTGCTGCCATCCCTGTAACTCTCAAAGATTAAAACTCCTTTCAGACAAAGGTTTAAACATGTATACACCATAGAAAAATCTGCTGCAGACAAAATATTACTCCACCCTGAACCCACATGTTATTGCAGTTCTGCTGGGCCTCAGCCAGTCGTAGCTTCTTGGCATGGTTTTTTCCCTGGTAGTGGGCCTGTGCGACTGCCAGGGAGCTGAAGGAGGCGTCACATAGTTTACAATAGTCGTTTTCTGTTGCCAGGATGACCCGGGGCGCCCCTTTATACAGCGCCTGCAAACATTATACAAAGCATTGCACTGTTTGTGGAGAGAGGAGTTAGGGAACAAACACATAACCGAAACAAGAAAGGAACATTCAGTTCCACTGAGAAGAAGAAAAAATATATCTCTCTTAGTCAATCTGTCTGTTTTTCAAAATATATACCAATGAACATTCATAATTAATGACTGGAATGACTGGTTGAAGCAGATACTCCAAATGGGCATTTTCAAATAAAGAGAAGGAGACATGATCTGATCTACCCAGGCTTAATGATAAATATATAAACTGAAAAGAACATGTGTCCCCTAATAAGTAACTGTAGCTGCCTCGCACCTCCTCAAAGGAAACAGTCTCAGTCAGCAGAGTGGCCGCCTCCGCAGTAAAACACCCACCTCCTCAGTTTAAACAGGTAAGTTAGTGCAGAAATGATGTAGCTTGGCTTAACCTGTCTGCCTCCATCACCATCACTGGCTCCAGAACCGAGGCTCTGACCGGCTCCCTCTGGGGCTTCTGGTATCCTGATGGCAGGTGGCTGCTGACTGCCAGCGTAGAAATTTCTCAACTTTTTGCCGTGGTTCTTTCCCTTGATGAAAAGATACAAAGCTTAGTATTTTAGTCTCCCTGTATTACATACATGCATCAGACATTTTATTAGGTATAAATGTTTAAATACTTGTTAAAAGTAGAAATGACACAGCCAATCATATGGAGGCAGTTCAATACATTAAGGCATCTAAACTAAGTTGAGATAACTTGCTAACTATACTTCTCCCGCAATAATAATGCACCACGTCACGAAGCTAAAATAATGGTTTCAAGAGGGCAACAAGTTCTTTCAACAATCACAAAATCCACACTCACTGTATCTTAATCTAACAGAGCACCTCTTGGACGTAGTGGAACAATAGATTGTAATCACAGATGTGAAACTAACAAACCTAATGCTGACCATGATGTTATCTTTGAATAATGGGCCAAATCTATACAGAGTGTTAGACCCTTAAAGGAGGCATATCCAAAGGGAAGATGTGGTCTAGCATAGGGTACATAATAAAGTGGTCGCCAAGTGTATGGGTCGGTAATGTGGGATTGTGTTTTTTACCTCACCTGGTAGTGAGCTTGTGCCTGCTGAGGAGAGTTGAGTGTAACGTTGCAGAGTTTACAGTAAAGTGGTTTGCACAGTTCTTCCAGGCCTAGAGAATCCTCCTGCTCCTCCATCCCCAGAGAGGAGCCCTCATCCTTGGGCGGTTCACTGGCAGGAGCTGCTTGGCCCGGTAGAGGTCCACATAGGTAGTTGGATACTGGTGCTTGATTGGGAACTAGTCCTGGTGGCCTTTGAGTCCTTTGTGACGGATCGGGGTCTGGAGCAGGGGGTGAGGACAGGGAGCTGGGAGGGAGCGGAAAGCGGCTGGGTGCTGGTGCAACTACAGGTGGAGGGATCAGTGCTTGAGCTGGGGTGAGATGTGGATGTCCTAAAGTTTGGGTGAGGTCCATAGTTGGAGGTACAAGGGGTTGTGTGGGATCTACAGTTGGAGGGACTAGAGTGTGTGCCATCGGTGGAGGGCCCAGCTGCTGGGCTTGGGGCATTGGTGGAGCTAAGGTGTGTGGCGGAGTAATGGATGGAGGCCTTAGTGTGTGAGCAGTAGGTATTTGTGGGGGCCCTAAACTCTGAGAAGGAGCCAGTGTTGGGGGTCCAATTGGTTGAGTAGGGGCAATGGGTGGTGGGCCAAGGGGTTGTGTAGGTGCCATAGGTGGAGGTCCTAAATGGTGCAGGGAGTCCATGTAATGGAAGGGCTGTTGAGGATGACTGAAAAAACTCAGAGGAGGCTTCAACATGGCGTCTGGACCTGTGGGCATAAAATAAAACACAATATGAGGCAGCCCAGAGGACATAAATAAACATTGTTTTTATAAACTTTTTCAGGACTGCAATGAATAACTAAGAAGGCATTTAAGGTTTCCTGATCATCTGTTAAAAATTTTTGAGGAGTTTTCACACTTTTGGAATGCACCATTATGTAGTTGTGCTTTTGTTGAAAAATAAACATGTAACCTTGATGAGACACGAGAGTTCCTTTCAAGAACAATCATTTAAAATCCAGATATCCACTTTCTTTCAGCTGAAAAAGAGAGCAGTGGCTGTAAAGTGAGATGATAAACACTGTTAACACGGAACTTGCTAAGCACTTAATATTTCTACTGAGAGTAGGCTAGTATGCTGATGTTATCATTTGGCTCTGATTCATGGTATTCAGCCTTTTACTAGATGCTGTACTGACTGGGATCTATGTTGCTTTGGCATCTAAAATCACAAAGAAGACTATCAAATACTTTTGATTTTATGAATTCAACAAACTCACAGCAGAAATAAAAGAGACTTTCAGTGAAAACCAGGTATTTAACCACAGTTTACAAAAAAGCATTTAGTCATTTTATTTGAATCAAATAATCATGCTAAACCTCTCCAGGTTTAGACCAATTTTTCTAATAAAAAAAAAAAAACATGTCTAATGTTTTCTTCTAATAGAAATTTATATATTTTATGATCAGTTATTTAAGAAAAGCTGGCATCATGAGTTAAATGGCCACACCTCCAAAAATTTTAAGATACCTAACAGTACCATGAATGTTTAGAATAGTTACCTGCAAGCATAAACAATATGATAATATCCAACCATTATATTATTTGAAATGAAAAATACAGTTTTATGTCTCATAGATACATATGTTTTTTTGTGTGAAATGTGTGACTCACCACTAGAAAAGAAGCAGAAGACCTTGTGAAGATTGTGGCTAAAAGCCATTATTCACAGGGAACTCAGACAGGAAAGCTTCTTTACAACTTAAGTTACACCCAATCCAATGTATAGTTTGCACACTTTGGTCTAAAATAATGTAAAATTCTGGTTTCAATTCAATTAAACTATTGATCAAAAAGCATTGATCTTAATTGGTACCATAATTAAATCATATATTTTAAACTAAACAAAAACTGTTCTGATATTAGATTAAAAGGATTCTAAATGTATTACTTGCATTTAGCATGTAAATTTTCGACAAACATACGATGATTACAGATGGGAGCTATACATTAAAGCCCAGAGGCAGAAAGGATGAAGAGAGCTGAGTGAACAGAAACACATTCTTGGACAGAGCTCGGAGCTTCACACTTCAGTGGGCATCAGGAAGCTCAGGCTGAACATGCAGCGCCTGCAGTCAAGCATACAGGACATCAGACACACACACACTGCAAACTCTGCTTTAATTTGTATTCCCACTCATGTTTTGAGGGTTGAATTGTCACTGACTCTGTGTCTGTGTGTTTGAGGTGGGGGGTTGTGTGTCTAAAACTAGATTCTCAGGTCAGTATAGGCAAATAGCTGTATCCACTTTGTTGGACTCTCATCTGAAAATCTGATTGAACGCCCATTAGCAGTTAATCTGAGACCCAAAATTATACCCTGGGGTGTTTGAGTTTCCAAGTGCTCCCTGTCTGTCTCTCTGTCCAAAGTGTCCAGCTGTCTGTCTGTCATGCAGTCCTGCTGATCTAAGGAGAAAGGTATGGTGGACAAGGCTCTGACCTTACAATTAGTCATATAAACCGCAAGATGAAAGAGACATACACCCAACAAATCCAGAACGACAAGAGGAGCAGCATTTAAATCCGCTTAACTCTTTATTGATATTGTGAGTTCTGTTTTCCCTATGTTAAAATATGTTTATTAATGTCTTTGGGAGGTATCAAGGTTGATTTATTTTTAGTAAACTCTAAATAGAAGGAATAATCTGCCACACAAAACATTTTAGTCCAGTTCTTTAACTCAAAAAGCAGGTTTAGGCAGCTAGGAAATATTTTTATTGCTTATAAAGTTCACATTAAGATCAGACATTTTGATCAAGTTGCATAACTGATCAAGTGTTGATCAAGGTGCACAAATATTCTTCCATGGCTGCCATTTTGCACAATGTAAAGGCCTAAACAAATGTCACAGAGTCTCTGTAACAGGACTATTTGGAAGAGTAGGTTGGCAAAAATAATGCTGTGTAAAATACAGTCAGGGAGCTGTATCAATCCCTTTCGGTTGCACGAGAGTTTAAGTTTGCTTATTTGGGATTGCTTTAGCTTTTTATCTGCTAAGTAGGCAGTGCATGTCCAAAGACTCATAAAGTTAATGAAGAAAGTAATGTTTAAAATCAATGCAATCTTCTTAGGTGCATAAGAGTGCACACCCACCTAAATCTGTGATGTTTAGTCTGATTACTTCTGCCTTTGGACTCCAAATAAAGTAGAGCAGCTCTGGTACCCTATGCCCAACATTTTTTTAGTGTAATTTCATGGCAAAAGCAAAATAGCTTTCAAAGCATCAGAGGAACCTTATTGTATCACTACGGAGAAGGAAACAAAGAATTGGAGTGGCCCTGAGACTACAGAATGAACATATTGTTAGGTGGAGGAAAAATGGGGTGTGGGGCTCGTCCTGAGTGGATCTGTTCTCAATGTCTTCTTAGGTTTGGAGCAGTCATTCAGGGGTGTGCTTACCTTGCAAGCAAGATAAATTGTCGCAAGATTTGTGAATTCACAAACGCCCAAAAATACATCTTGCAGGGAGCCAAAAGATGAATTAGTCAGGATACAGAAATGTTTCAGATCAATGAAATGCAGAGACGTGCATGATATCAAAACATTGAACAGTGGCAGAAAGCTAAAGCCAAACAAGATGGCTGCAGCCGTTTTAGCTTTATATTTCAAAAAAGAGAAAAGGGATACAACTTGATCATGGGAAAGATGTTTGTGCATTCCTTCTTGACTGGATTTGGTAAGAGTCTGATCTATCAGTAACTCCGCTAGTTGTGAAAGAAATCGACAATGTGATATGTCACAACTGCTACTGGGGCCGTGATTGGCTAAAAGCCTGATATGGGAGGCAGGTGCCACTTGGTGATTTACCCAATCAGTTCAAAGGATTGTACTGAATGTCCCTCACTTTTGCTGACACTTTCCAACTGAGCTTTTCCAGATGGATACTGTGCAGAATTTAAATTGAGCTACACCTATCAATCTGGCTTATGCCCACTTAGGGGTATGCCCCTGTGGGGAGAAGATTCATAGCTGTATTATCAATTGAGAGATGCTTGATCACTGTCTACTGGTTATGGGTGGCCATGCAAGTGCTCTTTAGTTTTGTCATATTGAGCCCTGGTCTGCCGCCCACCCTGATCACCTCAGGCCATGTGAGGCCTATTCCCTCCCTTGCACACTCCATCCTGGTGGCTGGTGTCTTTGCCTGTCATTGCATTGGTGGTTCTCATCATCGATGGCTGGGTGAATACATGGGTGACAGGTGCTTGGGAGGTGCACCCGGAGCTCTCCTGCAGGAGAGGGTGCAGTTTTACCTGCAATGGTCCTTCTGTGGTTCCTGTGGTCTTGGGGACTTGTGGATGCCTAGGAAACAGTGTCTGCTTTGGATTCTAGGGGGCAGATTTGTGCCTCCTAACGCCTGCTATTTAATATTCTTTTGAAGAAACTTTGTTTATATACGCATACTCCCAAGTGTTCAAATTCAGGTGCTGTTAAACACATAATACCTACAGACACACAGCATTTAGAACTGTGGTCGCCACAAAATACATCTTCTCAATTTTTACTTTTCATTAAGATTCTAATGCTCCACTGCTCCCAAAGCAAGTTTGTTTAGCTTGTCCTTGGCACACAGACAACAATTATGAGTGCTACAGGACATGTAAAATACACCAAAAAAACGGTTCAAAAAACTCTAAATGATACAGCAACAATATAAAAACTCAGAGATTATCAGTATGTCTTATTACAAGCAGGAATGTCTCAGCAGTCTAAACCTTCAGTTGAATTGAACTCTTGAGATCTCTATCCCAACATTTGTAATATGATTCCCTTTCATCCCAGACTACACTGTTAAATCTAAACACAAACTGCAGTCTAACTGGGGCAATCAATGTTACTTTTATCAATTCAACTAACCACATATATACATGTATAGGGTAGATACCTTGCAGTATGTTACCTCTTGAGGTTAAAATCAATAGTTCTCCTGATACACAATAAGCCTTCTTCTTCATTTTTAGTTTCATATATTGTTGGATTCTGATGGCTGATTCTCTGATCTATTTATTATATAGGAAAATTGTTACTTCATTTTAATGGATTTTTAATTATAAAAGTTTGCTCCAGCAGAGGAAATTCCTTAGTCATTGTTTAGAAATTATGTTAAAAAGGGCTTCAGGAGAGATATCATGGGCAAAAATGGAGATAATTCCTGTCTTCCAATAGAACTCATGCACCTTGAGAATCTCCTAATTTTTGTCAAGTGTAAAATCAAAAATTTCTATCTATCTTAATGAGATTGTATTCAACAAAACAACACATACTGCATAATTGGAAAGTAGATGGAAATAACACATGGTTTTGAAATAAAACCACGTTTCTCAAAAGTGTGCCGTTCCATTTGCTGGCTGGATTTTGATTGGGCCTTACAACGCATAGGAATTGTTTGATTAAACCCTCCTATTGTAGCTACGGCTGTTTTTTGAGGGTTGTTCTGTAGCTGGAAGGTGCACCTTGCCACTTTGTTAACAGCATTTTGCAGACTCTAACACATTTTCTTTGAGGAGGATGCTCTATGATTTTCCACTCATTTTCTCATAAACTCTCTCCGACCCTTTTTTTCAGCTATACTGCTAGAAAGAAGCATTCTAATACCGTTCAAACTTCCCTATGTTTACCTGTTTATGGTCATGCTTATGAATTCTTCAAAGTTATTAAAAAAACAGACACATTTCAGTTAAGCACATGCTTATTTTCTCTTCTTTATAAATTATTTCTGAGATTGGCTATTTGAAACCTGAATCTGACAATTTTATACTCCACCTGTTTTTTTTTGTTTTTGTTTTTTTTTTGCTTATCACATAAAATCTTGATAAGCTATATCAAATTGTGCGGTGGTATCATTAGAAACTGAAAGGGGTAGTGTATACTGGGTACTGTGGGGCAGGGTTGGCCTAGTGGTTAGAGCAGTTCGCTTGTGCTCTGAGAAGGTTGCAAGTACCCGGGTCGATCCCCATAGCCTACAGTCTGGGTTCCTAAGCAAGACCCTTAACCCCAAAGTGCTCCCTGGTCGCCACACAATGGCAGCCCACTGCTTCCTAAGGGGATGCGTTAAATGCAGAGGCGAATTTCTCCACTGTGGGTTAATTAGGGAATTTACAATACATTACATTATACATTATAATATAATTTAAATGCTGCTAATCTTTCTTTGTAAAAGTTATACATTAGTAAAACACTCAGTTGTCTGTTTCATAGCTTTAAACCCTTGCGCACCGTAAGTGTTATGTGAGCTAGATAGGTCAAGGTTAGCTTTTCCACATTTGAACTTAAGGGTGTGTATTGACTGTATGCAAGCAAACACAGCACAATCAGTGTTCCTGGCTGCAGAAGAGTACTGTATAAATATTCACCATTTTGACTTTGCAGGCTGAGTGACAGTACAATCTCTTCAGCATGTCAAAAAACAGGATTACATAGAGCCTGATTCAAATGCATCTTTCATCCTTCACGTCTCCTGATCTTTTTTGTTCTCATACCGTTAAAAGAAGCTGTTGAAGATGGGGGAAAAAAAGCACAAAAAACCTTGATGTTATTTCAGAAGTTTCATCACTTGTCAGGCTTTTCAGCTCAACTCAGGAGTTTATAGCTTGCTGGTTGAGTGCCCAGAAACAAAACACTAGAACAATATCTTTAAACCTTTTTTAATTTCCCTGTCTCCTCTGAGAATCTTTAAATAGGCCAAGTGTTCACTTCTCTTGAGTTTCTTTTGTAGGTACTGTGTTGTGTCACATCAATTATGGAGTGATAGGAAGCACATGCCCCTTTGCACTAATTCCATCTGCATTGCTGAGCTCTGGAAAAGCATATTTTACTGCAATCTCCACATATGTCCCACCGTACTGATGTTAGTAAAGTCAATCTCTTTCTGATCTTAAATAACTAATCTTGTATTCTCTTCTTTTACATCTGTCAGGGGTTTCTTTGCAACTTACTTTAAAATAAATTGAGAAGCTTTCCCCTTTAAGTGCTCTGGGCCCTACCTGCATCGGCTGTGCATTATGCTTGTATTGCATTGTACATTGATTATTTAATACCACCCTACATATAGAAACTAGCTCTTGACACATGCTTTAGAAGAACTGGAAGTCCTATACATAAAAAAACAGTAGATTGGATGATGTCTTGTATCCCCCTTTGCAGATTAGTTAATATAAATTTAAATGCAAAAGATTTTTTGGCTTAAATAAATCATTTACAATTAAATCACATAAACAATGGATTTATTAATCTTACTCAGTTAAAAGGATCAGTGCTGCAGCATGACACATTTGGCCTGATGTTCCTGAAGCCCCTCAGGAAGGGGTACTGTGGAGCCTACGCAGGTGTATTAAGAGACACTTTCATTATAAATGTGACATGTCATCTGTGCAGATCAAGGAGTGTAGATGCAAGATGTTTTTCTTCTTCTAATTTTTGTGACTTTTGATGCAAATACTTTCTCTAGACCCATGCTGCATTGCAAGACAACCACAGATTTTGCAGCGCATCTTGCTTGGTGCTCAGAACGTTGGCTGGTGCACCGCAGCAACATCACATAAAACATGACAGGAGCGCCAGGGCGACCCCCTCTTAACACCCACCCACCTCTGAACCATCTGCAATCAACTCACGCTGGGTTGTCCGTTTCTTGCATAATAAAGGAAGATACTTTTTCCACGTCATTTTAATAGGAGCCCCCCCCCTAATATGACAAGCCTCACCTTACCTGGCAATCGTGCAGGATAATGGCTGCTGTCACTGTAGCTGACAGGCTGTGAAGTGTAGTTTCTGCAGTATTCTGCGCTCTGGTAGTATGCAGCATCCCCGCTCCTGAGCTGCAGCGCCATCATCGCCCGAACATCCCTCTGCCAACTTCTCCCCGAAAAACCGGGCGGTCAGACTGGATGACAGTCGCAACCAGGGCGCATACACCGCGGCTCCACCGGAGGGGGAGCCCAACGAAAAGAACTAATTCGGAGAACACACGCATGCTAATTATCATCATGTGCATCGCTACATTTGTTTTATTAAATTTCGTATCTACGCCATAATTTTTTGAGAAGGTTATTTCATTTTTGCGGGCTAGTTTTTGATTACTCAAATGCAACCAGAGCTTAACCAGCATCCCTATTTCTATTTGGTACAGTCCATTTCCGATGCTTCTGCTGCTTCTTTGCATGGGTGGTAATCCTGACACATTGGATAAATATGCTACACCTCTGTGGTGAACTCAAGCCACCCGAGCTGGCAAATAATAACTAAATCATTCTCAGATCAGCATTTGGTGATGATAAATGAGTCATATTAAGAAAACACTATCAAATGGGCTATAGATAGATAGATAGATAGATAGATAGATAGATAGATAGATAGATAGATAGATAGATAGATAGATAGATAGATAGACAGACAGACAGACAGACAGACAGACAGACAGACAGACAGACAGACAGACAGACAGACAGACAGACAGACAGACAGACAGACAGACAGACAGACAGACAGATTGAACACCCACACTAAAATTAATACTTTCTACAAAAGCCTTTGTTTGCAAATTAGTTGCATGCTTTGCTCAGATGTGATTTTGGCCACTTCTTCGACACAGACGGTCTTCAAATCGTGGGCCTGTTCTAGGAACGCTATTCTTAAATTATTTCCATAAACTTTCTATTGGTTTCAATGGAGGTGATTGGCTGCACCGTTCTAGCAACTTTATTTTATTTCGTTGAGACCAACGGAGAGTTTCCTTGGTTGTGTGTTTGGGGTTAATTTCTTGCTGAAATGTCCACCCATGTGTCATCTGTATCTTTCTGGTGGATGGCAGTAGATTTTTTTCTATCAAGATCGTCTCAGTACATTTTTCCGTTCATCTTTCTTTCGATTATTTGAAGTTGCCTGTACCAGGCTCAAAACAGAAGGATCCAGTATTCAAAAGCAGACAAACAGTTAGATTTCACAAAACTAGGCAGAATAATCCAGAGGACAAAGCCAAAAACAATGTTGGTGATGTACTCAGTTGTCTGAGACAGGAGGTCAGAGATCTGGTGAGGTGCTGAGGAAGAATCCAGGACGGAGTCTGGTCACTGTTTCAGGTATGATACACAAACAGGCAGAGATCCAGCAGGAGTCAGAAGACAGGTCAGGCAAACAGGCTCAGAGGTTGAGAGGCAGAACATGTCAGGATTAGGTAATCAGAATGCAGGAACGCTATAATTAGTCTTACCAACAGCTCGGAATAATCTGGAACTGATTACTGGTTTGAAGGGGGATTAAATAGAGACTAATGCAGGTGGGTAATGAGAATGGGGCGACTAATGCAGGTGGGTAATGAGAATGGGGCGGAGCTAAGTAGGCTGTGAAATGAGTAATCAGACCAGGCATCAGTGCCAAGATCTTGACAATATGCTGAAAAAACGCCCCACACCATGATGTTCCCACCTCCAAACTTCACTGTTGGTATTGTGTGTTTGGGGTGATGTGCAGTGCAGTTTCACCTCCATATACAACATGTATTGGGGCATCCAAAGAGATAAATTATGGCATCCAAAGAGATAAATTTTAGTCTCATCTGACCTGGTATTTCACAGGCTTGTCTTAATGTTGTGCAGCAAACTTTAAATTAGCGTAAACATGTTTTTTCTTCAGCAATGGGGTCTTGCCTGATGAACGTGCATACAGGCCATGGCGGCTGAGTGCATTACTTATTGTTTGGTACTTGGACAATTTTTCTGATATGTTTTTTAACTCCTCTGTCAGAAATCTTGCGAGGAGCACCTGGTCGTGGTCGATTTATGGTGAAAAATTTTGTTTTCTCTTCTGGATTATGGCCTTAATATGCTCACTGGAACATGCAGAAGTTTAGAAATCCTTTCTGTTACTAATACCATCATTATAGTTTGCAATAAAGTCTTTACTTTTACCCACCATGAGATGTTTCTTGTGTGATACCAGAGACAACTTTTTATAGGCCATCATTTGGGACTGATCCAGCTGCTATTAATTTGCACTGACAAGGAAGGGGCAGGATTTCTTTCTAATTACTGAGAGATTTTGGCAGGTGTCTTGACTTTCCGTGCCTTTTTGCACCTCCCTTACTTTACGTGTTCCATTATTTTTCACTGTGCCATTCCAGGTTATTTATACATAACTTAATCTATGGTTTGATTTCTTTGTATGTGTGGATTCCATGGGTTGTTATATCAATAACACCTCTAGAAATATATTTATTGAGAAAAATGAGTTGTGTTTAATACTTATGACACCCGCTGTAGATTGATTGATGTTCAATAGAAGAATTAGGTCATATAAATATTAGGTTACCTGTTCTACGATGTCCCTAAATGAACCAATCAGTAGCTTTTGGAAGATACCTTATTTATAAAATGTATGCTGTAGTGTTTTGTTTATTTTATCTAATCTTTCAAAGTGATTTTTCAAGGTCAAATTCATAACACTTTAATTTCTATAACACTTCATTTCAATTTTCTTCTCAATGTATCTACCTCTTGGGTAATTTTACACTATTTTTTGTCTCGTTTTGATCATTTCAGATGTGATTTCAGATTATCACATTAGTTTATGATGACAATGACTTTGTAGAAACTCTTAATACTTACTTTGATTATAAAACTCATTTTGTTATGTGGGTGCAAATGTAAACTATATCAGATGAAAGAAACTTAAGAGTTAATGGCCACAATTTCTCATTTAATGAGTTGGGGTTTATACTTTTCTTTGTCTCCTGTTTACAGAGACACCAATAAAATTAGCTCTTTTCCATATGGCTGATCTGTACTGTAAGCGTATCCACAGCTGTGCCATTTTGTGTATCTGCTCTGTTTTTGTAAACTTCCTAAAGATGGCTGCAAACGTGAAGACTAAATCCAAGAAATTGCTGCTACATGCTGCAGGTGGAGTTATTGCTGCAAAGTGTTAAAGAAAAATGATTATTTTTAGACTTTAATACAGTTAATCTTATGGCATGTGTAAAAGGTATGTTGTATACTCTCCTTTTCTCATATTTCTTATTTTGAACAAGTTTGTGAAGATAACCTTTCCTTGAACCAGATTACTAAATTTAAGTTTGTTCCTGAAAATTTATGGTGAGGCCCCCCGCATTCCACAAGCTGTCTGTGAGAGCTTATCTTGTGTTTTATGACTTTAGGAATTCTAGATGCCAGGACAAGCTTTCCGCCTTTTCTTGTTAAAACAAAGAAGCAAATGACCCCAGATGTTTGCAGTAAATAAGGGGAAGCCCTAGCAGTGTCAGAGATGGCGTTTGGTTGGAGGACCGAGGGCCAGCCCCTTTTTGAATGGATTAGATACAAGAGGATAAAGCTTTCTAAATAGAAGAAAAAGATCAGATTTGCCCTTGCAACTCTCCAAAGATGTCTCTGTACTCTTTGCTTTCTTTCCTCCTATGTCAGGTAATGGAATGTATGTCTCTGTTGTTCTGCAGTTTCTGGTGTAGGTTTGTGCATTGTCTTATTTCTAAAGTGTATGCATTGTCTTATATTGGATTAAACTCTGTAATTCTGTGACGTCAACACGCAATGTTGGTTTTATTACCAAACGCAGCTCGCCGAGTGGACCTGGGGAAGGGAAGAATCAGAAGCCAATCTTTTTCCAACGTTAACTATGTTAGAATATTTTCTTCCTTTACAAAAGTCAATGGATCAGTGTTGGTTTCTGGGTGCCAATAATTTAGCATATTGAACTGAATATAAATCGGATGGTTTGCAAGCTGGGTTGAATCAGAATGTATACATTGATGTAAGTGATGTTGAATCTGTCTATATGACTGGTTTGAAATAATGTTTTTTTAATGTTATTTCTTATTTAAATATTTTACTTTTTTGGTAAGCTATTTTTTTTTAGGAATCTGTGCAATGATAAGAAAACTGAAACCAACAGACAGTTGTTACGTTTTGCCTGATTAGTATATGTTGGATAAGATGTGGGGCCTCTTCTCGGGAGGCCCTTGGTTGTCCTGCAAGGGTGGGTTCATTCAGTTATCTGCCAAAGCTGATATGTCACATCATAATACAAGCCTTTTCTGAATATTCATTTCATTTAACAAACTGGGTGTGAAAAGTTTATTTACACAAAGTCACAAAGTTCTTTAAAGCAAAAAATACTAATTCAATTAAATTTCAATTCAATTTATTTATATAGCGCCAATTTAAAACAGATGCCATCTCAGGGAACTTTACAGAGACAATTGCACCAGATCATTCAGTCAGATTGGTAAAAAAGTTTAGACCTAAGGACAACCAACTGAATGTATTGAATTATTGACTTGCAAGATACATCCCTCTGGATGAGCATGTGGTGACAATAGATATTCACTTGCATTTTGTCGTTAACTCTACAGCAATACCTTACAGCATGTATGCAGCAACAGTGGAGAGGAACAATTCCCTGTTAACAGAAGGAAACCTCAGGCACAGTGTGAGCGGCCTTCTGATGAGTGTTAATGGGCGTTCAAGAAGAGGAAAGTAGACATACCAAATTAAAACATAGAAGCACTGATCTTAAAATACTTTCTATGTTAAAAGTCCATAAGATATAAATCATTAAAATACTATAAGGGGGCAAAATGACTCAAATGACTTAAAGAAACTGAAAATTACACAATAAATAAGACCTTTTATATTTTAACAGAATTATTACATGAATAAAAGTGCCATCTGATGCTTTTTTAAACTAGACAATCGTGTTTGTGTGATGAAAAGGCAGATAAGGTGCATTTTAAAATCAGCCACAGGCTAGAGAGATTTCCAAGAATCTAGAGGGAGGATGAAGGTTTCCGGAGACTGCAAGTACATATATATATATATATATAAAGAACACAAACAGCAATTCCACATAAATAATTTAATCTATTAAAGCAAGACTCAGAAACCTCCTTTGTCTGCTGCCATCAACATGAAACTAGAGACCTTAATCACTTCCCGGTTACTTATTTATTTATTCATTCATTTACTCATGCTGGTGTATTGGTCTGCGAAGTGTGACGGGTCGGAGGTGTTTTCATTGAATGCAGCAGTCTGGAGATAAACTGAATCGACACGTCATTGGCTTTCACTATCGCTCACTGTTTGTGTGTTTATGGAGGGAGGGAGGAGAGGAGGGCCACCGACAGAGACAGCGTGGCTGCTTTGTCGCAGTAACACAACTTCTCCGGCCGAGCTGCAGCTCTTCCCATCCTCAGGTGGAGTCTGAGAGGTCACCGGCAGCTCTGTGTTCTCAGTGACAGGAAAACTGTTAAACCACACCGAAGGGTTTAACCACCTGCTCGCTGTCAACGAAACCTGGAGCAAAAGCGACTCCCCGCTTCTCCCCCTCCGCCGACTGGGAGCCACCATCCCCGGATCGGCCGCAGGGACCCAACCTCAGCGGTTGGTTAGCGGGAAGCTAACACACATAAACCGTGGATATAAACTCAGCAAATAGCTTTGACAAGTAAGCAGCTGCACATAAGATGGTTATACCTTTATATTTCAACCAAAAAAATGTAATGTTTTGTTATTTTTGGGGACGTGTTTTCCTAAAGGGGAGGATAGACAGCATTAGCCGTTAGCTGACTTCCCTTCACGAGCCAACGGGAACCAACCGCCGTCGCTGCTGCTGCTGTTGTTGTTTTGGATTTCAGTTTCATCTCTCTCCAAATATTTCAGTGACAACGTGGAGATGGATTGAACCATGAAGGGCGGGACTGTCCAATCATCCAAATAGGAGGGCCGCTCTCAAAGGTAGGCTCAGCTTTATGTTCAGTCTCCCTCGCATCACTTCTGTCGAGCTTTCAATTAACTTCAAACCCAAAGCTAATTTTATGAACCAAATCTCACCCGATCCCTGGGTCATGAGTGTTTCCATTCACCCAGCCTGTTATGCAGGGTGCTGCAAACCTTCTGTTGTCCACTAATATACTGAGCTGTGTTAGATCTAACCAGTCTGTCAGGAGGACTGTGTCATTACTCAAAGCAAGGGGTGTGTCTGGGCCAGTTTTTCCCCCACTTCCTCTGTTTTAAGAAAACTTCCTCTTTGTCCCAACATTCTTCTCTGCATCCTGGGGATCAGGGTTACAGGCTGACCATATCCGTCATCTTTGAAGATTTCCCTTATAGCTGATTATCACAGGTCTCACTGAAGGCTGACTGGATGGCTTTATTTTCCATCAGCTGGAATCATCAGTTTTCCCCAATGTTTATATTATTCCTGTAGCATTACCTCCTAACCTTAGAGCCTTGCAGGGAGTGGCTCCTTTCAGCAAGTATGCATTGATTCATTAAGTTACAAATGTAGTTCCTCCTGTTTTTGTGTGTTTCTAGAGATCTCCTCTGTGTTTATCACAAATAGAAAGTGTTGGATGTCTCAGCTTTGTTTTCACTATAACACAAATAGCTGAATGTGTGCACAAGATATTGTTTGATGGAGATTTTCAATCACAGTTATTTAATGATAGTAATAATGGAACGGAGCAGTGGGCTGCCTGGGGAGCAGTGTGGGGTTAAGGGTCTTGCTCAGGGACCCAGATTGCAGGCTGTGGGGATCAAACCAGGTACTTGAAACCTTATCAGAGCACAAGCACTCTGCTCTAATCACTAGGCCAAAAATCCCCTATATACCAAGTGGGGTCGCAAAAGATATAATACAAATACTATTACTAGACTGGTTCCATTTTCATATTTAATTAGGTACAACACACTTCTTTTTAAAAGACATAGGATTTCAGTTAATTTCAATTTGTTTTATTAAAACAATACCAGTTTAATGCTTTTTTCCCTCTTTTATCAACAACATATTGAAATTAGCAGGGTGAAACTGGCCATAGAAATCAGATAGAGGTACCACCTCATTTCTCTTTTTCACTAATGTAGCATTTATCGTATAGTGCCAAATAAATTGCAAGCACAGCGTACATTCCGTATAAAAATGTTTCAACTGAAACCTCTGTCATATACTTGCAAATACATAAGCTTTGAAGATACAGAACTGGATAAGATTGCATTCAACTAAAAACAGGAAAAGACCCCAGTTTAGTCATAACAGCAAATCTAAAGTAGGAATAATCCGTTTCTATTAAACATGAGTATTTTTTTTAAATCATCACATTATCAGGAATATAAGGTGATATGGAGGATGTAACTTGTTATTAAGCTGTTACCAGAGAACAACAGTAAGTTTATCGTCAGTGCCATGCTGAGGGGATGCTTTGCTTCCTTCATAATCAGACTGCACATTATTTTTCTAATGATGGTATGAGCTAATATTAAATATTGGAAAATATATTTTTAAATGTGGTAAATTATAAGAGAATATTTGTATGATCCAATGGGTTTACTTCCAATCTTTTTAGTTTTTCTAATAGTTTTTAAAATCTGGAGATGACATTATTTTACACACATTTTCCCAGCAGTGTGTCTCAACAGCTGACTCACTTTGTGCTTATGGTTGTGTTGTGTTGGACCCTAGCAGGCTGTCTAAAGCAGTTGTGTCATTTCCCAGTGCTGAATGACACAAGGCCGGATGAAGTAATCATGACTTCAAACTTCAATGCTTTGCTTTTTAGCCTGGCCTTTTTTTTTTTTTGTTAATATTTGTTAAGTGTGTCGCAACTAGGGGTGTGCAAAATAATCGTGATGATGATGCATCGTGATTCTAATTTTCGTGATCTACTGCATCGATTCTTGATGCCAAGAATCGATTATTAATTTAAAAAAATGAATAAATAAAATTGCATGAATGGTATGCAAACATCAGCCAAAAACAAGTGTAATACCACTTCCAGTCCAGTAGATGTCGCTGCAAATGTGTTGACGCATGCTGCCTTGTGTCACAAGCATTTCCGGCCGCGGGATACTGTGCCGAGTCATTCAAAAACAAAACATGGAGGAGAAAATATTGCAATGCATCGCAATAATTCAAGTATCGTGATAGAATCGCATCGTGGCCTGTGAATCGTGATTCGAATCGAATCGTGACTTCTTTGGCGATACCCACCCCTAGTCGCAACAATACTAATGCTTTCCTCCTGAAAATGTTTTTTTTTGTAAAGCATTACATTTTCTTCAAATATTATGCTTTTGTCATTCTCCTTTTTATATTCTTTTGTTGTTGTTTTTTTTTTCTAGAAGCTAGAACTAAAATACATCTGTTGTCCTTTAACATTAGAAATCCCAACGGTTCTGAGATTTTAAAGGGAAAGAACTTTATTTACATTAATCAAATGTTGCTCATGTTAAAGGGGAATTTCGTTTTTTTTTTTTACATTTGGCCCTTGATTTTAGGTTGTTACATCATGTTCTACACACGCTGCTTTGTTTTTAAAAAATAGAAATACAAAAAATATAACCGCGGATGTCTGGGGGACAGTGATTCGTCTACATGTTATGAATGCTGGTATTCCCCTTTAAGTTTCTTTTGGCCTCAGACTGGTGATTTTATAAATAATGTCTACACTAATCAGCATGTATAGAACTTATAAAATGTTGAATACTAGCTGTATTTATGACAATTTATATATGCTGATTTTACTTCTAGAAGTATTTTTAAGTTGGGCTTTTTAAATATGTTTAAGAGACATTATTTGACTTTTTAGGTGACTCTTTACAACTAAACCAGCATTTAATGGTCAGACCATCACCTCAGTAATTCAGCGTAGATGCATCTATAAGCCTGTAGCCTATTTTCCCTGAACGACTTTGGACGTCAAGCGTGTCCGATGTAAATGGGTCCGACCTAGTAAACAATCAAGGCGTTTGATCCAAGATGGAGTTTGTGGAGAATCAAGCAGCATCCAGCTTAATTCAGACACCAATAGCAACTCCATGTAAGGTGAAAAAAGTACAAAATTAAAAAAAACTGTTAAGTATGAGTCCTGCAGTTCTGTGTTTTGGCAACAGGTGACAGTATCATTAGAAAACTCCCTAATGCCTTTAATGTAACTGATACTAAAATATTTTATTTCTGATCTTTTTAATTTCTAAATTAAACTGATCCCTTTGTGTAACATGTAGCTAACAGTGAGCTGCTGCTGTGAGTCTAAAACTCGGGTTACACTTTAAGGCTGATTTATATTCAGAAACCAGGTCGTTTGCGTGTGTGTTACAGTTAACGCAAATGTGCCCCTTCCGCAAACACTCTGTTGCACCTCTCCAAAATTGTAGGTGACCACAGACAGAGCCGCAGACGGGAGGCCTCTGATTGGAATCTACATCCGCTCTACACTATGCGTATTTCCTGTTTGGTACCTTACCGGCTTGTTTTGTTTGTATGACTGCCATTGTGGAAAACGACTTGTGAAGTTGGACCAGCTAGAAGAGCGAGGTGCATGAGATCACTGGGACCCTTTTTCCACCTGGATCCCCACTCTTTTTCACCCTCATGTCTCTCCATGGTCGCACAAACTTGCCCCCACTTCCTCACCACATAAGCGACCCACAGCTAGTTTGTGGTTGTCCCTCTTGCATTGTGGCGTGGAATAACATAGCACAGACCACACTTCAATATTGGGCATAAATAAAACATTTCTGTGACACACTGCTGCGGGAGTATAACCAGCCCTTCAGTCAAAAAGACCTTAGGGTTGTTGGAATGTATTTTGCCTTTGGGACTGGCAAATGGGAAGTTAAAGGAATCTGATAAACCCTTGTAGATGTGCATAGACCTACTTTGATATTTTAGAGGGATAATTTTTCTTAGGATTGATATTGAGTTTAACATTTTAGTATTGCATAAATTCTAGTGCAAAAGCTTTGTCCATAAGGTAGAAAAAACATATTTCCACATCTGCTTTTTATAGTTAAGCCTTTTGAAAAAATAGGGGTTTACATGACTTCAATGGCAGTAAGTGGTTGATGTTAGGACATGGCTTTTATGTAGACGTAACTGGGCTGAATCACGATGTTGTTGTCCACTTTTTGTGCTCCTGAAATATAATTAGAGCTGGGAGCAAGAGATTCAAAGGTCTGAAATGAGTCTGGGACATAGTATAGCTGACCTGACCTGGAGGGATGGATGCAACTTCAATGTGGTCATTACGGTACTTTAGTAATTTCAAAATGCTTTGCACGTATTGATCTTGATCTGCTGATATGATTAAAGAAATGTCTTTTTTAATGTCAGAGGTTAGGTGAAAGTAGCAACTGCTACTTTTCTTTGAAATTTGTAGTTTCACGATTACCACTCAGCTCAATTTTCAGAAAATAGTTTGTTGAATTTTATACAAATGATTTCTCCCATGTTCTTATTAGAATGCAGAGATTTGGATCAACCTTGAAAGATGAATTTCTGACCAAATGGAAAAGTCATTATTTAGTCTTGAAGCTTTCCATGTTGTTACGTTACTGTCATAAGCTGCCTGCATTGGGTTTTGTTACAATATTTAAGTATGAGATCAGCACAAAGTAGGAAGAAAAAAAATAGATGTTGGTTATTCTTTTTCGACCAAAAAGGTGAATTTATATTTAGACCCCTGGGTTTGTACTGTTAACAGTATACAAAGGCTGCAGTATTTAGCATATAGGTAAAAAGGTTTCTTATTGATCTAAATAGATCAGACCAGCTTATACCCATTTCCTATGCCCCTTGCATGGATGGTATTGTTTAACCTTTTGAGGAATTGTGACAATATTTACTTTGATATTCTTCTTGTCAAGACAAGGCCAGTTTGCCCTCTAGGTTACATTCTTCAGAAAACACCAACAAAAAAGGTCTGATTGGGTTAAAATCAAATCTGTTTAGTTGTGATGTACATTTGTAGAGACCAAAAACTTTGATTATCCTTCTCCTGCATTGTGTTGTCATAAATAGGTACACTAAATTGAAATATAAAGGGATTTTCCATCCCAGTGTCACAAGGCGCAGGCATCTGATGCAAAGTGTTTGCTTCAAAGTGAATGACACAATGCATGTGACTGTCCACTGTTGTTACATACTTATCCAGGAGGAATTGAACCTGAAAGTCAGAAACTCGATGCAATCAGCTGGGTTTCCTTTGATAGAAAACTACAGCCAATCTGTATGATTTCACTGAATTGGTGTTGAGAATTGGTGCAATATGAATGAAAATGAATGCATAGTCTGTTATTAGTCCACGAACATGTCTGAGTTCAGATCTGTAGTTGACCCAACAGCTTTACCGGATTGATTGAGCAAACTCGGACTAAACCACAGATTGTAAGCCTGACTGGCAAATTCAACAATAAATCCTCCATCTATAGCAGTTCTCAGTGGACTCAAAGTAACAACATCAACCAACTGAATGGCCAAATCAATCACACTTTGGAGTTTTGGGATAATGGGACTTTTAAATTCCTATGCATTCAAACTGTAGTATGTAAACTGATAAGTTCCCTTTGGGTAACGCTGGTATGCTTTACATAGATGCTGGTCATTCTAGCATTTCCTACTTTTGTGGGTGGTTGCAACATGATTGGTGCACTTTACATGGCTTCTTTGTGGTTCAGCTGCTGTCGTTTCTAATCACTCCCATCTTGTCAGAGCACCATCGATGGTGGAATAGTGATGACTAGGGGTGGGTATTAGTGTTGCGCCGATGCCATTTTTTGGCCCCGATACCCGATACCTGGCTGTGCAGTATCGGCCGATACCGATACCATATTAATGTAAAATAATTGCCATCATGGCTTTGTCAAGCTGCTGCCTTCCTTTGTGAAGCAGGAAAAAATCTAATTCTAATCTAAAGTGAATCCAGTAGAACTTTTTGGGTGACAATAGTTGAATAAACTTATGGCTCTCAAAATGGTATCGGTGCCCTATTTGTTGGTAGTCGCCGATACCGATACCACCATTTTAGGGCAGTATCGGGGCCCCGTCCGATACTGGTATCGTTATCAGTGCAACACTAGTGGGTATTGGCAAAGAAGTCATGATTCAATTCGAATCACGATTCACATACCACGATGCGATTCTATCACGATGCATCACGATACTTGAAATATTGCGTTGCATTGCGATATTTTCACTGAACACTGTAGGAAAAAGATACAGCCCTTACCAGTGGCTGACTAGCTGGGTATGATCTGGACTGTGTCTTCAATTGATACATAACTGAAAGCAACTGAATTCATACATAGCTGTATTTATTGAAACGACTTTTGGAGGTGTTGCCATGAAAACAAATACTGGACAAAAATATTACTATTACTGGCGTGGACACACTGTCAAAAAGATCTTAGGATTCATCAAACTTAAAATAACAAAATAAGGATAATCAGTGCCGTTTAAATGGCCTCAGTGGTCCTTTAAACCAATGAAATGAAAACCTTCAAATGTATGACATTTCCCCTTTTGTAAATTACGTGCGTCATATCAATTTCGATTTTATCTTCTTTGTTTTGTAAGCCAAAATGCATCCAAGCATCTGACTTGAAATGTGATGGAACCGTGGGGCGAATTTTCATAGTGTCCTCCATGTTTATTTAATGACTCGTCGCAGTATCCCACGGCCGGACATGCTTGTGACACAAAGCAGTGGGCGTCAACACATCCGCAGCGACATCTGCTGGACTGGAAGTTGTGTTCCACTTGGTTTGGCTGATGTGCGCCAACCGTAGGGTTGGGAATTGAAAAGATTTTCACGATTCCGATTCCCTTTTCCAATTTGGGGGAAAAAGGAGAACAAACAGTTTGATTATCAGCATCAACTTTGTTTACTTAACTATTGCACAATCTTACAAACTCAACAAGATCAAGATGTCCACAGGTAATGTGAAACTGGAGTAACATCTGTGTTTAAATGAAAAATGAATACAAGAACAAACTTAATAACCAACAATGTCTAATAACAAATTATGGGATAATAACCTATTTTAAATAACAAAAAATACTAATTATAAAACAGTAGTAGGGAAAATTAACACTTCTTTTGCAGAAAGATGAGCATATCTGCTTTTTCTGGAAGGATACAGGATCTTTCAGGGCTTATGGTGTCTCCAGCCGTGGAGAACACCCTCTCAGATGGGGTGGAGGAAGCCTGCACACAGAGGTAGTTTTCAGCCAGTCCAGATAGCAAGGGCAGCGTATCTTGCTTGTTCCACCACCACAGAGTGGCGCTATCCCTGCAGGGGATGGAGGGCAAGCTTTTACAGAGCTGGATTTCCTGGTCTACCCTCTGGGCTAAGGAAAGACGGGGCTTTGATTCACAAAGTGACCGCAGCTCGTTGTCTTCCTCCTCGAATTGTTCTTCCAACTTGCGTAACTTGCGTAACTTACGTAGCTTGCGTAACTTACGTAAAAACGTGACGTAAGTCGTGCTCCCCAGAGCCGGCGCTCTAGGCTCTGGTGCTGCGGGAATCGAAAAAAGAATCGTTCAGCGAGCTGCCAAACGATGCCATGGAATCGGAAAATACGGAACCGGTTCTTAACAGGAACCGGTTTTCGATTCCCATCCCTAGCCAACCGTTCATGTATTTTATTTGTTCATTTTTTTTAAATAATCGATTCTTGCCTTCAAGAATCGATGCAGTAGATCACAAAAATTAGAATCGCGATGCATCGTCATGACAATTATTTTGCACACCCTTAGTGATGACTGGACCGAGCTCCTCGGAGAGACCCGGTCATTTCACACGTCTATGGAAACAGTCTGAATCCCCCATGTGCTTAGTGGCTGTGGAAATGAAGTACAGTTTTAGCTTAAATGCTCTTACTGGGTTTTTCTTTCAGCAAGAGCATGTTACAGTAATTATTATTCAATTACTAAATTGGTTAACAGCTATTTAGATAAGGAATTTATGAAATGTATTCCAGTTGATTTAAAGAAATATTCGGTATTCAAATCACTAATGAGTGAAACTCACTTTGATAAATACCTACCAACAGAAAGCCCCTTAGTTATTTTGCTTGATTTACATTCATAATCAGCTATTTTTTCTAAGAATCAAATGTACATGGTTAGTAGGGACAGGGGATTTGAATCACCTAATGGTGATGTGGAGGAATGGCTTGTTGTACATCTCTGACCTGCATATCTCAAGGGATTTTATAATTCTTACTGTAAAATAAAAGGAACTTTGTTTGCTTTCTGTCTCCCTTCAGGTTGTGCTCTTCAGCTTACCTTTGCAACAGAGCTGAGAGACTGAGCAGAAGATGCCTCCAAGGCCATCCTCAGGGGAGCTATGGGGCATCCACCTGATGCCTCCAAGGTAAGTCTCCCTGTTCTAAAACTTATTATGTTGGTATACAAGTGTTAGAATAATTGTTTTATCATTTTAAATAAGAAAAAAATCCAGACTATTTTTCTTAACAGAGCCCTAATAATGTTTCTTGGTGTGTCTTTAGGATCCTTGTGGACTGCTTGCTACCCAATGGGATGATTCTGACTCTGGAGTGTCTCCGAGAGGCCACTCTAATTGCCATCAAGCATGAATTGTTCAGGGAGGCCAGAAAGTATCCTCTTCACCACCTCCTACAGGAAGAAACATCATACATTTTTGTCAGTGTTACACAGGTGAGAAATCAATGGGAGTTGAAATGTGTGAGGATCAAACATGAAATCAAGAAGATCGAATAGCATGAACCACAGTGTAGGGATTTATCTTGAAATGCCTGAGCATCTTAGCACACTGCTTGGGCAGGTGACAATTAGCAGCATTCATTCATAGGTTACCTCACTGGAACAAACTGCCTTTGGCTGGGAAGACGACCTGTGCCAAAAGTATTTTTTTAGTTTGAGTTATTTAGCAATACAGAATCTTAAATGCTGGGTACATTTCCACTTCAAACCTTGCTTTAAAGATGATCTATCAGTATCATTATTGACCAATCCTTCTGATATTCTACCTACAAATAGGAAGCAGAACGGGAAGAGTTCTACGATGAGACCCGGCGGTTGTGCGACCTTCGACTCTTCCAGCCTTTTCTCAAGGTCATCGAGCCAGTCGGCAACAGAGAAGAGAAGATCCTGAACAGAGAGATTGGTGAGATCATGGGTTTTATTGAAACAACTTTTTTTTTCATTGAAAAGATATAAAATAAAAAATAAGTCCATGTATTTTTTTAGAATGCAGATTAATGCCTTATTCACACAAGACAGATTAAAGTAATGTGTTCTTGTTTTGTTTTGTGTGTAAGGATTTGCTATTGGCATGCCCGTGTGTGAGTTCGACCTTGTGAAGGACCCTGAGGTTCAGGACTTCAGGAGAAACATCCTTAATGTTTGTAAAGACTCTGTGGAGCTGAGAAATGCCAGTGGTCCTCACAGCAGAGCTCTGTATGTTTACCCTCCCAATGTGGAGTCAACAAAGGAACTTCCAAAACACATCTCAAGCAAACTTGATAAAGGTATTACTAAACATCTTCTATTTTTAATTCAATTAAGACATTCGAATCGGTGATTCTCAGAGAAACATTTGAAATGAGATGGGTTTTACTGATGTATGAAGTCTGGAGAAATGAAGCAACATGTTCGATCCGTTTACTTTCATAGCATTGATGTGATTTTTTTTCATCCCCTCTTACAGGTCAGATTATTGTTGTGATATGGGTGATAGTTTCCCCAAACAATGACAAACAGAAGTATACGTTAAAGATCAACCATGACTGTGTGCCTGAACAGGTGGGTTTCATTATCCACTGACCCTAAATGCATATGTATTTTAAAGGCAGATTTTAATTTGAAGCTTTGAAAAATCACTAAGATGAGAGAGCGTCTATTGTCCGATATATGTGTCAAACATTTCTTTTTTTGTCATGTTTTTCTGATAATGGTTATAAAGTGTCATTTTAAATAAGAATTAAGAGTTGTTACTATAATCATTAGACTTAGATTTAGACAGATTTATTTGTCATTTTGTTTACACAAGTGTAAAACAAAAAGAAATTTTGTTTAGAACAGCTCTCTGGACATTTTGATTTTTTTTTTTTTTCAAGTACAGCCTTAAAAAATAGTAAAAAAAATATATATATAAAAACAGCACTATATATATATGACTGTAAATTTACAGTTCTAACATTTTCAGTTTTTTTGTTCATTATAATGAACATAGTACATTTTTATTTTGATGGTTGAATATTCACATATATTTCCCAGACATCATTTCATAGCATTTAGAAAAACAGAAGTGTGCATTCTTAGGCTACGTTCACACTGCAGCCTGAAGTGACCCAATTCCGATTTTTTTGCCCATATGTGACCTGTATCTGATCTTTTTATGACAGTCTGAACGACACAGATCGGATTTTTTCAAATGCGACCCAGGCCACTTGGATATGTGGTCCTGAATCCGATACGTATCTGATCTTTTCAAATGCGACCTGTGTGTGTACGGCCAGGTCGCATTCATCCGACCTACACGTCATTGATACTTGATAAATGTTACTAAACATTACTAATCTGCGTCCTACTAAGCGGAGGCGGGAAAAACTAACAACCATTGCGGAAGACAACACAGAGAGCAGTCAATGGAGAGAAATAGCTCGATTCAGATCAAACTCGAAGGGTCTTACCGGAACCGGGTCTTTCTTTTTGATCTTCTTAAAAAGATTTCGTTCGTAATGTGCCTGCTCCTGTTGGAGAAGAACTTAAAGAACGCAATATACGCTGCGGTATTACGAGTCATGTTTACTTCCGCAAACACTGAGGACGCTTGCTACAAGTGACGTCATCGCGTCCTCGAGTGCGCATGCGGGACACTTCGGTTGAACGCTTTCAGTTCACACAGTAGATCACATACAAGTCGCATATACTTGGAAGTGTGAACGGACACGCAAAAAAATCCGATTTCACAAAAAAATCGGAATTGAGCATTAAGGCCTGCAGTGTGAACGTAGCCTTAGAGTGGGCCTCAGAGGACGCAGATATAAAGACCACAAAGTATACCAAAAAATAGTATCAGGCTTTTAGCTACAGCAATGCATACGTGCGTACATTGTATGGCCTTTATAAAAAAAAAATAAAAAACAGCCAAATTGCACGCCCTGCTTTTGCCCTGGAAACTTTGCTCAAATGTTCAAAATTTCACAAGCAGCACATGCTAAAGCTGGAAAAACTGAATTTTTGTTGCTCAACATGCCTGATCAACCAATCAGAGAAGCTGATCTTAGGTTGGCAGGGAGACAACTGTTTATTAATGCCTAAATAAATTTAAAACAACAAAATCAACAAAGTATGTTTGCTTTTATTATCCTGGTGCCTGGAATTTGTGCCATATACTTGAGAAACACTAACATCTATTTTTAGCCATCATGAACAATAGGGGAAAGCCCGACCGGGGCCTGATGCAGCTGGGAATGAGTGACAGCGCACAATCTTGATGAACTGACTGCAATTTTGAGGTGGACTTTCTCTGATAAAAGTATATTAAAACTACATTTTACCCACTTATAACAGCAAATATAGCAAAGCAGCTCTCTGCCATTTAACACAGGAGCAGCAGAAGCATCAGACACATCTGGACATTTTACTGGATGCGCTTTAGGAGTATTAAAGATGCTCTTGAGGCGCTTCTGACCTTAATGTGGACAAGAGTCAAAAATGAAGCAGCAGGGGCTTTTTTGCTGCTTAAATCGTGCCGTGAACGTAGCATTTTAGTTTGAAATAACCTTTGAAACTTAACCTATGAAACTTCCACCTCTAGTCAAGCATACATGCTTCCTATAATCAATAGTAGTGTTGTAATACAGAGAAAAAGTTAGATGTATTCCACCTCAAAATGCAGGAAATGGCATTTCAAAATTTCCCCTTATGCAGCGCAAAGCCTAACCATGTGATACACCAAGGTGTACACCTTATGAAATATTCCTAGCTAAAAGCCTGAGTCATATAATGGCCTATAATCATGGAGAAGGAGTTTTTGGTACCATTTACAAGGAGGAGTGGATGGTGCAAAATATCATTGCTAAAGAACCTGGCTGTTAAGACTGTCGACTATGAATGTGAAGTTGAACGGAAGGAAAAACTTAAAAAGTGGCAAAAACGACAAGGATAATTGCTGCCTTCAAAGAATATGAAAATAAGCCTATTGAACAGTTAAAGCTGTAATTTCTAGGTCTGGAGATGTTTTTTTTTGACGAAAAGTATAGTTATTTATGTAAAATGAGCCCTATCATATTATTATGAAGATATCATTTACACCACATTAACATATTTTCAGTAGGCTGATGCTTCTGAATATAAAAATCCTTCTTTAATTGTTTTATGTGATAAAACATTTTCAAAGAATTAGGATTTTGGCAGCTCCATCGGCTGTTAAGCATCAAAATATCAGGAAAAAATCCCACCAGTTAATAAAGCTATATAAATTTAATTTGAGATATTTTAATTCAATTCCTGAAAAAATTGTTTTTAGTGATGCTATGGTTCATCCCATCTGTTCACTAATTGATGCTGCTAAAACAGCCTCCAACTTTATCTGCCTGATTGCTTCGTGCCTTAAAGGTGATTGCAGAGGCTATTCGCAAGAAGACGCGCAGCATGCTGCTGACCCAAGACCAGCTAAAGATGTGTGTTCAGGAGTATCAGGGGAAATACATCCTCAAAGTTTGTGGCTGTGATGAGTATCTACTGGAAAACTACCCTCTTAGTCAGTACAAGGTAAGATCCAGCCAAATTACTGTGGTTGAACCTGCTTTACTCCAATAGATGTTTGAGGTTGTTTCTTTCTCTTTTCTTCCAGTACATCCGTAGTTGCATCATGCTGAACAGGATGCCTAACCTGATGCTGATGAGTAAAGACAGTCTGTACACCCAGCTTCCTACAGATAACTTTGTCATGCCATCGTATGCTCGACGCATCTCCACGGCAACATCGTATATGAATGGAGAGGCATCTTCCAAGTTGCTGTGGACCATCAACGGAACTCTGCGAATACGGATCCTTTGTGCCACCTATGTTAATGTGAATATACGGGACATAGACAAGGTGGGGATATCTGGCTCTTATTAATCTACATTAGTTTTTTGGCTCCATAATTGGAGTTTATTAGCTAAAAAAAAAAAGAAGGCTAATCGGCATTATTTTCAGTTTGGTAGGATACAAGTTTAGCTTGAGACGACAATAACTTGACTGTTTTATTAAGATCTGCACCTCATCCTGTTGTCCTACTTGCTTGCCTCCTGTTGAAACAAAAGGCCATTGTGTTGCTCTAAAGTGATTTCTACCAAGGGGAAGCAGATCTGTTGCTTTGTGCAGCTTTTCTTGCTGGAATAATTTTAAAATGCGGGGAAAAAGCCCTAAAAAACTTTTTACAGTTGAATTAGTAGCAAACCTTTTGTCAAATCTCTGATCAATATGATTAATACTTTCTGGTTGTAACAACATTACTTTGAAAGCATTTTGTTTAGCCATTTTAAATGTCCTTTTTTGTAGATTTATGTGAGGACTGGAATTTACCACGGAGGTGAACAAATGTGTGACAACGTCAACACGCAGAGAGTACCTTGTTCTAATCCCAGGTAAGTTATCACAATTTGAAAAGACATTAAGAGTACTTTGTTATGGTTGGTTAGGATAAGTGGTCTGATCTTCAAACATTCCCATGTGCTACGATCGCTTGTTCGAAATAAGAGAAAAGAAATGGCACAAGCAGTAAATGGGTGTGTTAGCCGAGCTTTGTCCTGCTATCGTGTTTACAGTTGTTCCTATACATGCCAAGCTTTTGAAGATCAAGTCTACAATGTTCTGTTTTAAATCCACACCAGGGTTAAACAATAAAAAAATCAGTGGGGTCCGAATAAAGAAAATTAACAACCAGTAAAAGTTCGGAGACATTTTTATCATAATCCATTACTCTAAACAGCATTTCACACTGAAATAAAAAGTAGGTGTTTATGCATCCATGTTATACATTGAGTTTTTAAATAAGAAATCTAAAAAATTTTAACATTTTTGCATTTTAAAATCAAAATTGCTTTCATACTAGAGAACAGCAATCGTCCAATTTGGTATATAGACAATTTCCTCACTCACTTGAAAACTGACTGTTTTTATATTTTTATTTTTTATGGCTTAATGAGAGAAAGGGGGCTTTATGCTGCCCTGCAAGGCTTTAAACCTGAGTTTATATGGTGACAAAGTCATTCAAAAGCACATATCAAGGTGCTCATTCGTGAGCCTGGATCGATATTTATTACTAAAAGTAGCTAGCAGCAGCAACCCCTGCTGACACAGCTCATTGGCTAATTTGTATCACATGCAGCTTGGTGCCGGATGCTCCAGATGGCTTTACCATATTAACAGGATAAGCACTGCAATCCGGAACCTGGTCCGCTAATCTGTGACAACTGATCTACCCAATATTACATAAAGCAGTTAGAGGATGGGGGAAGGGCTTAAGAGTTTAGAGCAGGATGGTAACAGTAATTGGCTGCTTTTATGACTTAACCAAGTGCTAGGTGTGGATTTATCCCAAAGGCCATAAAAGTATTAAAGTTGCAGGAAGTCTTCCTTGTAGATTCTGGTCATAGAGCATTCCTCTTTAAAACTCTGGATTAGTGCTTCTATGATCTCTTTGTATGTCTTCTAAAACCATCAAATGGTCGTGGTGGAAGGTGGTTCTCAATGAGCCTGGTTGAGAACTAGGAGCAAAACCTCTCCCGAAGGTTTTGTTCCTGTTTAAAGCATAGTTTTCTTCTCCACTGTCGCTGCATACGTGCCTGGTATGAGCGATTGCTGCCAAGTTAACAACACAGTGCCAGCAATTGTCCACAGTTACTACATGTTTTTACAGGATTATTTCTACAGGCACTTCACCAAAAGCAATCTGCTGGACTTAGATAACAATATATTTTGTAAATTGGAGCTATAAAAATGAATTGTTTTGATAATGGTTTGAATACCAAATAAGTTTATCATTGTTGTTACCCCAGTCCAGTTAATTGCTAAGGTGAACATCTAAGTACTCATCAGAGTGCACTTTCACTCCTGGATATTCACCAGTGTTAGCGTATTGGAAAATTAACCACCAGCTCCTAATTTTTCTCTATGTTATTTGGATGTGTGTCCACTAGCACCAGTGCATAGAACCCTAGTTTCAGTTTGTTTGAGTTGTCCTCACTGAACAATGAGGCTGCCTATGACAGGCTCACCCAATAAAAATTCTCATATCCTGGCGCTTCTCATATCCTGGCGCCGCCTCGGGTGGCAGCCTGTAGCCGCAGCTCCCGCCGTGCATTTTTAACTTTTATTTATTTGTTAGTGTGTTTCTTTCCTTGTTTTTCTATTTATTGCAAGTCCGTACATAAACGTTGGAACAATGGCTGGATTAAGTTTTGCGACTCTTTTCCGCGTTCTTCTGTTACTTTTTTTTACTTTTTGTAACTGAGAGCGTTGCCAGCAGTAGCAGGGGCATTGTTTACACGCGTGATCAGCTGATTGCTCTGTGTAAGCCCACGCTGCTGCCCGGAGACAGGCCTGTGGTCCCGGAGGAGTTACGGAGGAGACGCCGGGGTTGCAGAGCTGGAACCAAGCGGAGGGAGAAAAGGAGAAGACATAGGCCAGCGGTCCCAGCGATAATAATGGGAAATGTGAGGTCTTTGGCGAACAAGACGGACGAGCTCTCAGCGCTGGTGAGGACTCAACGGGAATACCGCGAGTGTAGCTTATTTTGCTTCAGTGAGACTTGGCTACACTCCAACATCCCGGACAGCAGTGTGGAGGTCACCGGTTACAGTTTGGTACGTGGAGACAGAGACTGTTCTAAAAGTGGGAAGAAGAAAGGCGGCGGGCTTGTACTTTAGGTGAGTGAGAGGTGGTGCAACCCTGGACATGTCAGAGTGAAGGAACGTCTCTGTACCCCGGACATTGAACTGCTGGCTGTGGGATTGCGCCCGTATTATTTGCCAAGGGAGTTTACATCTACCATTGTTATTGCTGTCTACATCCCACCATCAGCTGATGCAGCGGTGGCCTGTGACGTCATCAGCTCCGCCGCTGCTAAACTGCAGACTGATCATCCAGATGCGTTCATGGTTATTACTGGTGATTTCAATCATGCCTCACTGAACAATACTCTCAGTAACTTTCACCAGTATGTTAACTGCCCCACCAGAGACAATAAAACACTGGATTTATTATACACCAATACCATGGACGCATATGAAGCCGCAGCCCTCCCTCCCCTCGGCAGGTCAGACAACAACCTGGTCTTGATGACCCCGAAGTATGTCCCACTTGTGAAAAGGCAGCCGGTGCACACCAGGGTGGTGAGGAGGTGGACACCAGAGGCTGCTGAGGCACTGCAGGACTGCTTCGAGTCCACAGACTGGGACGTGTTATGTGAGCCACATGGGGAGGACATCGATGGGATGACCAACTGCGTTACGGATTACATCAGATTCTGCGAGGACACCACCATGCCAGCCAGGACCGTCCAGTGCTTTCCTAACAACAAGCCCTGGATTACCAGTGACCTGAAGGAACTTCTGAACAAAAAGAAGAAGGCTTTCAGGTCTGGAGACAGAGAGGAGCTGAGGAGAGTGCAGCACGAACTCAGGGACATGCTGAGGATGTGCAAGGACAATTATAGGAGGAAGCTGGAGGCCAAACTCCAGCAAAACAGTGTGAGGGACGTGTGGGCTGGAATGAAGTACATCACGGGGATGAAGGGGAAGGACAGGCAGACACCTGGGAGCCTGGATAGAGCGAACCAGTTCAACCAGTTTTTTAACAGGTTTAACTCACCTCCTGCCACCCCTCTGACACCTCCAGCCCCCCACACACTCACACTGTCCCAAATGGCTCAACCCTCCCCCCAGCCTTCTCCTGTACAGCACCTCTCCACCACCACCCTCCCCTCCTCCTCCTCCACTGAGGACATCTGCACCAACCCCCGTGTGACTACAGGCCAGGTTAAGAGGCAGCTGGAAAGACTACATCAGCGCAAGGCTGCAGGCCCTGATGGCATCACACCCAGGATCCTGAAGACCTGCGCCAGCCAGCTGTCTCCTGTACTGGGACATCTCTACAACCTCAGCCTGAGTCAGGAGAAAGTCCCATTGCTGTGGAAGACGTCGTACTTGGTTCCTGTCCCCAAGAAGCCGAGGCCATCCGACCCAGCAGACTACAGACCGGTCGCCCTCACATCACATGTGATGAAGGTCCTGGAGAGACTGGTCTTAGCCCAGCTGAGGCCATAGGTGAGGACGTTTCTGGACCCTTTGCAGTTTGCCTACCAGTCCCACTTAGGAGTTGACGATGCTGTCATTTACTTGCTGCAACGAGCCCATTTGCATCTGGATGGTGGAGGAGGCACTGTGAGGATCACTTTCTTTGATTTCTCCAGTGCTTTCAACACCATTCAGCCTCTGCTGCTGGGTGAGAAGCTGCGGGTGATGGGTGTCGACGACACAAGGATCTCCTGGATTACTGACTACTTGACAGGCAGGCCACAGTTTGTCCGTCTGGGCAGTGTCCTGTCTGATGTGGTGGTCAGTGATACAGGGGCTCCACAGGGAACTGTGCTCTCTCCCTTCCTCTTCACCGTATACACCACTGACTTTCAGTACAATTCTGAGTCATGTCACCTGCAGAAGTTTTCTGATGACTCAGCTGTTGTAGGGTGTATAAGAGAGGGAGAGGAGGGGGAGTACAGGACACTGGTGGACAACTTTGTGGAGTGGTCCGAACAGAACCACCTGAGGCTGAATGTCAACAAGACCAGAGAGATGGTGATTGACTTCAGGAGAGAGAAGAGGTCTTCACAGCCACTACGGATTAGGGGGGAGGTGGTGGAGGAGGTGGAGGACTACAGATACTTGGGAGTGATAATTGACAATAGACTGGACTAGAGGTCTAACTCTGAGGCTGTGTACAAGAAGGGGATGAGCAGACTGTATTTCTTGAGGAAGCTGAGATCCTTCAATGTGTGCAGCAAGATGTTGGAGATCTTTTACCAGTCTGTTGTTGCCAGCACCATTTTCTTTGCTGCTGTGTGTTGGGGCAGCAGCATTAGAGCCAGCGACACCAACAGACTTGATAAAATCATCAGGAGGGCTGGTTCTGTACTTGGACTCAGGCTGGAGTCTTTTGAGACTGTGGTGGAGAGGAGAACGCTGAATAAACTCTTATCCATCATTGACAATGATCAGCACCCTCTCCACCACAAAGTGGTCAGACAGCGAAGCACCTTTTCTCACAGGCTGCTCCAGCTCCGCTGTCGAAGGGACAGATACAGGAAATCTTTCCTACCATATGCCATCACATTGTACAATAAAAAATAAACTCTTGTTTCAGCATACAGTAACCAGCACTGTACTGTACTGCACTCCATATTTTAATACTTATTTATAATCTGTTCACTGCACCTCAGGACTGTTCACTGCACCCTTATAATGTAAATACGTGTGGATGTTATGTTATTTTTACTTTTTCTTATCTTATTGTGTTGTGACTGTCACTATGTGTAAAGCTGCTGCTACACTGCAATTTCCCAGCTTGGGATAAATAAAGTACATCTATCTATCTATCTATCTATCTATCTATCTATCTATCTATCTATCTATCTATCTATCTATCTATCTATCTATCTCTCTATCTCTCTATCTCTCTATCTATCTATCTATCTATCTATCTATCTCTATCTCTATCTCTATCTCTATCTCTATCTCTATCTATCTATCTATACCTCTGAAGATGTTTACTTAGAGTGATGATGGAGAGGTCCACAGTGTAGAAGCGAAACAGGAAAAGAGCTGACACAGTTCCCTTTGGTTCCCCCGAAGAGCAGACTAACCAGTAACCAGCGAATACGAATGAGATGCCAATTTTTTCAGCTAACTTTTAAAAATTTGAAAAAATAAAATGCATATTAGACTGTGGACCCGTTCCATACATTTATATTAGGCTTGGTTGTATTAAAAAAAGGAAGGAGAGTAGGCAAGCAAGCGCTGAGCACAGATTAGCTATTGACCAAAGTTTTGATAACCTGTTGCAATTAGGCATGGTGTTCTCACTTTACCATGTCAGCTAGTATTAGTGATGGTTCATGTTATCTGGAGTCATAGAGATGAGTGTGATTATGATGCTGCATAAAGGAAGCAAGCCGTGGCACAAACAGCTGATCAGTCATGTGAGGTAAATATTGGCTACATCAGAGTCTATTTGAAAATATTATTTTAGGAAATTTATGCATTTTCACAAAACTACTTCAAATGAGCGCAGAAAGCTTATTGCAAAATTTGTTACGTGGATTTGAATTTTGCTGTTTCCATAAATATCCATAAATGTGATACTTCAGATTGCACAGAAGGCTTCAGGCCTCTCCAGGTGAAAAACCTCAAAGCAGGACGAAGATGATAACATCATCCACCCGTGGCCCGTTATTAAAACTTCTGGCATTTTTCATGTCTCAGTTTGTGAAAAAAAAGGCATGATGTTTTTTGTTGTTTTTTATTTATTTTTATTTAATGTTCCATCCATTCATCCATTTTCCGTCACGCTTATCCCAGTTGGGGTCGCAAGGGGTGCTGGTGCCTATCTCCAGCTGTCAATGGGCAAGAGGCGGGGGACACCCTGGAAAGGTCGCCAGTCTAACGCAGGGCAACATAGAAACAAACAGGACAAACAACCATTCACACACACTCTCACACCTAAGGAGAATTTAGAGAAGCCAATTAACCTAACAGACTTGTATTTGGAAGCCGGAGTACCCAGAGAGAACCCATGCATGCTCAGGGACAACATGCAAACTCCATGCAGAAAGACCCTGGGCCAGGAATCGAATTAATGTTCCTTTTTCCTAAATTTCTAGAGACCTTTTATGGGAATTTGAGCTTGCTAACGTTTTTTGCATTCTCTGCTGTTCTGTACCATTGGCCACTGATTACCCCAATGTAATCATCTGTTGGTATTATTTTTCTGAAACAATTTGTTTTTTAACTAGCCAATGCCAATTAGATCATTTACATTCCTCTTTGAATGCCTTGTCTTTGCTTCTTGGTTGCTGTTTGGTGCAGGTGGAATGAGTGGCTCACTTATGACATGTACATCCCGGACATCCCCCGAGCTGCCAGACTCTGCCTCTCCATATGCTCGGTCAAAGGCAGAAAGGGAGCCAAGGAGGTAAGACGGAGTTCAGTGAAGAAAAGTATACCTATAAATGCTTCTTGCTGTTTGTTTTAAAGCTGCAGCTTAAAATATTGCAGAAGGATTTAAATCATTCTGTGGATGATGAAATAAGTAGTTTTGCCTAAAAAAATAAATAACTATTTAAAAAAAAGTTGGGATAGAATATATATACCGGTATGTATGTGTATATATATATATATATATATATATATATGTGTCTCTTTTTATTTGTTGTGTGTGTGTGTGTGCTATTTGGAAGCGCTCCACTCACGTCAGTCTGAACTTCCGCGGTGAATGGAGGCTGTAGCGTCATCTTTTTCTCTTTTTAATTACTTATCAGTCATGGGCACTGCAGTGGCAGAATCTCTCAGCAGGAGTAGAAACACCCGGAGAGACTCTGTTGTTTATTCAAAGTGAGATTTCCTTATCAGGAGAAACGGATTTAATAATTTTTATTTTGTTCTTGGACTCATTTTGTTACACTCGAAACATGCAGATTATTAATTGTTTATGGATACAGCTTTAAGCTGAGGTTCAGAGGGTTTGTGTGAGGGTGGAGTGTATCAATGAAGGCCAGACATGGATATTGTAACAGACACCTGAGGTGAGTCTCGTCTCCTGACCTGCAGTGCTAGGTTGATGTCAGGGTGGTGGATGCCCTTTCATGGTCTGTCTAAATGAAAGATTCATGCTTTTCTTCAGCAGCCCTTTGTTCTGCCGCCTACTATAAACAGGTGCATTTTGACGTGCTGGCTTAGGGTAACCCTGCCTCTTCTCTTTTGTTGCCTTTACCTGCCACTGCCTCTTAGTTAAACACACTCCAATATAATGCACAAGTCCTTACAACAAATGAAGTGGTAGCTTTGATAGAAAGAGAAGTGTTTATTGTTTTTCTATAAATCTAAGAGCATTCATGTATTTGCTGGAGCTTCATAGCTTTAGAGTCCAGTTTTGCAGCCAAATGAATATTTTTTTTATATGCAGAACTTCTAATCTCAGCTATGAAGAGATTAGTCACTTCCAGTTTGCAATGTATCTCATTTAAATCAGAAAACTTAATGATAACTTTTAGCTAAACTACTCTGGTGCAATTTGCACTAATTGGTGCAAAATGATTCGTCAGCATTTCTTGGTGATACAGCCACCATTCTGAATTACACCAAGGGCCGGATCTATCAAAGGTTTGCGTGTATTAAAACGTGAGCTATTTCACTGCGCACGCTAAAAAATGTACAAACTGATCTATCAACAGCGTGCTAAAAGGATTTGGTCTTTAAAACGTGCTAAATTGCGCCTCTTATCCATTTAGTACTTTTTCTGCAATGAATATGCAATATGGGGCGTTTACACGCAAAAGTGCGTCTTGTGGGAGGAGAACATGTAAATATATTAATTTAGCACTCGCAAAGTGATTTATCAAACCTGAAAGCAATTTTGCTTACGGTATCTGACTCTATATTTAACACGTTTCAAAAGAAGGTGCAAATGGTCTGTATGCGTAATTGCGCACACATGGCAGCGGTTATTGTCGCAAGAAGGAGGTATCGAAATGAAGCAAGGAGACGCAGAGAACGCATTTTTTCACTCTGTGAATATTTTTGCAATGAACGAGGAAACGATCCTCAAAACATATCGTTTATCCAGCATTGCCATTTTGGAGCTGTTGGGGGAACTCCGAATGGATTTGGAGCCAGCCACAAGGAGGACCCGCGCAATACCAGATATCACAAAACTCCTTGCAACATTGCACGTTTTTGCATCTGGGATCTGGGATCTCCCAATCTCGTTTTTCAGAAGTGCTGTCCGACGTTCTAAATGCCATGTCGCCCTGACGCCCTACCGGAGAGAACCCCGACCTCCTCCTTGCGCCTGTGGAGCAACATGCCAATGCTGCAGGGATGCGTAGGCACAGTCATCTTATCCACAGTCACTTCTTGTGAGCCATTTGGTATGTGCATTTTTCTACAGGCCAATACAAAACACCTGTTTTTTTTGTTTTTTTTTTACTGCAAAAAAAAAAAAAAAAAAAAAAATATATATATATATATATATATATATATTTATTTTTATTTTATTTTATTATTTATTTATTTTTAATGGGAGGGGGTGGGGGTGTCACTGTAAGATTAAAATTTCTTAATGCACTAGTTTGCACAAACTACAAACTACTTTGCCACAAACCACAAAACGCGCAAAACCATCATTTAAATAGGGCGTCTCCAAAAGTTTTGCACCTGCCACCAGTTACGCAATCGCTCTTGTTAAATCACCCGCAAACCATGGATCAGCCCCTCGCGCAAAATTCCAGTTCGCGAGCGCAAATTACTGCACGCAAAATTGGATCTTGATAAATCCGGCCCCAAGAGTCACTGTAAAGGCATGTTGGATAACTTTTAAATTGGCATAGTTTATGGGAGTAATGTCACTGGAGTTGTTATTTTTAATAGGCCATCTTCAAAAGAAAAAAAAAAGGACACCCTTTGTAGGTTTTTCTAATGTTTTTTGTTGTTGTTGTTTGTTTGTTTGTTTTTTCAGGAACACTGTCCACTGTCTTGGGGCAACATTAACTTGTTTGACTACACTGGCACTCTGGTGGCCAACAAGATGGCTTTGAACCTTTGGCCCGTCCCTCATGGACTTGAAGACCTCCTCAATCCGATAGGGGTCACTGGATCTAATCCCAATAAGGTATGTGATGTGTCTTTATCAGGAATAATGAATTGTAAGTGTCATCCATCAGTCTCTATGATGTGTTAAGACTTATTTTGTTATGATTGTTTAGGAAACACCATGTCTGGAGTTGGAGTTTGACCACTTCAGCTGTCCTGTCAAATACCCAGATATGAATACAGTGGAGAGTCATGCAAACTGGATCATCTCCAGAGAACTGGGCTTTAGCTACAGCCTCTCAGGACAGGTAACTCAGCATGTCAGTTAGGAATAGGCAATTTTGTTCTGAATGTACTCTATTTTTATGGTAATCATAGTCAACCCTAACTTGATCTTATTTGGTTTTCACTGAAGAAACCAAGGCCAGTGAGGTTACTTGGGTACAAACCCAATCGCAGTATTTACAGTGTTTAAAACCAGTGTTATGATATTAATTACATAAATGGAACGATGCATAGACTTCAGTTTCCAGCATCTGTGACAGCATCTTGATCTGATTGAGATGTCAGCCAGTTTTCTTCATTCCCAAAGCTGCAACACTGTGGTAACAACAGTGACTCACAATCAGTGGGTGTAATTTATATGACCGGCGTTTTCAGAGCAGCATAAACAGACCTTTAAAGACTAAAGCTGTAAGTGTCTTATGCTGTTATTTTAAAATCCTTTTGCATTAAACTGAAATCATTAACTCATTTAATATAGACAAGAAATACAAACAAAATCAAAAAGTTTAAGTGCTACCTAGAGGAAGAATCTCTCCTTCTGTTAGAGCCCTATGTGATTTGTGGATTAACATATTTTGGCACAGTTGGCCCAACACAAGGGGAGTGAAAATGCCAGCGACAGGTGGAGATGCAGCTCTCTTGTTCACCTGTCTGTAAGAAATTTGTTTATGAAAATGGAGGCAGTTTTGGATGAGGCATCAAGATAGAATATAAGAAAATATTACTGGAATTGGCACAAATGATAACGGAAAGTGGGACACAGCCAAAGTGACGTTTTCCTCCATGTTGAAAGTGGTGTCAGACTGCAGTATGCAGCAAACTCGCTTCTGATTGGTCAATAAAAAGAACCTGCATTGATTTGTTGTGAGGTCACTAGACAGCAGCAAATCTTTAACATTTTTCAACTTTCTTGTCATGCTCATAACTGGCAGAGGGTTAGTGACTGTTGCCTTATTGTACAAGTTACATAGGAAATGAACAGAGAGGGAGTGACACCTCCTATCTGCCAAACCTTAGGCATAATGTGTACAGGGAAAATCTCCTGAATGACTTGTTTTTTTAAGCCAGAATGTTTTCTCACACATTGTAGTGCAAGTAGGGTCCTCCTCATGTTTGGCTCTCGTATAAATAACACATTTCAGTATATTGTTCACAACTTCTCACATTTAGTTTTGTGTATCACACCACTTCAGTAATTTGGCTGTAGTGATTCTCATTCTTTTTCGTGCAGTACTAGTATTTCACACTATCATGTCCATTCTGAAAGTTGTTCCTTTTTTAAGTAAGGCAAGTCTTGCGTTCAGAGCGCCTAACTGGTTTGATTTCAGATAACTTGATAAAACAAATGCCTCAATGTTTTACTTGTATAAAAATTTAAAATACCAAAATGCAAAAGTTCTGGTAACTGTTACAACAAAATCTAATGGGACATAATGTTGAAATCATGTTTAACCTGATCAGTTAAATTTGCTTGAAAGGATGTTGATGGATGAACGGATGAATATTTAACTGTAAAACCTTTTGTCAACTGGTTACTTCAAACACTTGAAATCATGGCCCAGAGGTGCCAGTTTAAGTTACTCACTTGAATTATTCATGATGGTGTAAATGATGCTCCATCTTATCAGATTTCAACATGATGTGGAGCATGAAAACCGTGACTTCTGCTGTGTTAATGTGACACATTGAAGACACTTTGCCAAGGGAGAGAAGGTGAATGATGTTGGAAAATATGCTGAGCATTTCCCTTTGTTTATATTTGGCAGATGTGAAGTGGGTAAGACTTGGACTTGAACGTGGAATAATGTAGAGTTTTAAATTTTGTAAAACATAATTTACACCTGCCTTGACTGAAAAAAGTTTTGAAAATTGAAAAATGTTTGCATTTATAATTTTTTTGTTGTTGTTTCAGCTAGAAATAAATGAGTTATGGGTTTATGCACCTCATTGTGCTGACACCATTTCTAAAGGTTTCAAATGGCACACCTTACCAGTGATGCATCCAAAGCATGCATCCCTCCCTCCTCCCTCCTGGAGATGGGTCTGGGACATTGTTTGGTTTGGGGCAAGACCTGGGCTGCACCCTTTGGTGGTGCCCGGTCCCAAACCTTTTTTTTTTTTCCTTTAGAGCTCAAGCTTCCTGCCACCTTCCCACACTGTGGGGTCAAGGGATCTCCTCCTGGGTCTGTTGGCCTGTTCCCCCTAGAGCACAGGTGTCAAAGTGGTTCCAGAAAGGGCCATGTGGGTTCAGGTTTTTCTTTCCAACCAAGCAACAGCACACCAGACTCCAGTCATCTCATCAAGTGAGTCCAGTCTGAACATGATGACTTGATGAGATGACTGGAGTCTGGTGAGCTATTGCTTGGTTGGAAAGAAAACCTGAACCCACATGGCCCTTTCTGGAACCACTTTGACACCCTTGCCCTAGAGGATCAGCCCCTCGACCCAGGAGGATAGTGTATATTTGAGAAGTGCTAGAACACGTTTAGTGTCTGCTCCTGTGTGCATCTCCATTGAGTGCTTTTATATGTCTGTATGGGTGGGATTCTATGAATGTGTCTTTGGCTGCGTCTCAATTCGCAGGCTTCGTACTTCGGAGGACGCATTTTAAGGCCGGTGACGTCACAACGCTGCGCGGAGGCTGTCCCATTTGGCAAAAATCCTGAGGACGCTTAAAATGTAGCCTTAAAATGCGTCCTCCTTTTCCCCGAATTCTGAGGATGCATCGCTACCATCCTTAGTGGCCTCGCCTCCCACTAGATTTCCCGAGGTGCTCTGGCATGTCATCCTGCACTTCATCCTCTGGGGCCGTGATGTCACTGGCTCCCAGGCAGCTTGTTGTGCGGGACAGCACATGCCGTTATGACCTGTAGAAAAAAGAAGACAAAAATCTTTTTTTCATTATCTTTATTACATGATTTATTAGAAATTAAATTTTACTTCATCTAGATCCACTATTTAACTTTTTTTGTTTTTATATTTAGATTTTTTTCCTGTATTATGTTTTTTTATATATATAATTGCAAATAAAATCAGGCAGTTAGGGGATAACGATATTGACAAAAAATGATTTATTTCTCAACAGTTTGGCTTCTCAACACAACATTAGTGATAGTGAAAGTAGTAATTTAAGTCAGTTATTTACAGGGTTTGTACACATTTAACTATTCAATTCAAATTACTAAAGTTACAAATATAAGCTTATATCAAGTGTTACAAATAAATATACAATTTTATATCTAAACATATTCATCAATCTGCTGACAAGTGTTTATTTAATAGCTGGTATACTCTGATCATTAGCAGGCCCCTGTGGGTTAGAATAATAGCAGGTAAATGTTACCTCTCCACTGCGCTCTCCCAGCCTGAGAAAAATCCGTCGCCGGTTTTGCTGCCGCCGAAGCCGTCAAAGCCGACTCCCCTCCTCCAATAACAAGTAAAAAAAAAAAAAATTCCATATTTTTTTTTTGTTTTTGTTGTTTTTTTCCGTGTTTCTCGAGCTGTCTGATTTTGTTTGGCGCTGTTTTTGGGGTACCGGTAAACTATTGATGTCGTGTGGCAACCAGGAAGTGCTCCGAAGGCTAGACCGTCCCATTTAACAACGGCTGAGGATCCTCCGGAGCAGCCTACCAAGGCTGGGTCCTCCGGAGGCTAGGTAGGCTGGGTCCTCCGAAGTACGCAGCCTGTGAATTGAGACGCATCTTTTGTCTACTTCGTAGACCTACTTCGTTTGAAGAGGTCTTCGAACATCGTAGGCTCCAAGTATGTGCCTACGATCTAGCAAGTACAAGCTTCTTATGTTCCTTGATGTTGAGGGGTACCTGTACCTGCTGGCTGGATGCATGGTTGGGTACTTAAATGGGTGCTGTCTCATTCGTGGTTGCTGCCGGGCCTGTCCCGTTCCTTCTTGCCCTGTTGAGTCTCTGATGGGGAGTGGTACTGTAGGCCCCCCGGGCTCTAATCCAGATCTTACCTTTTATGCGCCTTCCCTCTTTCCTGTCTCCATCTCTTTCCCTCTCCCCTTAGTTCCAATCCCCTCTTTCTTTCTCACCTCCCTTTCCATCTCCGTGTCTGTTGTATTTTATTTTACTCCCTAAATCATTTTAAATAAAGTTTCATATACAAGAACCAAGCAGAAACTTATGGCTACAGTCATAATGATCTGCAGATCTATTGGACTATCATCCAGCTCTGGAACATCTGTTCTCGTACTGGCAGTACAGGAAACAAGATAAACAAAGAAGTGCCTTATTGGTGTTTTCTTTACTACTCCAGTATGGATGGTTGTTGTGGGTAAAAATGTGGTGTTTCAATGTGTCGCTTTTGTCCGGTTCCAGAGTAGTCGCGCGGCCAGAGATCACGCCCTGACAGAGAGCGACAGTGAACAGATGAGACAGCTGAGTAACAGGGACCCTCTGTCAGAAATCACAGAGCAGGAGAAAGACTTCCTTTGGAGACACAGGTAAGTAACTGGTTGACATAGAAACCACATGGTGTATCAACACATAACAATGGTCTGCTTCCTCTTCCTCTGCCAGGCAGTATTGTATACACATCCCTGCAATCTTACCCAAGATACTTCTCGCTGTCAAATGGAATTCCAGAGATGAAGTAGCACAGGTAAAAAAAAACATGCTTCCATTGTCTGTAATGTCTGTTCCTCAAATAATTTAGAAAATACTTAAGCTAGTTACCTTAGCTACAGAAAATATGTCTTTTCAAATGCCAAAATAAATAAATCAATCAATCCCTTTATGTTGTTAACTAATTGAAGCAAAGCAGTGGATTGCTTACTACTTTGTGAATTTTTGGCCACACATTCAACCCTTTAAAAGAAACACAAATGTTGATTCTTTTTTACCTTTTTGGTCGCATACTGAACACAAAAACATACAAAAGCACAAGAAAGGGGAGACATGCCTCGCTTGAGGTCTCCATCTGCTGATCCAAGAAGAAAGAACGCAGAGTGAATAAAGAAGGTCAGCAGAGCAGACACCAGAGGCTGCAGACACATGTTGTGCCTTACTTATGAACATATGAAAGGAATTTTAAGGTCATTTTATCAGAGGTGTTTATCATACCAACGAAAAATGTGAGTTATAGCTATGGGTGAAAGTCACCCTTTGGGGCAAAATTTGCTGCTTGGCGGAGGTCTGCGATCAAAGTGCCTTTTTTTTCATCAATGTATTGTTGTTCCTTTCATCATTTAAGTCCAGTTATATAATTTCTTTAGTGTGTAAAGAATTTTCATGTTCCTTTTTTGTTCTTTTTAATCTCTGTCAGATGTACTGCCTGCTGGAGGAATTGCCATATATCCCTCCAGAACAGGCCATGGAGCTGCTGGACTGTAACTACCCAGACCCCAGGGTCAGGCACTTTGCTGTTCGTTGCCTCGAGAAATACTTGACCGATGATAAACTCTCCCAGTATCTAATCCAGCTTGTTCAGGTTGGTTTTTGTCAAATGATATATATAAATGAATCCTGGGTTTTACTGTTCAATCAAATGGAACTCTGTCTTGGTTTGTTTAAAGTCGTAGGGAAATGGCTGTTCCAACCCTTGCATTTGCGAGTTCTCCCGACTGGTGCACGATTTACATGAGTGAATAAAGTGAATGTGATAGGTCATTTATCAAGAGGGCGGGATTGTTGTGGCGGAAGATTCGCATGCGTTTGATTGTGGCCGGTTTCTCGGAAGCATCTTGTTAACCAGTTAGCAACTTGTGCTAGTAGGTTCGCAACTGGAAATTACATTGGGACCAAGTAGGACTAAATTGGTGACTTAGCAACGACACTGTCAATGAACGCTATGGACAGTGGAAACAGCAAGAGGAGGAGAGTTTTGTGTCGGAGGTCATGGATGAGTCTCCTTCGTCATACATTTTTTACTTAGAGGAGGAAAGTGGGGACGAAGATGTTGTGAAGGAGGACGCCAAGGTGGCAGAAGCTTCGTTTGGTGTAGAAGGCTTACAGCCGTACATGTTTGAGCCCTTGCCTCTTAACGCAGTTCTGTTAGTTCTACGCCTGCCGAAGACACAGACGTCCATCCCCGTGAACACGTTTAGCTTCCCTCTGAAAGGTGCTTTGTGAAAATCCCTGCAGGTAATTTCCTCAACAAAGAGATTGCAGGAGCAGGAAATGTTTGACCGTTGGTATCATTGATACATTTTGTATTTTATATCCTGAGGTAGAAGCTAAAGTACCGATTATTATCTATGGCCTCTGCTTATTGCTACTACATTGATGATGTCATTGCATGTTTATTTCTTTGAATTGGGACTCATTTTTGACAGGTTATATAAAATAAAGTTTAACACCAATGAATTGTACCACAAAGATAAGATAAGATAGATTTTATTGATCTTACAGTGGAGAAATTAATTTTTCGTTATTCATTTCGGTTGTCAAAAGGAGGTGCCAAAAGGCAGGAAAGGTGCATATATATACATATTTAAAAGGATACATATATACGTATTTAATAGGATTAATGCACAGGTTATTATTACATAGTAATTGCAAATTAGTTAGGGTGACCAAACGTCGGTATTTCCCGGGACATATCCGTATTTCACGTCCTGTCCCGGGCGTCCCGTTTTTTTTTTAGAAAGTTAGGAAATGTCCTGATTTCACTGCGCACGATGCTCCGTGTGACGTAATCCCTGAGCCGCGTCAGTGCGGGCAGCCCTGCTCTTAATCAGAGGCTCTGTTCAAAAACCTGGGCTGCATCCTCCAAGGACGCGGTCTACCTAGACTGGATCCTTCGAAGTCCTTGAAAATAAGGAGGCCGGAAGAGTTCTGTCTGTAAATTCGAACAGGTCCTCCCTTCGGCGGGTTTTACCGCCGTATGCTCTGTTGCTTAGCAACCGTGAAAGTTGACACACAAAGCAGGAAAAGAATGAATACCGAGGTTTTCAAAACTGTTTGTTTACCGGTATTTATTTATTTTTTTAAAAGTTAAAGTGAACAAAGACTACACTCACAAGAATCCAGAGTGGAATAAAGGTTCCAACCACTGAACAGATCAAATCAAATGTAATGATAGAAACCTTAGTCAGTTAAATAACATGCTGCTGTCATTCTGCACATCTCTGATGTTGCTGCTATTTTCAAATATCCATTATTGTAAAAATGTCCATAGCTGCATATTGGTTATTTATTCTCCAGTTTTATATTGTTAAAACACTTTACAGAATTTTATTTTTAATATTTTAACTCTTCCCTATTATGTTATTCTTATACATTTCTCTAAGGTCCTCATTTGTGTGGCCATTTTCAATAATCTTTTTGCTGCTGTAAAATTGCCCATTGTGGGACAATAAAGGGATTTTCTATTCTATAAAAGGGTTAGAAATATATAAGTAAATCTAAACAATGTATCTACAAAATATATCTGCAAAATCTCTAATATTCAACAACAAAAAATACTTAGTTAAGCATATTGTGCAAAACAACAATAAAAAAATTAAACTCCTATCAGATTTATAGTTCCCACTCTGCAGATCTATTAGAATCTGTCCTTAAATTACAGCCAAACTCATTTACACAGTAACAGATTAAAACCTTTAGATAAACCAAACATTACCGCCACATATCTGACTCAATAACCATTAAAACAACTATTTTCATTAATTTCAGACGGAACTATTCACAGAGTTGTATTATTATATTAAACTGAACTTCAAATTTTCACAACTGTTCTGCGCCAAGTAACATTTCCTCTGATCACGGAGCAAATCCCGATGATGAGACATTTGTTCTTTCAATATCACCCCCCCCCCCCCCCCCCCCAACCACCCCCCGCTCCAAGGTGTCCTGGTTTTCCCAAATGAAAATATGGTCACCCTAAATTAGTTATTGCATAAGTTATTGCAGTTATGAGGGTGCATTGTAAAGTCTGATGGCAGCAGGGATGAATGACCTGCGTTAGCGCTCATTTTTACAAGCAGTGCATCATAGAATGACTGACTGACAACCATTTCTTCTAGGTATTAAAGTATGAGCAGTATCTCGACAGTCCATTAGCTCGCTTCCTCCTCCAAAAGGCCCTGACCAATCAAAGAATAGGACATTTCTTCTTCTGGCATCTCAAGTGAGTCATCTTTTTATTTCCTGCATTTCTTTTCAGTGGAATTGAAACAGGTATTGCATCTTTCTTATTCCTGTTCTGACATCAATCTGTGTTTTGTTTTCTCAGGTCAGAAATGCACAATAAAACCGTGAGCCAGAGGTTTGGGTTGCTTCTGGAGGCTTACTGCAGGGCCTGTGGCATGTACCTGAAACACCTGAGCAGGCAGGTTGAAGCCATGGAGAAGCTCATAAATCTTACAGACATCCTCAAACAGGAAAAGAAGGATGAGACTCAAAAGGTAAGACACCCGGAATACATGGACATTTTTCTTTAATATATAGAGATTCTTCATACGGAATGGGAATATTTCAAGATTATTTATATTTCCAGTTAGAGTTTCCTATGCATCCATCTGTTCATCCATTTATGTGCCCATTCATTTTAATTTTATTTCCATTATTTATAGTCAAAACAAATGGGTTCTCAACAGGTAAACGTAATTCCAACCAATCATTCAGGCTGTTATTAAAATCCCCATGGCATATAAGTAAAAAAAAACAAAAAAAAAACTTGCATAGCTTAATTTTGTTATGGTAGTTTATTTTTATTGCTTTGTGCTTTTTACTTTGCAGCTTTTGTTCACATGAAGCCCGCTGAATCCTTAACATTATTGTGAACGGCTGTCTGCCACCACCATATGGTGGTTTTAGAAGATAACAGTTGATGGCAGTTGCAGCTTTTTGGTTCACTTCATCTTGAAGAGAAACACAGATAAACAAATAGGCTCTGAGCCAATACTAAAATATGTCTTGGACAAAAAAGTTTACATACAGGTGGTGATGGGAGTTGCTCATTCAGAAGCTTTGAGGTGGGATTGACAGACAGAGGGAAAAATGAACAAAAGCTCAGCTAATAGCCTGCTCAAGAAATGTCCCCACTAAGCTGGTCAGGCCAGGTGTAGCTACCTGATGGGAAAAGCGGAGAACATTAAGGTCTCACTGTTAGCAAACCCGTATTTGGAGATTAGAAGAGTTAGAAAAAGTGGTAAATATTTCCTCTAGCATCCTAATAGCACACCTACAAAGCTATCAAAGCCACAACATATGTAAGCTTTATCAAAAAGGAAAGTTATAAGCCTGTCTTAAAAGCAAACGGGGTGTTTGCCAACAACTGAAACTGGAAGTTGAGAGGCGTTTAGAGGCTTTCGAAGCTAGCAGCAGAAACCTGCAATCTAAGCCATACTGTCCAGCCCTAATAAGAATATATATTTAAAAACTATGTATAGAAAACATAAGTGTAAATGTTTGTTCTGATGTGTTTGTGAAGGTCCAGATGAAGTTTCTTGTAGAGCAGATGAAGAGACCAGACTACATGGATGCTCTGCAGAACTTCACCTCTCCTCTTAACCCTGCACACCAGCTTGGAAATCTGAGGTCTGAAACATGTTGTCATGGGGTCCCTTAGGCGACTTTCACACCGCAAGCTACTGCGGCTAAAATTCACTTTAGTTATGTTTTTATTTATACTCATATTTGTCCCATATCTGAATATTTCTTGGCAGTCTAAATAGCAAAATATTTTTTCACCCCTAATGAAATACAGACAGTGCCTCTTCCATATATTTTTACTAAAATTGGACATGTACACTGCAAAAACATACTTAAAATGAGTAAAATATTCTTGAAATGTACAGGTGCTGGTCATAAAATTAGAATATCATGAAAAAGTAGATTGATTTCAGTAATTCCATTTAAAAAGTGAAACTTGTATATTATATTCATACATTACATACAAACTCATATATTTCAGATGTTTATTTTGTTTAATTTTGATGATTACAAATGACAACAAATGAAAATCTCAAATTCATCATATCAGAAAATTAGAATATTACTGAAGACCAATAAAAACAAAGGATTTATAGAAATGTTGGCCAACTGAAAAGTATGAACATGAAAAGTATGAGCATGTACAGCACTCAGTATTTAGTTGGGCCTCCTTTGGCCTGTATTACTGCAGCAATGCGGCGTGGCATGGAGTCGATCAGTCTGTGGCACTGCTCAGGTGTTATGATAGCCCAGGTTGCTCTAATAGTGGCTTTTAGCTCTTCTGAATTGTTGGGTCTGGTGTATTGCATCTTCTTCTTCACAATACCCCATAGATTTTCTATGGGGTTAAGGTCAGGAGAGTTTGCTGGCCAATTAAGAACAGGGATACCATGGTCCTTCAACCAGGTACTGGTAGCTTTGGCACTGTGTGCAGGTGCCAAGTCCTGTTGGAAAATGAAATCTGCATCTCCAAAAAGTTGGTCAGCTGCAGGAAGCATGAAGTGCTCTAAAACTTCCTGGTATGTGGCTGCGTTGACCCTGGACCTCAGAAAACACAATGGACCAACACCAGCAGATGACATGGCACCCCAAACCATCACTGACTGTGGAAACTTTACACTGGACTTCAAGCAACGTGGATGAAGTGCCTCTCTTCTTTTCCTCCAGACTCTGGGACCTTGATTTCCAAAGGAAATGCAAAACTTACTTTCATCAGAGAACATGACTTTGGACCACTCACCAGCAGTCCAGTCCTGTTTCTCTTTAGCCCAGGCAAGACGCTTCTGACGCTGTCTGTGGTTCAAGAGTGGCTTGACACAAGGAATGCGGCAGCAGAAACCCATGTCTTTCATACGTCTGTGTGTGGTGGTTCTTGAAGCACTCACTCCAGCTGCAGTCCACTCTTTGTGAATCTCCCCCACATTTTTGAATGGGTTTTGTTTCACAATCCTCTCCAGGGTGCGGTTATCTCTCTTGCTTGTACACTTTTTTCGACCACATCTTTTCCTTCCCTTCGCCTCTCTATTAATGTGCTTGGACACTGAGCTCTGTGAACAGCCAGCCTCTTTAGCGATGACCTTTTGTGTCTTGCCCTCCTTGTGCAAGGTGTCGATGGTCGTCTTTTGGACAACTGTCAAGTCAGCAGTCTTCCCCATGATTGTGTAGCCTATAGAACTAGACTGAAAGACCATTTAAAGGCTTTTGCAGGTGGTTTGAGTTAATTAGCTGATTAGAGTGTGGCACCAGGGGCCATCAATTTTGAACCTTTTCACAATATTCTAATTTTCTGATATGATGAATTTGAGATTTTCATTTGTTGTCATTTGTAATCATCAAAATTAAACAAAATAAACATCTGAAATATATGAGTTTGTATGTAATGTATGAATATAATATACAAGTTTCACTTTTTAAATGGAATTACTGAAATCAATCTACTTTTTCATGATATTCTAATTTTATGACCAGCACCTGTATGTATTTACCCTAAATTTTAGTAGGAAATTTAGATGATCTGACATTGGAATGAGCATTTTTACCTTAAAATAAAATTATTGGATTGGAATAAGAGACTACAGTTGTTTGTTCTTATTTAAAATGGTAATTGTATTATTCCATTGGCAAAGTGTCTCATTTACCTTCTCAATTTAAGCAAAAAATGCACCAATTTTAAGAAAAAAAATTTTTTCTTAGATTAACATTTTTTGCAGTGTATGTAATAGTTTTGTAACATCCCAAATTTGTATGAACATGCCACATTTCATCCAGTTTTCACGTCATTGCTCTTGCTTCCACTGCCGCACAGACGTCTGTACAGACGTAGCAGTCACTGTTTCACAACAGCCGGTTTCAAAAAGCAGCAAGAGTTTTGTTCTCTTCTTTCCTACCTTTCATCTTCTATGATGTGGTTTGACAGGCCTACTATCGGCTTCTATTGCTGTAAACTCAGTAAGGACTTAGAGACTCCAACATCCATAATTACTTCAGTAAAAGCTGTTCTATGTGTGACTAGATTCTCCTAGACTAGATCGCTTCATGGTGAACCAGTGATGCAAGTTATCGATTAGTCAGTCTAAAGTTGTTTATCGATTGACTAAAAAAAAAAGAGATTTTCTCTTGTTTCAAGATGATTTTTCAATAACATTGAAGAGCTGAATATTTGTTTGCAATATGCTGAATAAAAAAAAAAAAGTAGTGCATCATTATATTTTAACAATTTACCATGTCAGCTGTATTAAATTCTGACTGAATAGGCAAGTAAATCTTTTCTTACACATTATTAAGATAGACCTATTTTGAAGATGTAACAGAACAGGAAGCTTTCAGCTTAATAAATAGAGATTAATAAAATGCGTAAAACTAATTTCTGATGCACAGAGATATAAAGCTGTCATTTACAGGCAGGGTATGTTGCTTGTTTTAATAAATGAGATGGTAATTGTGATGTGGCTCTCTGATTTTAGCGTAATCCCATATTTAATGCTGGGGTTTTCTCTGTGCTGCAAGCAGCGCCATAATTGGGCGCTGCATAGACATTAACCTTAGGAGTTGATTGAATGTTTATAATTAGAAACTTGCATCCTGCACCCTTGTCACCATTAAAAGGACCGACACTCTGGATTGCATCCCTCTGCTGTGGCATTACTTCTTTAAATACGAGTAAGCCTTAGAGTGGACAGTGGCCCTCTAGTGGACAGCCGTAATATTACAACACTCATAGAAAGTGGGTAGTATAAAGTAATTGAATGGAATAAATTATAATCTAATAAACCATGAAACAATAAAAAATTAATAAAGTTAATGTATTTATTTACATCCCTATTGTGAACTTGTCAGAGTTTTCTCTGATAAGGGGAGCATATATAAATGTCAGTATGAAAGAACACTTAAAAAAGAAAAAAGGAAATCAGATTTTGGTTACAAAAAAAAAAAAAAAAAAACTTGAACATCAAGACCTGCCGTATGAACGTACCAAATTCATCTTGAAGATTTCTATAGAAAATAATAATACCTTTTATCGAGTGAACTGGGTGATCAGAACTGTGATGTTGCTTAACACGTACAAACGTTTTTCACTTCTCAGGTTAGATGAGTGCAGGATCATGTCATCAGCAAAGAGACCACTGTGGCTCAACTGGGAGAACCCCGACATCATGTCCGAGTTACTGTTCCAGAATAATGAAATAATCTTCAAAAATGGCGACGGTAACAATGAGACACAAGCATGCACTTCACTAAGTCTTAAGAAACCTACAGCAACACACGTCCACTCCAGGTGCTTAAAGTGTACATGACAACATATTATGATACATTTGATTGATTAATGAAAAAAATTAACTAATTGTGTAAACTGATGTATACATAGACTCTAAAATATTCCATTTCCTGAAACAAAAACAAAAAAACATGGGAGCTGAAATTAAACCTGTGATGTACAAACATAAGCTCTGCCCAGAACTCCTCAGGTGGTATAACTTCAGTTTCAACCAGTTCAAGTGCTTTTTTAAATTTGCTAATTGAAAAAAGTTAAAAAGTGACTCATTTGAAACTTCATTCATTTTTCTATGTAAATGGCCATTTAATTAAATTGCAGTGTTGTGAGAGATCAAGTCATTTAGAGTTAGTGTAAAATCTCATTGCAAATGTGTTCAACATTTTTTGCATAATGTTAATTCAATAACAGTAAATCTGTAGAATTAATCTGTTATACTAGATTGTCAATTTCTAAAATAATTTATAGCTACAGCTTTACATATAAGAGATGCAACTACTGTTGAAAACAGGACTAAAATTCAACTGCAGGAAAGTAGGAAATTAGTTTCTTTAAAGAAGGTTTTAGAGCCCAGATGTTATGACTTAATATGTTTGAAGTCATTAAAAGAAAACCAGGGGCTTGTGATTTAGTAAATTCCAGCTATAAATAAATCTGTATTGGCTCCTGGTTTATGAATAATTTGTTCCATAATTCATTATATCAATGACTGCAATGCTGTATATCTGCTCTACAGTGTTTTGTGACTTTTGGCTTTATCTTGGTTGGGTTTATCTGTAACTCTTTGTGTGTGTGTTACAGATTTGCGGCAGGATATGCTGACGCTGCAGATAATCAAGATCATGGAGAACATTTGGCAGAATCAGGGACTGGACCTACGGTACAATAATCTCTGATGGCGACATTTCTCTGAGTTGTAGTTTCAGAACTTTGGTCTCATCAGATATGCTTTATGTGTCTTCAGGATGTTGCCCTATGGCTGTTTGTCATTGGGAGACTGTGTGGGTCTAATAGAGGTGGTTCGAAACTCCCACACCATCATGAAAATTCAATGTAAAGGAGGTTTGAAGGGAGCCTTGCAGTTCAACTCCAACACTCTCCATCAGTGGCTCAAGGACAATAACAAAGGAGAGATGTGAGTTCTAATTGACCTGCTCTGGATTCCTATAAAGATGTAGTTGGAATGACTGACTGATGTGTGTTAGATGTTTCAGCTCTTCAGTGTTATTAACATGACTTTCTGATGCAGATTTGTGGGGTTTTTTTGTGCAGGTATGACATGGCTGTGGATCTGTTTACAAGGTCATGTGCTGGCTACTGTGTAGCTACATTTATTCTGGGCATAGGAGACAGACACAACAGCAACATTATGGTCAAAGAAGATGGACAGGTAACATGTTAGAACACACACATAAAAAAAAAAAAATTAAGCAACATGTTTTAGGAAAATGGTGTACAGTATCTTTAAAAAGATTAACGAGTTCTGGCATTTAGCCTGATGTTTTAAAAACTCGATTTTAAGTTTTCTAAACCCCAAGACAACCCTTGGCTCAGCTTCATAAAGACCTAGATGCTGCTGATGATCAACAGACTCGTTTTCCTCTGGATGTACAGATCAAGCTTTTGTTAAGTTTACTTTCAGTAAAATGTTACCAGGTGAGCTGAGATTCTCTGCTTTGCTTTCTTTAGTTGTTTCATATAGATTTTGGCCATTTCCTGGATCACAAGAAGAAGAAATTTGGCTACAAGAGAGAGCGAGTCCCTTTCGTTCTGACACAAGACTTCCTGATCGTCATCAGTAAGGGATGCCAGGAGTACACAAAGACCAAAGAGTTTGAGAGGTGCTTTATAGTTTTGCTTATGTTATTCTTTATCTATATCATACCTGCTGTAGTTTTTGAGTTTGGGATCTTTGAATCAACTAAATTAATGTTGTTTTGCAGCTAAACTGTATGAATTATTTATTAAGGATGATACTTTCACGTAACAGTGCAAATTCTGACATTTTTAGGTAAATATATTTAGTTCCTCAATATTTGGCCTAAAACTGTCACAATGCTGACCTCTGGGTTGAAACATGGCTATTGCAACAGATCTTTCCTATTTGTTCAATTGGTACCTGTAGAAGTAGCTTGGTACAGGAGCAAAAGCCTGTGATGATCTTTTTAGCTGGTTGATTTCGAGCTGAACCGGCCAGTGTTTATTTTTTTTTTGTTTTTTCCTACACTATATAACCACTTAAGAATACTCTTGAATTTGAAGTTTTTTGTAGATAAAGTTTGTATATGAGACTGCTGGATTTGAAAGCATGATTTTGCCTACATTTAGGATCATATTTGTTTTAAACCGACCTACTTTGCATGGATATCCCAAACCTCTGTAAATTAGCCAATGCTGATGTCATCTTGTGGACACTTTTACTCCAGGTTCCAGGAAATGTGCTACAAAGCGTACCTGGCCATCCGACAGCATGCAAACCTCTTTATCAACCTCTTCTCCATGATGCTGGGCTCCGGCATGCCTGAGCTGCAGTCATTTGATGACATAGCTTACATCCGGAAGACGCTGGCACTGGAGAAAAGTGAGCAGGTGAGTCTGGAACTTCTCTCTGTCTATCTAACCTTCATAACAAAAAGTTTTCTTTATCTGCTTAGTTCTTTTTTTTGTGTGTGTGTGTGTGTGTGTGTGTGTGTGTGTGTGTGAAACAGGAGGCCTTGGACTATTTTATGAAACAGATGAACGATGCCCATCATGGAGGTTGGACCACCAAGATGGATTGGATTTTCCACACAATCAGACAGCATACACTAAACTAATTAAACCCCCAAAAGAAATGCCACCGTCTCAACATGGACTATTTATTATTCTTTAGGAGAGTCGACACTTTTTGAAGGAATTCATTTTTCCCTCAATAGCTAACTCTATAAAACTCTCTATAGAAGTTCATTTTTGAAGCACTTTTTTATATTTTAAAAACAGGGTTCTGGGTTTTTCTTGGATTATTCTCTTGGTTTGCCTTTTCTCTATGGTCTGCTGCTATCGTCAGTGTGTCAGATTTTCCTCAGGACCCTCTGAGGAAGGTAAGCTTGATGAGACTTTTTTTGTTATCCTTTCCCAGAGTTTTCAGTGAAAAAAAAAAAAAAGAAAGATCTCTTCCCTCACTTTACTGCGCTGAAAAGAACATCACAAGTTTGGCAACAGAACAAAAGAGACGCCAAGTCTGCTAAGGCATTAATGTAGCGTGACTCAGTGACTCAGTCATTGTAGTGCTACACTTTTCCCCTACTTTCACCATATGAGCTGAAGAGATGGAAGTAAAGAGTGGGTGTAAAACTGCATCTCTGATCCAACTGAGCTTCCATAATGTCTTCCACCATCCTTGTTGCTCACATATAATTCCACCAGTTAGTTTATTTTCTTTATGTTAGCATAAATTTATCGTTTTAATGTTTATAAAGGAGCTTTCTTCGGATTGACGCCTCCCTTCCCCTCATAAAAGGACTTGGAAATTGTAAAACAATGTGTACAGGTCATTACTTTTTTAAATTAATTTATGGATTTTGTTTATTTTGGCTTGAAAGTCAAAAATGTAACAGAAGATATTTGTTTTGTAAATATGTTTGGAGTTTTGTGTTTGGCTCAATTGCAGCCTCTTTCAGCAGCAGTTCAGCTCCAGACTTTTTATTCATTAGACATACTGCTAATGCATTATTTTGTTTTGTTTTTTTGTTATATAACTTGTCACTTTAAAGTTAGCCATCTTCTTAGGCCTCTGCAGGGGCCCAGTTTGTGCTTATTTGCCGGCTGGCAGAAGTGAATGTTTCAGTCTTGCATTATATGTACAATAGAAAGTACAAAAAAAGCAGAGGCTGCTTTGTTTTGCTGCAGGGATGCAGATTTTCCACCTTTTTCATTTACCCCTCGCAGGTCAAATTGAATATTAAACTTACTGAAATGAGATAATCTAGAGATAATTTAAAATTGTAGATTTAGCCGTGGCTTACCTCAGTTTATAAAACACCCTGACTACATATTTATATTTACAATAAGCCAGTTTGGTTTTTAGTCCTTTAAAAAGGAAAATTAAGCATTTATCCTTTCCCATGGCGAAACTGCTGATCTACCAGATCTGTTAGGAGCAATTTGAATCTGTTTTAGAGTTCATTTTTAATTATTTAATCTAAGAAATGAACATGACATATTAATAAATACAGGCACAAGGTAGTAGAGAAAAGGACACTGTTTTCAGAATGCCAAATATCAGGCCCTAATGCAAAAAAAAATAGACCAGCATAGTGTCCAACTTCAGTTTGAAAAGGCTAGATTTAGATCAGATCATGCAGGGAACCATTTTGTTAGCATTTAGGCTGTATTTTTATCCTGCTGTGTGCAGGAGTGAGCCAGACAACTTTCACCGGCAGATGTTAGAAGCCGTTTTTCTCTGATTGTGCAAGTCTCACTTTTCTCCACAAAATCAGTCCGTTTTGATTTTAAGAGTTAAACCATTTATGCTAATCTAACTGTCAAAAAGGAATGTTTAAGGGCACTTTCTAGCACATCACTTAATTCTTCAATGCCATCTGCAATTAGCTTTTCCTCAGAAAGTTGTTTGACCCTAAAAACTACGTGTCTACTCTATAGTACACCCAATGGAAAAAAAGAGAATTTAAAATACTAATATGCAATCAAATGGCAGCTGCAGACTGAGTTTGACCACATCAAACACTGTTTCTTTCATTTTTGCTCAAATGGAGAGGAATCCCAGTAAACATGTAGGAGGAATGTTTGGATAGAGAGGGTATTTATTCAATGAGATTTTGTGAACATCTGCAGAATGTTTTTTTGCGGACAAAAAGACACAACGGTTCTTTGTTTTATGCCACAAAAAACAGCTGCAGTGTTCCTCTGTTCTGGCTGCCGACTCCCTGTTTGAATGATCTTAACTCATCTTTCAGCAGTTCCTTTGCCCTAATCCAAAGTTCCAGTTGTTCCACCATCTTCAGGCAAAAAGTCTGTTCAATGGAGAGACTTTGGTTGGTGGGGAGAGATCAGCGATGCTCACCCACTTCTTTTCGCATGGACAATCTTTGTGGCTTTAGTGCTAGCTAGATTTTCTTTCTTTGTCACCATTATGGTCATTGAGGAACAGGTGTTCAGAAAATGTAGCAGTAGGAGTTATCCTATCATCCATATATGGAAGTGAATATTCCATTATTCACCATTACCTTAAAGGAATCAAACTATTCTTATTTTAAATGGCTAATCCCCTTCTAAAAAACCCCAAACAGTCCAATAAGGATGTTTTTTTTTTATTTACTTTCCAAAAGTTGGGGTTTTTCTGTTGCTAAAATAATCATTGTATTTGGCCTTTAAAAATAATTTATTAAAGAAACGAGTATGAGTAGCTTTGCCAGACTGTTAATCTAGAAAGAAAGAGAGATTATAGATTTATAGAACTAATAATAATCTAACTGATAATCACATTTCAGTCTACATTTGAATGTATTAAAAAAGCCCTACAGGATTTTTTTAGAACTGCGTTTTTTTTTTACTATTTCAGTAGGTTTGACTTGTGTAAGATGCTGAAAGTATTTACTGTAAAAATCAATCATATTTGGCTTTATTATTTACCTGATGGTGCTTTGTGCTCCAGAAATTAGATTATTTCACCAAATAAAAAAGATAAAACATTATCTTTGTAGGCCCAAGAAAGTAAAGTAATAAACTTTGATACTTCACCAGACCAGCCTGTTGAATCAAGAGGCCAAAATAATGATTCAATTTGTAATTTAACACAACTATGTTGTCATAACTGTGGAGCATTACGAGCCTGAATGTATTTTATTGCCTTAGTGGACCTCTGGTTTTGCTCTTTGTTTTTTTGTTTTTAGTATGAGTGAATCCTGTGAAGCTCATACTGTAAACCATGTTAGAAGTGCACTATATAAACTGAAAAAAAGAAAGAAATGTTGAAACATATATTTGAAAAACTCTTGCCTTTTTGTTTAGAAGTTAGTTTAACTTGCATGTTTCTCAATCATGTATGATATAATCGTTTTTTTATTTTTGTATATTAACTATTAATTCAAACTGGGTAAATTTGTTATGTTGTTATCCCATGTATTGGTTCCCCAAAGATCCTCCAAATGATTGTTTATTTGCATGAACTTTGATTCTGTGCAGGCTGCAGAGCTTCATTGGCAGGTTCCAATGGAAAACAAGCCTTTTTGTGAATGTTAGTCTGTGTGCCATGGCACCTTTGATAATGGTGTCTAAGCATTTTGGAAAAAAAAGCCCCCTCTCCACTGGCAATAAGCTGGCAATTTTTTTTCTTTGTATGAAAAAGATTAATAAGGGAAAAGAGAGTTTCTATACATACATTGGTTATACATGTTTTACTTGAAATTCCTTGAATCAGAAAGTTGTTGGTATGCAGCAGAGATTCTTTGTCTATTTAGTACCAATGAGAGCCGTTTTGTGTTGTAGTGCATGTTGGCACCGGTGGCTGAAGCATTGTTCAATCCTGGTAGAAAACGTCATTCAAGCCACGGATCTTGGATTATTAGTGAAAACTACCCATCTGACAGGTGACAGAGTTCAGTTTGAATATTTGGAAACTTTAACACCTTTTTAAAGCATGGTGGATAAAGTTCTTCTTCCACTGAAGTGCTAGTATTTCCTCCCATAAGTCATTACCTACATGCATAAAATGAGCTGTCTGTAGAACAGTGATATTAGGTTGTCTCTGACACAATAAGCATCAAACACACCCAAGAAGTTCAAACCAATGGTGCAATACTAATGCTGAAACCCTGCCTTTGTTAGTGTTTATTTTTTGTCTGTATGCTAATACTGAATTTTTCAATCTTTGTCTCGCATCTCAGGATGATTTCTTTAATACATCCTCACCTTGTTTTATTCCAAATGCACTGTTTCTACTGAGCCTCTGAATGAGCTGTGAAATGTCGACAGAAACTGAGAAAATGTCACAAAATGGATTCAATCAATCTTTTTTTTCTTTTTTACTTTTTAATCTATACACCCACCAAAAAACCCACTCTTTGCATGCAGCTCTACATTTCTAAAATGCACTGAGCTGCCCTAAGTCACACCATAAATGAATGTAAAATGTGCCAATGCAGTGTTTCTTCATATATAATCAGTGTGTTATTTTTAGCATGCATTTAAGTAAATATCAACTGATGCCTTAAGTTTGCTCCCTGTAGGGTTCGGGACATATTTGCCTACAATAAGTTGCGTTATGTTTTTATTTATAAATGTTTGTGTTTGCTCTAAACTTTGAGAGGTAATGGGGGGTATAACCGGACTGGCTGGACATTTGGGTGTTCTTTGAAGATGTGTAAATAAATTTGTTAAACATTCATCTCCTTGTTTGTTCTTGTACTGTTTCTACAAAATGTAATCTTCCCTATTACACATTACTACTATAAATCTAGAATTTTTTTCTCATACATTTTTACAAAACAAGCTTAGAAAAAATCCCATGTGGAAATATATTTCTCTTATTAATTTTTCCTTATTTAGATCATGAAATTAATTTTTTTTTTGCATTTTTTGACTTGACTCCTGATTCATTGTATTATTTAAGAAACTGCCATTTTCTGGTATGAGCTACAATATAGAATAAATATAAAAGTGACTGATATAAGTATCGGTATTTGAGCAAAGAGCAAATGTCCGCTTGGTTGTTAATGTCAGATGTTGTAATTTAAGTAGAGAGGAATTACTCATCCTGAGTCCTGCTGTCCATTAGAGCTCCTTATAATTTGGGTCCTTGTTCGGTATGTATTCTTGCATTTGTCAGAGCTACATGGCTGAAATTTTCGCTTTTTATATTGTTTGTAAAGTTGTCTTTACAATTTTAAACCATCGTGATTTCTGTGTGCTAGGTTATTTTGAACTAAGGGTGAGCGATTTATCGAGTATACTCAATATATCTCAAGTTTTCCTCCGCGGGATGGCTAAATTGACTTTATCGTGACCATCGAGCGCAGATTTTCATGGCAAGATTGAGCCATCGTATTTAACTCACTGAGGTTTTTTTTTTCTTAAATTCACTGTGAGTTTAGTTTCTCCCACGTGCTATGAACACATCACTCGCTCCCCCTCCAAACCAGAAATCGTTCTAGTTGAATTTGGCTCAAATAGACAAAAGGGACAAATATCAAAGGCACACACAACGACAAGCATGTGCGTTTACTTAGGTCAACGAGACAGCGAGAACTATGGTGACAGCGGGAGTTTCAGCCATAAAAGAAAATGAGTCTGAAGAGGACCCAGATGTTCTGGTTCCCGAAGAGAAAACAGCACTGCATCAATAATATATCAGTGGTTTGGATTAGACTAGAAGGATGCTGAACAAAATGTGGAAATTTGCAAAACATGCCACAAAACGTAGAAGTACCGCAAAAGTCTGTTGATAGAGAGGCACTGAGGACAGTGCGTGCCATCAGATCAGCGGAGCAGCACCACAGACGGAAGATCCAGGATCTCTTCCATGATGCAAGCAACACCAGGAGGATGTGGCAAGAAATACCCTCCCCTGGTGGGTGCAGCTGATGCTGACTTCCTAAATGGACTAAACAACTTCTTTGTAAAGTTTGAGGCATTAAACAGCACTCCAGCAATGAAAGCGGTTCCATATCAGGGAGAAGAGCCACTCTGCCTTAACACAGCTGACGTGTGGAAGAGAGTGAAACCGAGGTAGGCCCCGATAACATACCTGGGCAGGTGTTCAAAGAGTGTGCAGGTAAGCTGGCTGGTTTCCTCACAGACATTTTTTAAAACCTTGCTGGACCATTACATAGTGCCAGCATGCTTTAAGTCTGCATCTATTATTCTGGTCCCAAAGAATCCTCAAGTTACCTCATTCAATTACAACCATCACACTGACTCCTATCATGATGAAGTGCTTTGAAAGTCCAGTTCCCCAGTCTCCCCCCAACATTAGACCCGTTACAGTTTGCCTGCCGATAGAACCGCTCCACAGAGGATGCCACCTCCTCTGCTCTTCAGCTGAGCCTGGCACACCTGGAGGAGAAGAACACCCACATGTGGATGCTGTTCCTGGACTTCAGTTCAGCTTTCAACACTATCATCCCACAGCAGCTGATGGAAAAACTGGAACAGCTGGGCTACAATACACCCATCTTCAATTGGCTGTTAGATTTCCTCACAAACAGACCTCAGACTATCCGGGTCGGATAGAACTCCTCTGATTTCATCAGTCTAAGCAACAGGCTCCCCTCAGCCCACCTGCCTCCGCCCATCCTCACCACCTTCTACAAAAGCACCATAGAGAACGTTCTGACCAGCTGTCTCACTACGTGTTGTGGAGGCTGCAGCGCCTCAGACTGGAAGGAGAGAAGAGTGGTGAGAACATCATCAGGGCTCCTCTTCCCTCCATTAAAGACATTTCATTCCACCTCTGCGTGTCCAGAGCCCATAACATTATCAGTGACCCAACCATGGACTGTTCTCCCGACTGCCCTCTGGGAAGAGGCTTCGCAGCATTTGATGCAGGTCCAGCAGATTCTGTAATAGCTTTAATCTAGTCACAAATCGAGACTCTTCATCACACTGTAAACATCATACTTACACTACACATCAAATCCCTATAAATAGAATTCAACTCGGTGTTCTATTGCATCTTTCACCATATTTAATTATTTTTGCACTGCTCCGAACCCTCCACATCAATGCCTTTTGCACCATGTCTCTTCTACACTGTTTACATTTTGATCTGCAATTTATAAATGGAAATGTTCATTTCACTGCTAAGTGTCGGAAAAGCTGCATGTATCAAAATTGCGTTTTGTATACATTCTGTAAATATAAAATGACAAAGTTTGTCTTATGCCAAGTCATTTATTCCACCACCTAAAAGTCATCCAGTGCAAAATAAAGACTGTTGTCAAAGAGCACAAAAGAGACCCTTTTTATTTCAGGTTTATTTTGTGTCAGATTTGTCCTTGGTGTTCCTTTTGGCTGCTGGGATGTTCTGTTTTTAAGGTCCAGTGTTGACCACAAAAGAGCTCTAATGTTGCAATATTGTAATTTATGAAAAACTGTGCAGCTGATGGTTCAAATAAAACATTTTAAATTAATTTTTAATTTACAAAAATTTTTTTCAAACCAAAAAATTACATGTTAATTTGACATATAACAATGCAACTTTAGGCACCATGTGCCTGAAAACAGGTTATTTGTTATTTTGGGATATATATCGTGTATCGTGATATAGCCCAAAGATATTGTGATATTAAATTTTCTTCATATTGCCCAGCCCTATTTTGAACCAAAGAAAAGAACTAACGTTGACTTAAACATTTTTCACAATTTTTGCTAAAGTCTATCTTTCAGCATTTCACTTGGATAAAGATCGTTTCTAGAAAGCCGTATATCATCACTGAAGCCTTGAGTAAAAGAAAAAAAGTTAAACATATTTCATCTGGAACACATTTTTTTTTTTTTTTTTTGTTATACAATACGAATAATGCAGCTTCTTGAGAGAAAATCTAAGACAGCAGGTTTATTTCACTGCATTTTCCCTAGACTTTTTGCTAGGGGGTGGTGTGTGGCCTTTATTGGCTTTGGGGAGGCCTCTGCTGGGCCTTGTGTTGCCACCGGGGGTTTGGGAGAATTGAACATTTTCCAGGGGAAGGAAGGGCAGTGGAACGGACGATCGTGCGACTTAGATGAAATTGGGCTGTCTTCCTCAGATGATTCTTCTTTGGCAGGAGCCTTGGAGGGGGGTTGTGTATCGGAGGAGACTGTGGGTGAGACGGAGGGTGTAGGGGAATTGGGGGTGGGAGGGGCCACCAGGGTCCTGAGTGGTGACCAGCCAGGGGGGCGGCGCCTAGTCTGAAACAAAGGCATAAATCATCAGATGGAGATTGGAACATAATTTCTTCATAATATGACAGCAAATTGAATATAAAGATAATTTCAGCAATTTATATAAAGTTTGACACTACGTTAAATACATATAGATTGCTATATTTCAATTGCCCACCCTAATTCATCATGCACCATTTTCCAACACATTTTTTTTCCTGAAATTAACGTCTTCCACTCTGGTTAATGGAGCCTACGCGGAAGTTCAACTGATGAAACTCATTGCTTTCCTTCATCCACCGGCGACACAGCCAACCAGCTTTGAACCACACCTCCACGAAAGCCAATCGGCATAAAAGTTCATCTTAAAAGGCCTCCGACCCGCACTTGTCTACTCCTGTGCGCAGACGGTGGATGCGCGGTGACTTCATTCAGATCACACCGTTTTAATCCACCTCCAGCCCCTCCTCCGCCATCGTAGCTAAAGCTTCATCAGAGTGTCATTCCTCCCGGACTCTTACTGCGTTCCCTGTCTCATCTCGACCGGTCTAGCAGAAGACCGCCATGTTGAGCCTGGTTCTGCCAGAGTTTTCTTTCCAACGGGGAGTTTTTTGTCTCCACTGTCGCTTCATGCTTGCTCATCATGGACAAGTTCTTTCAACCTGTGTTATCCAACTGGACTTCCATCTTCCAGGTCCCTGAGAGAACCTCTAGTATAAGCTCACGCAGTCCACTGGATCTCCCCATAAAGCTCAGCATACCGTCTCACTAACAAGCAGTCTACAGATTGACCACCAGTTTCAGGCCTGGGGGGGAAACAGCCCTATTCTTTGCTCCTGTTCATGCATATCTATCAAAATTAAGCGCTATGTTTCCTGCCGAGGTCTGAGTGCCAAAGACAAAGTAACTGTATCAATAAATTTCTCCTAATTGTCTTTTCTCTTCGTGTGAGTTTTTCAGATTGAAATAGCTTGGATGCATCAGACTGTAGTCATTATTTTGTAACTAATAACATATAATTCACAATCTGTTTTTTAGATAGATAATAGTCAGATTTTCCAAGAAAAGTTCAATAATTAAGTCCCAATCAAAAAGAAATATATCACTAAACACTTGAAATGTGTCACTGTATACAAATTTTTAATGTATGATCTTTATTTTTCTAATACAAAACCCCCACTTAGATGAAACCCTAATTGATTCAGATATTCTAGTTAGTTTCATAAACACATGTATTTTATTGTAATTGTTCATGAATAATCATCTAGAACTTTTATGGTAAAACATTAATTTTTCCTCTTGGCTGTTTTTTTTTTTTTTTTTTTTTGTCATTTTATTTGAACTTTTATACAAATTCTGTGTCTTACCACATGCAAGGCACCTTCTTCACACTGTGTATGAACCTCTGGCTGCTCGAGTCTCCATGGTGCCAAATCCACCGTAGCGTTACAGTTTGCAAACTCCTGCAATTAAATGAAAACACAATAAGAATCTGCACAAAAATGGTGGAGTCACTTTATGTTATTTGATGTATTTACCTGATTCTCCTCATCTGCGACACACAGATCGTTGAGGTCTTTGTGCTCAGCTTTTGCACAGGTGGTTTTCTTCATATCAAATCTCAGCTGGTACCTGAAACCTGCAACGACCTGCATAGGCATACACACGTCTAGTTAGCACAGAGCAGGAATGGTACCGATGGTCTTAATGTATTCCCCGTCCCATCTTAGTTTACCTGTCTGGTGGCATGGCTGACCCTGTACAAGGTGAACAGGTGAGTGGAGTTGGAAATGGAGTTAAACTTGGAGATAGATGCTGAAAGAGGAACCTTAAGGTCCTCTGAGTTCTCTTCAATATGTTCAGGGCAGCCCAAACACGGAGCTTTTTCTGGAAGAAGGAAGCTGTCTGGGAAAAAGAAAAACAGACAGCATAATGACACCATCATCAGGATAAAAGGACATTAAGCTCAACAAAAAACAGGGCAATGTTGTTCCATGACTCTCAGAAAAGGTGCTGTGGATCTGTTTTACAAAGTAGATATTTTAAATTAAAATAAAAGTATTTGTTAGCTTAAAAAGACCAAGACAATGGATCACTCAACTGGGGAGATCGATAAGGGAACACCACTAACTGCCATATGTTAAAAATGTGATAACCTTTTTAATTTAAGTGTTTTTAATCAAAGGTTTAATAAATGTTAGCAAAGGGCATCTAATCAATCCGATCAGCTTAAAATGGGCATTCAGTGGTTAAAATCTAAACATGCCTGCAGCACAGATTAAACTCGTATGACAATATGGCAACGATAACTCCACATAAAAATATATGGACATTAAATTCTTCAGGGACACAACATATTATAGCAGCAAAAAGATATTCAGTAAACAGAGGTATTTTCCATTTTGAACTTGAAAAATATTACCACACTCTTTGAAAGTTGCATCACCAAAAAAATCTATTTACATTAGACTCAGGCTGGAGCTATTAAAGCAAACAGATTAAAGTCTATGTGACAATGTTTTCCATGGAGTGATACTTTTATGCACCTTTACAGATATTATTTGCAGATAACTTTGGTATTTCACAAAAATCAATGCTTTCCTCACATTCTCCATTTTGAAATAGATCTTTCCAGGAAAAAAACGGTGATAGTGAAAAATCAGATTTAATCTCATTGGTCATGTAGAGACATACGGGTAGAGATAAGGTTCCCAGTAATCTGACTTCTCTGCAGAAGGACTTCTCAGTGACATTTGGAGGGTTTTATCATCATCACCTTTGCTGTTATGGTCAAGAATTGTTTTTTTTATCCAGGAAAACCTGTCCACGCCTTTGTTTCACTGTCTAAAAGCTATACAAACCAAAATGTAGTTTTGTATAAACTCTGTGTATACAAAATGACAATAAAAGTTTTCTAAGTCTGTTTTGTATTACTTAGCTGGCATTTATCATCTATTTACCTTTTTTCTTTGGGTCATTGTTGAATCAAATTATACATGGTTTTTGAAAGATGAATCAATGTCTGTATTGTAATGTTTCAACAATTAGTGTGTATTTAATTACTTACTTATTCACACATTAATTAATTACTAATTTGTGAAAATTAGAAATTTGTACTTGATATAATCTGTTCCAATTATAGGATACCTAATGTTTTGTATCCTGTATGAGATTGAGCCAGCACATTTACAAACAATGGTTGCACCCCCATTGTGGCCCAATTGTTGAAAAATGCATACTAAAGTGCCCCTTTGGGAGCCAAAATGAGTGAAAGCCCTTTGGGAAACTCCTCCAACTCCCATTGTCATTGTGACACAGCACACCCAAGTGAACACTGCACACTGTGAAATTGCATTTATGCCTCACCCGTGCAAGGGGGCAGCCCTCAATGGCGCCCCAAGGGAGCAGTGTGGCGGGACGGTACCATGCTCAGGGTACCTCAGTCATGGAGGAGGATGGGGGAGAGCGCTGGTTAATTACTCCCCCCACCAACCTGGCGGGTCGGGAGTCGAACCGGTAACCTTTGGGATCCAAGTCTGACACCCTAACCGCTCACCCACGACTGCCCATCGTGAGTGCTAAAGTGGCCTCTTGAGATCCATCCATCCATCCATCCATCCATCCATCCATCCATCCATCCATCCATCCATCCATCCATCTATCCATCCATCCATCCATCCATCCATCATCCAAGCTGTCGCTTCCAATAAATTAATGCTCTATTTCTATAGATGATAAACTTCACCCAGTCAACTTTTAGGTCAAGTCATGCAGGTATTTCCCTCTCAGTTGAGTTGAGAATTGAAAAGGCAAAAAACTACAGGTCAAGAGAATCAGTGGATGGTGACATGATAAGACATTTCGTGAAAACTCACAGCTAAAATAAACCCAAGATATACATAAAGCCTTCTTACCTCCAATTTATCTCCCTTTTTTCAACATTGTCAACTCTAAAGGAAACACCTACCTTCAGAAATCCCCTATTTAGTGACAGAATTCCATCTGTGTGAAATTTTATCTGAGTATGCTACAACTGAAATTAAACCTGACAGGCAGGGAAATGAGAGCATGAACCAGACAAGCAGCAATGACCTTTATGGTAACTCTAGAGGAGCTGCGCTACAGCTCGTGTTGGAATGTCTCAGTCAAAATAAAGACAGTAATTGCAACTAAGATTCAATGGCACAAATGCTCTCCAATTAAGGTTTTTGTGCAGTAAGAAAAAAGGTTTTAAATCATTTTAAATCCTACCAAAAAAAAAAAAGTTTTTTCTGCAACAGCTCTAGTAGATTTGTTTTGTATATTTTTCTTTTCAATTATCAGTTACCAAAAGTTAAATTAAGGATGTATGATATTTAAATGCGAATCATTTTAGAATTTGAAAGTCGCCACACTAAAGTTTCTCTAACCTCTTAGCTTCCATTTTAACTTAGCATCCAGGGGAGTAGACATTAAAAGATTAATGTCACAGAAAAAAACAAAACAAACAATGGATGAAACAGCTCAGAGGGAAAACAGGTCAAGGCAGGTTATACAATGCAAACCTTTAAAATAAAAAAAGATCATCTTAAAATGAGCTCTAAAATGCACAGCCAACTAGTGGAGGGAAGCCATACTTGGTATCATGTGTTCCCAGATCCTTACCAATCTAATTAGAAGCAGCAGCAGCTGTATTCTGGGCAAACTGCAGCTGTTCAGGGAAAGATGGCTGACTCCAAGGTAAAGTGGATTACAGCATAGCGCAATAAAGCCAGTGTATAGAAAGCAAGAATAACTATCATCAAAAATCCCTGTCCATCCAATTCTAAAACAAGTTAGATCTGTCTAGTCTAAATATGACACACAGGTGCTGGAAGTCATGGGGAGGTTCAAAGAATCTAGTGACAAAAACTATTCCCTTAATGTCTTTATCTTAATGTAAGATTATTCTCATTTACTTACATTTAGATGTATAATTCAACTCTATGACATTTAATTTTGTTATTTAGCTGCACCCATTGATAATTCTTGTGGATGCATGTTTTGTAAAAAAAAAAAAAAAAAAAAGGGTGATTTTTGTTTTTTATGAAGATCTTTCATGCATCTACTCACCGATCATACAATCCACCTGTTTGGTGTCGGCTTCTGATTCTGTCATGTGGACTGTAGCGTTGCATGAAATTGGTGCCTGTAGGAAAACAGGTGAAGTTTCTGCTTTGTTTTATGTCATAACCAGTATGCATTAATAACTGTAATGGTGTTACCCTATGTCCAGTTGGCAGATAGTCACACTCTGTCCAGGGTTTGTTGTCCCCCACTATACACTCACTCCTCCTGCTGGTGAACTCCAATGAATACACAGAGTCTGAGCCATCTTCTGTCTGTACACATACACAAATACTCACAATCAGCATGTAACAAAGATCAATAGGTAAAAAGAACTTGTCAGTTATCATTAAAACAGCTTTGTTTGGATATTTCAACACTTAGAGTTTTTTTTTTTTTAAATGCACACCTAAAACAACATTATAAATATTGGTTGATTACATATAAACCCCCACACCTCTCCCCTGGTGAAAAAGGCCCAAAAATTGCTTTTTTTCAGGAAGATAAAGCAATCCAGAATTTCGACTCAGCTACTAAGAAATGTTTACAGAGGCAGAGTGGAAAGCCTCCGATGTCTCAGCATGACGTGTGGAAAGGAAGGATGTCTGGACTCAGTTTATGCTACAGGAGTCCAGAAGAAGGACAGACATATTGCCACTGATCCCATCCACTCGGACCAGGAGCTGTTTGTCCATTTCATGACCAATGTCCGATCATAGGCTGCTCTTGCATAAGTTGCACTTTAAGTAAATGCATCATGTTAAATCCCTGTGTGTTTTTCAGGTGATCTAAATGCTCCAGTTTTCCTAATGGCGAGCATTATAAAGTTTATATCATTTTTTTTATTATCTTACCTTTTAATTACTTCCTAAAGTCTTTTAAGGTTGTCATTCACACCAGACACTTTAATTTAGTCTGTGTTTTATATTTGGGCTTTCTGAGCAGAGTGTCTCACCAAGAATTTCTTAATTGCCTAAAGACAAAAAAAAAAAAAAAAAAACTCCTAATTTTTTAAGTACTTAATGTTTCACTATTCCTAAACAATAAATGCAGTTGATGCAAAAGTTGAAGTTAAAGCGGCACTGTGTAACTTTCAGCCAATAAGGAAACTGGACCTGTAACTTCTGAGTTTTTACACCCCTAAAAGTTATTGACCTGAAATATTCATTAATTTATCTAAAATTAATCTTAGACTTACGTCAACAGTGCTGCTTTAAAGGTATAGTGGACGATTTTTACGACTTTTTGAAAAGGCCCGCCCTCTCCACTTAAAAAAAAGAAAAAAAGAAATGCACATGCACAACCCTGTACCCACTCCAGAGAGGGCCAAACGCCTGTTAAATGTGTGAGAGAGCATGCAGGAGCCTATTTCTCCTCGTGCACTCTGTTGAAAAGTTGCTGTTTGCATTGCTTATACAAGCTTACTTTCCAAAAAAAACTATGTTCACTATGTCAGACTCACCACTGGTAAGTGAAAATGGGGACTAGCACATAGGATGGCCTTACATAAAGATATCACCAGAATGATCGACAATTAGGAAAACCTCTTATTTTTATGATCCACCCGTAAAAAGAAAACCCTCCACTGTACCTTTAACAACAAGATAATGATTTCTTTGCACTTCTACAGAAAGTTGTACTTTTTTTTTAGGAGCTGTACCTTTCTGGCGGATGTGATCTGAAAGAGAGCCAGCTTGTATCCAGTGGTCAACTTGTCGTTGAACTTGTGCAAGGCGCTGTGGGCAGCCTTTTGCACGTGCATGTCATCACAGAAGACCTGAACACCCTGCTCAGTCCCCTCAGCATCCTGGACAAATCAAAAGAAACAGAGAGCTGGCATCAAACTCAAAGAGGATAGATCATGTTTCTCTGATGGCTTTGCTGCATCAAGTTGAAGTGAATATTAAAAGTCACACAAAGTATAAAGTAGGCTTATAAACCACCTGCCTGTTAAAATCCTGCAGGTCCCTTGAGAGGTGAGACCACATGATCCTTAAAAAGTAAGGCACTTCGTTCTTCCTAATGATGGTTGAAATGCTTGAAAGTGGATAATGTAATGGGTCGTTAAAGCAGTGTTTCCAAACCTTTTTTGACTTGTGTACCCCTTTGGGTATTTTGTCTTACCATGGGTAACCCCCTCAGTCAAAATCATTGATGATTATAAAATAAAAACTATTTAACCTAATCTTTTAATTTGCACATTTAATTATTTCCATCTAAAATAAAAAACAACATAAATGTGTTGCCTGGAAGTTGCCGAGGAATCTTAATAAATATGAGAAAAAATCCTGTTATAAACATGTATCTATAAAACTTGAGCTCCTCTCAGTAACTCCATTTAAACTTGATGAATTCAGAACAAAATACAGAACAAAAATTATTGTCAGACTAACTTAATTAATTTTACTTTGTTTTCATCAAGACACCTGAGCTGCTTTGATGAGCTCTGATAGCTCAGTGTGAAAAACAGCTGATCCCAGGCTGTTCTTTTCTTGTAGTCTGTTCCTCTGCTTGGTTTTGATGTGTGTCACAGCTCAAGATGAACTCAAAAATAGAAGAAAAACTTACTTTTTTGTTGATAAAATCTTGTTTAATTTTTCCATTGGGCTCTTAAAAAGCAAAACAGATCCCTGCCCTGTTTTATTTTAGTACCTAATAAATAAAATATTTTCATGTACCCCTTGTAATGCTCTCATGGACAACTAGAGGTACGAGTACCCCTGGTTGGGAATCACTGCTCTAGAGACTCAAAGATAATCTTTTAACATTTTTTCCTCACAGATGAAAACTAGCCATTAGATCCAGAATTAAGTCATAAATACGCTTCTAATTAATTAATTTAAAATATTTTGATCGTTCATTTCATAATTTACACTGAATTCATTACTTACTAATTTCATTTATAATTTCATGAATGAAGAGTTCTCATTAATGTTTTCCATCTGAATTAGTTATTATCCTTGTGGAGATTTTAAAGGAATCTCAAATTCTTTAAAAGTTTTTTAAGTCTACTTTGGTTTTTATTAAATTACTTCTGATGTGGTCCTGCCTCCTCACATTTAGGTTCGGGAAAGTAAAGAGTTCAACCTTAAATATTGTTCTTTAGATTTGTGAGATTAGTGAATCATAATCAATATAATTTATTGTAGTTTAATCACTCCACACTTCTTTTCACCTCATTTGTGCTTTAATTATGATTTGCTTTAATAACAGACAATCAGAACTGTCCCATGGTTATATGTGGTCCTAAGCAGAATTTTATTCGTAGGCTCCAGTTTCAGTTGAACCAACCATTCACCCCAGGAACCATTTTGACCTTGACATTTTACCCATTTATCAGCTGACAAGCAAGCAAACTATAGAATGTATTTTGCTTCACAAATACATCAGCAACTGTAAATCATTTATTAATAAACACCCAAAATAAACTGTTTAATTTAATCATTATCTTTATATTTATCAATATTTTCTGTTCCTTGGTAAAAAGTCACACATTGCTCAGTCTTTAGCTGCAGAAATGCCAAATAAGTCCGAAATTTGTTTATATCTGGTAATGTGATTTTTAGGCTTTCAAGATTTTCTATTATATCTTTTCAAGCTGCACATTTTATTTTTTTTTTGTGAAAATTGAATTACTCATAAATGTTATTCATGCCTCAGGCCGGGCCGGCGTCATTAGAAATGTGACACCTAAGAAGATATGCTACTTTAACAAAGTAATACCTTCCCATTGATTGCTTTGCGATTAAATATTTTGTGATTTTGATCAATCGTTTTTTTGTCGGATTTCTTTTTCTTTTTGCCTAAGTTTTAGAATATTTTCACTGAGTGGTTCTGATGCATTTTACTGCATTTTATAAAAAAAAAAAAGAAAGTTTTTCATTAGTATGCACTAATTTTTTTTATTTAGAATAAGAAAAATGTTAAATTAATTATGATTATTATTTGACTAATTCACTGGGCCGCCACTCAACAAAGCAAAAGGGTGTTTGATTGAATTCAGAGCAGAATCTATGGCTATTACTTCCACGCTTCACTTTTTCTGCTTAGGTGAAGTGAGACGTGCAGATCGGAGTGTGGAGAGAGAACTCCAAGGTGCTTTTTAGGGTCACTGATGGCAGCTCAGAGACGACTTAGATTAGAGTTTGGTCTCTTATCTAAACAAAGTTAACTGGACATTGATATGGTAATCAGATAAACTAAAGCTAGAAGAATTAAAATCAACATAATTCTTCCAACAGCTCAGACATTTGCCAGCAATTAAAAGAATTTGTTAGAAACTCAGTAAAAATGCATTGTTTTTTGTTTTCAAAGTGTGCTAGAGATGAACAATCATGTTCTCTGTCTTTAAAAAGTTCTCATGTGTGTGTGTTTTTTTTTTAACCCAGTCTGGTTCTTACCTGCCCAAAAACGGAGCTGCAGAAGCACAGCAGACCCAGAGCAAACAGCACCACTCCGCTCCTCATCATTCAAGTCGGTGGCTGCCTTACTTTTCTATTACTGCACATCATAGAACAAAAAAATCAAACAAATTATAAGACTGTTTACATCCTAATCCTACAAGGAATCTAAACATTTCTTTTATACCCTAGAAAACAAGCTTTTCCTATTGAATTATTCCAAATCAGGCTTACAGTTGGTGAAGATGGAGGCCTGTTGGTCTAGAAGAGGAAAATCCTGACTCCTCTTTCTCTTGTTCAGATGACTGAGCAAAGTTCTCTAACTGTAGCTGGAATTCCTGAGAAAGATGATAACAAATGTACGGTGGACTGAAGGGCAGAAAGGACACAAACACACACACACACATAGGACAATACCCACCATGCACAGCTGGTAAAAGAGGAGTAAATGTTTGCTCTTTGGTTTGCCCTCCCACATGTTGAGTCAATACATCAGTCTGTTTCAGAGGCAGAAAGATTAAAAAATAAAACATACGAACTCCTCATTATCCTCAGAATCAGATAAACACAAAGAGCCACTTATAAAAAACTAATTTTAACCACATTGACTGTAACATTTGTGTTTACAGGTCACTTTTAACATGTTCATTGTGTTTTTGTGTCTATGTTTGATGTGGGACTTTGTCCCGGTCGACCTTTAGCCTTGGTCACTCCGATTTCCCCAAAAAACAAGCTAAAGTGAGCTCAGATTCAACAGCATCCATCAAGATCAACAAATTATGAAACCTGCTCTGTGGATCTGCACCTGTGTTTGCTTGTTTATGGTTAATAAGTCACCTCAGCCCCATTTAGAGATGTGAAATATAGAAAGTTCCATCATTCCTAAACAACTTGCATTTGTTTATTCCAGATTATATATCCTCAAGTTTTAATCTCAGGTGTATTTTTGTTGATCTTTGTGTGCTGCTGTATCACCTAAACAAATTCTTCATATATGTAAAACATTATTTAAACATAAAACCTTTTTTATTTCTGATTCTAAAGTGTAAAATTAAAACAAAATCTGGTAGTCAATTTCTTTTTATTTTCTTATTTTTACTGTATTTGTAACTATGGTTTAGAAAGTGTCTTATTTATAGACCTTTTTTCAGAAGTAACAAAGAACAGATTTAATTAACCCTGAGTTGTTCAGGTTTGAACAGTTATACAACTTTACTGATCTCCACAAGCAAGAAAGTGATATCTATATCTTAATTCATTAAGCATTTTCTCTCCAGTCCACCTTTGGTCAATATTACATATTCAGGTTTTACATTGTAACTCAAACACTCTTAGAAAGTTGCATTTATTGTCCATTTATTGCATCCAACAACAGCTTTTTTGTATAATTCTGGCTCAATTTAACACTTTTTGCACTCTTTTCAAAACTATCCATTTGGGAGATCATTTAAAAACAATCAGTCAAAGCTAATTTTAAAGTCACTTTAAGATAATTGTCCCATCCAGTTAAAGTTAGCAATGATAAGATAGTTAACAATCATTTTAAAGAATGTCAAGGCAGTTAAATGCTTTCCATTTAGCATTACCATTAGTTTTACCATCTAAGAGCATGATAATGGTACCATAATGCTCGACAGTTACCTTGATCTTCTCCAGCAGGGTTGTTGTTTGTAGAAAGCTGAAATTTTCAGCTGGGCCTGAAGGGGTCAGTTTAGAGCAGGGGTTCCATTCCTTTATATTTTTTTATGGAGTATGACAGTTTCTATAAATATTTATTAAAAAACAGCTTCTTCCTTACTGAGTGCCCTTTGTGTCCACTCGGCACTGAAATCATCTTCCTGTGCATAACCACTCTCTTTAACAATCTAAGCCAGCCTTCTCTTGCTGTTTACACTTGCAAACATATCTTTGACAGATCAGCGTAGCTCCTTCAGGCATTTGAAAAGTTCGTCTAATGATGACCGAGAGAGGTCCACAGTCTTTGTCTGATTGGTTAAGAGTTTTCTATCATGTCAGGCTATCAAAGTTCCATTTTCTACAACAAGATTAAACATACACTCAGCATGGTGAACTGAAAACTTTAATAAAGAATATAAACAAAACACTTACAGCAAAGAAACCAGGTATAAAGTTAGGAAGAAAACGAAGAATCTATGGATAAATGAAAACAACTGAGGGCTTAAATAGAGCAGATAACAGGTGTAGGCTATAGGCTAAATGCAGAGACACTGGTGAATGGAATCTACTAATAAACTGGTTACCCCTGACTGAGGAAAAACTATTAGAAGGGGCAGACGGGGAGCTACATGGTAAAGAAACTAACAGAATCTACTTAATCACACAGAATAAATAAAAAAAAAAACAATGGCATGACCAAATGGTAACCGCAAGAAATGCATGTTTTCCTTCCAGGAAAAAGAACACTTCTGGCAAACCCCAGATGGCAAAAATAACAGAATATGGCAATAACTATAGAACATAATAATAAGGAAATTGCAGAAAAACCCGAACACAAAATAAAAACTGCAGCCCACAGAAAGCTCCTCATCATCACATGTACAACGAAGCTTTATGTTTAAGGTGTATTTTAACCAAAAATATCCACATATGTCCCTCTAATTCACTGCTAAAAAACAGGGAGCTCTTTTGTTGATAGACTTTTTTGTCCTAGGTACACAAAGAAGCTCTACAGCAGATCCTTCCTCCCAGCTGCTCTTAGACTGTAAATTCAACAATGCTGATATATGTATGTTTTTACCTACCTATCCTATCCTGTCATGTCCTGTTGTATTCTATTCTATTCTATTCTATTCTATTCTATTCTATTCTATTCTATTCTATTCTATTCTATTCTATTCTATTCTATTCTATTCTATTCTATTCTGTTCTGTTCTATTCTATTCTATTCTATTCTATTCTATTCTATTCTATTCTATTCTGTTCTGTTCTATTCTATTCTATTCTATTCTGTTCTGTTGTTCTGTTTTATTCTATCCTGTCCTATTCTGTTCTTTTCTATTTTATTGTATTCTGTCCTGTCCTGTTCTGTTCTATTCCATTCTGTTCAAATCTATTCTATTCTATTGTATTGTATTCTATCATATTATATTATATTATTTTCTATTGTATTCTATTCTTTTCTATTATGTTCTGTTCTGTTCAATTCTATTGTCTTATATTATATTCAGTGCAATGTTTAAGATGATTTATTTCTGACCACTTGATGAGTTAAAGTTTCAGTCATGCATTGTGAATTCTTTACATCCGTTGTTACCTCTGTGCACTCATGGTGACACCTCTTTTCATATGCCTGGGTAAGCAATACTGAACTCCTCCCATATTCTATTCTATTCAATTCCATTATGTTATATTCTATTCAGTTCTATTCTATACTATTCTGTCCTATTTTATTCCATTATGTTGTATTCTATATAGTTATATTCTATATTCTTCTGTATTATTCTATTCAAATTCTATTCTGTTTTATTCTATTCTATTCTTGTCTCACATAATAGCCCTCTATTCATATGTAAATATTTAGTCATAACTGTAAACCCAATTTTGAAATATGATCACCTACACCAGGCTCCTTCAGTTTTTCAATCACCCAAGGTGGTTGAGTTACACCAATTCTCCAAGAAACAGAGCTGCAGATATTCTGATGACACCACCTGTAATCAGAATATCTGCACCACCAGCTCCAAGTTTTAGGGAGGAATGTATCTTCACATGGGGTCAGGTGTGTTTGGATAGTTTTTATTCTTTGAAATGAATGAAATCAGGATTTTAAACTTTACTTAATGATGTGAAACCTCTGAATTTTACAAAAAAGCAGAAATATGGAATGGGAAAACACTTTCAGTATATGCTCATCATTAAGTCATATGTAACTCATTGAGGGGGAGGCGGAGAATAAACCTTTTTAAAACACAATAAACTGAACTTATTGCCTGACACCTCTATAGGAATGCTGTTAAATCTACTGAATAACTCATCATCTTTATGTGTTTTTACCATAAATAAAATCCTGCATTATTCACATGCAATGTTTAAGGTGATTTATTTCTGACCACTTGATGAGTTAAAGTTTCCATCATGCATTGTGAATTCTTTACAGCCGTTGTTGCCTCTGTGGTCTCAGTGTTCGTGGTGACACCTCTTTTCATATGTCTGGGTAAGCAACGCTGAACTGCTCTCATATTTACGAATCACACCACAGCTCCACTTCCTTTGAGAATTCATTTCGTCTACCTCTTCGCTGTTCTTCGTATACCATGCTGCTAAAGGCTCGTACGAACGGACTGGTTGTTTTCCTCCTAACTGCTTTCCTTCCAGGTAATTTCAGCTATACTTTGACATTGTTTTTTACACACATTATTTGTTTAAAATTAGTAAACAGGTCACTTTTTGTTGGTCCTCTATTGATTTTTGAATATTTTAATATAAAGGCAGCAGTGATCACTGAAAAGTCAAATGTCAGATTTTTTTACATAAACTAATTTCTGTGAAAATAAGCTAATCAAACTAATGTGTTATAGAATATACACGTTTAACTGAGTGTTGAACATATCTCTATAGACTAACATAACTCCTGACTTTGCTGATATGATATAAATGTTCATGCTGGTGGTTTCCTCTTCCAGGCAGTAATCATTGCTTTAGAGGTCTCTGGTGGTGCTGCAGTTTTGTTCTCTCACACTCTGTGGGTTTCAGCCACAGATGGTGTGAATATGATAGAGAATTTAGAAGATAACAAAATCTGCTGTTTTTTTTTAAACTATTGTTTTTCAATTGTCTTTGTGATAAGAAGAGTTTCAGTCACTTCTAAGCAACAACAATGTGGCTCCATTCAGATAGATGTATTTAGTGTCACTTGGTGCTGACTGTGTGGATCTGGTCCTATTTATTGTCAGTTAAGGAAAGAATTAATAAAATGATATATTGTTCATTTTCCAACTTAAGAATGTTTGGTTTTATCTGATTTTTTAAAGGCCTTACATTGATAAAAATCTTGCCCAAAAATGTATGAAAACCCCAAAACCATCCGTGGCCATTACGAATTTAGTACAGTTCTTGTGGTCCATGGGTCTCACTAAAATTCAAGCCTTAGTATCTTGATCTCTGCTTTTAACAATGGATGCATCCATGTTTGTCCAATTTTATGCACATATTATTTAAAAGTGAAGAGTAAGGGCGCTCTTACTGAAGTTTTTATGGTTAAAATTTAATTTAAAAAAAATACTGAAAAACTACAAAGAAATCAATAATCCTGTCAAATTGAAACCCTAATATTGTATCCCACTTTCCCAGCTGCAGTTTCAAATTCATAAACTTGCTTAGTAAAAATTGAAAAACAAACTTCAGAAGTGATCAGGATTCTTCTTTATCAGGTTTCCACCTACAGAGGAACGGTATCTCCATTCTGCCCCGGTTGGACCCTGAGACTCGGTTTTACCGGCCTGTTCTTCAACACAATGAGACCCTTCCCACACCTGGTGAGCACTTGAATTACGACAAACCCACAATACATTTTACAGCCAGACTGCATGTATACAGTGGCATAGTTATGAGTTTAGGAACCATCAAAACTTTCTACATGAGATAAGGTCAAAACATCAGGACATTTCTTAAAAAGAACCACAGTCATGTTTTTGGACTGTGGGAGAAACCTGGAGAAAACCCACGAATGCACAGGGAGAACATTCAAACTCCATGCAGAAAGGAATCGTACCTGGAACCAATGTGCAGCCTCTTAAGAAGAAAACCGTAAAAGGTCTTTAAGAAGAACCTTTTAAGAAAATTTGCCATAGAAAATATTGTCTTAATGTCTTTTGAAAAGAAATCTTGAATGGACAAACTTAAGAAGTGACATTTAACATAATCAGTGATCCCTCAAACCCCCCCTCATGGACTGTTCTCCCTGTTGTCCTCTGGGTAAGAATTCGCAGCATTTGATGCAGGTCCAGCAGATTCCAAAACAGTTTATTTCCCACCGCGATCAGAGTGCTGAATGTTGAGAAAACTCTTAATCATTTCACAGACTCTGCATCACAGTGACAACCCCAAACCAAAACACTGCATAATTGCACCATATAAAATTAATGCTCTTAACTTCCATATCAGTGCATTCTTTTGCACCATGTTTTTTCTACCAATGTTTAAATTTGATCACTGCTTCACTTTAAGAAATAGAAATATCATGAAATCTGTACAAAACTAAATTCAGAAGCTGTCTAAGTCTAAGAAAATGATCATGATGTTTGTTGAGCTTTCTCCTCAAGTTTAAATCCCCAAACAGGACTTTCAAGTCCAGAGGTCCAAGCTCCCATGATGTGCTATCCAACACTCTGCTTTTTAAAAGCAAAAATGTCTGAATGTCTTTCTAAAATAACCCCCAAATGAACAGATAAAGTCCCCAGGCTCCCCTAACAGAGCTATTCCTATAAGGTTCTAATAGGAGGAATTTTTGCAGCAGGAGTATTTTCCTAGGGACCCATTAAAAGCAATCTAAGTAAAGCAGATATTGCCAATAGACACAGCAGTGAAACAGCTTTCCACACACATCTGACACATTCATAGCAGAAGAAAATTAAATTAGACTGATATTCATTTTTAGATGACATCATCACTGCATAATTGAACTATTTTATTGTAATCATTTATCATACTAATTAACAAATCAGCACAAATAATGTACAGCTTAAAAAAGGGCCAGGTATAAAAACAGCTCAGGAAGATACACATTATAGAGTTTGCATAACTAATGTGGTATAACCAATGAGAGACTATGTGCACAGCTTGCATTTGTTGTGTTTGTCAGGAAGCTACATGCTGCGAGACTTTGATGGAAGGCCGTGCATCAAAGTCACGATGGGAGCAGAGTATGTGGTTATGGAAAACAAGGTCAGAAGCTCAGAATACTGATCACCAATCTGTATGTGTGTGTTCATTCTTAGCTTTTGCACAAAATGTGTGTTTGGAATAAATCTTGAGATGCTAAGCTGATTTTCCTTTCAACTTTATGATGCATATACTCCTTTTTAAGCACTTGTGCTACATCCCATATAAATTAAAGGTGATTAAATGTTTTCCTCCTCTTGTGTATTTAGATAAACTGGTATTTCAACCTTGATCCATCCAGAGTAACACTGAGTGGTAAGTGCGGCAAAGAAGAAGCCCTTCTTTATCTCATGCTGCCGGGTAATTCGGGAAGTCTGGAGTTTACCTTCAGAAAGGTAATAAAGCACAAACTGGTTCTACTGGATGCTTGGAGTGTTTTTTCCCCCACAACATATACAGTGAATTTCTCCACGTTTAATATTTTATCCCTGTAAAATTTCACGTTTAGATTTATTTTTTTCAACAGGATGAAGATAATTTCTATGTCACCAAACTAGCGGCTCAATTGTCCCCCCTTCCTGTTTGCAAAGGATGCCCCAGTAAGAGCACAAATAGATAACACAGTATAATTTATCTGCAGCAATATGATCAAAACTCTGGGATTGTTTCTGTCTTTTTTTCTGTACAGATAAAACATATTCTGGGTTTCTATCCCAAAAGAGGCTTTTCAAAGCAGAAGTTTATCGGAGCTTCAAGTGCACATCGGAGTCGCTCCTTTCTGTCTCTTCCGAGCTGCAGATCAAGTTGGTTCCTCTGCAGATGCAGGCCTTTGGTGTCCCTAATGGGCAGTTTGGAAAGGGTAGGAGTTGCCAATAAATCTGAGGCCTAGTGAAAGGGAAATGTAATGTAATTTAAGGTTCATATAATGTAAGAAAACAAGATCAAGAAATATAATTTCTGAAATTTTCCAATATTAATTTGAACATTAAACTCTATAAAGTGAACCCAGAATTATTTTAATCAAAAAAATAAACCCAGAATCATGGTTTGGGTAGACCTTATTAAAAACTGTAGGGATTAGGGTCTACCTTCCTTTAATTTAACATTGATATTACCCAGAACGAGCTGTTCCTCCAAATCATATGAACAGATGAAAAGAAAACTGGGTAAATAAAGGAACTGCAGGGATTTAGAAAGTGCTGACCGAAGAGCACTTTAAAAACATTTAATTTCCTGTTGAGGTTTAAAAGGACACAAACTAAGTTTGTCAAAACAGATTTTGAAATAATAAAAAAAAAAATGATAAGAAAACAAAAGGAGATGCTAGACCAACAGGTCATGGTGCAGAGGTGACCAACAGGTTGTGGAACTGAGCAATGGAATACTGAGCCTTTAAACTGAAGAATTCAGCAGAGAACAATAAGATAAAACATGAGTTTAGGCACGTATGATCAAAAAAGATACCCAGATTAGCTAATTGGAACAAATGGGGAGCATCTGTGGCATAAGGAAAGTAGGGGAGCTGAGTGATGCACAATGAAACCCTCTGAAGAAAACTGTAAACAGAGATCTTAGGGGGAAAAAAATCCAAACTTACAAAGAACAGAAGACAAAACCAAAATCTGAAACTCAACACAAATAAATGAGCCAAAATGGCAAAACTCTAAAGTTAAAGTCAACGACAGAATATGACAAGATCAGTTAGAACATAATGAAGAATGCTGGAAACACAAAAGAAACACAAATATCAGACTCCTGGAAAAGAAAACATCTAGTTTATTGTTAAACTTAAAAAGATATATATTTAAAGTGTCTGTATATTTAAAGTCTCACAAAACTTTGGAGAAAAAAGCATCATAAAATGATAAAGCTAGGAATCTTGGTGTATTGCAGCATTGTGTTTCCTGTATTTGTATCCTTCATGCTTCTGCAAGAAGGAGGAGAAACTTCATCTTTCAGCACAAAAATTAAGATGGTTGGAAAATGTTTTCTCATTGAAAGTCTGTGTGATGATCTGAAAAGAAGAGACACCCCAGCAATCTTAAATTGCAGGATGTGCCATGTTGTTAGACTGCTCCCCAAAATGACTAGTTGTTCTACTTAATATTAGTTTAAATTGGAGAGCCCATTAATTTTTCCCCACAAAAAAAACCTTCAAAATGTTTTTATTCTTGTGTTGACAAGGTAATAAAACACATAAAAGTAGAAGATGCTCTGATTTCTCTCTCTTTTTTTTTTTTTTTACATCAGAAAAGCTCACTAGAAACTGCAGAGAAAAAAATGATATATGAAATGTGTATTTTACAAATCAATGTCTTGAATGTTCTTTCTTATATTACAGAGGATGAATGTTGGGCTGATTTCAACCGGAGAGCAATACCCATCATCATTGGGTCCATAGTACTGGGATTCATTTTGAGTGCTGTGCTAAGCTTCCTGATCATCAGAGATCGCCACCCACCAACATATGAAAGACTCTGATCACACTCTCAGAAAGAAACATTGTGTTAAAAAAACAAACAATTAAACCAAATAAATAGAGGGCTTTGCAAAACCATTTACATATTTACATATCCCTCTGAAAAGTGGCAAAATTGCAGTATTTCATTGTGATTAAATGTGATAGTAAACAAAGAAATCTGCATACATATATTTTTATGAATAAAAACACTAAAAATGAATATTGCTTACCCATTTTCTTCTGCCTTTTGGATTCATTACTAAAACAAAACCATTTTGTCTGCAACCTGGGAGAATTTTGGGCCATGTCTCTAACAGCTTTCATATTTAGAGATTGAAATTTGTGGTTTTCTGTTGTTGCTTCAATTAGTTAGATATAAGTCTAGACTTTGACTAGGCCATTCTAACATTTGATCTAAAACATTCCCATGTACCCCTTGTTTACCAATAGGCTACATGAGTTCTAGTCTTTATGAAAAATAAAGCGTGAATAAGAGTTTTGTAATGAATTTAAATGGATTAAGAATAAAATAGAAACCACAGGTCAGGAGTAACACACATATCGGCAACAGCTTCAGCTAGGTTTCTCGCAGACCAGAATAAACAGATTAAATACCCTTTTTCTTTTATCATAAGGCTGTTTATTTAGTTGCTCAATTTCTATACCTTCATTTTTGATTCTGTTTTGTTGAAAAATAAAAATCAGGGTCTCCTCTGTGTCAATTAATCTATGTTTTAATAAAAAATGAACAGAATCTCAGTGACCCTGATGTCCATCACTGGGAGTTAAAGCTACCAGAAAATGGTTTACTGTCATTGCCATTAGTTGAAAAGAAAAACACTGCCCCCGGCTGGTGATATTTTGTAACTACACTTTCATCTCCGCCTCCACATTAAATTTTCTGATTGGCCATTCTACGCTACGGGTGCTCATTAGGTCTGTCAATATTTAAAGTTCGGGAAAGTTAAAAAGTAAATACACAGTGGTTTTTAAGGGGGTTTGACCACACAACCCATCCGTTTTAAAAGAAGATTTTCATTTATTGTTAAAAGAAACAGATTTTAAATATTTTGGGGGGTTTAAATATAGCTGTCCCACCGCTTCTCTCCTCAGTCTGGCAGGCAGCTAGCTAGCAGCGCTAGCACTGGTCCAGCTGGTAGCAATGGCTGCAGTTATTCTGAGTTTTCCTACACTACAGGGTCTGAGAATATTCACACAGTGAGTGCTTCCAAGTCCTTGCTTAACTTATGTCTTAGAAACTCTCCATTCCCCCCTTTTCTTGTTTAGTTTGCTCGAGTTTTGGCGTTTAGTTTTCGAGTTTGCATCATAGCTGAGTTTATCCTCAATAAGAGGCAAGGACTCGGATGTGCAGTGAAGGTTGTAATGTATTTATTAAAATTCATGATTTGTTATTTACTTTGAATTATTTGATTATCTCAATCTGAAGGTGGTATGCAACCAAAAAGGATCAGATTGTGCAAACCAGTATAACGAACCGAGCAAGGTTAAACACAATTAGCTGAATGCTAATGTAGCTGCTACAGTTTGTTTACTTCTGAGACGTGAATGATTTCTTTCTCCCCAATTGTCTGTTTGAACATCTCGTCCAAACGGTTGTGATCAAACATACTTTTAAATCTGACGAATTTAATGATAAACATCAACTAAACCCAGGATGTTGTTTCCTTTCCTCAGGAAGCTGTCATGGACCAAAAGAGGAGTGAGGCTTGTTTCAGGAGGTGAGAGAGCAACATGGTTCAGCTCTATTATCATTAAACTGATTAATAATACTAGGAACCTGACCCTAATTCAATCCCACATCAGTTTACATATTACCTCTTTCAGCTTCCTCCATTGGAGAAAAGAAAAAATTAAAAAAATTATAATAATTGATTGAATTTTATTTATCTCACACTGGAGAAATTAACTTTCTGCATTTAACCCATCCCCTTGGGGAGAAGTGGGCTACCATTGTGTGGCGCCCGGGGAGCAGTGTGGTGTTAAGGGTCTTGCTCAGGGATCCACAGTGCAGGCTGTGGGGATCAAACCGGGTACTTGCAACCTTCTCAGAGCACCAGTGCACTGCTCTAACCACTAGGCCATCACTCCCCCACAATAAATTGTTACATACCTTCTCATTTCTTTATTTATTTTTTTATTTTTATTTTTTTTATTTGGTAAAAAAAGGTATTTCTTTGCAGAATTTCATAAATTGTTTACATTTTCCTTTCCCAAAGGTGTTGATTTATAAATACAAACAAGAAAAATTACACAAGCCAAGAAAAATACAAATACATAATTAGCAAATAAAATAAAATAAAAAAATAAGAAGATTAGAGAGAACACTTTATGTCAATCCATACACGTTCTGTATTCCTATCCATTCCAAAGATGAAAATGATTACAGTTAAAGTTCCAGAAGAGTTAAGGTTTTTCTATCCCCATAAGTGCAGGTGCCCATGTCTCTTGAAACAATTTATCTTTAAACTGTAATTTTGCTTTTATTTTTTCCATTCCCATCACTTCCTTGAATCTTTCCCACCAAAGGTCAGTGCTCAGGGGTTGTGGCTTTAGCCAGAAGATTACCGTATTATTTTCTTTGCTATCATAATCAGTATTTGAATAATTTTCTTTTTTCTATTTAAAGGAATAGTACACCCAAAACATGATTAGCCTTCATTTTCTACTCACCCCCATGCTGAACAACACTCTGGAGTACTTTTTTGATATCTCAAATGCATCTGGAGAGCTGGGAGGCTTCTTGCTGTCTGCTGACATTCAAATAATGGAGGTCTATGGTGACCGAGACAGAAAGGTCCATAAAAGTCCACAAAAAACGTGTCAATATTCCTCCATACTGCTCGTCCAATGTAATCCAAGTGTCCTGAGTGGGTAGCATCCAGAATTTACTCGAAACGAAGTCATTTAGAATGTTTTTAGAGCATAAACAGTAGTGTATAGTATTTCCTGAAAGCGCGCACATGCGCGATCACGACGCTACGGAAGCCGGCAGACCAGATAATTTTAGGAAAGTCTTTCACCTGGGTAATCTAAAGGAAGCTGAAGGTTTTAGTGTTTTGTCCAAGCAGAGGTGGGAAGGATCGAAAAGGTGCTGATTGCCAACCGAGGAGAGATCGCGTGCCGTGTGATGCGAACAGCTAAGAAGATGGGTGTGCGTTCTGTGGCCGTGTACAGCGATGCAGACAGACACTCCATGCATGTGGCCATGGTGAGAGTCTTAGATCAGATATATTCTCATATATCTCAGGTTTATTTTCTCTATCAGCTCTAAACTTTGCATTTTTGCAGGCAGATGAAGCCTACCACATCGGGCCTCCACCTTCCCAACAGAGTTACCTCTCTATGGAGAAAGTTTTGAAAGTGGCCAAAAAATCCGGATCACATGTGAGTAAAACTAATGAAGATTTTATTATTATTATTTTTTTTTTATCTTTTTAAATTATTTGGCTAAACCAGCTGTTTTTGTTCTCAGGCAGTTCATCCAGGCTACGGCTTTCTGTCTGAAAACACAGAGTTTGCAGAAGCGTGCAAACAGGAAGGAATCATCTTCATTGGGCCTCCTTCCTCTGCCATCAGAGACATGGGAATCAAGAGGTCATTCATCTCCACTTTTTCTGTAGTTATATATTTATTTTTTTACATTTTGGTCTTTGGAATGAACTTATTTTCCTTTACAGCACATCCAAACACATCATGGCTGCTGCTGGGGTGCCAATCATTGGAGGTTACCATGGAGAGGACCAGTCCGATGAACGGCTGCAAGCAGAGGCAGCCCGGATTGGATACCCTGTCATGATCAAGGCCGTCCGGGGAGGAGGGGGGAAGGTAAAAGGGGAAACTGTTTGATTCTTGTGTTTTTACTGCTGCAGGCTGAAAACACGGTCGTGTATTTTAGGGAATGCGTATCGCTCGGTCAGACTCCGACTTCTTGGAGCAGCTGGAGTCGGCAAGACGAGAAGCCAGGAAGTCCTTCAATGATGATGTGATGCTGGTTGAAAAGTTTGTTGAGGATCCCAGGTAGTGAAAACCCTTTTTTGTTAGTTTTTTTTTGTTCTTAAGTTTTTATTTTAAAATCTGTGCTTTGGCTGCCCTTTGCAGACATGTAGAAGTCCAGGTGTTCGGGGACATGCATGGAAACGCTGTCTATCTTTTTGAGAGGGATTGCAGCGTCCAAAGGAGACATCAGAAAATAATCGAGGAGGCACCTGGAGTAAGTTATGTATTTATTTATTTATTCAGACAGAGTAATGAAGCAGGATGTAAGAGCTAAAAAAACAGGAATTATCCTCGACGGATAGAATAGAAATACTTTTTCTCCTAGGGGTTATTCCTTTACAGCACAAAGAGACAATAAAACAAAATTACAGAATAATATCAGAACCTCAAGGAACACAATTATCAGCAATGATTTAAAATTTAAAAAGCTAAGAGAATAAAGGACCTCAGGTATCGATTAGATCCTGCCTCCTTCTCCCTGGTCTGTGAAATGAATGCTGAGTATCACTGAGTATTAATATTGTAATGAAATGTTATGTTTTTTAAGTAGCAGATTTTAGATTATCTACTTTCCCATTTGTAAAGAATGGCAGATATTTGTGGAAAATATGACTCATAAACATTTGTATTCATACTTTTTAATAATTTAAAATTGGGCACATTTCCAAATAGTAATGGCAGTAAATATTAATAGTGTAGGATTTCCCACCATATAATGTGGTATGAAGTGACCATATGATGTTGGTTCTGTATGAATATTTTTCCAGCCTGGAATCAGCCCTGAAGTTCGGAGGAAACTGGGAGAGGCGGCAGTCAGAGCAGCTAAGGCTGTGAACTACGTGGGAGCAGGTAAATATCCACAGACTGGCCTCGCCGCTGAACGCAGAACAGATTTGATATATCTGTTATTTATCTTCCTGTAGGAACGGTGGAGTTTATAATGGATGCACAGCACAACTTCTACTTCATGGAGATGAACACCAGGCTGCAGGTGGAGCATCCTGTCAGTGAGATGATCACTGGGACCGACCTGGTGGAGTGGCAGCTCAGGGTGAGGTGGAGGAAAAGATCTTTGCCGCATCAGAGGTTATGCAGAAAGATATTTAAAAGAAAAAAATCTCTTTCAGGTGGCAGCAGGGGAGCGTCTGCCCCTCCTCCAGGATGTTATAACCTTAAGGGGCCACTCTTTTGAAGCTCGCATCTATGCCGAGGACCCAAACAACGACTTCCTTCCAGGAGCGGGGCCCCTGCTGCATCTGTCCACGCCTGCAGCAGACCAGCACACTCGCATAGAGACCGGGGTCAGAGAAGGTGGGAACCGAAGGCTTTGACCTTTCTGTGCATTCAGCACATTTCCAAATGTCACAACAAGATGGGTTGTTTGGGAAAATGAAAGCTTTGTTTGTTTGGTTTTAGGGGACGAGGTTTCTGCTCATTATGACCCAATGATTGCCAAGCTTGTGGTTTGGGGAGAGGACCGATCTGCTGCCTTAAAGAAGCTACGATACTGTTTACGACAATATAATGTAGGACCTGCTGTGTTTGTATCCATTCAGCATGACCTTCTAGCTTCTTCTTGCTCACCATCCCCCGCCTGGTTGATTTCTCCTCAGATCGTGGGATTAAACACCAACATAGACTTCCTGCTGAGCCTCTCCGGTCACCCAGAGTTTGAGGCGGGACGCGTGAGCACCAGCTTTATCCCTCAGTACTACGCAGATCTCTTTCCCACCCCGAGAGCGCCATCTGGGGAGACGATCTGCCAGGCTGCCCTGGGCCTGCTGCTGCAGGAGAGAAAACACACAGAGAGCTTCACCCAGTCCTCCACAGGTGAGCAGGATCCTTAGGATGTAAAGAGAGAAACGGGCTGAAAAACTGATGTTTGTTTTCTTTTTTTCCAGATCCTTTCTCTCCGTTCGGTTCCAGCAGCGGCTGGAGAAACAACATTCAGTTTAACAGAAATATGACCTTACAGCTGGGAGACAAAAGTAGGTGATATCAATGTAGTTTTGGGTGGATTTTTTGTCCCTTTTAAAGGTCACTTTTTCTCTTTAATTGAATGAAAATAAAGGCATGCACGTTTATCATTGATTTTATATTTTTGCATAAACAGAGTTTTTTTTCACATTATCACCGTACTTTCCAGATTATAAGCCACTACTTTTTCCCCACGCTTTAACCGAGCGGCTTATAGGAAGATGCGGCTTTTCTGTGGATTTTCCCTAACCACCAGGAGGTGGAGGTCAAAGTTGGAAATCAAAGAAGGGGCTAATTATAATTTAGCACAAGCACTTGCTAACAGCAGGCATGAAGGAGAACAAATGTCCCACATTCACTCAATTTGACATTTATTGGCTGCATTAAAGAACCAATGATGAGGGGGTCAGTTCCTGCAGAGTTGAAATGGAGATGATGAAGCCCCATCTTACTGCTGCGAACCGACAAGCTAACAGGAGCTAACCGTCCTTTTCATCACTGCTCTAGGGGTGATATGTAGAGCTGCCCCTAAAGATTTGGTGGGCGGCAGTTCAGTAGCAGGGTGCAGCTTATATATGTATCTTTCCAGTTTAAAAAAAAATAAAATACGTAGTGGCTGCAGCCTATAGTGAGGTGCACAGTGTAGTCTGGAAAATACTGTGATTTAGCAGTTTCTAAGATCAAGTAATTCCCTTTGCAATGTTTTCTCCTAAAAAAAAAAAAAACAGTCACCTTTTTATTAAAAACCCAGAAGGTATGCATGCCTTAATGGAGGTGACTGATAAGATTTATAGTTTGGTTTAAACAGAGCAGACTATATGTATGTTTCTGACTCTGTAATCTGTATGATTGCTGTCCTTTTGAGTTTAATCACATCAAAAATGTATCGTGTTAATGATTCATCAGGATTCATCCATTATTTAGTCTTCCTGTTAAAAATGTTCTGAAGGAAGTCCTGTTGTGTGAGGAAGGCCAATGCTTCTAACGTCATCTTTAGTTGCTAAACATTGTTTTCTTGTTTATTTCCAGAGGTTGATGTTGTCATCACGTATAACTCAGACGACAGCTACAGAATGCAGGTAAGCTGGGAATCACTTCAATTAAAATGGCTTTAAAGTCTTAGTTTTTTCTTTTAATTAACATTCAGGGCCTTTAACATTTCCTCGCCGCTCTTTTCATGTGAAAAAGACCGAAAATAAATGTATCTTTGCATATTTTAATAAATAAAAGTTTGCTAAGCTATTGAGGTTAGAAAATTTTTTTCCTCAGGTGTTTGTTTCAAACTTATAAATATCTTTGTTCTTTGTAAACTTTTCCTTAATATTAAAAAGATCAAACTACATCTGGTTTATCTTAATGCAAAAATGTCCGGTGTCCAGCCCCTGTTAGATCAGCCTCTGCTTAAACACATTAGTCATTAGCAGGCTTCTGTAGAACTTCACTGTGAGCTGAGGAGGTAATTCAGCCTGAATGATTGATCTCTTTATAATAAAAGTTTTTTTTTGACAAAAATGTTTACATTTAGATAAAAATCAAAGTTAGTGATCTATGTTTTGATGTTTGACTTCTGAGACCCTGACAGGAAAGGCCATGGGGTTGCCTAGGGTAACAGCAGGGCCAAACTGAAGGATCTGGGAGGCTGGAGATTTACTAAAGATTAAACAATCATTCCACCCATTGTGATTGTTTGATATTTAGTAAATCACCAGCCTCCCAGATCCTTCAGTTTAGCCCTGCCGATACCCTTAATTCCACCCTCTACCCCTCCTCTAACCGCCACCTTAACGATGTGGTGGAGGTGTGTCAGTGATCATACATGAGGCTATGTTGTTGGGGGGCTCAAATGCCCCAGGTAGGGCCTCCTTAGGCAAATGGGCGGGTGGCAGGTCAGACAAAGAGCAGTTCAGAAAGTTCTCATGATGAACAAAAAAAATTTAGTCGTGTGACGTTGATAAGTATGGCAGAGCCAGGACTTCTCCCTGGAGCCAGGACTGGGGTTGGGGTTTGTCTGTGAGCTCATGGTGGCCGGCTTCTTTTACGTGGGACACTACGGGGTGGCTTGTCACTTTCAGGTTGTAGGAGAGTTACTGATTCAAGTGGAGAAGTTAAAGTATCTTGGTGTCCTGTTGACCAGTGAGGAGAAAATGGAGTGGGAGATTGATAGACAGATCAGATTGGCTGCTGCCATAATGCAGATGCTGCACAGGTTTTTCATTGATAAGAGAGAGCTGAGCAAGGTAGAAGACAGAGGACACGCTGGATGGACTATGTCTCTCAGTTGGCCTGGGAGTGCCTTGGGCTTCAGGAATGACATGTTATGTTATGCTAGGACTTAACGTTCTGAAATTTTGCAGTGCTAACATCTACTTGAATGGCAACTTCATTTTGATAAAGTCTTAAAACCCAAACCAGCACAAACAGTTTTACCTGCACAAATAAATTGGCACTGAAAAGTAGATAACTTTATTCAGTTCGGAGATTAATGGGGGATAGTTGACCTCTGGACGACGTAAAACTGATCTTTAATATCTCTGAAACAATGTAGCACAGAATATATATATATATATATATATATATATATATATATATATATATATATATATATATATATATATCCTTTTTACCACCACCTGCACTGGGTTGAGGGGGGGGGCATCCTGTTGCAGTAACAGCCTTCCTGATGTTCTCGCCTCCTCCTCTTAGCTGTAGATAAGCAGCAGACCAAAATCCTGTCTGTTGTTTTGCATTTTTTTTCATCAAATTTTGAGAAAACTGTAAACGTTGAAAGAGGGAAATTTGTTGGGGAAAAATTAATTAAGATTAGAAAGTTTGATGGAAGAGTACAAGAAGAAGAAGAAGAAGAAGAAAGTGTTCTTGTGTTATTTTTGCATGCAGACAGATTTTAAGTTTAACGCAAAACAAAAAAAATTATGGAAAAGGACTGTTCTGAATGCCACTACTCTGCAGTCTGAACATCCGGGCTCTTCTTTCAGGTGGGAGAGGAAGTGTACCATGTGACCGGGGCCATTGAGCTGGAGGGCGGGGCTTCGTTCCTGCACTGCTCAGTAAATGGAGTGAAGTCTCGTCCCAAACTGGTGATCCTGGAAGACACAGTTCACCTGTTCTCCATGGTACTTTCTCACTACTGCTGCTGACTCGGAAAGTTACACAAACTTTATTTTTTATCACCTTTTTGCACATTGATCAGACTTTTTTCTGATTCTTACCAATTACTTTTCTTATGGTAACATTTTAATCTTTTATTGTTATCTTACTATCCTGGTTTGATGTTGGTACGTTTCATGTCTAAATGGCTTCAAAAGTGTCCTGAAACCAGCACCTAAAAAACTGTCTTAAAGTCTGTTATAAATCCTAAAACAAACACTTAAATATAAGCTTTACATATTAAAATAGTTGTTTATTACCTGTCATTTAATTATTCAGGATCTTTAGGACCAGATTGGATCCGTTTAATCTTTCCATCTGTTGTGCAGGAAGGAAGCACCCAGATTTCTGTTCCTGTGCCGAAGTATCTGGCTGGTGTGAGCGGGTCAGGGGCCCAGGGGGGAGCCGTTGCCCCCATGACTGGAACCATAGAGAAGGTGAATTTGATTTAACATGTTCAAAATTCAACTCGTCATTAGGGCAGGAGGAGCCCCTGCTCACTCTATCTGCACTCATTTAACTAGCACCTTTAATTACTTCAAAGATTCTCTATTTGACAAGATTCTCCGCTGCATCTTCCTTTTCGGCCATGTTTATTTACTCTAAACCCACATTTGATCTCGAGAAGTTTTGTCTCTCGCCTAAAATCAGAATTTTCTTAATTAAATCTGTCCTTGAAGTGTGTTGTGCTCTCAGTGTGGCTTTGAGAGCGATGGTCTCCAATTATTTTTATTATCATCATGTTTGTTTTGAAAATCACCAAAATCACCAGTTTTAAAATCTTAAACACTAGCCTCAAGTTATTTAGAAGAACCGCGGCAGGTTTGGATCTGACGATGTCTGCGAAACATCTCTGGATAATGTCAGAAGGGGATTGATTTTTATTTCCCTGCACTGTAATGTAGATATTAAAGTGTTAGCTGGCTCTTATGTGAACTGTGACTCAGCAGAGTTCTCACCTTTGTCTTTATTATTTTCTAAAAATATAAACATCTGAGTATAAAACAGTTTACATTCAGGAAAGTGCTCCCTCAGAGATTTGTTGCTGCAGTAATAATAACAGAAGAAACATCTGAAATGGCATTTCTATGCATCACTTTGCGTCGTCATGTTGAACCATGTCCGTTTGTGTTCAGGTGCTGGTGAAGGCTGGAGATAAAGTGAGCGCTGGAGACCCTCTGATGGTCATGATAGCCATGAAGATGGAGGTGACTGTTTCTCACACACGCAAATAAAAGTCTCACTTCCCCCGTCAGACAGGCTGTTTAACGTCTGTGCTTCTGTCTGTTCAGCACACGATCCGGGCGCCAAAATCAGGCGTGATTAAAAAGGTTTTCTTCAGCGAGGGCTCTCAGGCCAGCCGGCACGCCGCTCTGGTGGAACTGGAGGAGGAAGAGGGAGGCAGCCAGTAAACTTTCCCACAGTTAAACCCACAAACTGACTGAGGGGGGGTGCAGGGATGGAGGCGAGCTGAGTGAGATTTTAAACCATCTGTCACAGAGCAGTGGTGCAGTTATTCAGTGTTTCACTGCATAAACTTCACATCTTTAAGATACTGTTGCCCTTTTTAGACACATCACTACGTCCTGTTGATTTCTAGTTTCTTTAAAATGTCTGCAGTGAGTCATACTGTCCTGCAGGTCCTTAAGTAGCATCAGTCTCATTTACTTTTGCCGTGGATCTATTAAAAGAAAAATTAAGAAAGAGACCTGAGTCTTAGAAAATGTTAAATAAAATAAACTCAAAACAAACATAATTGTCTTCATTGATCTAAAGCTACTGAATCACAGTTGATGGCAGGTTTAATTAGAACAGCACCAACCCATCCGACAGATCAGATTGGGCTCCTTGATCGGCTCTGATGGTTTAGCAGTGGGTTCAAAACTGAATGATTATCTTCTATATTAATTGTCGTGAAAGTTTCAAGTGTTTGTGCTGATATTGTTGAAGGGTTTTGACCTTTCTGTATCTCTCCCTCCCAACAAAGCATCAATCTCCAGTCCTGAAGGGCCAACGTCCTGCCTGTTTTAGATGTGCCTCTGCCTGGAAACTAGGGCTGAAACCATCGAGTTAATCGTTATGAATCAATTTTTGTAATAATCGTCAACTAATTTAATCATTAACCGGAGCATAGAGAATCTAACACATGATTTTAGCTGACAGAGTGACCCACTTAGAGCAGTCATTATACAAAATTTGTAAAAAAAAAAAAAAAGTTAATATTTTGCATTTAAGATAAAAATAAATAAAACTTTTTTGTCTGTCAATATGCTCTATCCAGACCTCCACAAGTGGAAAAGTTTGAGTTTCACCTGGTTTAATTTTTGTAAAAGGTCTTTAAGGAACCTTTTGCTATCCGTTTATTAATCGATAAATTAAATTTCACGGATTAAACGATTTGCAAAATGATCGTTTGTTGCAGCCCTACTGGAAACGATCGATTCAAATGCCTTAATTGCATTTGCCCTCGGTAGCTTATTAAGTAAAGAACCACTGATTTGATTCGGGTCTGTTGAAGCAAACAGTCATCTAGGACACCGGTTCCCATGAGGACAAACTTTGGACACCAGTAGAATAGATGGAGTACAAGTTCAGTTTCTTTCACTGTGTCCTTGCGGGGGATGAAAATGTTTGGCATAAACACACAACGTTTAAAGATAAAAATCCTTTGATATCAGCACTAGACAGCTCCCACTGACATCAAATAATACAGCAACATGTTTACCATGTATCAGAGGTAGAGTTTCAACAGAAACCAGTTTAATTCTGGGTAATTTGTCCAACCTTTATTCCTTCATGCTCAAGTTACCACCACCAAAGGTAGATACAGATGCAGTAACCCTAAAATGTGCATTTGTATAGATATACTGTCTTCTTTCTGTACAATTCAGCTGGTATTTAAAGTCATTTGTTAAGAAGCTCAACAACCTGATCAATTTTTCTGAAACCAGAGCAGTCCAGAGTAATTTTGCATCAGTAGAGTTCTTTCAAAAAGGTATTTTTGGTACCAGATCTGGCCTAAAGATTGCCCGTTCCATGAAAAGTCGGTCACAGGCAGCTTTGGGCGGACAGATGTTTGTTTCTTGCTAAATCCGCCAACAGATGAGGATCACACAACGGCGGTTTGAGCAGGAGAAGCTTCAGCCGGTCACCCTCTCCTAACTAACGCCATGCTATGAGGCCTTTTAGACTAAACTGTAACTCCTGTTTATTTCATGGACTTTTTGTAGCTTATTTTGAATGTTAGATTTGTCAAATGCTGTAATAAACGTTTTCTTTTTAATATACCCAGCCCCCTGTGGTGCTTTTAATAAAGGAATTTTATTTGTTTTTTATATTCATGGATACAAGCTTTAGCTTATAACCTAACAGGTTTAAAACATTGGACAGCATAATATATAATTTGGAACGGGACATTTTCAGCTCTAATTTGATTGCCCAAAAAGTCATTATAAAATCAAAGCTGACTAATAATCTGCCCTGCAGTGAGGCTGTTTGCATAAAAACACAGCAGAGATGATTTATCAAATTAGGGAAGGCTTTAAAAAAAAAATCCAAAAGGTTAGAAACTAATGATTTTTTTGTTTCATTGTTTTGTTTATTGTCTCAGTGGTTTTCCACTATTTGCATCTTCTTGGGTGGGGCGGGGGGATGGGGGGGGTATAACAAAATTAGGGCTATGCTTATTATATTAACCTGGGAGCTAGAACTGCTCAATATTTGCTTCATATGAACACCAGTTTCATGTCATCAATTCAGCAAACTTTGAGGTTATTTCTGTCATTTTAATATAAGTGTTAGCTCCTGTTTATTTTCATGTATTGCCACAAATACAGTCTTCAAGTCTTAACACAGTTACATATGAATTTCCCTACTGTTTAGACAAAAGTTTTTATGCTCCAATTACAATTTCACTCATTTCTGCTCAAATTTTTCAGTGGCAAATCAATATCCCTTGAAACGTTTTGCAAAGTGTGATTGCACAAACTTTAGTAACTTTAAAGCTTTTTGATTAAAGTGCTGAAAGTGTCCTAATTTCAAGAACCCTTTTGTTGCTGATATTACAGTTGCAGATCAGGGGCCTGTTTCAATAAGGAAGTTCAACCAACTCTGAGTTAAAACTTGAACTCTGAGTTGACTTATCCTGAGATTGGAAACTCTGAGTTTTGTGTTTCAGAACAGCTGAAATTAGTTAGTTCAATCGACTCTAAATTGACTGACTCTGAGTTAAGCGCGTGCACCACAACTATAAAAAGCCATTATCAATGGAGCACAGATATCACGAGTCACCATGGCAACAGCGTCAGACAAAAAAAGGTGTGCATATTTCTCACCAGCAGAACTGGATGTGCTTATGCAAGCATATGCAGAATTTGAACATGTATTTTTTTTAAAAGCAACACGGCTGCAGCGGCGAAGGAGAGAGAGTTAGCTTGGGTAAAAATAGCTGCTCGAGTTTAATTACTTTTATACAGTGTTGGGTGTAATGAATTAAGTTACTTAAGTCATATAAATACTGTAATTAAATTAAAGACTATAAAACAATAGTGGATTTAATATCAAATTTTAAAAGGTATATTTTGATTTGAACTTTCTCCCTCTAGTTATACACCTTGGTCAATTTAAGATTAATTCATGCAATTGAATATTGTTTATTTGAAAGCATTAGAAGTGCAGTTTCTTGTCTCTCCTTGTATTGTTCAAGTGGTTGAGGTTGATTTGGGATTTAGAAAGTAATTAATAAGTAAGTAAAACAAATTAGTAAGTAGACCAATACTTTCTAGAGACAGTAATTATTACATTAATCTAATTAGACTTGTTGAAGATAAAATTTGTAGTTAGTAATTAAGAACTATTTTAGAGTAACTTACCCAACTGTTATAATATCAGAGGTGAAACTGGAAGAACAGTATTTTATTAAACCTAATTTAGTTTTCATGGATAGGTGCAATCCTGCAGGCATCAAAAGAGCAGCTGAAAATGAAATATAAAAAAAAAATTCAAGCAGGTAAGCCTTGAGCACATCATGGGAGTAGAGTAGCTACCTGGCTTTACAAACAGGATCATCCATTAAAGGACATGCCATTTCATTCCCTTTGATGCGCTCTACGTGACTGAAATGTGTGCAATGAATACTGTATGTCCCCAAAGAATCAATGAGGTGTTTAAACACCACTTCCTCTTTAAAAAAGGGGAGGAGACCAAAATAAACTCTGGATTTTCTGAAGAAAACCTGCTCCCGACCAGGTTAGGTTCACAGAGTAAATTGCCATGGTAACTGACTCTGAGTATTTCACTTTACAAAGAAAGTTTATTCAATTTCTGATTCAGTCACCATAGTAACATTCTCCCCAGAGCTTACCTGGTTGGGAGCAGGTTTTCCTCAGTAAACTCTGTGTCCTCTCTCTCCGCTCGCCATAAAGCCAATCACGTTGTTTTGTTTCCTAATTTAGCCAGGAGATCTTTGTCATAGTTTTGTGCATAAATAAAAATAAAAATCCTTCACTAGCCCCATTAGACACATTAAGTTTTAAAAACAAACATTGTATTTCTGTTTGAAAATTATCTTATTAAAGAATAATCTGCATTAATTCAGAGTGAATTAAAGAGATGATTCTACAACTCAACTGACAGGATGTGAGATTTATTTGTTGTTGGTTTGTTTAATATGAGTGAGATGCAGATAATTTTGTTTTTACAGTACATGAACTACTGAATTTATTTTCAGATTACACATAAATAGAATAATTCCTCAGAGGGAAAAGGAATTACCATTGGGTTAGTATTCTGGGACAATATGAAGCCATTCTATGGGACTGATAACCGCTAATAACTATTTATTGGGATAATAACATCCAAAGCAGCTGCAAGCAGCCACTTGGTATTTACTGCCTGATGGAAGACAGAATTAAACTGAGGAGGAACCCCATAATGATGCACAGGTCCTACCTTTTAGAATGTTTGTATTATTTTGACTATAAAGAAATGTATTTCAGGTATAAATACATATTCAGTCAAGCTGATGAATTTTAAAAATAGCTATTTAAAAGGTTTAATTCTTACTAGTTATTTCTTTTACTTTCTGAAATTCAGTTTCTGCTACAAAAAATGTAATTTAGAAAATATATTACAGAAGAATATACATATATATATATATAGAATATACAAGAATCTTATTTTAGTGATCTACAAATGGAAAAAAGGAGAGAATGCTTTTAATAAATGTAAAAACGGCCTGCCATAGCCCACTTCATATAAACTTATGCATTAACTTGAGCGACAATCTTCTCCTTCGCCACCTTCCTTATACTTTGCAGCTGTAGCGCTGTTTCTCTGTCTTTTAAAAATAATTTTTGTTTTTTTCATTTCTACATTAAAACTCTAGTTCCAGTGGGGTGAAATAGGTATATTTTTTAAATATCTGCATTAAAATCTCTAGTTCCAGGGTGAAATAGGCACTTCCTGGAATCAGGGCTCCACTGATAATGGCTTTTCATACTTGTTACGCACGTGCTAAACCCTTAAGTGGTTCTACTTAGAGTTGATTAAACTAATTCATTGGAGCCTTTGTAGAACCGAAAACTCAGAGTTCCCAACTTTAGGTTCGATCAATTTAGAAAAGTGGATTTGAATCTGAGTTTGTTAAACCTGCTTCGTGAAATGGACTGCAGGTAAAAAGACTTTCCCATTGATTTGCAGAAGCTCAAACTCAGTCAGAGAAAGGAGAGTTTTAGATGTAGATTCATTTACCCAGATGGTGAAATCTTGCTAGGATTGTTGTTTCATATCCTACTTTAGATGGACTTAATAGAGCTCTTCAAGATGCTCAAAGCTAATGAGGTTTTTTAATAACCCAAACTGGATTTAATCCTCTCCACAATGCAGTGATTGCTTCCTCATATTCATAAACAACCACCACACCTGTCTACTACTGAGCATCCCAGTAAAGGAGGCTGAACAGATTATGCTTACTACACTTTTTGTTTCTCTTTGTTCTGCAATGATTCACAATTTTGAATTGCCTTATTGTCACCTTCAAATAGTCGGGGTGTAACAAGGGAAACAAAGAAAATATCTTCAATCCTAAAATAGTTTCAGTAAAATGTGGTTCTTATCCAGTTATTGTTAATCTGCCCCAAAATTCCACGTTTGACATGAACGTCCATAAAGCTGCTTTATCTGGATTTGTTTTGCAGCTAAAAATAGCCAGCCCCTTATATCACCTCCAGTGTCAGCAGTCAAATAAAAAACTCCACAGATCATTCCCATAAAGATTTATTGGTTTAGCAAACAAGAATTTAGCTCTAAGGAGGACAGACATCAGATATGTGCCAGTAGGAGAGTGATTGCTGAGGTTTATTGCTGCTTGAAGACAGGATTGAAGCGTTGATGCTTTCTACTGACAGATGGTTCTGACATTTTCATTTTGATCCTCATTCATTCTGATGATTTCATTAAGGAAACCTTCATTTATTATTTTTGTATTCCTGTTAAGTTCAATCTTCCCAAAAACAAAGGCTTGATTTTTATTACACAATCATGGAAATTAAATCACAGATAAACTGAAGGTGAGGACAGCAGCTGATATTTGTAGAAAAGAAGGATCGGGTTCAGTTTGGACCCCAGTGACCTTTAGTAACCGACAGCAGGAGCATCAATGCACAGATGCTTTATTAAGGAATCCATTAATCCTGCACGGTTTTGGATGTCGAGGTGATGGGTCGAACGTGATTGAATATTAAGCCACAATCTAAATCATTTGGCTGGGTAATGGAAGTTTCTGCTTCCATTAAAATAATAATGAAAGAAAATACCCCAGAGGGGGTATTTATCTGAACACTGCTGCTGACCTTAACAGATGACAGTGTCTGGATCTGGTTTTTGCACCTGCTTTCATGGCTGTTTGGACCAAAGAAAAACAGACAGGATAGAGGCAGTCACATGGGATTATATGGTGTTTACATCAATTTTTAAAGGAAAAATATGTTCTGTAATAATCCGACTTAAGTGAACCAAATTGATTTTAAAACACCATGATATAAAGCTTTTTTTTTATAACCACCAGGGGGCATTGGATCTGGAGTTCTGTCCAATTGGCCCTCATCCTCCATCTCCTGTAATCATCATTCAGAAAATCAGTGATGTCGGAGCAGTGACATCACTCCTACATGCTAAGATTAGAAAATGTCCAAATCTGGTGATGGTTCTACAGTCCTGATTGACCGGCTGCTGATTTTTCTCCACATGAGTATTGAAAACTGATTCTGGGCCATAAGCTGCTGTGATTCAATTGAGGAAATCTGTGTGAGCTAAGGAAACATGAAGGAAACAACCTCTGTTTACTATTAAAACAAAAACAGCAGCATGTGTTTGAAACTGTAGATAAAAAGGATGACACGATTTTTAGTCTACATTTAGCTAAAATTGATTTTTCATTCAATAAAAAGAAAGGTTGGATGCGTTTCTGTTTACGTTAAAGCAGCAAATAAAAAGAAATAAAAGATTTCTGCTGTCTTTCATCATCATGTGAATATGTTTGTTATGAAAGAGGAAGCCACCATTTAAGCAGCTGGTAGAAATGAGGAACAGGAACAAACGCTTCTGAGTTGCATGATGGAAACTGTAGGTTTAATTAAATCAATATATTTAATTGTTTTAAACAACTGAAATTATAGAAGGGGAAACTTTAGATGTTTTAAGATAAAGATTGCTTTGAGTCCGTTTCTCAGAAAACAAGAATATCACACAAAACCCAAATTAGATTTTAGTACTGCTTGACAGCTGACCAGCAAACAGCCATGAAAAGGTAGCTGAATTTAGCCATGGGAAAACCTGCCAGTAATGTTGGGTAAAACTAAAACATTTCTATTGTAATATTCTTTTAATTTAGGTTCTTGAGAAACAGTTTTATACTACGTTAATCTATGCAGACACATTTTATTCTTTATAAAATAAAACATTTTTTTTCCCTTTATTTTTTGTTTACTGGGTACCATATCATAACCAGAGTAAATGTATTTGTGTCCAATCACCAATGTGATACCTCCATTTTTTATTGACCTCACAAATGTTAGCTAAAAACAATCAACTCCAACCTGAAGATCAAAACTAGGTAGTTTTGTGTCTTTTTCTGAAATGTAAAAAGGAACAAGGCCCAACATTAACCATTCCCACATTAATTACCCAGTCTATAGTCAACATTATCTCATTTACTACAATACCCATGATGCAACTCTCTTAGCTGAAGCCATTAGATAAATATTGCTTCAACCCCACTCTCCTACTTTAAGTCTCAGAATAAAGGTACTTTGAGGTGACTTCAAACAACTGTTTTCCACAAAAAAAGTTTGATGAAACTAAGTTTATTATAACAGCATCAACGTGTCTTTTTCCACACATAACAATGAAGGTCCATCCTGGTAGATTAGCAAGTATGAGGTCAGCTGGTTAAAGATAAACTGAAATCAGCTCTGTAGAAGAACGGTGGGACAGTTATTCTGAGCAAACATAAACCTTTAAACTCAAAGAACCAACAACGTGAATAGATACATTTAATTAGTAAGAAAACAACAAAACTAAATAATTATCTATAATAAATACATACTTCCACCTGTTTGTGTACCTTACAGAAAACAAGAATATTTAATGAACCGACAGACAGGAACATTAAGCTATTTAGTCCTGAGCTGCAGAGGAAAATGTTTAACCATGCAACGTACGATTCCTCTGCCTCCTCTCCCTGATGTGCTGAGGCATATCCAGTGTTGCGTGGTTATACTGGTGTCCAGTTTAAAACGGTTGTCTTGGTTGCGACTCACCATTAGACCACAGTTATTAACCCTAAACAAGCAATAAAGAGTGTGACCTGCAGGCGACAGGTGGCCTCTGATGCTACTTCAACACACAACAGAAACAACCACAAACAAGGCTAAAGGAATGTAACAGCAAAAACAGGACTTTAAATGATCAATCAAGTGGTGATAATGATAATGAAAACCAAGAAAATGTGATGCTGAAATGTGATTTGTGCAAACGCTCTGCTTTTCCTTTCTGCTAAAAATATTTTCTGAAATTCATGAAAACATTCTTCTGTCTACTTTAATGAGAACCAGCCCTGACTTCCAAAAGCTTCTCATCGTTACACTTCATCTTGTCCTACAGAAACAAACCTGAAGAAGTTTCTAGGCTTCAGACGTATCTGCCTTGTACCTTTAAAATGAATCCCAGTGGTTCCATAACGCTGGGAGGCTTTTGGTCATCAGGCTGCTGGAGAAAAGGCATTTGTGGGAAACAAGAGGTTCTGACAACTTTTATCTGCAGCTCAATCCTTAATATATATTCTATTCAAAATGTATGGCTTTTTAAATCTTCCTGCCTCTTTCAGACATATGCGCTGGGAGACAGAGGGCTGAACGGCAAGACGAGAAAGCAGCACGGACAAATAACTACATAACGATATAGGCTTCTGTACAATCAGGCACAAAAATAAACACTAACTCCACGCTTGATCTTCTGGTCTTTGGTACCACTGAAGAGATTAAGTTCCATGTTCAGCTCAGAGAGCAGGATAGGTCCCAGCAGAACGTCTGGATGCTACAGGACTTGTTGTCGTCTGAACGAGTCATTTAAGGTGCAGCAGTGGATCAGACAGCTCACAGACTACAGGAAGCCTTGGGATCTTCAGTTCTTTCCGTCTGGCTTATTTAAGCTTCTTCCAGTTCTAACCTTTGAGCTGTGCTGATCAACACTTGTGAAAAACAACAAATCTAGTCCAGAACATAGAAAGTTTGCTAAGATTCAGGTCTGCTTTCGCTGAAAAGTCTGGCACCTATCCAGAGAAAGGAACTTATGAGGACTTTTTAAAGTGTGTTTTTCAGATCATCTTACAAGGCTCACAGTCTGGGAATCTGATATTTCCTGCTCATGTACTGATCGTATCTTTCAGCATGAAGTGCTACGGCTGCAGAGACGGCGAACCAGGCTGACTCCTTTCATTTCCTCTGATGCTTGTCTCAGCCTTTAAGAAATGATGAAGTCAGGGACAGGAAGGAGGCTGCAGACAGACAGCAGCTCAGAGCTGGAGCAGCATCCCATTTGTTGCTGGTTTCCACTAAGGAGGCACAGACTTAAAAACATAGTGGGTGCATAAAATGGTACCAAGGGGGCGGGGTCAGATTGTGACTCATGGCTGGGTGGTGGTGTGTTCTCCCACTTATGCGTGCATAAAGGGTGGTGGCCATGGGAGTCAACAGCGGCTGGCCTCGATGGGCGACAGAGTCAGGATGCTGCGATCATTGGAATAGAAGTTCTCTGTGTCGCTCCAAGACCTGAAAACAGCAGTGACTGAAGGTTAGGAGATAAATGCTAAAAGTTAGGAGTGTGTGTGTGTGTTTTTGGGGGGGCTGGGGTAGAGGACAGCTGAGCTGTCAGTAGCTATAAAGACATAAGTAAACCCAATCAATAAGGCTGGAGGAAGCAGAGCAGATGGAAGGATGGATGAGTGAGGAGTTAGTGATGGGAGGATGAGTTAGTTATGAGTACCAAATGTCCCTCATTAGCTTACACTAGAGCCATTAGCAGGTTTTATTGACATTTTTTGGCCCACTGTTAACGTCTGGAGCTTACACTACAAACAAACACATTGAATAAAACGATAAAGGCACATCTCATCTAACCTTCTCCATTTAACCACAGGCTTCAGATCACAGGGTCAGAAACTATGGAAGCTGCAGCTGGCTAAAGTTCTGGATCACAGGCGACCAACCTACACTATGCTAACCGACCCTGAACATCTGAGCTGAGCTTTTCACTTACAAAAGAACTCCTTTCTACACCTGAACTTCAACAGACCAGATATTTTACACTATTAAGTTTAATGCTTACAGATTTACGAAAACTAGAGCAGTCTAGGACTTGCTGAATAAGTTGCGCATCGTAAACAGTTTCTTATAATATCTGAATGCCTTCATCTCTGCCCTGAAAGTTATCATGACTTCATTTAAAGCATCTCTGAAATGCAGACAACCGTTTTAAAGCCTGGTAGACAGAAGAACAAGGCCACCCAGGGATACTACCGCGGTCTAGTACTGAAAAAGTGAATGGACCAGAGGTGATTTCACCCCAAACTTTAAGAGTGAGGAAAGAAAAAAATAATAGATTTCCAAAACCATAGTTTTCCTTCAGGTTAAGACAGTACTCAAAAAGCTTTAGGGAACATGACCCAAGAACAGGAAGGAAGAGAACAGGCATATTTCTGACAAGGTCAAACTCACGCTGGACATCCACAGAACATGAATAATTAATCTGGGAGATTAATGCAGACTTTAGACACAAAAGGACAAAAAGACACAGGATGAGTGTGTGAGAGCGACACAGATATATACAGGAACATTGGAAACAAAAATACCAAAGACAGCCACAGCCCCCATGCAACAAGATGGCTGGAGTGTTCTTGTTTTGTAGTTCCTGTCAAACAGGGGCGAGTTTTTCTTGTTCACATCATTTACAGAAGGGGGATTCTGTTCAGCTGGAACATCAGGAATTATAAAACAAGCGCACCCTTAAGGTCAGCCTCCTCTTTGAAGCGTGTAAAAGGCTTCATGATCCAATAGAAATGAATAAGTTGAAACAGGAAGTAGGAGAAAAACAACAAAAAAAGGTTGCTTTTTAAAACTACACTTACCAGCAGCCACACTGGTGTAAGATGTGCTGAAACATGTTGATACGTCGCTCTCTAAGTGTGGAAGGTCTCAGTAAAGTTCAATGTATGGACAGAGATGGATCGTTTGCTGTATGTTGGTTACTTTAAAGCATCCTTTAGTAGTGACATTGATGTGTGCCAGGTATATATTCAAATATATACTGAATAAATACTTTATGTATAATGCAAGTGGTAAATATTCTAGCCATATAGTCTCTTCGCTTGTGACGCATAGAATACTGGAGTGGGTGTGCAGCACCTTTTCTCCTGTGGCAGTATCCTAGCATTAAGGCCAAATGTGGGTGGATTCACTTTACTCCCTTCAGCTCCTTAAATTAATCCTTTGCTTTTCCTCAAACTGCAAAGATGATGATAGATGAAAGAAGGTATTTGGTTTGCAGAGAGAGTGTGGATTAAAGTGAGCAGACAATTCTATGCAGCGAGATAACAGAACTGAAGATTCCATCCCGGTTCTATTTATTGACTACATTCCGTCCATTTATAGTAAAAAACAAAAAAACTGCTGCAATCTATGTTACATTTGCTGTTTCTTCCTAAATCCTGTGGGAGGAAACAAATTGGTTGGGATTTGTCATTTGGAGGAAACCAATTGGTTACTTCGTGCCAAGGTCAGAAAACAAATCAATCAACCTCACAGGAGGCAATTTATCTCTATTGAATCATCGGTTAATGGGAAAATCTAACCCTGAGGAACTGTACTTGTTTCAGTGGACTGACCCTGGCAGCAATATAATTATGTTAAGGTGAGCCTGGATGGAGAGAAAAAGCGCCGATCATAATATAGCTGCTGCAACTTCTGGATAGCAGAGTTTGCAGAGCTTTGATTGTTCTTAATTAAACATAAGAGAATTAACAATTATTATATCAACTTCCTGCTGTGATCAGTTTATATATATATATATATATATGCATATGCTGTTTGGCTAACATTACCAAAACTAAAGTTTCTTTGTTTACTTCCTTCAGAATGTTGAACCCTGCTTCACCTTTTTATCTTTTCTGTACTTTATTTAGCCTTCCTATGTTTGCTCTCTCCCAGTGTTTGCTGATGAGAAAGGTGCCTCAATACAAATTAGGAAAACTCTGTAACAACGGCACAGATTTACGACTGCGACTCTTCTTTGCTCACCAACTGTTTCCACAGTAAAAGGTGTTGCTGTTACCCTCACCGGGTATTCCTCACATAAAGTTGTATTCTGGAGTTTCTTACTTAGCCACTCATAAGCAAGGGATGATTCAGCAATAAAATGGACTCAAATTGGTCGACAGCAGTAATCCCATACATCTCCAGCCAAGATGCCACAAAGGGATACTGCACTCCTTTTTTCCCACAGCATGTCGTCTTTACCACAACCATTAACAGAAAAAAACATCTAATTTGCTAACAAAAGACAACAATGTAACATCTTCATTACTGATCCAATCAATATCTGGTGTCTAGAGACATTTTCAGAGGTAATGAAAGTTCAGCAGAAAGTGCTGATCACTAATCAATTGCCTCACATGGTAACTGGGATTCAGGTAAAGAGAGAAACAGAAAGTGCAAAGTGAGCAGACCTGCTAACTGTAAACTTAGCTTACAATCTTTAGAGTTAGTCCCATGAGAACTCAAGAGTCAAACTTTCTAAATGTATAATAAGATGGAGCTGCAGTATTCAGGAATCGTTCTCATCTGCTGCGAAGACATCATGCTACATTTCCAGATAAGGGTCATTCCTAAGTATAGTTTGGAGCTCCAAAATGCAATAATACCCAGTAAAGCTTAACAATAATAATAATAAAAACAGTCTATTTATACTTCTTTAAGTAGCTAAAAATAAATGCGTTTATTGTCAATAAACATTTAATATGTGGATAATTTATGATGCCAACCAACCAATATGTTGACCCGTTGCAAAATGAGGTTCTGCTACAGATGCAGTGTTGGTCTAAGCCAACCAGTGAATGAAGTAGTTTTGTTCGATATTAAAGTGCATAAACTATTTTCTCTAAAAAATCCCACTCCCCATCTGGACATCATACTTTGAGCTAAAGGAGGAATTCTATAAGAACAGAAGACGATCAGGACAGACAACACCACAGGTCATAGCACATGATAAGGACAGACATATGGCAGATACATTTGAAGTAGGCATGGGTTTTGCAGACTGGACAGTGCCCAGCTGAATGCGTAACATCAGAACAACAATGAACTGCACTTCATCCAAACACTGTGGCCCAAAGTGTCCAACACCGTGTTGACAGCACAACCATCATGCTCTATATTTTTGGTTTCAGTGCCTTTCTGGATGCACGCTCCGATTGGATGAGGCTAAGTAGGTAATAATCTACGTGGGTAATAATGCCAGAATATCATAGAAATAAAAAGCTAACAGAGGACGTCTAGAAGTGCTTGATCCACTCATCATCCATCTCCAACTTTTTAAGGTGTTTATCTACACCCCTAAAACCAGCCTTGAACCATCTGTAACTCTGCTTCCACACAGCTGTGTTTTACCTGCCGCAAATTTGAACAGGTAGAGACTCGCGGGGAAATCATGGGCTAAAACATTCAGAACTGCAGCCCAGATCAAAGGGTTCATCGGAATTCATTATAATGGTTCCTCGTCGCCGTTGCAGTCCTCCCCACCTGTTGCTGCGGCTGGATGAGTGGCAATTGTTGACGCTGGCCTTGCATTGTCCCGTCATTTGTTCCAGGAGGAGGGCCAGGCGGGAACAGCCGCTTTGCCCATGCTGGTAGCAGCACAGGGACTCCAGACAGCTGAGGGCCTGGGCCTGGTGGGCTGGTAGAGACTAGAGGAGAGCAGAGATAGGGTGAGCGCAGAAGAACCAGAGACGGTGGTTAGATGAGATATGGGAATAACTGGAAGCATGGGTTAGTAAATATATAAAATGAGGAGGGGAAAATGTAGCAGAGGAGATTGGTGGATAAAAACAAGAGAAGAACAGGAAAGTAATACAGTCTGTCATTTCATCCATTCTATCATCCACTGGCTGGACAATAGGAGTGACTGGATATGGATGAACTGCATACTGACCATAAATAACAGGAAAACACAGAACATGCAACAGAGGAGACCAAAATAAACACACAAAACATTAAACAAAAAAAGAAATCTAAATAAAACCTACAAAGCTTTGCTTTAAAAATATTTTTGAAATTTTTTCAGAATGTATTAGTGACTCTCCTCATCAGGTTAATGAAACAGCTATTTCTACAGTTTAACTTTCATGACAAACGATGGAGGGTTTTTACAGTTAATCCTACACAGGAACATCTCATTTAGAGACAGTATACATTCAGAAATATATTTTATTTAGTAATCTAATTCAGAAATGTGTTATACTTAGATTTATTATTATACAGAGAGGGACATTTTTATATGTTTATTTCTGATCAGTTTGATACCTAAGGACCAAAGCTAAATAAAACTCCTCAATTTATCAGAGAATTAAATATATTTACCAAATGAGAACTTCTATCAGACAATGTTAATATGCAGTACGTTGTACACATCTATGGGGAAGGCTGTTTTAGTGTTAGTCGTCTCTAGAGGTGGGCTATGCCACAAAAAGCCACTGATAAAGAGGCCGGGTGTTGACAGTGTGCTGTATCCAAGCACATTGTGTTATACAGCACAATTTGAACAAAAAAAAGCATACCATTGGAAAATTGATTAAAGGCAAAACTGCATTAAAAAAATGTTGCGCAGGCATCAGAGATAGCTGCAGCCTTGAAACCATTGGGAAGCCAAGCCCCTTTGCGAGTTTAAAGGACATTCACAAGGTGTGGACTGCAGGTGAAGTTGGTGCCTCAATAGCACAACACACAGATGTATCTACGACATGAGCTACGACTATCAAACTCATCTGAGGTTCCCTCCTCTTGCCAACAGGAATGCACCTCTGCTCAAAAGTCTAAAGTCATCTTTTCAAAGCAATATAAGCTCTATACATGATGCCAAGTTCTGGCTCTGCCATAAGTACCCATATCTGGTTAAATGACAATGCCTTTACTGTGCTTTAATGGCCAGGAAAACCCAATGCCAATAAAGACTCAATGGTGCTAATCATCAAGAGGAAGATCAGAGACATCACAGCCAACAATGCAGCCGAGCGGGCAGATGGTGTTTAACCAACCTGGGTTTTCAGCACCAAAACACAGGCAGAATTAAAACAGAAAAAAAACAAGTTTTAAGTAATATTTCTAAATGGAACTTTCATACTAACTAAACATGTTGTTTTCATTAGACATATACTTTATTGTGTTACTATATTTTACAGAAAATAGGCAGTCATGGTTTTTGTACTGGCCTACAGAAGAAAATGAAAGCTTTTAACAATCTTCTATTTTATGAATATGCACCTGTAAGAAGTAGCTTTTGGTTTAGATAACAAAAAAAGAAAATATAAAAACTCTTGATTTTAGGCAGTACTAAGGCTACAGTCCTTTGCCCATATGGCCATAAGTCCATGTTTTGTTTGAAATAGATTCAGCAACGAATCAGATTTATCTGTGTGCCAGTGATGCAAGGGTAAACATGGCAGAAAAGAGCTGCTGCCCAGAAACATCCGGGATCAGATGGTTCCTCTGGTCTGAGTCAGCACCCCAGAGAGTGTGTGATGTAGAGGAGGCAAAGCTCGGATTAGAGAGGCAAAGTGAAAGGAGTGGTGTTAGGTTACACTCCTGTTGTGTGGACTGGGCACCCTCCTTGGCTGCCCAATGAATGATTAACAACTCAGCCACACTGGAGAATGATGGGATTTGGTAATTATTTGTTGAAATTAATGACTGCAGCGCAAAGGGGGCAAATTTGTCTCTGTTTTCTGAGTGCAACTGAAAACTAACACAAACATGACTAATTTCAATTTCACTCGAGTTTAAAAATATATAGGCTCTATTTTATTTTTAAGAAAGAGTACAAAACAGTACTTGCTAAAGAGGCATCCCACTGTGCTCTGATGTTTTACTGCACCAGAAATTTGAGACACGGTTGGCATCAAACCAAACTTTTACTCCTTGGCTACAGACATGAAAACACACACTTCAAACTCCTTATAAATCATTCTCAAAACCAAGAGCATTTAGGAGGAAATGCAAGGCTAGCCTCTGTAGCCTGTAACAAGGTTATAAAAGGGTTTGTTTATTTAATGAATATCCTATCCACATTATGGAGATAAAGCAGAACCACAGCAGTAAATGTTAAGTTCTAATGATTTTGTGAGATCCTGTGGGTGATAACCAATAACTGATTGAGGTTGTCTGGAACTTTATAAAGCTAAGTAGAAATCAGCATTTACAAATCTGATAAATCATTCAAGCAAGAGTCCAAAAGCCCTTTTGACAAAACCATGTTAAAATAGAAGCCTTTCTAACAAACTTGTCGCCGTTCTAGGAAGCCAAATGACATTCTGCCCACAGTAAACCCAAACCAACAGATGAGGTTGAACAGCTGAAATCTCTGCCATAAAATGCCCAGAGAGAAATCTTTATTGAGCACATCCTCTTGGAGTTAATTTGTTGACCAGAAAAGAATATATTTTGATCTTGGTAAAATATATATAGAACCGTCCTCTATGCAAGACGACTAAAATGACAATATAAGAAATTTCAAACATAAGTTTACAGAGTAATTTTTGCCAATCTGAATCTGATTCAGTTGGAGCTCAAAGTCTATCAATAAAATATAATTTAATCAAGGTCCTGGGAACATTTCCATCCGTCTATTCCCAGCTTCTTACTTGACAAAGATAGGAGTCTAGATGGTAGAGTGATCAGTGAGGGAACCAGACCCCATTACACTAAAGGTGATCTAAGCTTATTCAGAAGGATCCCAAGATGGGATCCAGGCCACTAAGTCTCTAAGTACTCCAATAAGCTCTGGGACTGGATATCTACCAATGACAAGTTTCTAGAAAACCTCTAAAGGAACCATTAAATGCCCAAACCACCTCAGTCGAATACTTTTGATGTCGAGGAGCAGCAGGCCTTCTCCTTTATCTCCTTGGATGATGAAGCTCTGATCCATTTCTAAGGCTGAGCAGTCACTGTACAGAGGGTGTTTGTATTCAGGATCTCATTCAGAATTTCAGAGATTTTCTTTTTTGGCTCAGTTCAGCTGCACTCAGATTAGTGCCTCTGAGACCCTGATCATTCATCAGGTCTACTACTTCTTCCAAACATCAACAACTTAAATGGCCCTGCTTGAGGCAAAGACAGAACTCTGATCCAGATAGAGCTCCCTGTTACATATTCATCTTAAACCTAAAACAGCACACAGCAAAGACTACTTCCTTTACGCAAGTTTGGCATGTCTAATAATTAGCTAATAGCTGGCCGCTGAACTTCTGGGTGGGTCTATGTGGGAGTGCTTTTTTGTTTGGTAGTGAACAATTTACAGACCGCATTGACTATTGGTCAGAGGGATTGGGATTTTCTCCAAAACACTGGTTACTGCTTGATTCTAGCAAATACTTTCACTAAGATTATCAAAATAAACAGCTAAATGCGTGCTTAAATATGGGGGACACTGCTGTAAAGTTTATGTTTTATATCAGACAATTGGAGGGAGATTCTCAGTCACGGAACATTGTTACTTTATAGGTAGAAATATTACGTAATATAGTAATTAAGAAAGGACCTTACTGTATAATATACATAATATATCCCAACAAATCTCGATAATGCAAATTTATTTTGGCTCAACTGTATTTTGAACTATAAAAAAAGGAAAAGTATAAAGGAAACAATACCCCAAAATGAAAACTGCAAAGGGATTTTTTTGGAACAAAAATAACAAGCAAACAAGGACATTTCAACAAGTTGGGCTGTTTCAGATGACTGAATGAGAATACAACAATGACAAATGAAGCAGGCATGCCAACAGCATTCTCTCAGTCTTAAACCCCTACCTGATCAATAACAGTGAGGGGTGAATTGAGACCAGGTTAGGGAAAGTCAGGCACTATCATGGTGGGGGCATGTGTTGACAGTGTCAGTCACACCTGGGCTTGGGAGCATGAGATCATTCATAGAGGTGAAGGCAAGGATGGAGTTAATTATGAGCAAGGAGAAGAGTGATTATTCATACACAAAGTGATACTGACCATCAGACACACATTACCTCTGGACAACAAATAAAATAAAGAGTGCAGTATGGGAGTAACTGCAATACAAAGCCATGGGACAGTGATCAGAGGTGTAGCTTTTAAGCAAACACTGGGGCCTGTGCAGGTTACTGTAGGTGTGAGGGAGTGCACAGGGTTGGTTGGACCTCAGATCAAACAAGGGCAGTGACAGTACAATAGGGACAATGGCAGTGAAGAGCAATACAAATTAGGGTACTACCTAGGGGAGCATGGGTCTGTGCCGGGGGCAGCAGGGGGAGGATAAGCAGCTAGCAGGTGCCAATTGTCCTCCCCTGGGCTCCGCTGGGCTTTAACAGGGTCATATACTGGGCCGACTGAACCCTCACCCTGCTCCATCTGAAGGACACAAGATGCTTACAGTCAGCCCTGCTGGCTTACCCACCAGTCACCCGGGTAGACTGCTGGTTAGCCAGAGACACAAACCAACTTAAAAAAAAAAAAATAATAATAATAATCCATGCTCGTCATTAAGTCCTCCACACAATACTCAAATATTTCACCGATTCGGTGATAGCTGCCATATCTTGTTTCTTTAAGAAATGTCTTAGAACAGAGGACGTTGTTCAACAGAACTGATAATTGCAGCATTTAGAGTCAATTTAAGACTAAATATCAGAGTACAGTGGATACATAATCAATGCTGCTTATTAAGCAACAAACAAATGATTCAATATGCAGGAGGCCTGTTAATCAGTGAGCCAGTCCCGGCAGCACTTTAAATTGGCAACTGATTAGGCAAAAAAAACTTTTGGTCTTGGTGCCCTTTGCAACTTAGCAACTGAACCATCAGTTTGTTATTTCACAAGCTAAGTTAGCTTATCTGCCAACTGGTGTCTGTAAAATCATGTTAACAACACTGTTAAATAGGCGTCCTACTTAAGCCTGATAGATTATTAACCAACGCTTTATAAGAGGCAATAATTATTTTTTTTTACATATACTTAAGGGCTTTTATTTTCCCACAACAGAGAAAATAAAAGGCGAGTGAGTAGACTGGCTGCAGGTTATGTTGATTTAGAGACAGCTGTAAAACTAAGCAACCAATGAACGAAGCTTAAGGCATTACAAAAGATTTCTCAGTGGAAGAGGCTTAGGAAAAATCTATTAGTATCTGAGCTAATTAACCTGCTGCTCTTTCAGAGCTTGAAAAAAGGCAGAGCCGTGACAACCCATGACGGCCTTCTATCTTGTATAAAATGTGAAAAATTACTGAAACTTTTTTCTACAGCATTGAAAAACCATTGTCTGAGCCATTTTGAAATGTGTAAGAAAGCACACATCTTTTACGTGAAATTTAATTTCTTCAACAAGAGTTCATGCTACTCTGAGGAGGTTATTTTGGAAAAACTGCAAGACGGTGCAAAATGTTTGCCATTGGTCTGTAGTGACCCACAATGACAATCTGTCATGCTTCTATTAAAAGAGTATCATACTGCTTTTCATATAAACCCAAAGAAAGTTGCTCATGCAGCTTATTGAGCAATCAGTCCAGACACGTGGATCTACCCAAAACCATGCAGGTGGACGACTGAGGTAAAGACGCCATCTTATAACGTGAAATCATTCTAAAGACTATGGGCTGAAAAAATGTGAAGAGGATCGCACCAACACATAAAGTTACCATGTGTGCTTCATGCCTCATCTTAAAAACAGAGGCATGCCGGGTGGGAGCTCAGATCTGATCACACATCCTGATGAAGGGCATCGTGGCTATTCTTAAGGGTTTAAGAAAAACTAATCCACATTTTGAAAAGTGCAGGAGAAAAGAATCAATATTCTGGGACGTCAGGTGGGATTTCCATAAGAAGATAAAATGATGAATCTACTCATTCACTCATGCATTTGATCATGCAGTGGATGGGTTGGGGAATGGCAGGATCATGCTGTGAGGAGAAGGTCTGGAGACACATTTCTGTCAGCGTTTCTACCAGGATGTAATGCATGCAGAGGCTAAAATTCTCCTTCTTCTGCAAGACCTCAAACTCATTGATATTTTCCTGAACCCAGCTACAGAGAATGCTGATTGGCTAGTTTAGAGCATGCTGTCACAGACACGTTACTCTTCCAACACAGTACGACACTAACAGCCGGTATCAAAAATGCTTAAGGACAACTGATACTAAGAATTATGAATGAGCACATATAAGAGCACTTATTCTGCAAAGCAATGTTTCTCTCTGAGAATAAAGATAATTAAAAGCGACACTTTGATTATTACAAATAAAGTAAAATATTTGACTAAAATACCAAAAGTCCAGAGATTAAAAAGGATTTTAAAGTATTAAGACTTTATTAAGACTAATCATTAAAAAGTAATACAATTGAAAATATTAATTAAAGCTTTGATATCTATCTGCCTTACAGTATTTTTAGAGTTTTAAGAATTAAAGTGTTTGCTGAAAGATATAATTTATCCAGTTTCGGTTAAAAAAAGAGACAAGGTTTTGAGAAATGCAACCAAACAAGATGCAGTTAAACTTTTATATAACATCCTTAAAAGAAATATTGCATTTGCATGAAGCGCTCCTGCAGTTAGGCGTTTTCACAGATGGATTTATCTAAGATGTATGAAGTCCACGGCTCAACAGATCTCAAATCTTCTACCTAATTTTGCCCAGCTGGCTCTTGGCTCTGGACAAAGGCTGCAGAGCGATGAAGTCATCACCTATGACCACTCGGTTGGAATACATCTACACCAGGAGAGCACAAACAAAGGGTAAGATGAAGAACAAACAAACAGAGGCTAGAAATCAAACTTTTCCTCTCGCACACAGACCCATTTAAAAACACGATTTCAGACATGTTTACACACATACACACACACACACACACACACCCTAACACACTCAAGACAAAACAGGGTGGAGGCTGAAGTAGAAACTAGAAACAGCACACAGACTGGAAAAAGTTGGCAAATTTTCTAAGAAATTAGCTGGGAATTTTTCAGAAACCAGTACAGAAAGTAGAACATGAAGCATCAAGACAAACAAATCAATAGAGTAAGATAACAGAGGTGACACTGTTTGCTCATCGATTATCAAACATAACCATGATTACATTGCTGTTAAGAAGCAGGTTAGTCATGAACAAATAGGCTAATAAAAAATTAACTCTTCAACTACAGTTCTATTTACAAGCCGTGTTCATTTGGGGTAATTGTGACATTTTTCACTTCCAGGTTTGTCTTATAATATGAGAATACAGTTGCAATATTTTGTGCTATAGTAGGAATCTAGATTACAAATATATGTAAATAAGCCAACAGAAGACAACGTAATTACCCTAAAGCTGTTTTTTTCTTCGTTCTACTGTGATCTCAATCTAAATCTTTATCAAAATTTAGTGTTGAGCATATATCTGCAAAACTTTATCAATACATTTAACTGTAAAATTTCTAAACTGCCACTTTGCTTTGTAATAAAAGCTAAATATTTGCCTGCTGCTGTTGATTTTTATATGTAAACCCCAATACAAGGCAAAAAAAGGCATTATTATTTGGAATAAATACAGTAAAAATTGAATATTTGTTAATTATTGGACTTCATTACAACAACCTGTGGGTATCTAGTTGTTGGAGATTTATATTACCTGACTCTTCTGTGTGCTGGTTGGACGAAGATGTCTGTATAAGACCTTCTTCAACACGTCAGGAAAGAGGCAGGTGATGACAATAATGATGATGGCGAACCAGGCAGAACCACTGGACAGCAGTTGGACAAAGACGAAGTACATGTCCTGGGTGTGCAGGAATGGCCTGCAGAGAGTTCAAACATGGTTAAGCAAAGAGCTAACTTTTTATTAAACAGTGGCAAATCTATTCGATTGGTTATAAAACCAACAGAAAAGATCAGCAGCCATACTGGAAATGTTCCCTTTTCAGCGTTACATCAGATTCAGCATCACTTAGAAATGTGCACTCAAATAATGTTATTCCCAAGAGAGTCTAGAAAAAACATTACAGATGTCCTAGAAACAATCCTGAAAAATGGCCCAATTTTGTTCGGAGGGCTCCAAGATGTCTGTGATTTAACCAAATGAGCTCAAGTGGTGGAGAAAAAAAAAAAAGATTTGATTGGTTCAACAAGGAGAACTAGGATTCTATCTATGCTGGTACAAACCCCAAAAAAACAAAAATATGTTATTTCACCACAGCAGAAAATACACAATGTCAGGCTCTCTGACAGTCTTAACACAGATTATATAGAAAACTGTTCATCCTAAAGTTTCCAGGCTGCATATGTCAATTACTCCGGCTACCCTCCAACTACTTTAGAAAAGTTATTAAAAGACTTTTCTGGGATTTGTTTCAGAACAAAAGAGAGATTTGTTTGAACAGAACAATACAAATACTTGGAATTGAGACTTTGCAACATATAATGATTATAGCCCAGTATAGATTGAAGTTCTCACCAAATAATCCCTCCGTAAAAGAGAGAGAAGATGAAATAGAAAGCGATTGAGCCCCACGTCACAAAATGGTTCATCCAGGTCCAAAACTGCGTCTCTAATGCCAGCTGCAAAATGGAGAAAAGTAAAAGTCAAGTTAAAAAATTGATGAAGGAACCGCCGGGGCACCCGTAAACTCTGGCAATCTGCTTCTGTGCTATAAAAGAGACCTGAGCAGTTAATGCTCACTGACATCATCCTCCTCTCCACATACTTCATTACAAATGACCCATCTGTCTCTACAGACCAAACCAAGCTAAACTAAGGCTAACTAAGGGTTTTAAACTGACTTTCAATAAGCATATTTGCTGGTGAAATTCTATTTTTAAACACTTAGCTGCTTATCTGCACATATTGACAAGAAACCTGTCTGTTAGAGGATCTTGAGTCAGCACTATACAACACTGTGCTGTGTGATATTTTGCATATTAAGGGAAAATATGGACAGCCCCTCCAGATAGGAAATAATAATGAAAGAAATAGAAGTCTGGATTAGGTTAGTAAATATGCAGAGAAGTAAAAAGAATAAAGAATATTATTAAACTGTTGATCTCTGCAACATGTTCCCAGGTATGTGATGCATTCTGGGATGATGCAGAATGTTTTATTTTTTGTGGGAGTTTTTTGAGGGGCATTATGACTCGTGAACCCATTCAGTTTACTCCTTGGATAACTAGATCATAGAACTATAAGAAAATGACATTCTCCATATTGGTACTATTTAAAAGGCAGCATCTGCTTCCAGTGTTTACATTCTCTTCCCACCTTATTCAAATCTGACCAACTGACTGAAGCCTACTCTGTGGTTTTTTTAGCCACAGATTTTTTTTTTTTTTTGGCTTGGAAAAGAAACCGAACCACCAGATAACGTTTCAATGAACTGATCTTGACCAAACAACACAAACTATGTGTTTAGACTCTATGTTTACTACTTTAACCCATTTAGGCCGGGAAAGCATTACCGCATTTCTACCATTCAAGCCGGGGGTGCTGTTGCGTCATTCTACCATTGACGCCGGGAGAGCATATAAGTCAAGCAAGAAGAAATAAGTTTTTTTCAAGCAAACATGGAGGAGTTTGACAGAGAAGAGTTGTCGGAAGGCAGTGATTTTGAGGAGTGTGTCGGCTTTGATGACGGTATAGATGAAATGATGACTTTGAACGCGCTGAACCAATCGAACTACCACCGCAATGCACGGAGTGTTTTCAACCGCACACCTGGAGTGAAAGTTGATTTGCCTGCAGACGCCACACCGCTGCAGGCATTTGAGCATATTTTTAATGAAGAACTTTGGATGCATCTAGTTACCGAGACGAATAGGTACAGTGACCAAACAAACCAAACTCCAACAAGAGTAAAGATGGCAAAGTGGTCACCCGTGACTGTGACGGAGATGAAGACATTTATTGGGCTGTGTATGTAAACCTCTCTTCAGGACGCAGTTCCCCCAAAATATGTCCCGGGACAGATTTGTGGCCATCTGGAGGTAGGTTGTATGCAATTTATAACACAGACATATGCATTATTATGCATAATAATACTGTTAATAAGTAATCATCAGATAGTTATTTATGTAATGTTTGTTCTTTATTTTGAAAACGTTTTATATTGCACATTCTCAATGAAGACATGATCACATATGGAAAAAATAAAAGGTTGAATTTTTTTTTTTTTTGATTACTGCTTTTCACATTTTTTTTTTGGAAGAATTTCAAAGATAAAATATATTTTGAGTTCTATCTGCTACAGAAGCTGAGATATCAATAATTAAGGCGTTGACACAGTTGCTGAATTTACAGAAAAACTTCAGGTTTTAGGGGTATTTTTTAAAATCGGCCATAGGTTTTTAAGGTGTTTTTTCCAGGCGTTTTAGGCCTAAATGGGTTAAGCAAAGCATTTGGGAAATTAACTGTCTTTGAAACTAGGGTTAATTATCTCGACAGCAATAATACAAATAATTCCTAAATTTCTTTAATTTTAAGGTTCTTTAATATTTACCTTTAAAGTCACAGTGATGACCATCACAGTAAAGACGAGTGTTCCAAACGTCCAGTTCCCAAACATCTGGAAGAACAGACAAAGATTATCTAAAGCTGCAGTTCATCATTAGCTTACCAGACTTTATGATCAGAAAGAAGCTCAGCCAACATGCAGTCTTAGTAGAATATCTGATAGGGTTAAAAGCTTTTTTTATTATTTTAAATCACCTAGATATTTATATCATGAATGAAAAAAAAATGTCAGGTGCAGTTACTTCAACTTAAGGTATTATTTTAGGAAAAATCAAGAGTGTGGTGTCGTGACAGGGAGGAAAATATGAGCAGATTCATGCTTATATTAGCAGATTTGCAGGAATGAGGGATCTTATTAAAGGCAGCAGCCCTGGTTGAGAAAGTTGTCTGTTGTTTGGCATCTGTTGTTTGTATGTTTAGTGACTTTATGTAAAGGCAAGACATAATCAAGTTGAAAGAAATTAATTCACTATTTCTACTCTACAATTTAATATTGGTATAAAACTGTTCTGTGAAGACCTGAGAAGTTAGTTGGAGAACATTGGTGAAAAATCACTATCACAGACACTGAGGAACAAGCAGACAGATCTGAGATAAAACTGTGGAGAGGTCAAAGCATAGTTAGGTTTCTTTAGGAGCCTATTTTAAATTTTGTATTTTTTTTTTTCAAGGTCATTATTTGTCATTATGGGGCTATGATTGATGTAACATGCAGTCACAGGTATACAGTTAACTAAGAATGATTTAAAAGAATTGATGAGTGTTTTTGTCATTATCTTTATCACAATGGTATTAAAAAATATCCTGATGAGATTTTAAGCCCATATCACCCCACCCTACTACATAGGAGACCTTTCAGATTAACCTCTTACACCCTAAGGGGGTATAAATAAATTTCTGCCTGACAAAAACACACAAAAGTAAATAACTTATAGCCTCAAAGCTATTAGATTTAAGAAGAAACTTTTGGTACGTCTGTAAAGGTAAGATGTCATAGAATGGTTTTCTGGTGTCAGCACCATTGTAGCTTTGACCCTGCCTGAAATATTAGGGACAAAATACAAAATATTTTGCATTTTTTGAACCTCGCCAAAATTTTCTTTGAAATAAACATTGCAAAACACTACCAAAATATTGTTTATAGCACAAAAAAGTAGTACAGACTTTCAAATCTAAATGTTGTGTAAAAATATACCAAATTTGGACTCAATCAGATGAATAATATTTATTTTAGAATGGTATTAGTGAGAAATTTCTTAGGCGGAGGGGCCAGTTTGGCACATTTATCCATAAATGTCACCAAACTGTGCCAAATATGTTTTTTACATCAATACTGGGGGTTTGGTAAAATTACGAGGTCATGTAGCAGCTGGACCCGCCGGTGGGTTCAAGGGGTTAAAGCATATCTTAAAATGGGCCCACAGTAAGCATTACGACTTTTAAAGTCATGTTTATACATTTCCTTCACTGCATCTGACTGAGAATAACCCAATATGTAATCCACAAAGCCAGTAAAGAAATATTCCTAAAGATGTTCAGATGCTGTGGTATTTTATTCCAAGAAACATTAAAAACCATTTGCCACTTTCCATCTGCTTTGCAATAACACACTGCTTTGTGTGGCTCTATGACAAACATCTTACTGAACAAGCTTTTTTTTTTTTTTTTAAAAAGAGGGCTTTATACAACAAAATGACTACAAAAAAAGAAAGATAGGTGCTTGGCATAGAAATCCATCTGAACCCATATTGGAGAGAATTGTTAAGAATAGACAGGATGCTGATGAATCCTCATGAGTACTCATATTAACCTCCCAAGGACATGCATTCAACTATAGAGCAGACTCTTACCAGCTGCCTGTTAGCTCGCAACATCTGAAGACATGCACAGCGTGAAGGCAGAAGGAAAACGCATAATCAACCAAAGATGGAAGGAAAGACAACCAAACGAGAGTAATCAAAGTGAGTGCATTCAGAAACAGCAAACTACCAACTAAAATAAAGATGGAAAGATATGATGCAGGAGTAAAGAGAGAATGAAAGAACTGTCTAATAAAAAAAAAGACGAGCTAGAGATAGAAAACAGCAACATCAAGGGAATGGTACTGAAATAGCAGCAGGTTGTCTCTACCTTCAATAATAATATCAATACCACTGAGAGGACACAAACACAAACATCTAAAATCAACTCAATATCAGGGCTTTATGGCTTGAACTACTGTTTTCTAGCTTCAAAAAAACAATTCTTATACATGAAGTTTCTAAAGAATTCTTTTTCCCCACATGCTCTGACAAACAGACCTGTCCATTGCCCATGAGTGTGGTGTCCTCCCCCATCAGTATGTAGGACCCAAAGAAAAACACAAAGGCATGACTGAAGCCCAACACAGTCCAGTACAGGAACGTCCGGAAGGACAGCAGAGAGTTTTTGCTGATATCTCTGTGGAAAACACAAAGAGTTTAATTTCTGAAATTCAATCTCTTTAATGAATCCTAATTCTAGGTCCTAACTAGCTTTATTTTGGTCCTTTATGACATTCATTCATTTTCAGATGAATAAAAAACTGCTGATCATTTCCTAGCAGTGAATACTACATTATAGTGTAGACCAGGACTTGACACAGGGCCTTACCTGTACAGGCACGGTTTACTCTGCAGGATGTCAGGATGGACCAGCTGCTCAAACAGACTATACACAAGGATGGGCAGCGAGGTGAAGCAGATGTTGTACAGCGTCAGGTAAACACTGTCATACAGAGTCTGGATTGGACAGAGAGCATTTCAACAGAAAATCATTAGCTGAGAGTTTTGGCTCCAACTCTTCACAATAAGCTTTACCAACAACAGAATATAGAGCTGAACAGTTAGTAAGACACCCACTGAGTAACACACATTGTATGTGGGAACAGGGAATTATGAGAGTAACAGCTTAAGGTTAGTGTTTTTAATTCTAGCTTTCTAAAAGAATATTGTATCACTCAAGTAAGCTACTGAAAGACAATTGTAAAAGTATTAACAGACTTTAAAGAAAGGGAATACATCTTGGAGGGGCAGTAAAATGCTCAACTTTAGACACTCTAAATTAAGGAAAATACACTAGATATGAACAGACGTTCTATAAAAAGTATGTCATTTTAGGAAATAAAGTAAAATATTCAAAACCAGAAGCAAAACCTTTACATAAACAAAACAGGAAAAAGGATATTTAAATTAGACTTACTTGTTGTGAAAACAAGCAGAAGAACTGGTATAAAAACTGTGGCGTAATAAAACACACATTCTAGATGAAACGGAAAGACAAAAAAAAATGCTTAAACACGACAGCGTGAGAACAGATAGATTATTATACAGTACACAACTTATGCTTTAGTTCCAAAACACCATGAGTCAAAGTAATTGTTCTTGGAAAAGCTGCAGAGGGGAAAACATTGTCGGTCAATGGAGACATATCCTACCTTGTAGAAAAAGTACTGTACAAGAGTAGCTATTCGAATGTAGTAGAAGTGACCATGGACCAACAGTAGTTTAGCCAGGAATTTAAACCTAGCAATTGCATAGTCACTGTTTCTCACGGCCTGTCGACCTTCCTTCCCCATGATGCCTGGTGATCCAACCATAAATGCACAGTTCAGACAACAAATCAGAAGAGCCGCACGGTTTCAAGTTGTATTACTGAAGATTATGTGAGCCTTTACCTATGCCCACATGAGCTTCTTGTATCATGCTGACATCATTTGCTCCATCCCCGATAGCTAATGTTATTGGCTTTTCTGGGGAGGTCTTTAGCAAACGGACCACCTGAAAAAAAACAGCAACAATAAACACTTAACATCTAAAAAAAAAATTAAAAAAATGATGCTTTGATTCTGAACATTTCCTTAAAATTACCAAAACAATCTGATCTGTTAAATTGGATTGATGGCCATCATCAAGAAATAACCAATTCTAATAGTGAGCTCGGCACCTGTTCAAAAGAGCAACCTCTTAACCGCAACATCTTTTTCTCTTCAGCAACAAGTGCCTCTGGAAAATGAACTCACTAATTTAACCCTGCAGAGCATTTGAAAAAAAACACTAACCTGTAGCAAAGGTGGAGAAGACGAGACTGTGCAATAGTTTAAATGTCTGACCAAGATGTGATAATCTAGAGCAGAAGGTTGTCTACTAATGTGACACTCAGGAAAGAGCAGTAGGCGTTTACCTTTGCTTTCTGAAGAGGAGCCATACGGCAGCAGAGCACGGCTGAGCAGTTTTTACAAACTTCCATAAACAGTTTCTCATGTTCCCTCAAGGCTAAAGACAGACTAGCTCCATCTACAACCAAGCCGTGCTGAATAACGTGGTCTTCTTTTATCCTGCGAACAAACAAAAAAAAAAAGATGAAGACAATCACACAAACACACAAGGAAGAGAACTATGAAAAGATATACTAGTATGTTGGATTCTACAATTCACTATCAGCTAATATTTGACTCAGTTATTGAGTCAGAGAGTTGCATTGCTTTTCATTAGTTATTTGAACTGTAGAAATGTATTACTGAAGAGTCAAAGCTTGCAGTAGTTTATGCTCAGCTTCTTACTTTACCACCAACTGCAATAAAATCCCAAACAGAAGCATGAAATAAGTGCTTTCATTGTAAAATGGTTTTGTTATCACTTTTCATTAATTGAACACAGACTCATGCTCCCGTATGTATTATGATTTATAAAAATAATACAAACATCTGTTTTGATCGGCTTCAGAGCGTGGATGCATTAAGAAGCAAAAAAAAAAAAAAAAAGAGTATGAGTATGGTTCCCACCTCCGGGCCAGTCTGCGGAGCTGCTCTGCACACTCATTATCGGAGCGCTGCTGCAGAAGCTCCAAGATGTTCATGGTCCTGTGAAAGTGGCCACATGACAGGCTGACGCTGACTGCCGTCTCGTGTTTGTCTCCTGTCAACACCCACACTTTGATTCCTGCCAGGCGCAAAGCTTCGATTGTCTCCTGAACTTTGTCTTGAAGTCTGTGGAGCACAAGGGAGACTGTGTTCAGTGAAAATATGTTATGTTCTTAAAGGCCAAGTGAGAAATAAATTATTATAATAAATGAGTGTTAAGAAGAAGAACGCCTCATTGTTTGGATTGCTCACATTTCCAGCCTACAAAAGATGCATCATACTTACGAACGAGGAAGTATGATGCATCTTTCTTGAGGGAATAAGGGCCGTTCCAATGATTTGCAATGACTGTTCATATCAAAAACAGCTTTTTTAAAATATTAGACTGAGAACTGAAGAGAATATTAGTCATGACTTTCATAACAGAGGCGACCCTTTAATCATGACCATGTGTGGTCCTGGGAGCAACTCATTTCAGAAGCACAAATGGAGCAAAGCAGAGAGGAGAGAGCATGGAGAGATAAACAAAGTGTGAGAAACTGAGGCTTAGGAGCAGATGGTGAGTGGATGCCAGGACACAAAGCAGCAGCTCGATCCAGACAGACTCATATTGGTGACGTCTGCAATTCTCTGTGGACTAAAAACTATAAAGTATATTATTATGGTGGCTTCCAGCAACCATCTATATCAAGGGTCTTCAATTTCAGTCCTTGAGGTCCAGTTTCTGGACTCTTTTACATGTGGTTTTGCAGCAACACTACTAGAGTCAAATAATTAGGTCATTAGCAGGACTCTGGAGATCCTGGCTGCATATTGAAGAAGTAATTCAAAACTCTGATTTAGGTATGGAAGCAAAGATGCCAGGATGCCAGACATCAATGACTTGAACTAAAGAACTGTGGTTTATCCTCAATTAGTTGTAATAGAGTGTACAAAAATTACACTTTGAGTTTTTAAATGTGGATTTGGTTACAAGTCAAATGAAAAAAGATAACTACACAAGTAATAACAGAAAGCAAAACTTAAAAGCAATGTAATAAAAAATGCCATTGGTGCGAGACCAGGAAAACATATCCTAACTGTACAGTAGAAGTATATGAATGACTAAAAAATACATTTTATATCCCTTAACTGAAATATGTCCAGTGTTCCAAATTACATGACAATGATGAACAATTAAAATGTCTAACTTCTCTGTAAGATCCGCGTTTTTACCAATGCGTTATTTTAAAGTGTGCTTTAATGATGATTTATAAGATATAGATTGTACAAAACTTTGAAATTAATGTTTTTAATTAAAAGCCTCATAAAATACAGTCTTACCAAGTGAAATAAGATTTTCATTGTACTTTAATTTTAAAATAAGGAAGTTTTAATATTAGAAAAAAATCCCGTAAAGATCAATTCACAAATCAATGAACAAATGGTCTGGAAAGAAGTATGGAAAATCTGGCAGTTATTTTTTTCAATTATTTAATGCAGACCCTATGGAAACCCCATCTCTAACATGAAGTACCACCTGATTGTTAGAAGTTGGCATCCAGCACTAATATACTATTAGCTGTGTTTCCAAACAATTTATCTGACTTTTTTATATTCAAATAAACTAAATCATTGTATATACTGTTTATTATGGCTTCAACTTATTTAATTAATTAAATGAATCATCACTGCATTCAAATAACTTATTGCTTATTATTTCTTTGAGATGAGTTGTCATTACTTCCATATGAACTATTTATATGAAGGAAAATTAGATTGGAAATTTATGTTAATGTTTTTCATACTTGTCTTCCACCCCGGTTGCTCCCAGGAGCTGCAGATCTCTTTCGATGTAGGCAAAAGCTTCCTGTAGTTTCTCCTCCCTCTGCTGCAGAGCCGTGCGAGCAGAAGTCAGGCGCTTGTCCACATCAATGTACTCTTCTGGACTGAAGTGGCGACATGCTACAACGAGGGTACGCAAACCTTTCTACATTGGAACAAAGAGATGGAAGATGAAAGGTTATATAAAAATAGGGACGAGGGATGTAGATTAGAGATGAAAGGATGTATAAAGGAAGGCAAAAACAACAAAAATATTAAATGAAAAATATCACAGATTGGGTTTAATTCCTTAAAGTGGCCTTAAGGCGTGATGACCACATAAAGCCCAGACAAGAGCAGCAATTCTGGGGTCGAATATCTGACGATATGATGTGGAAGGAGGACTGCTTGTGTGTGGGCATAAAGAGCAACAGAGCATGGTGTAATCACTGCATCATTCCTAAATGCCAGGCTTACGCACAGAAACAACAGATGCATGAATCAAAGAAACACTACTAAGATGCTATTTTTACGATCTTAAAAAAAAAAAAAAGATAATTTAAATGTCAGTATTTTAGCTATGCTTGAATATGCTTTTGAAATGTTTAAATTTTCACAACATATGGCAAAGGCCATGTTATACTGTATTGTTCTTAAACTGCTATTATATGCATATTCATGGAAACGATGTGGAGTTGCATGATATTTGTTGCTAAAACTAAGAATCTTAATTTCTCACCAAGGCAAATTCGTCCACATGTAATCTTGTTTTTTCAATCTCTCCATCAGTACTGAAAGGCAAGATGGCAGACTCAGCACCTTTTGTGAAAAGCACTTTTCCTCCTTTAGGGGAAAAAGAAAAAAAAAAGACATTAGTATCCTTTATTACAATTTCCTGTATTCCAAATGGGTTCATCCCAACGTTATTGTAGATTTTTTTATGTTTTTGGCAGCACGATAAACACAGTCTGCTGCTGAAGCGGATAATGTTACCTGAGGGAGTCTGCAGTATGACGCTCATCCTCCTACGGTTTGGGTCAAACTCTAAGACATGGAGCAGTTTATACCTGCAGGTTAAGGAAAAATCCTGTTGACAATTTCTGGAAAATTAAATAGCTAATTTCATTCTAAACATAAAGAATTTAGTTTCACACTCTGGTTTGTATATCTGCACTGCATACTCAATTGTTTGGGTATGTTTTTACATCTACATAATGTATGAAAAACTAATGAAATTTGATTGAATTGGAAAAAAAGAAACAGTTTAATAAGTGGTATGATTTAATTTGAATTTTACACAAAAGACATTGGTGCCACTTCTTGGCTGCTCAATTCATTAACTTGTTGTTGAATTTGACCCCTTTAAAATTAGCTGGATGTTTCCAAACACTGACTTACTTCTCAGATTTCCCATAAGTTTTGATTTCCATGGTATCTCCACTGCTGCCTGTGAAAGCCACTCCAATTCTGAAGAGAAAGGAATAAACTACAGCATTAGAACTCTTAGCAGAGATAAATAGTTGAGCTTCTAATGTTGCACAACCATTTAATCGTGTGATAGCTTTCTGATAAGGCTTTTTGGTTCTTTGATATTAATCTGTTACACAGAAGGCTGCTTCCTTAAGGGTTATTAGAATTTAAAGGGGTCATAGAATGGTTATCTAGGCTATTTGGTGCTGGTCCTTAAATTTTCTGTATAGGGTGTGTAACATTGGTTGGGCTGAAATGGCATATTTTTCATTCTATGAGCCCTAATGCAAGCCTGGTTTATGGTATGCTCATGAATATTTAGATGAGTTGTGTGCTGATTGGTTGGTTTACAACGAGCGCAGCTGCCGAGCAAAGACTCATCATAGCAAAAAGTACTCACTCATTGAAAAAAAATCAAATTGTTGATATGGTAGAGTGACCAGACGCTCTCTTTTTCCTGGACATGTCCTACTTTTCATACCTAAAAAAATGTCTGGGATTTTGGTCAACTACAGTGCAGCACGTAGTCGAATCACACCGGGGACTCAAACCGAGCCGTGAGCTCTGGGGCTGGTCCGGGAACCCAGGCGGACGGGGGCAGGGAGCCAATGGGGACAGAGCGACCAAACCCGATCTGACATCGGCGGCCCCGTGCACGGTAAGGCAGGCCTTTACTGTAGTATTTCATGAAAATTACAATAAATATCAGTATAACTACTACCATTACTAGTCAGCATTTACAACTATCTGACGAGAACTTTGAAGTTTTGGAGTGGCTCAGCCAGTTCTACGATTCATGTTTGGGTGTATTCTAAAGATAAGGATGACAACAAAGAGACTGTCTCAAAAATCTTGGGGGAATCATATAGTTTTGCATGTATTGCATGGGAGATTGTCCATGCAATACATTTTCAAAACAATAGTAAAAACATGCTAGTTTGCAGTTGTCAGACAGATTTGATTAAAAATAATAAATATTTTTCTATTGAGGACTGAGAAGGATAACAATTATTTCTCATTTCTCACAAAGTAAACAAAGTAAGTAAGTAAACTGAACTGATGGGGCACCATTTAAAAACATGATTTATGCCTCCACCTGAGCAACCTGTTGAACTCCACAAAAGGTCTCCAAGTACTCCAGAAACTGTAATTATTATCCGTGTTAAATTTCTGACACCAACATGAACAAGTTACTAGGCACCAGGCTGTCATAAAAAGCCCAGACTCTGCTTCTATCTGGCTATAAAACTATGCAGCTGGAAACACACAATGTTTGGGATGAAGTTAAAAATTTGGATCCATATACATTTGATATAGTAATAGATAGATAATATGACCTACTGCTTCACCAAAAGTAAAACCACCACAGATTCTAAATTAAGATTAGTATAAACAGCATGACTCTCTTATTTAACAGTATTTTTTCTTGGATATTTTGGAGCCTTTCCAAAGGACTTCTAAATAGGATTACCCTGTTCATTTTAATCCAATAAACCAACACAGTCTGAAGTTTCACCAAAGTAATAAAATACAAAGAGAGGATACATTTGTAAGTTTCAAGGCTTAGGCAATTAGAAGGACAAAGATGGAGTAAAAAGTTTTAAAGTCATAATACTATACCTCTTTGTTGCCTCTACCAAAGCTTTCTCATCTGGTGAGGAGGCGTAGTACTCCATGTGATTAGAGGAGTAACCATTGGCGTGGGAGAACGGGTCCCCTCCTAGCAGGGAATCTGGCTGGTCATAGCTGATTTGAACGGTGTGACACATGGACACGGCCTTGAGGAATAATAATTCATCACCTATCTGTGATGAGAAACAAAATAAGGAGGATGTAAAGATGAAGCAATTAAAGATTTTATTCTAAAAACTATGTGGAGGGATAACAAATTATTTTGTATTGCAGTCCATGCAGATTAAAAACATGGGGAATAAACAAAAATTCTATATAAACCAGTAAACTGAGCAAATTTTAAAACCGAACCTATATTTAGAAATAAATTATTTCTCAAACGCATAGAGGGGCAATGAGATCCTAATTAAATAAACACTGTGTTCACCATTTTATAGAAATGAGCCTTCAAGCATCAGTATTTACACCTTCCTGTGGCAAAAAAACAGGTTGATAACTATTAGCACATGTATAGCCAGCTTATATAATTAGCTGCAGCTTTTCTAGTTATAAAGTCATCAATTAACATGTCAATAGGTCTGGGATTACTTTAAGACCACAGCTCAGCTTATTATGTTCAGGCTATTTACTTTCATAGAATAAACCTTAAAATTTTTACATAAACTGAAGTCAGTTTTTTTTATAATTATAATTTTTTCTATTTGTGTTATGTAATATCATTTTTAACTGTCAATAAATCATCGGCTTTAAAATAATTAAAGCTTGAAAACATTACTATGAATGTAATTAATCTTTAAAAATCGGTTTTACTTAGTGAATTAAGTTCCTGAATTAAGCAAACCTTTTAATAATATTCCAATCCATTGAATAGGATGCTATATTAAAACAAAGCAAGTGATACTTTGTACTCTAACACAGGACAGCGGAAATCTTAGACTGGACAGAAGTTTTCATATAAAAGTAAATGTTGGTTTTCTGAATTACCAGACGAGGTGAAGAACCATCTGGTGAATCATCAGTCATCCCCTCTGGTACCAGTTTGCCATTCATTTCCCGATACTTGATGCCATTTATTGAACACTCGCGGAACTGCATTTCATTTTCTGTTAGCGTACCGGTCTTGTCTGTAAACACATACTCAACCTATGAAATAAAAACAACAAACACGCATGGGAAAACAGTTAAAGGCAGCTTGGAACAAAAACAGAGCATTAACAGTTTCTATTTAGAAATAGTTATTATTCTGTATGTGTAAATAAAATCATATCTTTATTACAGAAAAGATTTTTCAATTAGATATCAGGCTGAAGCCACCGTTGGGAATCTTTCATTATAACTGAGGAAGACTATTCTGGAGCTCAATAAAGGAACAACTAAGAGGCTCCAGTAGAGCTTCAGGATAAGTGGAAAAAATAATTGCGCCTTTTCTTTTTCTATTGGACTTCCTGGAAAACCTCAGATACTGCCATAATGGCTAGCAATGTTAGTTATTTAACTTGCACACAAACTTTATATGACAAATTTTTAACATTTTCTGCAAACTTTCTTAGTTCTGCAACATTTGGCCAAATAAGGTCTTTACTCTGCCTGCTATAGGTAGAGATATTGAAACTGCGGCCCAATTTTCCTAATGGTTCAAACAATACATTGTTGTGTTTATATCATAGCCCCACTTTTGGGTAAAATAATATTTCTCAGTTTTAAACAGTGTGAAAATTGTGCTCCAGTTTCTCTCTTGTGAATACTCACATTCATTTTTTGTACATAGCCACTGTTACAAACACAACAATGACAATGGTTTTACTAGATATTTTGAATTCTGACTTCAAATGGAACGCATCATAACAGCATGTCACTCGGACACATACCACCATGACCAGCCAGGAGGTAGAACTGAGAGAATAGTGATCATTTATAAATAGCATTTTTTTTGTGAGCATTTTATTACTCATTAGTCAGAAAAAAAGTAACAAGGTTATTACTTAGAAAATATTTACATGTGGCTGATCTCAAAATGAAGATATGGTGATCAAATCAAAAAACTAAATTTCTGGACGGAAACATCGATAATAATTTAAATAAAAATTCTAATTGCATTTCATTTTCAGTCATGTTCCTCACCTGCCCCAACTCTTCATTGAGATCTGAAGTGTTGACCTGAGCTTTCTGGTCGCTCTCCTCATGGTAAAGGTCTAAATCCCAACCAATGAAGAAGGAGCCCAGAAACTTCTGCATCTCCACAGTAACGTACAGTGAGATCGGGATGATAAAGTTGTAGAGCACCAGGAATGCCAAGAAGTCTGATATGAACTTAAGGATCTGATGGAGAATAAGAGAAAAATAAACGGCCATATGTTAACAAAAACATGACAAAGAGGAAAGAATTAAAGAAAGAAATCAAAAGAGCCAAGACTAGATTATATAAATCCCTGCCACATAGAGTGATACAACTAAAGCACTGATCCTCCTAAATAAAAGCAGGCCGGGTAATCCATTCCTATTGGGAAGGTAATTACTGCATGTGACAAGAAAGGAGAAGCAAAGAGAGACAACAGCAAATGAGACAACAGTGTTAATAGTTTGTTCTATAGTATGTTTGAACTGATAGGAAACTGTGAAAAACAAAGTAAAAAAAAAAAAAAATCATAACTATTTCCTGAACTGAGACAAAAAATATCCACCACTGTAGACATTTTTAATAGTTCATAATTTCAAAAACTGTCTACAAGCATTGTTTAAAAGTTTGCGCTCTGCTAAGTAAGGATGCAGAGACTGAGTGATTAGAGCAGACAGACAGGTGGACATGCCAATGATCAGTGCTACTGATAGGCACTCCTTTTTATACCTCATCACAAAATCTTCTGCAGCGTTGGTGTATACCTGTAGGTTTGATCATTATCCTATAATTAACAACGCACTCTCTCTGGAGAAGAAAACTGGTCTGTTGTGTTTTGGTGACATTCAAGAAGAAAATGTACAAGTTTAAACTGAAAAATTAAACAGAAAAATAAATAATATGCATTTTATAGTTTAACTGCAAAAAAGTTACAAAAAAAACATCTGTTAAGTAACTCAAAGCAGACTAACCGGACTGCTGTTTTTCTCTTGCTCAGTCTTCTGATTGTAGAAAGGCTCATCCCATTTCTCTTCAGCCTGCCAGGCATACTTCAGAATAGTGCTGATGATCGCCTCAAACAGCAAAATGGCCAGGTAGATTATCAGGAAGGTATTCATGGATCTGGCAGAAAACGACAACATGAAAAACGAATGTTTAAAAAGCACCACCTCCAAATGAGAAGTCTGTTTTTTCCCTCATGCTACATTCACACCAAACACAGTAAGAGCAGCAAAAACGTGTCTGCTGCTTCATTTTTTAATGCTTGTACAAGCTTAGATCTGACACGCAGCAGGAGCAGCAAAGCTATTATTTTTTGTCGGAGCCGCTAAGACCCCCACATATCGGCGGTGCGCTGTCAGTAGGAATCCCATTCAACAGCAGCCTCGGGCCCGGTCACCTCCTCGCGGTTTGCAGCGGCTGCTGGAAGGCGTTTTTTATGTACCTAATCCAAACTACAGGCACCAGGATAATAAAAACAAACATGTTTTGCCGGCAGGTTTCAGCATTTTAAGTTTATTTAGGCGTTAATAAACTGCTTCAGAGGAGTGACCATAATAATCTGTATCATCAGCGATGTGTCCGTCTCCCTGGCAGCTCCCAGATCAGCTTCTCTGATTGGTTGATGTGGCGCGTCGAGCACCAAAAGTTAATTTTTTTTTTATCTCGAGCAGCAGCTGCATTTGCGGCGCGTAGTTCGTGTCGGGAGCGTTTGAGCATCTGACCTGCTGCTCAAAACGCGCTGCTCCTGCTGCTCAAAACGCACTGCGGGACATTTTGCTGTGCCTTGAGGCACGTCAACCATTGACTTTGCATGTAAACTAGCTGCTCCTGCTGCCTCTGCTCCTTTTGGTGTGAACGCAGCATCAGTCATCAATAACTTACTTCTCAACAGCAGAGCGTTTCTGAGACTTGCATTTGTAGTTGAGCGCCATCTTGGATTCCATCCCTGTATAAACTGCCACACCTGAAACAGCACAGAAGGTCCAGGTATACATCAACTTTGAGGCTCGTCCAACACACTATTCATTGATCAACGTTTGAAGTCATACAACAGACCAGAATGCATTCAGCATTAAAGGAGAAGTTCGGTTTTTAACACTTTTAGCCCATTTTCTGTAGTGTCCAGGATGAAATCGAATGATCGACACCAAAATTTTGACAATTGGTCCTGTCTCTGCTTTTTGGCTCATTTAGAATCCACCCCTGGCTGCTTCAGAATGGCTTCCATAGAGCATGTCCGATAATGTCCTTAAAACAACCTTAAACGTTTTTTTTTTAAATATGCTACTCACCGGGTCGTCAGCGCTGTTCAATGACGTTCCAAAAAAAGTTTCGTAAAGAAAAAAACGTTCCTGTAGTGTTTTATTTAGCATTTTGTAAATCCCATTGAGTTCTGTTGGAATAGTCAATATTCCGCTGCCACCGGAAACGGAAATGGGGCCTGTTTACACAGTTGTAGTCTTTTCGCTTCACTCGGTGTACTCCGACGTCGAGAATCAAGAATCCACCTTTCGTATTCCATTTTCAGAGTTTTTTAAAGTGTTTAACAGAGACGTTAGCACCTCGACGTCGGAGTACACAGAGTGAAGCGAAAAGACTACAACTGTGTAAACGGGCCCCATTTCCGTTTCCGGTGGCAGGGGAATATTGACTATTCCAACAGAACTCAATGGGATTTACAAAATGCTAAATAAAACACTACAGGAACGTTTTTTCTTCACGAAACTTTTTTTGGAACGTCATTGAACAGCGCTGACGACACGGTGAGTAGCATATTTTAAAAAAAGAACGTTTAAGGTTGTTTTAAGGACATTATCGGACATGCTCTATGGAAGCCATTCTAAAGCAGCCAGGGGTGGATTCTAAATGAGCCAAAAAGCAGAGACAGGAGCAATTGTCAAAATTTTGGTGTCGATCATTCGATTTCATCCTGGACACTACAGAAAATGGGCTAAAAGTGTTAAAAACCGAACTTCTCCTTTAACAGATTATAGCATCTAATTTGCTACATAAAAGTAGTAAAGGCTAAACACAAACTTTTTCAGACAGGTTCCTAATTATACATATAATTTCATATATTAATAATTAAACATAATATTTGCATATATTACATTTGTACGTTTTTACTGGTTTGTCTGAAATAAAATTATTCAATCATTTAAACCACAGCCTGCAAATGCCTCTTGAACTTAAGAAATTTTAAGAACAGCTCTAATCTAACCTATATAAATAGGTTACTTTCTGTACAAAAAAAAAAAAATACATCTCCATGATCCCTTCTTGGGCCAATTGTCTTTTTTTCCCTTTTCCCTTTTATCTACTATTCTGACTCACCAAAAATCTCTTTGGTATTTTTCAGCCTTGCCCCTCGCAGCAGCAAGTTCTCTGGACCCAATGGTCTAAAGATAAAAGAAAACTAAATTAAAAAAACAGGTACAAGGTAATTGTTTTGCAATCAGTGCATTTCTAATATCACTCCCCTTGATCTTTAATGTGGCCCAACTCTGCTAAAGGCTGGTTCACATGGCAAGATTTTTAAATTGTTTGGTGGTTTTCAAAATGAAAACCAACAGAGATGAAACATTCTTGGTGTGCGGTGTACAGCCACACGACAAGATCAACCCACCTCACACTAACAGTATTAATTCAGAAGATTGTGATATCAGAGGGGAAATCTCACAAACCTCTCTTAATCAAAAGTGAGTTAAAGTAAACAAACTATGCCAACGAGGAAGAGGCAATGAAGATGGTTGCTGGATTAGTATTTCAATAGAAAAGATAAGACAAGGTACGGTTCAAAGGTGAGGAGATGGCACAAACAGGGGCTTTACATGCAACTGTAGTGGGTTGTGTTTGTTTTTTTGGTGAAAAACTTTGTGATTGGCTTCACTTGACATTCATTTGGTTGCTTGCTCAGTTTTCCTTATGGAAAATAATACAATAATATCAGGCCGAGACAATCCAAGATGTTGAATGACACTAATTTGCAATTGGAGCAGTCCCGACGTTCTTCTTAAAAAGAAGGAAAAAAAAAAAAACACAGCAGGATTATTCCCCACCGATAACCAGGTTCCCCTCTTCTGAGAGTTTATAGATAATGGGATGATTGATGCAGAAATTGGCACAATCATCTAGCCATGTGAACCAAGCAAAAGCCAAACTCTGTGTCTCTTTAATGTCAAACGATACAATCATTGTTAAACTTATGAAACTCATTATTTTACATCAGCGTAGTTAATGTTTTTATAGAACAAAACTTTTTCAAACTCAGGCTAACTAATTCATGCACTTCTAGTATTGGAGTGAGAATAAGGGGATAAACTTACCTGACGATCTCCTCTTCATGCTGAGTCACAGTTATACGTCCTACAAATCTGAAGGACAAAGAACCCTTTAAGGTCTGAGCAGGTACAGAAAACAAGACGAAACCAAGATCTTTTGAAACCCATAATCAAAAAGAAAAGAAAAAAGCTATTTTTCAATTGAAAGATGGATACTATCACTCTGGCTATTTAAACAAACACTTGAAATAATATACTGCCAGAATTAATACAGAAATATATGAGTGAATGAATAAGTGAATGTATTTGAAACTCAATGAATAAATACAAAAATAGATTAGATAAAAGCAAACTCTTTAACGTCTGTTCAAGTTTTTAGAATAATTAAATATGGATTCAAACAAGAATTATAGTAAGCAGCAGTTTCTTACATTTTACCACAGTACAACCACACCAACAGGGTACCAGTATATTTATACTTCTTCAAACATAAGCACTGAGACTAAAAACCTCCTTTACAAAAAATGATTTAGACAGCAACAGGATGAATGCAAATTGATAAAAATTCAAATTGCATCCGGATTTATATTCACTAAACATATTGACTGAATATCAACAAAACAGTCAAATGCTTTGAATGAATAAAAAAAAAAAAAAAAGAACCGGAGGCAGAATACAATTTATAGATGGATCATTTCACAAGTAATTTAAATTTATATGAGAAGAACTGCAACTACTGAGTCGTACAGAAAACACAGCAGTTCTCCTGGTGGGGGAGGGGTGAAAGCTACAGATATAAGCGTCTAGCTCCGTCAGACACTCCCACATAAGCACCAGTAAGGAAAGAGGCCAGTGTTGATAATATGAAACCATCTAACCATAGCAGCCGTTAGGTATTGGGTAAACATTATCTTCTTTTGAGTTTTCTTGCATTTTAGATTCTAAAACTGGTCTAAAACTGTCCACTCAACTTGTATTTTGATTTATATTTGTTAAATGATGTCAAAATCACCAAATATAATACCTGTATAGGTCGGCCTCTGGCTGTTGACACTCCACCACAGCCTGCAAGGCCTCTAGCTGGGACACTGACTGGCACACAGAAGTCTCTGGCACAGAAAAATGGGTCTACAAACAAAATGTTAAATGTTAATGAGGTAAGTCAGAAAGGCTTTTAAATAACTACACAAGCATATTGACAGGTGAACTATGAAGTGAATAAAGTTCCTGTTTTTGTGAAATAGAAAAATATATGACTTATAGACAAGGCCAAATAAGTAAGTAAAACAAACAATCAGAAAAAAACTCCACTGCTCACTTATAGTGAACTGCTTTGAGTACCTGTGTGCTAAAAAAGGAAAACTGATTGTAAACGCTTGATTAAACAAAAACTTTTATTAACCTTGGTAAGAAAAGTTAAGGTATAAATATTTCAATGTCAAGTTCCATGAGGTGGAACTCTGTTCACCTAAAGTGAATAATCAATGCACTGCATTATGAGTCATGTTTCCCAGGCCTCATGATCACCTTAAAAATAAACAAAAGGAAGGTCAAAGTTAACTGCGTACTATTATCATATCTATCTAATCAACCGTAAAAAAATCACAGGCCCATAATAACCACGTAATGGAAAGGTAAGAGAGGATCAAAGAACAAGTTTAAGAGGGTGATTAAAACATATAATAAGCTACAGCTCTTCTGTAAACCGGAAGCATCCGATACTTCCCAACGCTCTTGTTGTCCTAAGAGGAAACCTATTTATTTGAATAATACATGCACTTGAGAATTCAGAGGCAAACATGCAAAGATGTTAATTTGATTACAGCGTAGTAACAAACCTTAAGGTTTGTCTCCCCGTCAAGGCTGGCTGTGGTGATATGACAAGTACCGTCAACACGATCGGACGACAGCAAAATCAGATCAACTGGAAAAGTTTCATCCTTGGCAACACGAACAATATCCCCAACCTGAATAGATGGAGGGGAGAAAACACAACAGGCTACAGTTAGTGCCGTCAAGGGTTAGGACAATGATTTCTGCTGGGCCTAGCTTTAGCTATTAGACAGCAGTAGTGCTATGAAATGAATGATCTGAAAAATGCTGGTAAATATACCAACAATGTACTAAGTTTCAATCCTGTTGCAGGAAATCTTAGCTTTTAAAGATGAGAACGGAAAAAAGACAAGTTATTAATTCAGCAACTCATCAGGCCTTAACATAGTTTAAAATAAGTATAACAGCTTGTAACATTTTTTTAATATATACTTTTTTTAGAAGATCCATCCATCCATCCATCTTCCTCCGCTTATCCGGGGTCGGGTCGCGGGGGCAGCAGCCTAAGAAGGGAGGCCCAGACTTCCCTCTCCCCAGCCACTTCTTCTAGCTCCTCAGGAGGAACCCCAAGGCGTTCCCAGGCCAGCCGAGAAACATAGTCTCTCCAGCGTGTCCTGGGTCTTCCCCGGGGCCTCCTCCCGGTGGGACGTGCCCGGAACACCTCACCAGGGAGGCGTCCAGGAGGCATCCTAACCAGATGCCCGAGCCACCTCAACTGGCTCCTCTCGACGTGGAGGAGCAGCGGCTCTACTCCGAGTCCCTCCCGGATGACCGAGCTTCTCACCTTATCTCTAAGGGAGAGCCCAGTCACCGTACGGAGGAAACCCATTTCGGCCGCTTGTATCCGTGATCTCGTTCTTTCGGTCATGACCCAGAGTTCATGACCATAGATGAGGGTAGGAACATAGATCGACCGGTAAATCAAGAGCTTCGCTTTTTGACTCAGCTCTCTCTTCACCACGACGGACCGGTCGTTTTTTTTAGAAGATTAAAAGGAAATTTCCTTTTATACTAACCTTGTTAGGTATTATAGGTAAGAAACTAAAAGTTGCATCTTTATGACTTTACTGGAACAGACAAATTGAGCCACCTTTGTGAAAATACTGCAAACCATTTAGCTGTTTTGGCAGAAAGTCATTGAACTGTGACTGTTTAAAGCCCCAGAGCTTCATTTGCCTTTTAACTAAATCACACACAGATTATTTTGGTAACATCAAGTTACTTATAAACAAGTCAGTTATAATGTCAGTAAATGTCTACTTCAGAGGGCTTGGATGCACTTTACTGCTCATAGTTGGGAGCCATGCAATGGGATTAAACCCCCTGGATCAGTTAGAGTAGGGCTAATAGCAAAAGTGCTTCATGGTGCAAATGCCTTCTTTATTGTAGTTAAATAATTTATACTTTTATCTTTACAAAACAGCATTTGCTCAAAGAGCAGATTTTGGAACATAACTAAGGTTCATTGTGGAGCAGCTTTGGAATCTTACCCTGATGTTTTTGGATTTGGTCTTTACCAGACTTCCACTGCGAACCACAAACACTGGAGCTCCATTCACCTCATTGTCTGCCTTGTGTCTCAGCCAGTCCTCATAGCCCTGGGAGTACAAAAAAAAGTAAGTAAACTCTTTTAGATATTGCAGAGAACACACAGCTAATTTTATCTGGTTAAAAATGCACAACCATCTACATAATTTAAAAAAATATATAATTACTAAGGTTAGCCCGAAGAAACATCATTATGTACAGTTCAGTGGCATTTATGAACTCGTAATTGATACAATTTTACAAATAAAGTTAAGGGGATTTAATCATTTTAGTTGATCTTTCTTAGACAATTTAAACTTTATTTTGACATAGCACCAGGTTTTTGGTTCCACCCTTTTAGCTCGCATAAGTGGAAGCTATTGTGCTCTTGTATTCTCACCTGTTTAATAGCTGTAACTGTGATCACAAAGAAGAGAGGGAGCCCACTGGTGACTGGGGAAGTTGGAGTGTCTATCATTAACTGCAGAGAAAAATACAGATGAAGAGATGTCAAAAAAAAGCCATAGACCAGTGAGAGGCTACCATCAGAGTATGGGGGATGTAACCTTTCTAAGAGAAATGAGCTAGAAATACAGCAGAAGTAGTGGCTCGTGTGTCAAACAGGAAATCTCTGACAACTTCCCTCAAGTCTAAACTCTGATGACAAAGGTAGCATAAACACATTTTTCTGACCGTTTTTGAAAGAGATTCTCTTCACCTAATCACCTCATTTCTAAAGTTTAAAGAGGACATAAGTGGACCATTCAATCTTTCGACCGGGGAAGGTTTAGATTTAAAAGTTGTCTGCACCAGCCACAAAAAAGGTGCATTGCAAAAAAACAGGAAATGCACAGGGTGACTACATTGTAGGCTGTGAGCTAAACTCAAAGCATGTAGCTGTACATATATGGTTACTCAGAGGTAAACCAGAATCTCACAGGTGATTTCAACCAAAGCTTATGATATTTTTGAGGAACTTTGTGGTTCATCTTCTTACATTTTGTTATTACTATTTCATGGTTAGGTGTAAACAAATTTGTATTTGCTTAACTCAGGTGATACTTCAGTTATTACCATCTGTGAACATTCAGTTTGTGATTAACCCATTTATAGTTGGATACAATCTTTTTTTTTTATTATTGATGACATATATTATGATACTTGACATTAAAATAAACATACAAGAAGTAAATGAATTTGCTTATTTTTGCTGATTTTAACTCTTTTCCCCATAAGTGCTGCTAATACACTTTAACTCGAACTGTGGTCCAATAAAAAAATTCTTCAATTTTATTCTATGTATTACATGTTTTCTGAGATAAATATATTTCCAAATTGAAATGATTAAAAAACAATATATTTAGTAAAAACTGCTCTCATTCACTCTTGAGAAGAAATAAAACCATAGACGTCCATACATTAAGCAAGAATTGATCAAATGAAATGGCACAGGGTAAAAGTACAGAACACTCTTGCTGAAATGTACTTCATACTTCGTACAAAAGCCTCTATTGGTGTTGAAAACTTTAAGACTTTTTCCTGTACTGAGAAACTGATCAGATGGGATTGTTTAACAGGATTTAAGTTAGATGACTGGCTGGGCTATTCTAGCACTTAGATTTTTTTTTTATGTGACTAATTAAGAGATTCATTCTGTGTGTGTGTGTGGGATTATTGTCTTGTTTGAATATATTTTATTCTTGAATATCCCGTTGGATGGTAGCCAATCATCATCAAGAATATCTCAGTACATTTGTGTATTCATGCTTTTTTTTATTACATTAAATCTGCCGACAGCAACTGCTTAAAAAATAGCTTTGCATCATTATACTTCGACCCACCAACTACACTGTTGCTGTACTGTATGACTTTTAAAGTCATAGGGAAGCGGCTGTTCCAAAGGTTGCAGTTAGGAATTTTCTCGAGTGGTGCCCGACTTTACACAAGTGAATAATGTGAATGCGATTGGTCAGTTATAAAGGGGACGGGAATGTTGTGGCGGAAGGTTCGCAAACAAGTTTGGTTGTTGCCAATGTCTTGGAAGCATCTTGCTAACCAGTTAGCAACTTAGTGCAAGTAGGTTCCCAATGGGAAATTACATTGGGACCAAGTAGCACTTAGCAACAACACTATCAATAAGCACTATGGACAGCGGGAAAAATGCAAGAGAAGAGTTCTGTGTCGGAGGTCGTGGATGAGTCTCCTCTGTCATACATTTTTTTATTTAGTGGAGGAAAGTGGTGACGTGGTTGAGGTGGAAGAGGACGCCAGGTTGGCAAAGCTTGGTTTGGTGTAGAAGGCTTACAGCCGTACATGTTTGAGCTCTTGCCTCGCAACGCTGCCAGTTCTGTTAGCTCTACTTGCCGAAGACACAGACGTCCATCCCCAAGAACACTGGGACGGAACTCATTGGTAAAGTTAATTGATTCTTATTTCTTATTTTAACCGTTGCATATATTAGCTGCGACATTTGAATCAAGATAATATGACTGAAAAAATGTGATTGACAGATGACCGTTGATATACGATTGGCCGAAGTTAGGAGTACAAGCTGATGTATAACTAACTGGGCTGCATAGAATAATGGGGGAGGGAAAACTAACAATATTTAACACGGTTATATGAATTTTCTTCAACAAACTTTAAACTTGCTTCAACATGGATTGTTTTTAGCAAAGGAGTTTTGCATGGTGAATTATTAAATGTTTTTTAAACAATGACTTGCTCAAATAGAGAGCATGAGTGCCCTTGAACATTTACTCTGAAGGAAATGAACATGACATTTATCTATTACCACTTAAAAAATGAAAACATCGAGAAAGATAAGAGTCACTTGGAGCTCAGTGACATGTTAAAGACCTGCAGCATCCAACATTGGATATAGGAAATGTTGTCATGAAGTTTTTAAGAATAAAGTTCTTGTGTAAAAGTAGACCACTGCAAAAAACAAAACAAATAAAATCATAACAGCCATTTTCAAGTTCAAGTGTTTATGCACTGCTTAAAGCAGGCAAACAAGAAAGCCATAGAATATTAAATACAAAGTAAAAAACAAGAGAAACAAAATCATAGGTAAGTTCAGACTATTTCATCCAGGAATATTTCAGTAGTTTTTAGAAGCATTTTTTTTTTCTTTTATTATTTCTCTTAAAAAAAGAATTGTTCTCAAAAGTCAAGCAATGAATAAACCTACCTACGACACCCTGGATCATTGGGCTGGGTGATAAACTGGATTTTTTTCCATTATCGTCATTCACTACGATAACCGGTGACAATTTTCCCATGTCGGTAAAAGAAAAACTCAGTGATTGATTTGAGGTCATATCGCCCAGGCCTACTGGATCTATTTTTTTTTCAGCTTTTATTGTGATTACACTTTCACAAGTACAGAGCAACAAAATTAACTCTCTGCATTTAACCCATCCCCTTGGGGAGCAGTGGGCTGCTATTGTGCAGCACCCTGGGAGCAGTGTGGGGTTAAGGGTCTTGCTCAGGGAACCAGAGTGGCAGTCTGTGGGAGTGGGGCCTGAACTCAGAACATCAGGATTCCAAGTTCTTTGCCCTAACCACTAGGCTGCCGCTGTTAAAATGTTGTGTTCCAGAAGTGACACAAAAGCTGACATTGAGTTTCAAAGAGCTCCTGACAGAGAAAGTTTATCTAAAAAGACTAAAAGCTGACCGTGTCAGAAAATGTCACCTTCACAACCTCAAGACGAGAAAATAAGTGACCCCACTGTGAAGAGATTTCAGAAAAAAATTGCTTCAAATTCACTGACAACTTAGGTGGGTGAAAAGAGAACCGTCACAGAAAAAGTCAAGCTGGTTCCTTTAGCTTCACTACACAGCCCCCAAAAAAATCAGGGCATGGCGGAAAAATCTGAAAGCCAAATCCATCTCCTGTGCAGGCTGACTGATGAATTCTAGTGGAAAAACATTTCTGGATGGCGTTAACACACATTACTAAATGTGTGTGTAATTTTTTTTTCTATTTATAAAGGCAAACCACTCTACCTTTAGGTCTTTAAAAATAATGAGACACCCACTAATGCAGTAACAGATAGACACAGGTTTATAAATGAGGCAGGGAAGCTGAGGTCACACATGACTCACCACCAGCTGACTGAGAAAAACATGAACCCGCACAACTGACTTCTTTATCTGCGCCTGTGTGTCACATTACCTGCACAAGGAAGATGATGAGAAAATAGAAGTTTGCTATCCGCCGGAATTGCTCAAACAGATTCTTAGGGACAAAATTCCAAACCGTGTACTGAAAGAAAAAAAAAATTAAAGGTTTACAGAGCTTGGAAAATGGCACAATACATGTTTTTCCAAATTACTAAAGCAGAGTGGTCAACGTTATTTTCACAGGCATATTGTAACAGTGTATAAATTAGGACAGAGGTACAATTCTTTATAATTTTATATAGATTGCAAAATTTTTATTATAGTCCTCAACACTCTATCAACACATGATCCTTTATACCAGTCACACTGCACACAAATTCAGTTTACAAAATGTTGACAAAAATAAGCTTTGGAATTTAGATTTTTCCTCCATCATCTTTGCGAGCCATAGCTGCTATCAGTGCTTAGCCAAAAGGATATCATTAGCTTTAACACCAACTGTCTTAAATCAACTTATACTGGACAGCAAAAATATATATTTTTTTAAATCAGCTAAAAAAAATCCAAAAACAGTTAAAATAAGCATGATTAGCAGGGAGGCACGATATAATCGCCCCCCTATCGGTATCGGCTTGTATCGGCCTTAAAACTGAATATCGGACATCGGCCACCCCACCGATATTTAACCCGATATTTGATCAGCTTCTGAGTTTCTAAAGTCTAAAAAAAAATAAAATAAAATAAAATACTACTTCTTCTTCCTCAAAAACTTCTTTTTTACCGACTTAAAAACTTCTAAAGACGAGGGGGAAAATATTGATACATTAAAATATCACAATATCTTCATATGCTGATATATTGCCATTTAAAAACACCAGATCAATCTCTTTTACTAATGAAATATTGCTATATGTCATCGTTATGCTACGAAATCCCCCGAAAATTCACAAAAGTTTGCCATATTTTTATATGTTGATATATTGACTCGGTATCGATCTATTTTACTAACAAAATCTCACAAGAATTTGCAAAATATCAAGAGAGTTTGTAACAGAACGATTAAATTTCACGAGATTTAGAAAGTAAAATAGATCGATACCGCGTTTTTAAAAATCAATTTGATATCAGCATATGAAAATACATTTGAGTATATTATTTTTCAAAGTGTCAGAAATGGATAACAAAACTGCTATTTTCAATGACTACTTATTTTTGTCCAGCTTTAACATCGGTATCGATATCGGTTATCGGCTACATGAGTCCCAATATCGTGCATCCCTAATGATTAGGCAACTGTGACTCAGTTAAGAGAGTAGAGGTCTTGCAGTCTGAGAGTTGTGGGTTTCAGCTACCATCTGCCACATGTCGATTCTCCCCCAGGCAAGGCATTAACCTCAATTTACCTACTGATCTCAGTTTCTGTGCATGTTCTTTAGTGCAAATGTGGCTCTAGTGCTGGAAGCGGTTGATTTGACAAGAAAAGCATCCGATAAATTCACATTTAACTGAATTAGGTAAGACACATCTAAATGAGCACCAAGGCAACTGGCCGTAGTAACACTTATTAGACTGGTGACAGTGCATGTTAGATTTACATATGATCAAAGGAATTCAACAATTCACCTTTTCATTTCAAATTTTTATCAAAGACCCACCAGCATTTCTCTATATTCAAATTTTGTTACATAAATGGCCCAAAATAAAATAAAGTTTTAATAAATGTTTTTCACTTTGTCATCTTCACACAGCCAGTAAAAGCTTTTTCTAGTGAACTTGTACAGATAACACAAATATATTAGTTCAAAATGCTTATTTCATTAGGCATGTCTGACTGGAACACCTTTTAGTACCTTGGATGAGATGATTCTGTTGTCTGCAAAGCGTTGTGGTATGTAATGGCCATGCTGGGGGAAACGGTTTGCTACATAAACCGTCCGGGTGTCACTCTGATGGGGAGGGTCAAAGCCCTAAGAAAAGAAAGATAGCAACATATAGAGAAGGAGGAAAAAGAGAAGATAGGGAGGAGAAAATAAGTTACTTCTGTTGTGCTTAAAACGTAGCCTTATAGATATTAAATACCAGTCAACAATCAGAAGTATTTCTATAAGTAAAATGATAGCACTGTGTAATGGGTTTATAAATAGCTACATACAATTTTTTTTAATAATTTAAGAATTACCCAAAAGGAAGACTTTAAAGCTTTAAAACAGAAACCAAAACTATAAATATATAGTAGGAACATTATGACAACACTCAAACCAGCATAGGTTAGCTTTTCTCAGTTCTTATAATGGATCATTGACTGAAGTCACTTAGTCCAACAATGAAGGTTGCATAAATCTGTCATAAAATAAGCTGATTAAACCTTTAATACTACAAATGGTAGTTGAGAGCTGAAAAGGAATAGCTTTAACACAATGCCAAAAAGCTTTCTAACAACCTTTTTATAAATACACTACACAGACTTACATGTATGACAAACAATGTTGTTAGTTCCAAGGAAGAATATATCTTAATATTGCCAATGATTAAAACTTTTGGCAAAAAGAACAGTTGCTATGCAAATTCAAAGCAAGAAAAGCTTAATCTTTAAATAGAGAATAAATAGAAGACACTGAGATAAGAAGACTGCATCTGAATGCGACATCAGTAGGGCAGATCACCAAGCTATCATGTAAGAATTAAACAATGAGGAGCTGTGCTTTACACGGTTATAATGTACGCTACAGAATATACAACACCATGAAGCGTGGTGGAGCTTCTCCCACAGAGTGCACTACAAATCGTGAAATGCAAAGCTTTGAGGAGGAACAACACTCCACTTCACGTCATGCTGTTCTATACTCCGTGTCGTCAATTAAAACCTTGTTATACACAGCTCCTTATTTGATCCGCGTATAGTATGGTCCTAAAGAATAAACATTTTTAAGACCAATGTTTACTGTATTTACTAAACCTCCATAAATCTCCATATCTAGACACAGACTTAGCAAGATGTTATTTAATTACAGAGTCCTAGCTTGGATATGAATAACATGACTTGGTAACTGCAACGCAATAAGCGAGATTGGCTAACTATGAGCAAATTGCAGTATCATTCGTCTTTCAACACAAGTATCTTAGCAAACATGTAGTTGTAATGAATTATTCTAAGAAAGATGCGGCCTTGCAGAATTATAGGAACCACTTTGTTTGAAGAAGCAAGCTGCAAACTGAACATTCAGTTTCTTCTGTGTTAAAATGTTACCCTTATGACACTTCCCTAAAGAAGATTGAATAGATGTGTTACTACTTTTTTTAACCTTAATGTTCAAATTACAAAAAACATACAAACTTCCATAAAAATGATCAAATTTGCTAACACTTAAAAAAAAAAAAGAACGTAGAAAGGAATCACTGCTTGAAGTACAACACCACTTGGAGATCAAATATTTCCCTAATGCAAAGAAAAACAACAACAAAAAAACAAGACAGCATCAATGGCATCCAGCAGTTAGCCTTACTTTCCTGTTAAATTCTTTTTTTTTTATACAACTACCATTCATTTAGGATCTATATGGCTATAGCACATTTTAAGCCACTTGATAGTAGATTAAATAGGAAAGCTTATCGAAACATTTGAACAATCTTACAGAAAGGTTACAATGAGGCCACATTATTGAGAATCTTCTGCAGCTTTTCAGTCCCAGCACATCTTTGCTAAAAGATTATTTTTCAATTAAACTTTGTTATTGCTCATTATTAGGGGACATAGTATAGGTATGGGATGATATAATGAGATGTTTGTTTTATATTTTTCTTGCAAGTCATGCAGAACATTTACAAACATCATTGTTCATCTTACTAATATTTTAACACCACTTTCCCAACATATTCAACTATCATCTTTGCTGCAGGGCTTAAAATTAGACTCAGGTCTTGTCCTCCCAAAATGTATTTTCCTTTTCATGTTTTTCCAAATTAAATAAAAAATGTTTCAAACATAACTGGTTGCTTTACTTTAAGCTTCATTACTTCAACATTTCGCAAAGTACCTCTTTGGTTTATAAGGATTTTTTTTTAAACTTGAAAGAGTTACTTTTTTTTTTTTATCTAAAGCAAATATTGTGCTACTTTCACAAGACAAAAGAAACTTCTGCACCTAGTCAATATGCAGTATTGCTATCATTTATATGCTTTTCAGTGTATTTAAAAAAACATTTTGGTACAGATAAAGATGTCTAAGCAGTGTATTCTAAATAGAACATTCTATAATCAGCCTGTTTGAAGACATTTGCTGTCTCCTCCTCTTGTTTGACATTCTGCCTTGGAAAAACACCTAAAGGTTAGCTATGAAACAAAACCCACATCATACCTTTAAATTCCTCATTATACAGCATTTCCCCTTCTAATACCCAAGAGGAGTGGCTTCCTCCTACCAATCTGTACGATTTTTATGTTCAATTTATGATTCTCTTAGTGGAAAGCACTAACATCAAGTTACTAACTAGCCAGCAGAATCAATGATAAACAAATTAAAGTAAGATTGTATAAGCACCTGATCAGATAAAAAAGATCAATCTCTTTAATCTTTGCCTATTAGGAAGTGTTGTGCATCTGCATTCAACAAAATGCATCTAGAAAGATGGCGGCTCTATGTGCTTAAAAACGTTAAGTTCCATACTTAAGGTTGTTAAGCTCTCCAGAATTGACAAAGGTTCCTGGATAAGTGCTCAATCCCCCCCAAATGGCTTCTTGGCTGTTTCATTACAAAGCAGCCATAAAACAGACTACATTTAAAGCCTGCTTTTAGACTGGATAAGTTTTATTCCAAGTGTCCTGAGTGGGTAGCATCAAGAATTTACTCGAAACAAAGTCATTTAGAATGTTTTTAGAGCATAAACAGTAGTGTATAGGATTTCCTGAAAGCGCGCACATGCGCGCTCACGACGCTACGGAAGCCGGCAGACCAAACCAGCGCATTCAGCTCGGCAAAGAACTCATACTCTTCCTCAACACTGAAGTCCTCAGACATTTTTCTTTCGTTGTTTCTTTCTTTGCACAGGTAAACAGCCCATTTCTTCTTCTACGCTTGCATTATTGGCAGAGCAGACGCTGAATGCGCACTTTCATCTGGTTTGGTCTGCCGGCTTCCGTAGCGTCGTGAGCGTGCATGTGCGCGCTTTCAGGAAATCCTATACACTACTGTTTATGCTCTAAAAACATTCTAAATGACTTTGTTTCGAGTAAATTCTGGATGCTACCCACTCAGGACACTTGGAATACATTGGATGAGCAGTATGGAGGAATATTGACACGTTTTTTGTGGACTTTTATGGACCTTTCTGTCTCGGTCACCATAGACCTCCATTATTTGAATGTCAGCAGACAGCAAGAAGCCTCCCAGATCTCCAGATGCATTTGAGATATCAAAAAAGTACTCCAGAGTGTTGTTCAACATGGGGGTGAGTAGAAAATGAAGGCTAATCATGTTTTGGGTGTACTATTCCTTTAAGTCACTGAATAAAATACTAAAGACAGTCTGTATAAATGACAATTTTGCACAGCAGATTAATTCAAAGTTTAAACTCACAGACATGTGTGGCTAAATTATCTATTGAATGTAGACAAGTTAAGACCTTTAACCTTTCCTGCAGACTCTAAAGCCCACATCAATTTTAAGACAGAAAGATAATTACTCCCTGCCTTAAGCCTACAAGTCCCATGGTGCCTTGGTGGAGACACATCCATGAAGCATAAAAAGAAAAACAACCAAAGCCATACTCTGAATTACAGTAAGACCAATGTTAAACAACACAGCAGAGTTTTGTGCATTACAAGTGTCAAAACAAGGGAACAGCTACATAAAAACAAAACAGAGCATCCGTAAGAACACATACTGCTTTAGACCCTATAAATGATAACCGCTGCAAAAGCCTCAGTAACACTGATGAACAGATATCCAACATATGGTGGGTAAATAATAGCCAGGAGGAAAAAAGCTGCCTTAACTGAAAGCACCTTACACTTCCATGGTGATATGAGATTATTTTTCAGCTGTTTTATTGCTTTCTGTCAGCAGATTATTAGATCTTTTTATGAAAATGTCTGTATGTCCTGCAAGAAACTCCAAATATAGACAACACCGTGCAGAGGATGTGCAAGTAAGCCAAATAAAGTTTACCAATTTCCTCTCCTAAAGTGGAAATCTATAGCTTTGAATAAAGAGTGAGAAAACTCTTTATTCAAAGCTATAGATTTCCACTTTAACCTGTAAACATCTAAGTGCAGTTTTCAGCATCTCACATGCAGGATTAATGCAATAAAATTAATCAGAAAAGCATGCCGTTCTTAGTTTCAACAGATGCCCGTTACGCAAGATATGATTGCGGACGGTTCTTTATGGTGTAAATGCAGAAGTACTAGCATGATATCACCTCTGCTTATGTAGGAAGTCCAACATTAAGAGACAATAGAGCCGCAACTCTTGCATCTCTCTCCTCCTTTCTGAGTTTTCTAAGAGAAACTGAAGGAGAGGGAATAAGCAGTAGTGCATTACCTCCCAGCCGTTATCATGGCCTGACAGATTGCCTCTGACAACCCTTTTAATTAGGCCAGGTGTGCTAAGATGCAAATTAATTGCACTTTTAATTAACTAGGCAGGTCAGTTCTATGCGAGGGGTTACAGTAGTTTGGCTATCTCAAATTAAGAGGAAACTCTCTGATCAAACAATGGCCAAGGATTAACCTTTAAAAGCAGAAGAAAAACTTTAAGAAGTTCAAACAGAGATCTTAAGAGTCCATTCATCTCCATTCCAATTGTAAGGGCAGGAAGTAGTAAGTGATTAACAACAGGGAGTTAAAAAAAAATCTTTACTCTGACATCATAGTTTAAGAACGAGTTACTAAGCTCACACATTCACACAGATCTGCAATAGCATCACAATTCATTTACTAGATAGTAAGTGTCAATAGAGACCTGTAACAAGAGGCTGCAACAGGCATGGAGACCTAAAACTAAAAACTGCAAGCTGTACTGCATTTCATGAGCAAAACTCTGTTAATCTATTATTAAAGAATAACTCACAGATCAGAGCAGCAACACTGGTCCTATGTTTCTGTAGTACAGACAATTGCTGCATTTTGCCTACATATCTAGGAGAATTTTGGATTCTTCTTTGATTACTTTAATCAAATGCTAAATTATCAGGGTAGCTAAAACCAATACGCTTGTTAATGGCATTTGTATTTCAACCTTGTAACTGTATTGTCCCTTCACACAAAGCTTTTTATCTGCTATATTGTTTTGTAATTTCAGGAATTGCAGAGTTCAACAAGCTTCACTGTAAACTGGCAGTAATTAATAATACTAGACTTTAGGCTTTCAAAAACACCAACATTTTATCAATAATTCATAAGTCATTAAGTGTTTGTAGACAGCTTATCTTATAATAATCAATTGAAAATGTTGCCAACATATTAAAAACAACATATTAAGTACACTATATCTTAGAGGACAAAGTAGTTTTTCATATCAGTTTAGTAATCTTGAAATCTCAGTAAGGCCACTGAACTTAAAAATGCAACCATATTAACTGCCTCCATACTTTTTGCTTTGGCAAATCTGATCAAACTTAATAATAACAATTTTATAGAATGTGAATGAAGAAGTTTTCAGTAATAATAACTTAGCTGATTATATATCCATCTTGCATAATTATGAGACAGTATTTCTTAATTATGACTTAGCTGTCACATAATTATGACTTGTAACATCTGTGAATCTGGTATTTTTTTTTTTCTGCCTTGCTGGTAAATTAATAATGGTTTATTGGCATTACTGCTAGGACTTATTTTTTTTAAAACTGCTTTCCATTTGCTAATGTGCATAGAAATGTGAAAAATTCAAACCAATTATGTAACCAGAGGAAGAATTCAACTACGTATCTATTTACTCATTGCCTAGGACAAAGCCAGGGGACAAAAGCTCACTGTGGTGAAAAATACATTGTCTGAATCTTTTGAATACTTTATTTTTCTTTACAATCAGCCCGTCACACTTCATGCTGCATTTTGAACCTTAAAACATACCATTTTTGAAGGTCTTATTTTTTTTCCTATTGTCTTAATATAATTAAAACAAAAGTTTTCAACATAATGGCAACAATGACAATTATAAATTATGTAATAGAAATAAAACACTGATCACAAATGATCTGAGGGCTCCTTAACCTTGCTAATCTTTGCTGTTTCTGCATACAACAGTTCTTTAATAAAAATAATCACTTAAATATTTAGCATGCATTTATGTACACGTATTTGGCATTTGTCATATTTTCAATAAGTTTCACTTCTCTGCACATTAATAGCTATATATAGTAGTGAAGCTGTTTAGCTAGTCAGGGAGTTATGTTAAAGTTCTTCTGTTATCAATTAAACTTTTTTTATTCTACTTGCATTATTTTGAAACCTTCAAATGTGAAGGTTTCTTGCATTTTTTGATCTACATAGATCTTTATACTTTTTAAATTTCGCGTAATGCACTAAAAAATATGCAACGCTATAGACATCTTTATTATGTTTCACGAGTGGCGGAAATTGACTTAAACTAAACCAGATAGAGAATAATAGAGAATGTTTGCTTTTTTAAATGTTTGTTTGTTTGGTCTTTTTTTTAGATATTTGTTGTTTTAAACAATCAATCTATATCAATTTATAAACAAGCAAAGCTTATCGATTATATATTTTAGTCGCTATATGTGCTTAGTGTTGACACAACGAAGGCTAATCAATTTTAGAAGCTACAAAAATAAACCGTTATTTCCAATTATATGCAGGAAAAAACTATTTCTGAACATAAATATTATTTCAATATGTAAGCCTGTCGAGTAAAACAGCTTTTGTTATTATATTAAAAGTTTGATATGAGTTGGTGACTATGTCTAACTTTTACGTTGTAAGCAATGTAGTTTGTTAGTTTTCCCAAAGATTCCAGTCCAAACTAGATTTTAATTAGAGTAAGTTTATTTATAGCTGTTTAAACTGACTCTTGACCGTTGTTTAGTTTTAACAGCCAAGCTACCAACTATCAGTTAGCCGAAAGCTACATGCTAGCTAACCTAACGTCTACCTGACAGACGACGAAAATGTTTTCAATACATCGACACCAAACACCAACGGCTAAGTTAGCTTGCTAAATTCAGCCAAATAAAGTTCTTACATCTTTCAACAAACTAAGGCTCGTGTTCAATTTGGGGAAATTATGAAAACTGGTTTTAATACAAGGCATCGAAAGCAGTTTTACCAGCTGCTGTCGTATCCACCGCAGCATCTTGACAGGATACGCTCCGAAAGCCAGCACAAGGCGTTAGCCCTATGCTAGCTCAAGCTACTCCAACGAACCGCAGTATATCCTCCGAGGGGACAGCTCTTTTTGGTCGCATTGCGTGGCTCATTCATACAATGCGACTCGTCATGAAGAAGCGCTTCAAAACGCCCCCATTTCCCAGTGATAAATTTCCCAGTGATCGGACAGATGAGCAGAAGTAAAAGTGACGAAGGTGGCCACGGAGAGTCCCAGTGAGCTCCGCTGCTACATCTCTCGGCTTTGCCACGATCACTTTACACGCACACACGCCCACTGTCACACACGAACTTAGGTGCACAGACTGGCTGCTCTCCCTGCAGCCTTTCAACGCCCCCTGTCTATTCACAACACATAGAAAAAATATCTATTTTGTAATGCTCACATTGATTGTGGAATTTAAAGAAAATGTGTTAAATAGCATTATAAACAAAAGTATGAACTTTTTTCTGTTTTTTTTTCATCTTACTTAGTGACTTCACAGCATTGAGCTATTTACAGAAACTGCCCTTGCAAGAATAGAATAGACTATAATAGAACAGAAAAGAATAGAGTAGAACAGAATAAAATAGAGTAGAGTAGAATAGAAGAGAGTAGAATAGAATAGAGTTGAATAGAATGGAGTAGAATAGAATAGAATAGAATAGAGTAGAATAGAACAGAGTAGAATAGAATAGAATAGAATAGAATAGAATAAAGTAGAATCTTTAGCCCAATATTCCCAAGGGACCAAACTCACATGTGTCAGAATTAAAATGAAAGACTAAGGGAAGCACACATATACACATTATGGAGGACCAATCCTGCCACAATTAAAATTTAATAAATAAATGACTCCTACATAGATATTGCTTACAAAACAAAGCCTGAAATTTAAATTGGGGAGCCATTAAATGCAAAAAAAAAAAAAAAAAAAACTGATAAAAACTAGAGATAAATTGAAGAAATTCATCAGTAGTTTTGATATTATTATATACATCTTTTATTTTAATTGTTCTATTTTATCTCTGAAATTTTATTCTCCATTTTTATTTTAAAAATGAATATTCAGTTTTAGTTTTTTACTGCAGTGCAGGATCTTTTTTTTTTTTTTTTTACGCATTTATTTAAAGAAAATATTTTGGTGTTTTATTTTTTTTTCCGAATCTTTCTTTATTCCATATCCTATTTTTTGACCACATACAAATATTGAAACATGTTTTTCCACCCTTTGTATTACTTTAAAATTATTTCAGTTTTCTTTTTATCTTTTATAACTTATATTTTTTTCTAATCCAAGTATTTTTTCTCACAAAATAAGTTTTTCTAATAAGCCATTCATTTTCCGCTCTCCTTTGTCTCCCTTTTTTCTCCTTCATAACAAAAAATAAATAAATAAATGTAAATATAAAAAAAATAAAACAAAATATAAGAAAATTAATCTGACTGTAAAGGTTGATTTGCAACATAAGAAAATAATGAAAAAGAGAATATAGTTAAAGATGTGTGCAATGTTTATCTGAAGATATGTGTAAAACATATTTGTTTATTTTGGGGTATGAAAAACTACAAGTGACTTTTAAAGAATTTAAAAGCAAAAAATATTATTATCATTATGTTTTGTTTGGCAAGAAAAGCAGATTTAAACACTCTCTGTCACAACTGAGCTTTTGAAAAAATGTCTTTTATCTCCCACCACCTGCCCTGGATTGCTACTGTCTGCGATTAAATTTAAATGATAATAATAACAAAAGTAATACTGTTAGAAAGAAAAAACGTATATTCAGAGATTAAACAAAAACAGTAATATTACAAAAATTATTTAATGATCATAAGAGTATAAAAAACTGGGGAGCGTTGGGCTAGTGATTAGAACAGGGCGCTTGTGCTCTGATAAGTTTGCAAGTACCAAGTTTTAATCCCCACAGCCTGCACTCTGGGTTCCTGGGTCCTCCACACCGCTCCCCGGGAGCTGCACAATGGCAGCCCACTGCTCCCCAAGGGGATGGGTTAAATGCAGAAGTAAATTTCTCCAGTGTGAGATCAATAAAGTTCAATAAAAAATGTAAAAGAAAAAAACTAAATAACTACACTGAAAAAATTTAATCTAAATGCATAAAAAAGGAGAAAGAGTGATAATGATTTATAGTTTATATTAGTTTACAAGTTTTTGAAAGGTTAAACTATTGAAAAAGAACATCAGTGAACAACAGCCATAAAGACCAAGGATTAGGACAGACAGATAAAGCAGGGGAGAAGTTTAAAGCAAGGTCCCAGATAGCAACAGTGAGTCAACCAAGACATGACTTCTCACCTAAACTGATTGCTGAGCCAATGAGAGATTAGGAAAAAAAACATAAAATCTCTGGAAGAATGTCATGTACATTCAATAAAATCTGGAAGAAGAAAACTGACATTACCATAGTGTATTGTACTATAAAAACTTAATTTTGTTTAAAACATTTATTGGTAATGAGGAAAATACAATAACGTTCATAGAGAGAACATTTCACTCATAAGCACAGAATAGCAGGTAAAGATAAATGACCTATAAGTAAGTCTGACCCTCCCCAACTATGCACTTTAAGTAAAATATCAAGGTCTGAAACAATTAATCGGATTAATCGTGATAATTCGATTATAGACAAATAATCGTCAAATAATTTTGCAATCGTTAACTGGAGAATAGAGACTGTAAAGTATGCCTTTACCTGACAGAGCAACCCAATTAGAGCAGTGATTATACCACAGTTTAAAAAAATATATAAACATTATGCATTTAGGATAAAAAAATACTTTTTTATCTGTCAATATTTTCTATCCAAATCTCCTCAAGTGGAAAAGTTTTAGTTTCACCTGGTTTAATATTGTTAAAAAATCTTCTTCAAGGAACCTTTGGCTAGCAGATTATTAATCGATTAATAGAAAAAATAATCGACAGATTAATCTATTTGCAATATAATTGTTAGTTGCAGCCCTATAAATATCTTGAAATTCTTTTTGATCTGGTGATTATTCCACAGTTTTAGTCCATAGAAAAACAAAAAGTTTTCATACTATTTCCAACGCTAAAAATGTAAAGATTATTTTTTGCCTCTAAGATTATAGCCTCCATCTCAGTCTTGTTGCCTTACTTTGTAAATAAAAAATGTTCTATTGCTGTTTAACTACACCCAATATAGTACAACAGGATTAATACAACTTTAACAGCTGAAAAAACACTGCACATAACTGCACACTTAAAACATATTACAAAGAAACATTAATAAGAGATCGCAATTGCATTTTGCCATATACCATAGAGTGGACAAAGGAAAGATACTGAAGATCTTCATTTCAGATTCAACCATAATATGACTTTCCAACTAGCATGCAAAATCTTAGCTTTTCTTTGTGCATACAGGAGAATAGTACAGTCACAAGACGTAATCAGCTCCCTGACCCATTTACCTTAGGGCTAAATGGTGTCCCTGTCCTTACTGACAAGTTCACTGTTAACACTCAGTCACTGTACTCATCTGATCATTTCTGTGCCAGAAATATCAGCTTGTTGTCACAAGGTCGGCAGACAAGGACCTGTAGAAAAGAGACAGATCATTCAGTCATCGTGAGCCGACCCACTGATGCAAATGTTAGGATCTATGCCTGTTCTCATTATGCCTAAATAAACTTGTGTTTTTCAGACTATTTTATCAGACTATTAACAAAAATTAATAAGAGCTAATCATTTGTTTGTATCATGTCCCTATAAATTTATATATATGTATATATGTAAACATACTCCAATTTTTGCTGTCATTCTACAACATAAAAAGGACTGCCTGTGGAGCTGATTGACTTTTAAATCTCTACTTCTTTCTGTATGTCTGCTTCTATCTCCATTGATCAGCAGATGGCCGGTCACATTGAACCAGATTCTGCTAGAGGTTTCTTCCTGTTGAAAGGGAGTTTTTCCTCTCCACTGTCGCTATATGCATGCTCAGTGTGAGGGATTGTTGAAGAGTCAACAACAAAATGGAAGTGAAAATCATTGCCACATGCTCATCCAGGAGGGACCCGTCTTGCAAGTCAGTGACTGGATGCAATAAACAGGTTTTCCTAACCAATCTGACAGTACTGTCTTGGTAAAGTCCCTTAAAATGACATATGTTGTAAAGTGGCACTATATAGATAGAGTGAAATGAATTAAAATGCTTTTTCAATATAGCAGTATTCAATAAAGACTTTCACACTTTTTGATTTTAGCATAAATGAGACCGGAGTTAATATAATAGAAGTTTGTGTTTTCCAAATCTTAGAAATTCCCTCCTCTCATCTTTTTACCCCACAATTTTTCTTGTGAGGCATCTCACAAAAAGTGAGGTCATTTCTCTATGAGAGTGCCTCTTTTACTATAATGACTCCATCCCTGCTCCGCCAACCCCCTCCCTCTGTGAAAGACCTGCCCGTGATATATTCCAGTCACATAATAATGCATACACAAGAAATGGTAGTGAACAAGAGTCTTAGTAAGCAATTTATCTGTGAGTTATGGCATCCCTTTATGTGATGTGAATATCTTCTCTTTCTTGTCATGTAGTATTTGACTGAACACATGAATCTGCTGTCATCCGTTGCAAGAGAAGCAAATGCTAATAATCCAGTGTAATCAATGTGTGCCAGCAGCTATATTTGGAGCAGAACAGCTGCAGCTGCCCCCCTCTATCTCTTTTTTCCTCATAACTCCTTTAGAAGTGAAATACACATATGTATACATGCTTTTTTGGTGATCCTCAGGCAGTTGTTCATGCTTCATAAAGTGGATTTGGCACATATTGTATATTTTTTTCCCCCTGGCCCCTCTATGTGGGCATCATAATAGATAAATTCCCCCAATGTGTATCGATGCAACATTTAGTTAAGGTTTATTGTCAGCAGGAAAGTTCAGTGCTTTCACACATTACTAAAGCATTTTTTTTTTTACTTAGCCTCCAGTAAAAGCAGACATGTTACGAACTCATCTTAAAAAGGCAGATTTTTCCTGCAAATCCAGTGCTTAATCTGCTGCCTCACTGTGCTTGTGTGAGAGCCCAGAGCCGAGTTCATCCCATGTGACAGGCAGTGAAATCTCTAGTTTATGCTGGCTTACATAATGCCACTGCAGCACAACATCTGGGACCTTCTTCTC